TAACTGATTAACCATATCTATCAGTTTCTTGATTATCGGGCCCTGCTGTGGCGCACGCGATGTGTTTAATATAGTTAATATAATGACTGGTTATTACTGGATAACACTCGTACTGACTGGTACTTAATATATCAAACCCTAGGATTGTTTCTCTTTGTTCCTGTTAGCTTAGCTCCCGTTCCGATGCGTACCTGTGAACTGAATCAAGATAGTCAGGTTATTAACTATCTAAAGATGACTTGATCTGAACAAGAGAAGAAAAGTAAGGCCAGATAGTGCTGCGCAGCTATCTGTAAGTAAGTATAGATAAGTATTATTATTAAGCTTTATTAAAACATATGGTTACTTAAAGACAGTGTTATTGAGCATGAAGAACAGAACTAGCTAAGTACATGAAAGAGTGTCCTTATATTCTATCCTTTATCATGGCATCGCTATGATATGTCATGTCACCGATATGTTCTGTCATAGTGCTGCCATGTCCTGTCATAGCGCTGCCATGTTATAGTGTGTCAGTGACATGTCCGTCGTGGTCACGTGTTGTGTAACCGTCCCGGTTTGTAGGTTACTCAGATCAGGATTCTACTTGATAAGAGTCCTCGCCTTCCGGACGTAGCCTTCTGCCTGACGAGTCCGCCTTACTAGTTCGTTCAGCTAGCAGGGGTCCGTAACAATAAGTTTATAAAACACTAATCCTATAGATAAATGTAAGTACAGGAGGCGCCATAATAGCTATAAAAATAAATAATAATTAATTTTATTAATCTATTATCTGAATCAGAGAAATATAATATTATTACAGTCATTACTAATTACCTTACTAAATACATCTATCTTATACTAAGTAAGATAATAATAATAGTAATACAGATAGTAAAACTATTTCTAGAAAACATTATTATATATTATAAGATACTAAAATACATTATATCAGATAGAGACAAGTTATTTATCTCAAAGTTCTGGAGACCACTTGCAGATCTTATAAAAATTAAAAAATAAATAATAACAGTTTACTATCTGTAAATAAATAAACAAATAAAAAGAATTAATTAAATAATTAAACAATACTTAAAGCATTACATAAACTACCAGTAAAATAATTAGATAAATCTATTATTAATAATACAGTTCTTATATAATAACACTAGTTACTTAATTATTAGAGTTTCATTATTTTATATTAATTACAGTTACCACCCCAAGTTTCTGGAAACACTATTAGAAAAATAGTAAGTTATTAATATAACTAAGAATATTATCATATTTACAGAAAACATATATTTACAGTTATCCCGAGATATTGAGTTCATGAACTTATACAGTAAGATATATTATAATTATAGATATAAAAGAGAACCTAATTTAAAAAGAGAAAAGAAAGTATTCCTACTCCGCAGAAACATCAAGATAAAATAATCAAGTTAAAAACTTGATCATTATAAGCTAGAACCATTTATTATCAAGAATAAGAAAGAACTGGTCAACTATAAGTTAAGATTGCCAAAATCAATGAACAAAATTCATCCAGTATTTTATATCTTATTATTAGAACCCGTACCAAAGAATACTAAAATTGCAGAAAACATGAAGATCGACAACAACACAGAGAAAGAATACAAAGTTAAAAGAATCCTAGATCATAAGAAGATTAGCAGCAGATCAGAATATCTAGTAAAATAGGTAGAATATGATATCTCAAAAAACATATGGAAATCTATCAAGAATTTGACAGGCTGTCACCAGCTTATAAAGTAGTATTACTAATAAACAGGTCAAAATTCGCCCAGAAGAAAGGAGAACTAACTAACTAAGTCAGACTAGGATTATCTAACACAGCGGTAAATTAAGCAGCATCATATTTATTAACTAGATACTCCAGCTTCCGGAGATCCTCAGTACTTAGAGGATCCTTCTTATCCAACTGCTCCAACACAGTCAAGTCGTGATCTAACATCCACTCGCCATGATCTTTTAGAAACTATTATTGTTTAAACAAACAAGCTACTTTGGCAGTAATACAGGCCTGTTTAGCAAGAGCCTTAGCAAGTTTATTTTATATATCTGATTAATTATATTTTAACTTATTCTACTCCTTATTACTGTAAAATCACTTTTCACATTTTCAACCATAATAAGTACAGGCAGCACAATTTCAGCTTTTCAAATCTATAATATAAGAAATACCTCTCAGAAAACAATGTTCATAGAAATTCTTAGTAATAAAGCCGTTATTATGAATCTTGATAGACTAACAGATGTATTCCTTCACCCAATTATGATTAGTGTAATAACAAGACATGATGGCCTATCATAAGAAAAAGAGAAATTGAGAAAACTTAACCAACATAGGAGAGACACACACCTTTATGTTTCTTGAGGACAAGAAACCTTAAAGAAGGGGAAGTGATGTTACAGACCCCTACTAGCCAGGTTACTAGCAGAGCAGACTCGTCAGGCAGAAAGTGATGACCAGGCAGGACTCGGGCAACCAGCAACTCTTATTAAATAAAATCCTGGTTAGAGTAATGTCCGAGGCAGCGCTGTGTCACGTGACTATCTACCATCAGATCTATTATTAAGAGTATATAATATAATATACAGGACCTAGGAATATGAATAGATCGACCCTCAATCTACCCTGAATGGTATACAGAATAGTATATAAAGAATAGAATATAAGAACACTCTTTCATGTACTTAGTTAGTTCTATTCTTCATGCTCAATACAACTATCTTTAAGTAACCATATGTTTTGGTAAAGCTTAGCAATAATACTTGTCTGTACTTACTTACGGATAGCTACACAGCACTATCTGGCCTTACTTCTCTTCTTCTGTTCAGGACCAGTTCTCTTTAGATAGTCATCGACCTGACTTATCTTGATCCAGTTCAAAGGTACGAATCGGAACAGAAGCTAAGCTAACAGGAACAGGGAGAAGCGATCCTAGGGTTTGACAGCCACGTCCGGACAGACGGGAACTCTTATCAAGTAGAATCCTGATCTGAGTAACCAATACCCGGAACAGTTACACAGCACGTGACCACAATGAACATGTTACTGACACGCTATAACATATCGGCGCTATGACAGGATATGGTAGCAATATAAGATAAGATATCAGTGATATAACATATCATGGCGATACCATATAAGGGATGGGATATATAAGGACATTCTTTCATATACTTAGCTAGTTCTGTTCTTCATGCTTAATAACACTGTCTTTAAGTAACCGTATGTTTGGATAGCTTAGCAACAACACTCGTCCGCACTCACTTACGGATAGCTGCGCGGCACTATCTGGCCTTACTTCTCTTTCCTTGGTTCAAGACCAGTTGTCCTTAGATAGTCATCAGTCTGACACTACCTTGACCAAGTTCGACGGTACGTATCCAAACGGAAGCTAAGCTAACAGGAACAAGGGAAGCGATCCTAGGGTTTGACAAGGATCTACACAGAGAAAAGTAATTAATAAAATATAATAAATCAAGATATAATAAAAACAAAGGACTGTAAGAATCTACAGGAACTAGACTAAGACTAATAATAAATAAATTATATTTAAGTAAATGAAATAAATAAGAATTAAAGTCCGAGATAATATAAATATAAATATAAACTCTAGAAGAAAGAAAGATAAATAAAGAAGCATAAATAAAGAAAAAGATTTTCTATAGAAAGTAATTTTTCAAGATAATCTACAGTCTAAGTTTATTTACTATTACAATGTTATATATAATAAGTTCTGCGAAGACAGCAAATAAAATATAATTAATAAAATAGAATAGTCAAAGAAATAGAAAGAAAGATAGTCTCTAAAGAATCTAATAAAAAATAAAAGATACTAATCTTAAAAACTGAAGAAGAAGACACATAAATTATTAAGAATAAATCATAGAAAATATAACAAATATAAGGAGTGATCCAGTATATCAGGATAAAAATTAAATAAAGAAAAGTCTGTAATAAAGATAGACATAAAAAAAAGATAATATTTTAAATAAAAAGAAAAGATAAAATATAAAATAATAATAAATAAGAAGGAAGTATAAAAAAGAATTACAAGACAATCAGAAAGCAAAGAATTATAAAAAATAGAAAAACAGAAATATAGAAAGAGAAAGTAAAAAAAATAGAAAAAGAAAGTAAAAAGAAAAAAACAGCAGAATTATTGTAAGTAAAAGAAGAATAATATAAAGTAACAAGTATATAACAGCTAGAAAATAAAAAGAAAAGAAAATAGTAATAAGATATGAAGTAGCAGAATACCTGCAAGTGGTGAATATCATCAATCAATAAGAGAACCATATCCCACAGCAAAAGGTGTAGAAAGGTGTACAAAGAGTGCGAAGTGCCAGATATATATATGACGGGGTGTCAGACGGAATACGAGCCCCATCCTCCACACCGACCAATTCTTAAGCGCCGTCTGGAGACGATGGGCCCGGCGCTGCTCCACCGCGGCCTGTCGCCGTGTTTAGCGCTTCATTACTTGTCTACCCATGGGGCTGGGAACGGGGATGTTGGGACAAGCAACTGCTCGTACATTGGCACGGCGATAACTGTAGTCGTCAGCGCTTCACCTGTCAGTTTAGTCTCCCAGAGAGTCGCGATCGTAACCAGTGTGAATATATATATAACACTAGCACCAGCCCGAGATTTTATTTTATGTCATAGGTCAAAGAAATATGCGCTAACAATTAGTGCAGGGTTCAACGAATATCAGCCGACTGCTACGGTGGCCATAAGAATATTCCTGCGACCAAAACACCAAGTGAGGTGATGTAGCAAAGGAGTACGTTCTCTGCGAGGGTCTAGATCCATCCTGGGAGTCGAATGTGAGAGTATTCAAGATTCCCTGGTGCGGGGCATGTCCTACAGCCCGGCGGGGTCTATCAATGTATCAACTGATGCCAAATTATCTATATATGTGCATTGATACTCTTTAATATTTAGACACGTCTATACCTATAATACATATGCAAGCAAGATCCCCTCAAAGACACATAATCCCCGTAAACGCCCTCCCATCCTCCTCATACAACTTCTCCTTCTTCTTCTCATCCCGATTCCACCGATACACACAACCCCCCAAATCCGTCAAATAAAAGTCCCCATTCTCCCGATCCAGACTCACCCCAATCGCCTCCCTCAAATTCCTCACCAACACCTCAACCTTCCCACTCACCGGCACCCCCTCCTTATCCAACTTCACCCGATTCAACGAATTCCCCAACGGCAACTCCCCCCGATCCGTCCAATACAACTCCCCTCTCTCCTCATCAACCTCCAAATCAATCGGCTCCGGCAACCCACTCAATATACACTGCCCCCCCTCCTCACCTTCAATGGGCTCCGTATCCAGACTCGCGCAGAAAATCCTCCCCTGACCACTCTTCGACGGGCCCTTTTGCGTCCAGTAGAATTTATTCCACCGCGGTGCGACGGTGATTCCGACACACCAATCGTGGAAGTTGGACGATGACGTGCCGCTTTCGTTTGCTTTTGTTTTCGGGCCGCGAGAGACGAGGGTTGTTAGCTCGGAGCCGTCAAGGTTACATCGGTATACGGCGCAGCCTTCGCGGTCGCAGAAGTAGAGCTTTTGGGATACAGGGTCGAGCGTTATTTGTTTCGGGGTGTTGAGGGTGCCCTTTGGGAGGAGGGAGCGGATGTTTTGCCCGTCTGGCGTGGAGGAGTAGATTGCCCCGTCGGGGTGGCCGGGGACGCCCATGCAGGTCCAGAAGATGAGGTTGGTGGTGGCGGAGTAGGTGATTCCGTCGGGGAGGAGTTGGTTGGATAGGATGGTTTGGGGCTGGGTGGTGGTGGTGGTGGTGGTGGTGTTGGGAGTGGGAGGGGTTAGGGAGAGGATATGACCTGCTGGGGTGGAGATGGAGGAGGCGGCGGTTGAGGATGCGAGGCCGATGTCGAGGATGAGGAGGCGTTTGTTGGTGTTGGTGTTGGTGTTCGTGCTGGACTGCACGGGGTGATAGAGGCCACCGAGAGGGGATTTGGAACCGAGTTTGCCATGGTCTAGGTAGTTGGTTGTCAGGTAGTCGACGGTTTTATCGGATGGGAGACCGCGTTCGTGGATGTAGTGCTGTTCAATAAATGCGACAGTATCAAGGCCGACGTCTGGATGGTGATGAGTGGTTAGAGGGAATGAGATAAAACTGAAAACTAGGTAGATAGGTACTTACTGTCCATCATCACACAGGGCTTCACTCGGCCAGTGATGAACATCTCCTCCCACATGGCGTCAATCTCCTCCGGGGCAGACACTCCCTCGGAAAGAATGGTCAGGACTTCTCGTTTCACCGCAGCCCAAAGCCGATTAAAGATGAATCCCGTGGACTGTTTTCTCGCCACGTACGGCGAGGTTGCCCCCTCGCGACATCTGTCCACCAGGAACGGGAAGATGTCCTCGCTGGTGAACCCGTCCGTCATCAGCTCGACAAGCATGCACTGTGGTGGCATGTAGTAGTGCATGTTTAGGATGCGGGATTTGGTAGTCTCAGGGACCCGGTCGAGCATTTCAGACGTCTTGTAGGATGAGGAATTGGAAGCGAGGATGCTGTCTGCCGGGGCGAGATCCGATAGCTCGGCAAAGGTAGCAATCTTGAGAGGGAGCTTCTCCGGCACGGCCTCAATGATGAGCCAGGCGGTTGAGACGGCCTCCTTGAGGTCCGTGAAGGAGTGGGCTTTGCCTGGAGACCGGCCCGTCTTGGAGGCGTAGGCGGCGACAGTCTCCTGGATGTAGGCAATGCCGGCTGCGAGCTGATCGGGACTGGGATCGCGAAGGTGGACATTGTAACCTGCTGAGGCCCAAATGCAGCCTGGGATAGGATGGCATTAGTATACAGAACGCAGATACACCCTCTTAGAGATTTGACGGAAGACTGAGGACTTACCTATGCGTCGTCCAAGCACTCCTGCCCCCAGGACCGTAACAGGACGGCTCTGGTATTCGTGTGGTGGGGACCAAGTTGGACGCATTGCGAGTCTATAGAACACAAAAAAGTAGAATGCAAATCTAGATGCTGGTGATGTTGATGTTGATGTTGATACTGTCACCGGTGCGATGAATGAGACGGATCTCGCGAATGACAGCCATTATATACGGCTGCAGCCATGATCGACATTGCAGTGATCGCCGTAGCTTGTTCATCCATGGTTCGAAGTGTAGATTCCGAGAATCCGCGGCTCATGAAGACATTGAAGTCCCTCGCTATGGTATGGGATATGGATGCCGGGACGCAGAAGCCGCGGGAGCGGGATGCTGAGACGGATCCACCGGGGCAATCCACGGCCAGTCCCTCGGGATGTCCTGTCTTGCATCGGGCCAGACTGCCACGTCAGCCTGTCTGTAGAGTGACAGAGTCTGAGTTATAGAGTATGACGTTTGGTGGATCTCAATATTATTGTTGTCATTAATAACGTTTGTATTAGGGGTGGCACTGATTCAGGTACAGCCCCACTCGGATGAAAAATCCCGGTCGGCTTTTCACTGCCTTGTTGTGTGAAGAAGGTTCTAATAGGGCACGAGTGTTCTTAGTGAAAATGGTGATAGACATTGCCATGTGAGTGAGAGTATCTATGGAGATCTATGTATTGGGAACTTCTATAGAAATGTGGTTCTGGTTTGTTGTTTGTTAAAAGTCGAGTTTCTCGCACATTCGACCCAATGGCATATGAATTAATTAACCAACTAGATAGTCGAATGGTCTTTTCCCTAGGACAGGCTCATAGAAATAAATACTGACATGCGCTTTTGATTCAATCTAATCCATCGCTCTCATATGTACAAACTTCAAGTATCTGTCACTCTTTCTCACAAATTCTATTTGTCCCAGCCTCCATCAATCCTGCGTACCAAGGATAGAGCAGTGTAATTACAGCTCCCTAATCAAACGTCCTTCTGCGTCCCTTCATTGCTCGTCTTGGCCGGCCACTTCACCCTTCGCTCAGCCCGCACATACAGGTTGTTAGGCCTGATCAGTTGGAACATCGGGTCATATTCAATCGGCCCATCGCCTTCCCGGCTAAAGTGATAGCGGTAGATCAATTTCGGAAGAAAGACTTTGATCTCCTGCAGTGCGAAATTGAATCCAATGCACATACGCGGACCCATCGCAAAGGGGATATAAGCTGCCTTATGCCGCGCCTTCACTTCGGGGGTATCCCATCGATCGGGGTCGAACCGAGTAGGGTTATCCCAGAGGTTAGGGTTGTTGTGGATGTGATGAAGCGCGGGAATAATGACTGCATCTTTGGGGATTTTGTAGCCTCCAGGAAGAACGAGATCGACTTTGGCGGTTCGACCTGGCTGGAATGAGGGGTTGTGTCGCCGTTGCATCTCCTTGATGTATTTGTCTTGGAAGAGAAGCTTTTCAGTCAGATCAGCGGTGAGCTCGGTGTCTTCGGTAATGTCATTGTCGATTAATTCCTGGAGTAAACGCTCTTGCATCCCGGGATACGTGACGAGACCGTAGATTAGCCAGGAGAGGAGAGAACTAGTTGTCGTGAATCCTGCCGCTGTTGCGACTACGAGGGCCCAGACTAGACTTGACTTGGGCAGTTTTTCACCCTTGTTGTCTGTGGCTCGGATAGCGTAGTCTGGATGTCAGGCATATTGTTAGTTGCTGCTATGCATGGGTAAGACCGAAGGGGCCATGACAAGAAGTTCAACTCACCAACCATGTTAGAGGACTGCAGCGCTGCATCTTGCAAAGGTAAATCGCTGATGCCAGCCTGTTCTGCATTTTGGATGGATTCATCTACCATCTCCTCAATTCGTGCTTTCAGATTCCTCAGCCGCTGTGGATCCCCGAATGGTAACATGCCGTACCAATCGCCTTTCGATGTGACTTTCTTGTTGAGGGAGAGCATTTCCGCAATTGAGTGGACCATCTCATGCACTGGTGCATCGGGCGAAGTAAAGTGTTTGAAATCAAGTCCAAGTGTGAGCTCACCCACTGCCTGTGAGCCTAGCTTCAACATATATTGATAGACGTTCCAGGCCTTTTCTTGCTCATCCAGAGCATCAAACACCTTGAACGAGTCCTCCACAGCTCTCTGCATAGTCGGGGCGTAGTGGCGTACCGCCTTGGGACCCAAGGCAGGGGGCAGGAATTTGTGAGCTGCCTTCCACTCGGGGGTATCTGTGTCCCCTAGGAAGACGCCCGCGGAAGGGGTTTTCAGCGCAGAGAGGGGGTGAGCGTCGTTGATCTTTTTGGAAAAGAAGTCTGATTCGGCAAAGACAATGGCTGATAATTCCGGATCGTTGGTCTGGTATGTCGTACGGCCCAGGTTTGTTGTTTTGAAGATCGGTCCATACTGGTCAAAGAGGCGTTGGTGATTGCCAAGATGATCGGGATACACCTCGAAATAGTTTCCCACGTAAGGGAGACCTCTGGGACCCCCCGGCTCTCGTACGGCATGTCCGTCGATTGCGATTGCTACAGGTCCCTTCGCAGCAAGGACATCAGAGACATCCGACAGGCAGTCGTCCTCGGTTTGAAACCCAATTCCTGCAGCAGTGTCAGTGTGTTGCAAAACAAGAAGATAATTTACATCACTAACCATTCGGGTCAACAATAGCAAAATAAGCTGCCACGAGTTGTTTGAGTTGGTCAAAATCTAGAGCCGTCTCAATGGTGATGTCCTTGGCGGACGACACCGATTCGCCTAGAAGATAGAACTGCTGGCTTGACATGGTGTTATCAATCGATGAGTTCTGTAGAGCCTTCACAGAGGGCTTGCGACACGAACGAACCGTACAACCTTTATATTGCCTAATGGGACCATTGGCCTCCTGCTCCAATTAGTAGTGTCAAATTAAAAGAGTGGATCGAGATGCCGCGGGATTAACGGCTCCCGCGGCAGTGTCAGCCGTTCGGAGATTAACTCCAGCGGACTTCCCGCGGCAGGGATGCACCGAATCCACCTCAATCGGACCACTCTTGCCGATACATTGACAGAGGACAAATAATAATTTTTGGCGCTCTTCTCATTCGCGGTTGAGGATCGTGTATCCCCGGCGCTCTGTATAAAGGAAGGCAACATGCAACATGTTCTTTCCTCTCTTCAGTTTTCCTCCAACAGGCGGAATAGACCATCAAATTGGGAACGCATCTCACACCGAGTTCACTCTGTGCCGTCTTAGACAACGGTGATTGTCTCATGATGACAGCCATACCTGAGTATACATCAGAAGAGGTGGCCGCTCACAGGGCCAGGGACGATCTGTGGGTTACAATCAATGGAAAAGGTATGCTTGTTGATAGCCCTGGTCCTTTGGCTGCTTCTTAGCCCTCAAGTCCTGACACACTCTCAAGTATACGATGTTACCGAATATGTTAGAGACCATCCTGGAGGGCCCGATGTCCTGATTGACGTGGCTGGAGCCGATGCGACTGAAGCATATGAGGATGTCGGCCATTCAGAGGTAGGCTTGAGTGTCCCATACCTGAACATAGGCTGATTGGACCATCTACAGGATGCAGATGAAATTCTAAAAGCATTCCTGGTCGGAACACTAAAAAACGCGCGCGAGCGCACCCGCCCTAAGTCAGTTCGGTTAATTCAACCTGAAAGTCCTTTGCCCCCTGCGGCCTCTACGAAGACCAAAGGCTCTGCTCGATCTGTCGCACTCGCCACAGTCTCGGTTGGTAGTGTGGTACTCTCGCTGTACTTCACCTGCCGCAGGTATCCCATCTTGACTGCGTCATGGCCAATTTTCACTGGGGCCCAGGGCTCCTGGAGATCCCTCATTAGATCACCACAGACATCATTCGCATTCGGTGGATTCTATACCGGATTCGCTGCTGCCACTGCGATCTCCTCAGCAGTCGGAGCAGTTATCGGCTCCAAACTGTCGCAGATGACACAAATCAAGTCGGGATTCACTCAATACCCGCCACTTGTGAAGCGTCGCAAGGTCGTGGGAAGCAATCCGCATCTCGCCAAGGGGTTTCTCGATCCGAAAGAATATAAGAGCCTGCCACTTATTCGAAAGGACACACTCTCCCCAAATGTGTTCAAGTTTGTATTTCAACTTCCCAATCCACAGGATGTGGTCGGACTTCCAATCGGCCAGCATGTGGCAATAAGAGCCAATGTTAACGGAACGATGGTCTCCAGATCGTACACACCCACATCGAACAATTTGGACAAGGGTGTCTTGGAACTGGTAATCAAGTGCTATCCAGATGGTATGCTGACGGGCCAACATCTTGCAAACCTAAAACTTGGAGATACAATACAACTCCGTGGGCCCAAGGGTGCAATGAAATACACTAAAGGACTTTGTACGAAGATCGGCATGATTGCTGGCGGCACTGGGATCACGCCAATGTATCAGCTTATCAGAGCGATCTGCGAGGATGCTACTGATCTCACGGAAATCAGCCTGATCTACGCCAACCGCACCGAGGAGGATATCCTTCTGCGACGTGAGCTCGACGCGTTCGCTCAAAGATATCCTCGAAATCTCAAAATCTGGTATATGCTAGATAGCCCGTCCCAAGACTGGCCCTATGGAAAGGGATACGTCACTTCAGATATCATGAAGGACAGGCTCCCTAGTCCATCTCTTGATACGAAGATCATGCTCTGCGGGCCTCCAGGGATGGTAAACGCCTCCAAGAAAGCCTTGGTGTCAATGGGATTCCAGGCACCCGGTGCCGTTGCAAAGATGTCTGATCAAGTATTCTGCTTTTGAATGAGCTATCAAATCGTTGATGAATTTGTGTCTGTAAAATAGCAAGGCTCTAGTCCTGCGAAAGCTTCTTTAGCGTCTCTTGTTGAACTGTTCAGTACCTTCATTATTCTCCAAATAGAAATGATCATGAATCGGCCAACGGTCACTTAGTATCAGAACGAAAGAATAGAGCATTACCGAATTTATACCTCCTACCCAGCATTTCTCACATATCTGTGTGTCTTACTGATAGATAGAACTTTTATCTGTAGCATGAAATAGTAGACTGGATTCAGGATGGAAACATTGTGGAGGCAGTCGCGTCTCGTTCCTAAGTGATTAGTCATTCGCGTTTGGGTTCCTGCTAATCCAGGCACTAATCAGGCATGATTAAGGCATACAATTTCCTACCGAGGTCAGCGCCACCCACTCCACTATTTCCGTCTCTCCCGCGGCATCCTTTATCTACCTTTATCATTCTCCGGGCCTTCCTGACACCGATCAGCAAGAAAGCGAAGCGAATCAAATCAACGACAAATAATCCTTGGTGTTCGGCCAAGGATGTCGGCTCGCCGTTATCGATCTACTGTGGCATGTCGTTCCTGCCGCCAACGCAAGGTCCGGTGTAGCCTCAACCTCACCGGCGTGCCATGCATCCGCTGTGCTCAGGACCATGCAGATTGCGTGGTGGATACCCGAAATGAGACGTGAGCAATGGTCCCGAGGACCTATATGGACCACTACTAAGTCGAATGAGGATTCAAAGCAATCGGCGCCATGTACCGACGCGACAGCGCCCTAGATCGTCGAATAGTCCATCCGACCGTGCCGGGGTATATCCTGGAGAGAACAATACAATTCGTTCATCCCCTCGTATTGAAGCAAGTCAAAGGCCAGCGCTCCATCGCGTACCAGCCGAGTCACCAGTGGTGACTGGATCAAGGAACTCGGAATCTGGAGAGCGATTTACCATCCAGGATGAGGAGCGCAATGGACTTGAAATCGCAGAAGCAGCTTTGGGGAAACCCGAACAAGCTGGACAGGTCCCCTTTTACACCGGTGAGCAATCTCATATATATCATTCCTTAAAACCCATATGGCAATGACTGGCATTCGTTGACAAGATATAACCTGTTAGGGGATAAGACTGGGATCACGTCGACCTTGACACTCTGCACTCCCGGGGAGTCTTTACCCCGACATCTCCTCATTCCATCGCATGCCCCGACTTCCTTGTCGGAAGAAGACCGAGCATATCTCACAAGTAAAGGCGTTTTTAGCTTGCCGGGGGAAGAGGCCTGCAACAGCCTCCTTCAAGCTTACTTTCGTCATGTGCACCCAATAATGCCTGTCATTGAGGCTGACCACATTCTACACTTCTTCCACATCGGCCGCCTCTGCGAGTATAACCTCTTACTGGTCTGGAGTGTTTTCTTCGTTGCAGTCAATGTAGGACTTTGTGGTGACCATGATTTTAAGAATCTAGCTGACTCATTAGTTCGTCCCATACAATATTTGTGAACTAGAAGGTTACGAATCTCGGAAGGCGATGAAAGCAGCTATGTACTCCCGTGCGAAGGTGAATCATCTCTTTTCACGACTCAACCATATATGTGCTTTTGGAGGTGATCATGAATGGTGGAGTGGCAAGTTCCATCATTCGGCAAAAGATTGATCCATAAGCCACCAGAATCAAAATGAGCACGACTCTATTGAGCCAGCGTCAGATCCTAAGTGACCTGGCTGGGGTTATGTCCTTTTGACCTAGCATTTATCCAGTCTTTACAATTTTAGTACTAACTATCTTATGGACAGTGCATGTACGATAACGGCGGCGAACGCAATAAGATTGTTCTTCTCCAGGCCTCACTCCTGCTAGGCTTTTGGCACTCGGAGATGGACGAGCATGGCCAGCCCTGGTACTGGACTGGCCTTTCTGTTACTCTTTGTCAAATTCTCGGTCTGCATCGTGACCCCGACGTGGCCAGATACAATACGTCCATAGGCGATCGTCAGCGACACCTCTGGCGTCGTCTCTGGTGGACTTGTTTTTTCCGTGACCGCTGGCTGAGCCTCACACTTGGACGGCCTCTGCGCATTGACCTTGATGACTGCGATGTGCCAATGCCATCAGTGGCAGACATGCTCAGTGACTTAATTGATGTTCCGGAATCCATGTTTGCTACGTTTCTTCCTCAAGATCTTTCCCTTCTAGCCGAATATTGGGTTCTTTTGATTAATTTGAGCAGGCTTTTAGGGGCTGTTCTTACTATGAACTACAAACCCATTCGTCCCAAACCCTCCCAAAGTCAGGTAGAGGCTCTTGAGGCAGACATCCTTCGCTGTAGTCCACCTGACAGGCACGACACTGAGCTAAGTCGTCCGGCGCGGTTCTATCTCTACCATCTGCAGTTGCATTATCAGTCAGTTTAACGAAGCCTAAACACCCTATCTTGAACTAGAAAAATCCTGACCTCGCATAGGGCGATTCTCATCGTCCTCTACCGTCCATATGCAACCGAAACACCAGACGACCTTCTTCCGGCCCATCAAGAGCAATGGCAGCAAACGATTCGTCGTAAAGCCGATTCTGCAGCCTCCCGTACAAATGACATACTAGATGTTCTTGCTGAAGAAAATCTACTCGAGTATGCCCTACCAATGACGTGAGCATTCCCGACACCGAACAAGCGTTTCAACAAGCTTAAACTTCATAGACCTCCGCTTCTTATCCCTGCCATGCAGATGCACCTTCTCAACTGCCGATCCGGCAGCCCACTGGCGCGACGCCTCCGACTCAGCAAGCTCAATGTATGCATGATGGTCATGGAGGAATTCCAAAAAGTCTACACTGTAGCTTCAATATACCGGGTGATCTTTGCAAAAGGCATTCAGCAGATATGTCCCGAAGAAGCTGCTGAGACCATCAATGCTGCAGTTTCCGTAGCTGTTCCCGCGACAGCACCCGCCCCAGCTCTGTCAAACCTTGTGGCGCCCCCGATCTCTCATGAGCTGGAATTAGGGGCAGAAATGGACGGTATGGTCGATGCTCTGTTGGATGGTTCGACAGCGTTGAATTTTTGGGAAACCTGGGGTCAGTTGTGGGAGTAGCGACGAACAATATATACATAAACGCGAGGCTTTTTAGTCTGGATGTCTGGATAGCAAATAGCAAAATGGTCCAGAATTGGGATTCTTCTCTAATGGCACGTCGTCCGGGCACCTTGGTCGGTTCTTCGGAACTGTAAATGAAGGCATTGGGATTTCCTCAGGGATGCCGACCCGTCACGACCCGTCTAGAAGTCATCAATCCACCGTCATTCCAAAGGTGGCTGACCCAAAGGGAGCTAACTTACACAATATGATAGCCATGCAACCGTCGATCCCTCAAGTTCTCCCGGACACCTGCCAGGAGCACCTCCGTCTCCTCTCGCGCCCAGCCAAGCACTTCGACCAGCAAACCCAGAGCATAGGGGGACAGAGCTTGCATGTACTGGAAATTCTGAAATCGGCCAATCTCCTTCAGCTCAGGGTCTTTCGGCCAACTATTCACAGGTAGTCGAAAGAGTCGTTCCTCTACGTCCAGAAACCCGGCCGCTTCCATCCACCTTCTGACGTGGGCTGGAGCAGTCAAGGTTTGATCGAGCAGTGTGCACGCCCTGACGCACTCATTCTCCCACGTCCGAAGGCTCGATGTCGTGGGGATAGTATTGTCATCGCAGGTGGCCTTGAAATCGGTATCTTTCACTTCAAGGTAGCCGCCTGGAGCCAGGTGGCTTGAAATTTGGTTAGTCACTCATTGTGGTCCGTATCACTCGACAGGAACACGAACTCATAGGCTTGTTTGAATAAGCGAGGCCAGTCGCGAATTGCCCCATTTAGGCCCTGCATGTGGATTAGGTCAAACTGGCTACTGTAGCTCCATTCGAGCTCTGCGTCGTCGATGATGAAGCTTAGGTTTGGTGGTACCCTGAAACAATGATCAGCAAATTCAAGCTTCGCCCAGTGTGGCTTCCAGGGAAACGAAACGAACCATGAGGGTTGATGAGCTGACATATCCGTTCCTACGATCAGGGATCGTTTAGCTCTTTTCTCGGATTGGATCTCGTAGAAGTGTTTAATGCGTACCTGTGACTTGCGCTCTAGGATACATCCTTCGCCATTGTTAGCCTGATCGTCATATATTGGCAGAGAACTAAGTATGGAGGATAGATAACTCACGTTGCCACATCTATTGCCCAAGTACCTGTTCCTGTCCCGACGTCCAGAATCCGCTGTGGACTAGGGATCGGTGCGAACACAAGTCGGCCCCCGAACAGCATACCGAAGATATGTTGCAACAGGTCGATACGGTCACACTCAGACTGTTGGATCACATTAAAAAGATCTTCATGCTATTGAAAAATAACACACCCACCCACCCACCTCGTCATTTGGTAACACATATCGACCGGATCCATAAACCGCATATCGACGACCATTCCGGTACTCATACGCAAGCACACTCGATGTCAATGATTGCAGGGAATCCCTGGAATAGTCACTTGGTCATGAACCTCATGGTATGTTTTCAGGGAAGAATAGCTGAACTGCCACCATGCTTACGTGTCAGGGTCGCGCAGCTCGCTAGTAATCCACAAAGAATCGTCGGAGTTTGGCTAAGCAGAGAACCATCACTGATCGGCAACCAGCTCAGGGTATTGATGACGGGGGTCTATCTTACATCAGGCTCGATGTGGATCGACTGAGATGGGGTCGGCGCCATGTCCAACTCCATCTCCATTAACCATTCAGTAGTAATCGGAGGGGTCTAATGGAAATCTTCAGGCGTGAGCGATGGATTGGCAGGAGATTTAAGCCGACACACACTGGAGGCTTGGTGGCTGGAGCTCATCGACGCTAGCCTAGTCGCCAGTAAGCACTAAACTTGCGACCGTTATTAGCTACCTAGCTGGCCGTTTTTTCCCCATCTCTGAAGGATTCGTTGGGAGTAGACAGGTCACACACAATTGACGAAGAACAGTAGGTTGATACATACCTTTGCTCCGTCTGTATCCGCTGCTTGAGATAACAGAGAAAAAGAAGAAGAAGAAGAAAACACAATTACCATCAATGTACAGGGAGGGGGCCCTTGCCCTTCATGTTCGGCATGTGCAATCGGCATTGTTTTCAGGTGGGGGCGATCGATGTATCTATCTTATCACTCGATCGATTCCCCGATAAGGAAATCGAACTTGACATCTGACTCAAATCACTCTCTCATCCACTGCGGCACCTATTTTCTAGGCTTACAACCATATTCCATAAAAAGAAATATCTATATACCTATTCTCACTTACTCACTAACCAGTCAATATACAAATCCCTACTAAGGAGTACGGAGTATTTCCCATCCCACAAAAGCAAACAATCAAACTAAATATTCCTCGTAAATAGCAAGATCCTATTATTTCATTTCCCCGCCTTATCAACGCCAGCCTATATCCCAACTACTATTTACCATCTACCGAGCTACCGATCTAGTTTGCATCTTCAATTTTGGTTAGATCATGGGTATTAGTACTCGTGCTGAGAAGTTGCTTGGTTATGGGACTCTCGTCTTCTTGAACGAGATGGCTGTTTTCTTGTACAGACCGGGGTCAAATCACCGGATTGAATGACCAAGCAGCACGAGAATCCCCAAGGGGTACTTATATCATATTAAGAGTCCCACATGGACCTATTATCTCTATCCCTTCTAATAGTAAATAACCACAAATCGGGCTGCCTGTCACAGTCGGACACAAGAGAAAATTTAAGGAAATCGGCCAGAAGCACGAGGGGAGGGAGCGAAGCCAAGCCATGCGATGAAGGAGGGACGAGGCAGAGGCGAAGGAGGAGCGGGGAGAAGAGGGTGAGGGAACGAGAGAGGGAGATGGAGAGAGAGAGAGATATTCAAAAAGTCATGCTTCCAATGTCATCGGTCCAATGCATGCATGCCGCCAAGAATTAGACAATTCGGCCGTGTCTTGACTGTCAGTTCCGACCCGGAAAAGATTCAGATAGATGCTCATTTACGCCGCTCCAGCCTTTTGGTTCAAAGTCACTTGTGCGCGCCCATTACGAGTGGTAGGAAATTGGCAATAGAAACAAGAAAAGAAAGTGCGAGGACGACACGACACAAAAGCTGAAACGACCATGGTTAGTAGTAATGCAGAGGATGAAAAAAGAAAAGAAAAAAATGGAGAAGATCTTAGAACAGCGGAAAGAAACCAAGGGGACGCTTAACGCTCCGATCCCCTTATAGACATTATACACACTCTAACATGCAGCGGTTTTTTATTTCTTCTTTTGCTGGTTAGGCACTTGCTTCAGAATGTCATCGAAGCTCATATTCGGGTTGAACCGGCTGATGGGCCGGGCAGGGGGATCCATCGGCGCTACACCGGCGGGTAGAGGAAGGGCCTCAAGACCGGGGTAAATCGAGTGTCGATGCTCCGCTCTCCGACTCATGGCAGGCGAGTTGAGTCGAGGGATGGCAGGCGGCGGCGTGAGACCGCTGGGGGACATGAGTGGAGTTCCTTGCCCCTGTTGCAGTTGCAGTTGCTGCTGCTCGGACGAATCCGCCGACGACTGTTGCGCCTGATAGGGCGATGACAACGATGACTCGTTGTCATAAGGATCATCAATCGTCGGAGGAGCCAGAATGGCATCCTTCTCCGCCCACTGCTCAGCCACCTGCCAGCAGTGACTGCGGCGGTAGATACCCTCCACACCGTTGATCACCACATCTGAGGGCAGGCTGACAACACCGGCTCCGCCTGCGACACCAAACCAACTGCGTGCGGTCTTGCTGTCGTTTTGAATCCAGGGCGCGCCACCACGAGGGGCAATGCAGAGGAAGTACTCCACGCCATCCACATACTTGACGTCCTGTACATCGACCACGACCAGGGGCAGGGACTGGATGACACAGTAGAGGAAGATCCATTGACCACACCGAAAGTCGATCATGTCGTTGACGTTCTTGCCGTGAGCGCACCGGCGCTCAAACTGCATAAAGGCTTCAATAAACGGCGTGGGCTTCATGGCCTCCCGGGAATACGAGTCCATGAGAACCGCGTTGATGTCTGCATCCTTGAGTTTCTTGGCCTTCTTCTTGGCCTCCTTCTTAGCATCCATGGGCTTTCGCTCCAGTGCTTGCAGTGAGGGGTATTGGGGAATGTCGAAAGGAATCGGTGGCTGGACTGGAGGCGTGCTCCGATCGTACTCGCTCATGATTTGCCGGAGTGCCCGAGTCATCATCTCATCAGCATCCGAGCTCTCGGACGTGTCTGCAGCCATATCCACGGTCCGAGTGGTCAGAGACTCCCGATCGACCAGCATATCGTAGAGGCTGGCAAAATCGTTGTATAGGTCGTTGACAACCTGGCGATTGAGACCGCTCTCTTCGAACTGGTTCTTCTTCGACCGTGCTTTGGGCGGCCAAGAACCGTACTTTTGCCGGTAGTACTGCATAGTGAATCGTCGGAACTCCATAAATGCAACCCGCCAGTTCTTGAACCGCACAACCTTACTTTCGGCGGATGTAGCCGAGTTGGCAATACCAGAGAATACCGAGGGGAAGTCGAAGTCGTCGAGCTTACTGTACAAGACGCGGAGACGAGTGTCGAGGTCAATGAAGCCTCGTTCCAGCCGCTTCTGGGTGACCGGGCTAATGAGACCGTATTTTGGACTTCTCAGCTGCTTCAGTTCGTCCAGCTTACCGACGCCATGCACAAAACCTTCAAGGTAGAGCGGGAAGAAGCGTAGTCGTTCTCCAAGAACAATAGCCTCGATGGTCTTCTCGCGGCTCTTGCGCACATCGGCCAATCTCAATTCCTCGCAGTAGTTGCCGAAACTGGTGGTCGCGGTCTCGCCGAAGTTGGAGCCATCGAAGTTGGAGAACTCGAATCGAGACAGCAGGGTTGCGACGTCCATGAAGATGGAAAAGAGCGAGGGTGACCGGGCTGTCGCGATCAGAGATTGACCCAACAAGAACGCGAAAAGGTTGCGGAAAAGAAGGAGAGTTTCTGTGTCTTCCTGGGAGATTTGACTGCCGGCGCTGGATACATCGCTGTTCAAGGGGATTGGAAGATAGAGGTGGAACTCCTGAAACTCATCTTGGCCGTCATCCTCCATGTAGGCCATTCTCCTGCTACCGGAGCTATCGTTGTCATTGTCATTCTCGGCCAACGCATCCTGAGGTGTCAATGGAGGTGAAGCTGGACCAATCACCGGGCTGCTTAGCGACATGGAGCGAGTCTGTTGCTCGAGGGAATTGAGGTTGCCGCCCATGGCCAAATCGCGTAGGGACGGCGACTCAACAAAGACTGTGCGATGGACTTTGAAGGAGGCAGCTCTGCCGGTGTTCTGAGGGAACAAATAGACGTAGGTATCACCACTGTCGTTCCAGAGTTCGGGGATCTATCTCAGTGAAAAGCGATGGTTAGTACAGGGCGCTCCATATATCAAAACAGTACACAATGCCGTTTCAAGCAGATGCAGTGCGTACCTGGTCTCCGCGTGCCAAAGGCTCCAGATCGTAGAGGATCTTCTGTTCCAGCCCGGCAATCCAAGCACCGGGCCCCGCCGTCGTCGTAGTATGAGGTCGGGGATCTACCGAGCTTGCCCGCGCCCGCCCGGGCATCCAGCTTCTTCTCTTCGAGGAGGGGGTTCCCGGGCGCGAATCAGGACCCGTGCCGGGCACAAACAGGCCGGCGGAACTGGAGGGTCGACTCCCACTTCGTCCGCGACCTCTGCTCTGGGGTCTGCCATCTGGCGAATTGGAGGCGCTGTTGGCCAGGTCCTGGTTCACAGCCAACAGAGATGGGGGTGGCTGCAGCGGTTCGTCCAGATCAAACCCATCGTTGGGGATGGGGGACACGGGCGTCCGAGCGTCTGCGTAATCGCTCTGAGGGTTCGAGACTGCACGGATTGGTTGGGAGACGCTTTGCGGGCGTACATCCTGCGGTAGCTGGTCGGGGGAGGGCTTCGGAAGGTTCGGCGATGCAGGCGACGACGGAATCGAACTATCCCGGTTGGAACCCAGGGAAAAAAGCGACGAGATGCGCTTGGCGGACTTTACCGGAGCAGACAGCATCTTAAAGGCCGCTGTAAGGTGGGGGGAAAGAAGAAACGGTCAGTCCCCGGGCGCAATGGAGTAGACGAAGCCGTAGGCAACGAAGAAGAAGACGAGAGGCAGGACAAGAGGGAGTATGACGGGGAGGAAGCACCACAACAGGCGCGCTGGCAGGGACGGTACCTACCTTAACAGGTGAAGAAAGAAAGAATGTTGCCAACCATGCGAAAACTCACCAACCTCAGAACGGGGTTGGACGAAGAATCCGCGGCGGGCGACTAATGAAGGTCGCTCGACGTGGATTGAGGAATGGATCGGCAGGAGGGATCCAGAGAGGAGGGGGGGAGGGAGGAATGGACGAAGGTTTTTCGTTGGTGGTGGTTCACTCCGCGGAAGCCGGAGGAGAGAAGAGAAAATATGAGAGAAGACAAGAGGATGAGGCTATTGCCAGAGTGAGTGTGTTTGTGTTTGTGTAAGAAGTGAAAAAGAAAGAAGAGGAATAGAAAAAAGAAATAAAATAATAAATAAATCCAAAAGTACCCCAAACGAAGGACGAGCCAAATAAAAAACCGCAAGAGGGAGGGAGGGGGAGGTATTGGAGGTATTGAGGTTACCCAAGAGGGGGAAACCGGGCTGGTATGATTTATTATTATTGAAGGCAGCTGGTTATTATTCAGCCCTCCAATCGACGAGTATTTTTAAACCACGGGTGGAGCCACGGCAGGAGAGGAAAACTGTCTTCGCATCAGATTCAAATAAATTCCATGGACGGCGACCTCCAGAAAAAAAAAATATAAAATAAGATAAAAAAGAAGGAAAGCGCAGAAGAAGGGTCTAGGGACCGCCCGTCGAGATAATTGCGATGATTTATAGAGGCAAACTCCCTCCAGCAGGACTGAATCAGCACCACAGCTGGGCAGATTAGGAGGGGATGCCAGAGGTTCCTATTATTCACCTGTTCGTGTTGGATAATATCAGGATCCTGAGGTTCTAGGGTCGTTAGGTGGTCTTCTGCTCGTTCTTTTGGGTTCCGGTGGGTTTCTGCCAGTGGGGAAATGCGCGGTTAGTTTCTTTTATTGTACGGAGTAAATAGACTAAGTTGGGTGCTTGCGCTTGGTGCTATCGAACCACTTTATATGATCTCATTTCCTTTTCCCTGGCTGTCTTTTGTGGCCCTTTCCGAAGGTTCCTGACGGAACGGTCCTCTTTTCTGGGATAGACACATTACTGTCTGTCTAGGTACAGATACAGTGGGTGTATGCACAGGATCTATCTATGTGTGGAGGGCGCAAAGTGGACTGGCCAGAGGCAGTGCAGTGTTTCTGGTTCAGGAGGCTGATGCTCGTTGGGTCTGAGCCAGTCAGGATGCGATGGGCCCTCCTCCATGCAATCGCCGTGGGGTTCGGGATGAGAGCTGCAGTACTGCAAGCCTGCCAGTTGTTCTTTCGATTCTATTTATTCTTCGTCAGTGCTGAGCATAGATCTCAAGGCAGAAACATTCTGACTCTGATTCTAATTCTAATCCTGATCCTGATCCCCTGCTTTGACTTTTCTTTCTTTTCTTTCTTTCTTTTTTTTTGGGGATCTTTGCCGTCAGCCTCTTTTCTTATTATATTTATTCGCCTCGCCCTCGCAAGGCGTGTTGCATGCAGCCTCAGGAATTACACGGCGGCCTGATGATTGATGATCGGATGACGGAATCTCGGCAGATATCCACCCCATTCAATCCATCCATCCATTCATTCATTATTATTTCATTCATCCCCCATTCATCCCCCATTCATCCCCGGTCTCCGGTTCAACCAACCACCGAGCAGACCATTTTCTCGGTCAATCACCTTTCAATTAATATACGCCTGGGTCCGTCTACACGGTCCCCTCCCCCCGTAGTGCACCCTCCCCTTTCTGGCCCAGTCAGAATCTGCGCAATTCCTCCGTACCTCTGCTGGAGACCTGCGACAAAAGGAGAGGCACCGGAGTCATGACAGGTGGGTTGGCATCTCTGATCCAGGGGCTATCTGACTCCGTAATGCTTACCATCCACAAGCACTCCTACTGTGCATATTTGAGTGGCTGGTGGCACGTCGCACGGGAATCCAACCAAGCCAACCTGCTTGTCTCAGTGCCTTCTATCCAGCTCTGCTAAACTCTGGGTAGAGGAAGAGAGCACGCCATCGTTGCCAATCGATTGATAGATCCATTCATCATGCCTCCGCTGTCCTCCCCCATTGGTCAGATGAGGGCTAGACAACAGATGAAAAAGCAACGCCCACCATCTCCAGCCAAGGCGAGGAAATTGCTTGGGAGAATTCACTAACTACCAAGAAAGAGGGGCTTAGAATAGTAGCCACCACCAAAAGGTTCTTCGTAGTACGAGGTAGGTACTTTATAGTGTCTACTTTTTTTTTCTTGCTTGCCTGCTCCAGCAGTGGCACTAAGCAGTGGCGCTACTGTACGGGGAAGAAGTTACTTTCGTCTCTAGCGCTGCGCCTGCTTTACCCGACGTGGAAATGGGAGCCACGCACTCGGACGTACGTAAGGAGTGGTGTCTGCGTATGAAGTTGTCCGGTCGGGTCCTTTGACTCCGTGCCTACCTAGGTAATCGGAGTCTGATGGAACGGGGAGGACCATGGGCGTTTTAGTTTGGGGATGGACGTGTCATCCTAATTGATCTGGACCTCGGACATAATAACCGTGACCGCTCAGAGTGGCTCCTCTGTTCTGCATAACTTTCTAGGCAGCCCCTTTCAAGTAAGTGGTACGGGGTACTACTACGGAGTACTCTGTAGTAGTCAGTCTCCCATCAACCGGTGTCGGAGTAGGGGACGGAGTACAGACGCGCCCGCTGGGAGTTGTCCGTCCATTTCCAGATTATCCTAATTTTCATACTCCATCCTCCAAGCCTCGAAGCCTTTACGGCCCAACCCACCCTCTTGTCTCCTGATGAACGAGTAATGCACCGCCCGGATCCGATGCCAATCAGGATTTGCCTCGCACCAGGGGACCCCGTGACCTGGCCCGTCGGCGGCGGAACTTCTATTGTTCCCCTGGACGGCTTCCAGAACCATTTGATGATCTGACTGATCTCTCGTGATCGGCTTACCTACACGATATCTTACTCCTGACTAACGCTAGTTAACTGGAAGGAGATAATTAACCGACCTACCAAATAATACTTGGTATCTGGTTAATCTACTAACTTCTTTAAGGACTGCCAAGTGTCGCCCTGGGAAAGTGCCTGTGGAGCCGGAGTTCTAAGCACCAACAAGTCCCCCCATTTATATATCGAGGCTCGATTGCCTTGGAAATCTGAAGGTACACAACAATCCGTGACACCTCCAATACCTATTAGAGTCCACCAATTGGAGCTCCTGACCCTTTCCAACCGCGACATCTTGCCAAACTCAACTATCATTGATCAGATCGCCGTCAGAGAGACCAACAACCAACAACATGGATGCCGAGGAGGTTGATCTTTCCCGCGGTTGGCCCAACCCCGCCCTGCTGCCCACGGCCGCCTTGGCTGAGGCCTCGGCCACTGTCATGGCCACCCCGGCCATCTGGACGCCTGCCTTGATGTACGGGCCTGATGAAGGATATCAACCGCTACGTGAACACATCGGTCGCTGGCTAACGGCTTTTTACCAGCCACGCGACCCCATCACTCCGGAGCGCATTTGCATCACGGGTGGCGCCAGCCAGAACTTGGCATGTATTTTGCAGGTCTTTACCGATCCCATCTACACCCGCAATGTCTGGATGGTCGCCCCCACGTATCATCTGGCCTGTCGCATCTTTGATGATTCCGGGTTCGCTGGTCGTCTGAGAGCCATCCCACAGGGCGATGCGGGGTTGGACCTGGCCTATCTCCGCCAGGAGTTGGTCGCGGCCGAGGAGAGTGCGGGAAAGAAACACAACAGCGCACCGGTACGTGTTTGCCTTGGGCCAACGGCTTGAAGCTTACTTCCTACTGAATAGGCTCTTACGGGGCTGACTTCGTTTCTATCACTGACTTCCAAAGAAATACAAGCCGTCTAGGCCATGGGGGAAAATCTACAAGCATGTCATCTACGCGACCCCCACCTTTTCCAACCCGTCCACTCTCACCATGTCGTTGTCTGATCGGGACCAGCTGGTTCGGCTTGCGCGCGAATTCGACGCCTTGATCATTACGGATGATGTCTATGACTTCCTTCAATGGTCACCGGACCCAGCCAAGACTCTCCCGCAGCCCGACCACGCGTATCTACCCCGTCTTGTGGATGTGGACCGGTATTTGGACGGGGGACCTCAGGATGAATGGGGTAATGTGGTGAGCAACGGAAGCTTTAGCAAGCTGATTGGACCTGGTATCCGGACTGGCTGGGCGGAGGCTACCGAAAAGGTAGCGTATGGGCTGTCGCAAACGTAGGTGACCTCGTGAATTGGATTTTCTCGCTGCTCTCGCGTGTCCCTTGCTTCCCTCCTTCTGATAGGCTAACTTCAGGTTGGGAGCAGAGGCTCAAGCCGATCCGGAGGTGCCCCATCACAGCTATCCGCTGCCGTTGTCGCGCAGCTGTTCCCCACGGGGATAATACAAGGCTTCATTGGTGGATCTCTGCAACCGGCGTACGCGCGACGATACTATCGGATGATGTCTGCCATTCATGAGTATCTTGTTCCCCTTGGCGTAGGGCTCCCTCCGGCCCCCGAAGTTGCGGGCGGCTACTTCATCTGGCTCCGACTACCGTCGCCCTTGCGGGCGAGTGATCTTGCGTCCATCGCACAACGGGACCAAAAACTGACCGTGGCGCCTGGTAATGTCTTTGGGGTGCAGAGAGATCCGGCGACTGGTAAGAATGAATTCGATGACGGTCTGCGCCTATGCTTCGCGTGGGAAGAGGAGAATAAGCTAGAGGAGGGAGTGCGTCGACTTGGCTTGGTCATTCGCGAAGTGCTGAAATAAACGCAATGGCCTCGTGGAAGTGGCGGCATCAGAAGATGACTTACCAAGGGTGAACAGGCGGAACGGACCGCCTGGGACCCTGGATCGGACGAGCTTATAGGTCTGAGGTGGAACAAAGGAGGGATCATCGGATACTCAGCGTCAAGTCCGTAGAAGTGCAGCCATGGCCACCAAGATCGACTACATATATTGACTGCCGAGAGGGCCTCAGGGTCAGGCCAGATCCCAATGGGGTCGGTTGATGCGGGCAGAGATGGCGGGCGGCCAGTAAACGCGCGAGGCGGGGGAAGGCAGCTGACCAGGGGGGCGCCTCTGCACGGCAGTGACCTGCAGCTCACTCGCATATATACTAGTCGCAGTCGTGCAATCGGGCTTCTGAATATCTAATAGGCGGCGAGCCAACATGATCATCCCGACCGACCAGCGGGCGTCCAACGCTAAGGGAGCGTACCCGTCGGAAGGAATGGACGCGTCAAATAACTTCGCGGCCAAGACATTCTTCCAGCACATTGCCTGAAGAGACACCGGCACAGACACGCTGCCATGGGTAAATATGGGACGACGGACACAACAAATAACCCAATGCCGTCCATTCGTCCATCTATCTAATCATCAAATGATTATCAAATATCAACCGATCGATAGAGCCGAGGCTAGCAGCCACTAGCGGGTTTCACGGACAGGCCATGACCCAAGGTTAGCTGCCGATCAGTCGGGTGGTTAATTAAGGGAGAAGGCCGTCCCCTCCGCCGAAAGCTTGGTGTCGCGAACACTACGTACGACGATGCCCCGTAGGATATTTTTATCGCAGATGGTGAGGATGATGCGGAGACTAATCCCATCGTCGGACTACTACGGAGTATCAAGATTCAAGTTATCATCGACCAAGGCAGCACCCCATTCTTCACCGCATGAGGGTGGGTTGGGATTCTGTCCGCGATTCAAGGCATCGCCGGAGTATCTGCCCCTGGATCCCTCCCTCTTTCTCTCTCGGTGGGGCCGGCCTTCTCAGCTTCCATCCATGCAGGACCAGCCGTCCGATCGCCGCCCTGCGGGTTCCAAGCGCTCCGGACCTACATACATGGGATGCTCCAATGTTCTGTATGGGGGCCAGCACGCGGACAACGAGTCTGATAAGACTGCATATCCCTCTCTTATGAAGTATCCGCTCAGCGGGCGAATCTCGTCGGACGAGCCAACGACGGCCCTGTAGGACCAACATTGCTGCCCAGCCCTGCACCGGGTCGACGATGAGCCACGAGGAATGTCAGGACCTGCTCAATCAGGCAGCCCCATGGTTGTAATCGTGGATGAACCAGGCGCGCTGGGCTGGAGGGCCTCCCAATCTTAGCATGCCGGTGGGTGAGGGTGCGCTGTTGCAGAGGCTCTCATCCATACCAGAGCCTGGAACTAGTGCGTAGCAAACGCCTCCCCTCGCGCTGTCAAACGGCGAATTCCAGCCGCAAGCCATGCCATCAAGCCATGCCCGCTGATCGGGGCGCGCGATACCCTGGCCGATTGAAATGTGAACTGGGTACGATCTGGCCAGCGCGAATATGTTGATCAAAACTCTGCACGAAAATTGAGCTGGACGGGAGGTATATAGCCTGCTGGGCCCGCCGATCTGCTGGAGGGATTTCGATCTTCTTTCGGCTTCCCCTCTTCCCTCTCTCGCGTCTCCTCTCCTTTTCGGATATCCAGGTTTCGCTCGTTTTCGCCTACCTACCTAATACTTCGCCGAGAGGTCGCGTCTCTCGTTAATTTGGGGGGTCTTCATCCAACGCCACTGGTGTCTGTGGTCATTCCTTGATTTTCCGGGCCTCTAGCTAAGAGGAATTGCCAACCCATCGGGGTCACTGGGCCTCGACTGCATACCTCAGGTAGGTTCTCGACTGCAGACGCTTCCCCACCATCGCCGCCATTGCCATCACCAGGCTCCAGCATCACGGCAATAGCCAGCGACCGCGAGACAGCGTACACCAATCAGGGCCGGCTAACCCCGTCTAGTCCTTTATCGATCGTTTCATCCCTGACCCAGGCGTTTCAACCCGCGGTCGGCAGACGGCGACTATCGACGCTGATTGGCCCGAGAGACGTGAACGCGCCGTGTGATTGGGTAGCTGGCGGCAGCAGCCTGACCTCCACCTTCAGCATACGCGGTGATTTGAACCGCCGTGATCCAATCGCCCGCCCAGGAACGGAGAAGTGCGAGTGGAGCCGGTAAGCTTCCAAGTGCTCCAGCTGGCCGTGCTGGGATTCATTGGCCCATCCCGCACCTAATTAAGCCTGGGACTAAAAAGTAATAACCTTCATTTCGCTTTTCCCTTAAACCAGTCCGACTCGCCGGTCGTGCCTGGCGCTTTGCTTTCTTTTTTCTCTCTTCCTCGTCAGTCTCATCTTTGTCGTCGTCGGTAGTCGTCGGCAGACTGTCTCGAGTGTTGTTGAGCTGTGTTGTGTTCTTCCATTCATTCATTCATTCAATCATTCTTTTCGATCCGCTTATTCATTCTCTGGCGACTGATTCGCTCCCATTCATTCCTTTTTTTCCATACTGCCTGTCATTCTTGTGCCTTCCTGAGTAGGTAGGTATCTATCCAGTCCGGCGTCTGACCCTGTCGTGTGACGGCCATCTCGTCCTTTGCAACTCATCTGCTGGCTGGACATCACCCGATCTGGATACCTTCAGTACTGGTTGCTGAAGTGTCTGTCGCTCGACTGCTTTCCCCTTCCACATATAACAGTCCTACCTCGCCCCCGTGTTCTCTGCCGGTTCAGTGAACATCGCTGTCTTGACGATGGCATTCCTTCACACCTCCATCATGTTGTTCGTGGCCCACGTCTTCCTGCTGCTGGGACTGGCCAATGCGGTGCCTATGCCCGGCTCCCTTGATGTGGCGTCGCATCTGGCGGCGCGCTCATCGGACTACTGGGTGGCCGATATCAAACGTCAGGGCACCGTGCCCTTTGGCAACAGCACCAGCAGCTATCAGATCTACCGTAACGTCAAGGACTTTGGTGCCAAAGGTGAGACGTTCTTGTGTTAATACCATGATCATCTGCTGACCAGTATAGGTGATGGCTCCACTGATGACACCGATGCTATCAATGAGGCCATCTCATCTGGTAACCGGTGCGGCGCCAACTGCGACTCTTCCACGACCACCCCGGCCCTGGTGTACTTTCCTCCGGGTACCTATGTGGTGTCCAAGCCCATTGTGCAGTATTACTACACCCAGATGGTCGGTGATGCCAATGATCTCCCCGTCCTCAAGGCAGCTGCTAGCTTCACCGGTATGGCCGTGATTGATGCGGATCCCTACACCAGCACTGGGGCCAATTGGTACACGAACCAGAACAACTTCTTCCGCGCGGTTCGCAACTTTGTCATCGACCTGACTGCCATGCCCTCGTCGTCCGGTGCTGGTATTCACTGGCAGGTCGGCCAGGCCACGAGTCTGCAGAATATCCGTTTCGAGATGATCAAGGGTGGTAGCAACAACAAGCAACAGGGTATCTTCATGGACAACGGCTCCGGTGGTTTCATGTCTGATCTCACCTTTAACGGCGGCAACTACGGTGCCTTCCTCGGCAACCAACAGTTCACCACGCGTAACTTGACCTTTAACGACTGCAACACTGCCATCTACATGAACTGGAACTGGGCCTGGACCTTCAAGTCGGTCAGCATCAACAACTGCCAGGTCGGCTTGAACATGTCCGCCTCGCCTTCCAACCAGACCGTCGGATCAGTCCTCATGCTCGACAGCACATTTACCAGCACCCCAACTGGTATTGTTACTGCCTTCAGCAGCGACAGCATTCCCACCGGTGGCGGTGCTTTGGTTCTTGACAACGTTGACTTCTCCGGTTCTACCGTTGCCATTGCCGGCGTCGACGGAAACACCATCCTGGCCGGCGGCTCGGTTGTCGCCAACTACGTGCAGGGCAATGCTTACACTCCGTCTAGCACCGTCAACAAGCGCTCTCCGGCTGTTGATGTCCAAGTGGTCACTCAAACTGTTGTGGAGACCATCCTTGCTTGCCCTGCCGAGTATGGCACCGAATCCGCTGCTGGTTCGGCCTCCACCGCTGTCCAGGCCGGTGCTGAAAGTACTGGAACTCGTGTCATGCCCCTGCCCTCGATGTCTGTGCAATACCCCTCCGGTGGCAGCTACAGCTGGGCCGGATTCGACAGCACCGCCGAAGGAAGCCAAGCCACCAACGCCGCCTCGGTCCCCGCCGTTGGCACATCCGCCGGACCTTCTCCCGCTGGGGCTACTGGGGCTTCCGTTGTGGCTCAGGGTTCCAGCTCTGCGTCTGCTGCAAACGTACAGGCCTCATCCAGTGCCTCGGCCTCTGGCTCTTACTTTGGCACCGCCACCAACTCGACCGGCCAGTGCACGACCAAGACCGTCACCAAAACCCGCCTCGAAACGACTATTGCCTCCCAGGCCATGGCCAGCTCGTTGCTGACCAGCAGCGGTGGCGTCTTCGAGAAGTCCCGCCCCCTGTACGAGTCCTACTCGTCCTCGTCCTTTGTCAGCATCAAGTCTGCCGGTGCCAAGGGTGACGGTTCCACCGACGACACGGCTGCCATCCAGAAGGTTCTGGACGCCGCAACCGATGACCAGATCGTTTACTTCGACCATGGTGCTTACATTATCACCGACACTATCAAGGTGCCCAAGCACATCAAGATCACCGGTGAAGTGTGGCCCATGCTCATGGCGTACGGCGACAAATTCTCCGATGCGACCAACCCCATCCCCATGCTTCAGATTGGCGAGGTCGGCGACTCGGGCTCGGTCGAGATTAGTGACCTGATTCTCGAGACCAAGGGTCCTGCCCCTGGTGCCATCCTGATGCAGTGGAACGTCCAGGCCTCCTCTCAGGGCTCCGCTGGTATGTGGGACACCCACGCCCGCATCGGCGGCTCCGCGGGTACCGAGCTCCAGAGCGACAAGTGCATGAAGACCCCCAAGGAGACCACCACCCCCAACACCGAGTGCATCGGCGCCTTCCTGCTCTTCCAGGCCACTGAGAAGGCCAGCGCCTACCTGGAGAACACCTGGTTCTGGACAGCGGACCATGACCTCGACATGTCCGACCACAGCCAGATCAACATCTACAACGGTCGCGGTGTGTTGATTGAGAGTCAGGGCCCCGTCTGGCTGTATGGTACCGCCTCGGAGCACAACCAGCTGTACAACTACCAGGTGTCCAACGCCAAAAACGTCTTCATGGGCCTGATCCAGACCGAGACCCCCTACTACCAGGCCAACCCCAACGCGCTCACTCCTTTCACCCCGCAGACCGCCTGGAACGACCCCGACTTCTCCTACTGCACCACTGACTCGTGCCGCAAGGCCTGGGGTCTTCGTGTCATCAACAGCACTGACACCTACGTGTACGGCGCTGGTCTGTACAGCTTCTTCGACAACTACTCGCAGACCTGCCTGGACACGGAATCGTGCCAGGAGAACATTGTCGAGGTGGACTGCTCGGACGTGCACATCTACGGTCTGAGCACCAAGGCCAGCACCAACATGATCACCTCATCCAGCGGTGATATGATTGTCCCACAGGAGGGTAACGAAAGCTCCTACTGCTCGACAATTGCCCTGTTCGAGCAATCATCGTCTATTTAATTGTTTCTTTCCTTGGAGGAGAGTGAATAGAGATTCTTCCTATGACTTGCATGGGATGAAGGTTGTTGGCAATGCATGTGGATACCACTTTGTTACTTGATTCATTCATTCATTTATTGATTCAAAGCTGTTCTATATTAACCGTAATCTATATAATCTGGTAGAGTGTTATTAAACGAAGTAAAGTGCCCATGAGATGAAAGCAGAATATGCACCGTCTGCCTACCTCCAACCTTCAAGGAACATACCTACCTAGAAAGCCCTCGCCAGACTTGACATTTTCTATTCAAATTTTACCACATACATACCTCACTTCCAAAATCATAATACTACCCTCTTTCTATCTATCTCCCTTGGAAGGCCTTGACCTGGCCTAGCCTAACCTACCTACCTACGTAGGTTTGGAGGAAAAGAGCAACGAGATGAGAGTTGATGAATGCTCTGGTAATCATCTATACTTGCCATATTGTTGCTCGAGAGTCTCGCTTCCTGTCTGAAGTCATTCAGACAACCACTGCTTGTCAGATTCCTCGCTATATCAGCAACATCTTGGGAAAACGACGGGATTCCTAGCAGGTGATCTAGGCCTGTTTGCGAATTTAACACTAAATTGCTCATCTGGAGACAAAAGCCCACAATGATAATTGGAAGTCGATGCATGTGATTGCGATTACTGAGATTGAGAGGACCGTATTCCTGTCCGGATTGTCCGCCCCTTTGAGGTAATCGACGTATTCTGGTTCGTATGTAGCATACGTCAAGTATGTCTCATCAATATATTGAGATACTATAAACCTGTTGTAGAGCCCAAGTAAGCCCCTCCCAATCAGCAGACTATTATCCACAACTTCCTCTCCCGCAACGGCACTCTTCTCTCCCACCTCTCATCATACCAAGTCCATCCCACCCCCTCAGCTGCTTCCTGCATGTACAACGAAGGCTCTCGCGACTGGGGACAGTTCTTCACATTCAAGAATGATCAATCCTGCAGCAGAGGAATTGGTAAGTAAACTCAAATTAGAAAGACGGAGAAATAGGCCGCACCTACCACCACGTACACTGGCCCCACGGGGTAAGCCCATCTAAGATTATTTCTTTACTGTCCTTCGAATGACTGCTCTTACTCCGCGATGCGGTGACATGTGAGTATACATGTTCAAAGGGGTCACGAGCTTTATCCATAAGGATCGACTCCCTGTCCCGGTCAGAGAGATGTTCGTCACCCACGTATTTACATGCCATTTCATCGTCTATTTCACGATCTTCTGCATCTTCAGGGTTATCTCCATCTTCAAAAAATCTGATTCCGACACCGGATGGTCAGTTAGGGTAGTGGATGCCAGGGGCCTGAAAAAGCGTGGCTCACACTGCAAGGCTTTGTATTGACCATCGGGTGTGACCCTTTCGAGATGAGATCCCCAGGGCGCGAAGCTCTTCGAGCCCGACATTGGCTGTCTGAATTCCATTGACGAGGTTGTATAGCCGGTCTATGTCCTTCGTAATGGTCTGTCGTAGGCTTCGGATCGTGCTTGTTTGAGTCACTTCCTCGTAATGACTTAAGAGCGAATAAAGTGGATGGATGAGGGAATTAATGGGAAAAGGTCCAGAGGAATTTATATTGGGAGGCTAGTGGATGTGGTGAAGATGATGTTATTCCCTCACGAGGGTTTTCAGCTGGATAATGTCTTACGAATATGCGAAATCAAAATCAAAACATCATCGATTGTCCTACGGAATCCTTAAAGTCTCTGCTCAGCCCGCCTATCTGGGTAGCAAGACATAGTGTTGTTTAGTAGCAGGCAATAGATGACCTCACTACTTTCCTTTGTGCGCAGGCGAATCCCGTGGCTAGCCAGATGCGCCTTCCTCCGCTGGCTGCTTGACACCAATCCCTCCTCCCGTCCCTCGTCCCCCTTTCTCCTCCTGTTGTATTCTCTTCAAGACTTTCATCTTCATCTTACACCTATCAGTCCATTCTGTATCTAGGAGTCATTCTCACCACTTCCGACCACTGCCCTTCTCCTCGTCTCCTATTATTTTGAAGTCATTGCAATCAATTACAGATAGGAAAGCGTCAACACGAGTTGAACCCCAAAGAATACCTAGCAGGCGACCACCTCTGCTGACAGTGCTCGGTTTGCACGGCAGAAAAGCACTATGAAGAAAGAGACAAGTCAAAGCTTCCGCAAAACGTGTTGTCGATACAGAGCATATTTGTTTACTTATATTCCATGTCAGGTTCCTGATGGAGCTATAAGAGCCGGGACGCAGCTCCCGCTGGCTGCGCTGCTGACGGTGAGGAGATTGACGCCATAGAGATTATCTGTCTACACCTTGCATCACATCAATTACCTCCCCCGAGAGCACATCTGGCTTGCAATAGAACATAAACCTCGCTGAACAGTCTCGGGGATGGAAAGGTTCAGGGACGAAAAGTAGCTCGGGCCAAATCGTCAGATGATGCCGTCGCTCCGATTCTCAACGTGAGAAAATACAGAGAGGTCCCTTAAAAACCAATGTTCAGTCACATGAGGAGTTCGATGTGAATTGTCGTGTTCTTCGGTCTCGGAATCCACTGACTCTATTGAGGGAGCTGACGCTACTTAGATTCTTTCCGTTAAAAAGACCGAAGCTGTACCCTACTCTCAGACTACCAGCCCTACCGAAGTGTAGTGAACAATGGACACAAGCAATGCACACACTCAATCTGCCAGCCCTACCAAAGCGTAGCGAGCACTGGATGTATTCACTGGATGCCGAACCTACAAAAAGTTGTAGTGAGCTAAGGTGCGCAGTGTCAAGCTCGCACCTCAACAGGCTGCTGAGGTCTAGCAGCCGCATTCCTTTATAAAAAGGTGAAACCAGGCTGAGCTTTTTTCATGTCGATGCTATTGTCCTCTATCCGCAAGATTTCTGGTCTTTTGTTGAACGGGAGTACTGATTGCGTGGGTTGTATGGGTCCACTGGAACGACAAAAACTTGGAAGGCGCGGAGCTATCGGGGGTGGTTCACGTCTGGCTATCGGTGCTGCTGATGGGTGCCTTATCCGAGTGAGTTCCTGAACTGAAAAGGAATATGCCAACGTTATCTATCCGTTCATGGCGAGAGGTGGCCATGGGCAGGTCCAAGTGCAGCATTTTTAGAGACTTGGCAGTGGATGATATTACCTTAGTCCTGGCTAACCTTTGTGGGAGCGGAGATCACTCAATGATGATGTTCATTCCTGTGTGGCAGGACTTTGCTCCATCAGGGAAGCATGACTTGACTCCTGGGCTCAGCAGGATTGACAGTGGAAACAGGACGGAGTATGTGCCAGTCCAACACAGTTATCGGCGGTGTGAACAGGCCTGAGGCAGGAATCATCCTTCAAACTCCGACAGTTTCGGAACCAGATAAACAGGTCAGGCAACCGAGATCATTGGCGGCGTGGCGCAAGGCTATAAAGCCAGGGCTGATGCTTGTCGTGAATAAATGAGCTCCGACAGGTCCCATGGCTTGATTGGCGCTGTTCGCGATGGATCCCGAACCTTGGGTTGAGTCTAATTCGGAGCACGCGCCCGACCTACAGTCGGCACCGTCCCGGAAGGAGGGCAAGGCCGGAATTGGCGGGTCATCGGGGCAGAGGAAATTCAGGAGCAGCTGGGCCAGTGGGACGTGAGAGATAGAAATGGGCGTGCAGGCGTGGTGGGAGCAATGGTTGGCAGCCAAGGCGCGGGCTTAATGAAGGTGAAACCCTACCGGTGCCAAGCATCCCGGCCAATCCATCGGCTCTCCACCCGCCGTTTCACGCCCATCAAAGTGAAACCGCTTTCCACTCCCGGCGCTTGAGCCAGCCCATTCATCGTTCACCACCGCGGGCCTGTCAACCCACCGCTCCATCGCCGGTGGAGAGGCTCCTGTCATTATTTTCCTCAAGGGTTTTGAGGGTCTTCGGTCCTGAGCTAGAGCCGTTTCACGATCGATCATGATGGAGCTTCGCCCATGGCCAGAACCAGCGCCCTTGGTATATAGACGGCCTCGTCACCGTTGGCCTCTGTTCGAACTTTTCCTCTCTCTCCAACACACAGGCTTGTCTGATTCTTTCTCTTCCCTTCTACATTCTCTTCCAGCTATCCGGTCTGTGACCGCCACACTCTTTCCACCCTCTCATTCCTTATCCATCTGGTATACTGGTATACCGGTCATTTCGCTGCCTTTTCCTTCCAAGATCTTTTAAGTTTCACCTTAAACCGCCAACATGAAGCAAGCTGGATCCGTCCTCGCCCTCGCTGGCCTTATCTCCCTGGCTCAGGGTCACGGTTTCGTCACCAGCCCCCAGGCCCGTATGCCCGGTTCGGCCATGGAGGCTGCTTGCGGTACCCAGGTGTACGACAACCAGGAGGCCGACAACTACGGCAACGTCCAGGGTGAGCTCCAGATCGCCAGCGGTCAGAGCGACTACGATGCCTCGGCCTGTGACATTTGGCTCTGCAAGGGTTACAAGTACGCCGACAACAAGGACAACGTCTACTCGTACACTGCTGGCGAGACTGTCGACTTTGTCGTCGACATCCGCGCTCCCCACACCGGTACCGCCAACGTCTCTGTCGTTGAGACCTCCACCAACACCGTCATTGGCTCTCCCCTGATCTACTGGAGTGTCTATGCCTCCACCGCCACCGGTGTCACCAAGAACGAGACCAACTTCAGCGTCACCATCCCTGACGACCTTGGTGACAAGTGTACCGAGGGCGGTGCCTGTGTGCTCCAGTGGTGGTGGAACGCTGCCTCCATCGACCAGACCTACGAGTCTTGCATTGATTTCACCGTCGGCGGCTCCTCTTCCTCTTCTTCTTCGTCGTCTTCTTCTTCCTCTTCTTCTTCTTCTTCCGCCTCGGCCACCAGCACCGTTGCTGCCACCGAGTCTACCACCACCGCTGCCGCTGCTGTCACCACCCCCGCCACGGCCAACAACGTCGCTCCTGTTTCCTCCAGCGTCCCCACCACCCTGGCCACCAGCGTGAAGGAGAGTGCCACCACCGCTGCTGCTGTTGCCTCCAGCAGCGCCTCGGCCTCGACTGTGTCCATCCCCACCGACGGTACCGCCGAGGAGCAGCTCACCTGGGTTGCTAGCCTGCTCAAGGCTCTCCTCCAGTACGCCAACTAAGCATGGTGTGTATATCAGTTGTTGTCAGATAGAGGTGTGAATCAATCTGCCTGTGCATTAGAAGATTTCCTTGTAGGCTGAGTGATGCGTAGCTGTCAAATTCTTGGATATGATGAAAGGGCACCTAGTCTAATGTCGGCCTTGCTAAAGACGAACACCGATGCGATGTCTCTGCATAGTTGCAGAGATGACTCTGACTTCAAGACGACCCTCTCTGAACCCTCGACAGCCGAGCTTGGAGAGACCCGCCTCACCCCGGGGAAATAACAATATCCGCCGGGGCCGAGTAAAGCGATAGGCTTTGTCTGCCAAGTCGTGGCGGGTGCCCTGCAACTGGCAGGTTCGAGGTCTTGGGAAGCATCTGACAAACCGGGATGACCGGGTTTGATCCAACAAAGCGCCGCTGTCTTGAGATACGAGCGAAAGAATCAATCACCTCCGACAGTCTATTCCCGAGCTGCAGCGCTGGCGTGAAGGATATGAGTCCACTGCGGATGTAGCTTTCCAGTCGGCTGCGTCTTTCTGGTCAGGAGCTCTGGTTTCCCCTCATTCACTTATCTGCACCATCCGCTTGGCGTTAATTACTCCTCGTCAATGCTACTCCACTCGCTGTTCGGACGACCATGTGCTCGCTCTAAGGGGTTAGTTTGGCACGTTAACACCGGATTATGGGTTGGGGGCGGATCCGGTGATGATGAGAAGCAGAGGCTAAGAAACGGAGTAAGGACGTGACATCCAGCCCAATGTCTCGTTAGACTCGGAGCAACCGGTCAAGAGAGACCAATGGAGGAGCCCGGTTCCTGCAGCGACTTGATCGGAGCTGGGATCCGGATGCAGACCATGACGCGTCCCCAGCAAGACACGAGGGGCGCTATTGAAAATTTCCGAACAACTGATGCGTGTGTTGCATTGTCTGTGGGCTTGCAAGCACTAGCATGAAGTCGACAGGCAAGAGTCGGAAGTCAGAAGCTAAGAGGAGGAGAGGAAGGGAAGACTGGAGGAGAGCGCAGAGAGTCAGTCTCCGCGAGTCGGGGGCGGCTCCACCCGGGGGTCCGTGCCCCTTTTTGCGGACATCCAGTCAAGGATTCTGTCGAGTCAACTTCTTCTCCAACGGAAGTTCCTGGCCAACTCGCAATGGAGTGAACCCTTCCTTCACCCGTCCCCAGTCTCGAACTGTCCAATCCAACGAGCCGACAGTATTGGGATGTGCAGTCATTCCGAGTGGTCGATTCGGGGCGGGGCTGCAGGGGGGCCATCCCCGGCTGACCCCTCGGACGAAATAGCTGCAATGGGCATAGCCATTCTTTCCTTTAGTCCAACTCAGCCGAATGAGCAACTAAACAAGTAAAAGCATCCTATGCAGTGGATGCACGACGAAACCCTCCACGCTTGCAGGCTTTTCCTGCGGGGACGGCTCGAATTGTGCTCTCACCGAAACTACGTAGGTTTACCTCCACTGATATTCCGGCTGATAACGCATCCCCGGTTGCTAATCTACAGAGACAGCCTTAATTCTCCGGCGGACAGCATGCTGGCATGTGAGGTATAAAACAGAGTACAACCCGGGTCTAGATTCCTCGGTCATCTCCAGCAATCCTCAAGCACTCTCACTCGTGCCTGTCTTTCTTTCTTTGGGGAACAATTCTGTCTTGCTTGTCAGCTACGTGATTCCCACGCCAGTCAATCAAAATGTGGTCATTTTCCTCCCAGTCCCTCATGGCTGCTACAGCCCTCCTAGCCTCAATGCCTTCAGCCCTGGCGACCTCGGCAGCCTGCAATTCCAGCGCCCTCAACACCACCTTGGGCCTTTACCCGATCACAGTGGCGAATACCACGGTTTTCGATGTCGCCAAGGCCACTAATCGTGGTGTCTGCGACATCGGCCGTTACAACCTGATGGCCGATGTGACGATCATTCCCAACGTGGGCCAAACCTTGGTTATCCCGCCTGAGGTCTGCGATCCCGATAATGAGACCTGTCTTCTGGCCAACATCACCCGCACCAAAACCTGCATCAACGGTGGGCCTCGTCTCTACTACACCGTGAACGGAGATACGCTGGACATCGTCGCACAGCGATTGAATATCACCACAGCGTCCCTCATGAGTGATGACACGGCCTATACGGCCGATGAGGTCCTCGCACCGGGCCAGTTCCTCAAGGTGCCATTGTGCTCTCCGAGTGAGTGCACGATGAAGCCTTTCACACTGGAATTTGGAGTATACAAGGACATTGCGGACGAGTATGACACCACAGTGGGACAGATCATGATGCTCAGTCCGACCTACAACTATAGTACGGCGCTTTTGGATGGAAAGGGCCGTCCGTCGTTGGATCTTCCGTTTAACTGTACCGCGACATCGACTAACATCACCGTGTTGTCGTGAGGGGATGGTACTTAGCATGATGGGTGTGCCTGCTCGGAATACTATCTTACTGTACTATGTAAAGACTAAATTTACACCGCTCCAATACTACAATTGTTCTACTCCGTATTGTATAGTTCGTGTCTGAATCGGATCTAGACGTATGACATAATCCGTACCTGGCTAACCCAAAGAGGCATATCAATCGAATCTGATCTCCGCCCCGAATCTTTCTTTGCTTCGCCTTCTTCGTCTCCATCCTTCATTCTCTCCATTTATCCCTCCATTTCATCCATTTCATCCATTCATCTCTCCATTGTACATACCACCACCACCACAATGTCAGATCCTCCTCACACCACCATTCCCCTTCACCACCTCCCTTCCTCCATCGCTTACAATGCCGCGACCACCACCGCCCTTGAATCCCGCCTCGACACCACCTCCGACGAGGAATCCCATCCACCCCCGCGTTACACCCCGGAAAACGACCCCTTCCAATTGGCCTCGAAGCTAAAATCCCCGGAAGAGATCGCACAGATGCAACCCCAAGCCAACATTTCCCGCAAACGTAACACCACCAGCTGCCTCCCCCACACCGCCAACCCCCGCAAAGCACTCGCCTCCTCCCTCGCCTCCAAAGAACTACAATCCTTCTACGAGTCCCAAAACGAAAACATCCAACGCATGCTCAAACCCGTCGAAGAACACGTCCGCGACGCCCGCGAAACCAACAGCAGCAACCAACTCAAATACAAAATCGCCGTCTGGGGCTCCTTCGCCGCCAATGTCCTCCTCTGCATCCTTCAACTCTACGGCGCCATCTCCTCCAGCTCCCTCTCCCTCTACACCACCATGGCCGACGCCGTCTTCGACCCCCTCTCCAACATCACCCTCCTTCTCTCCAATAAGGCCGTCAACCGCGTCGACCCCCGCAAATTCCCCGCCGGAAAAGCCCGCATCGAAACAGCCGGAAACATCTGCTTCTGTTTCCTCATGACGGCTGTCTCTTTCATCCTGATCGCGTTCTCGGTCCGTGAACTCGCCGAAGGGTCCACCTCCGAAACAGGCTCCTTCCACCTTCCCTCCGTCGTCGCCGTCATCGTGGCCTTTTGTACCAAGTTCGCTCTCTTCGTGTATTGCTTCGCGCTCAGACATCAGTACTCCCAGGTCCTTATCCTATGGGAAGACCACCGCAATGACCTCTTCATCAACGGATTCGGTATCTTGACTAGCGTAGGCGGTGGAAAGTTGCGCTGGTGGATAGATCCCGCTGGCGCGATCGTCCTCTCCGTCCTCGTTAGTTGTCTGTGGTTGTTTAGTGCCTATCGCGAATTTCAGCTGCTTATTGGTGTCACGGCCGATACCAAAATGCAGCAGCTGATTACGTATATATGTATTCCTCCCTCCCTCCCTCTTCTTCATCCCCTTACTCCCCCCATTTGCTACCACGAACAAATTCTAATGATATATACTATGAAATACAGCAATGACCCACTCCCCCCTCATCACCGCCATCGATACCGTCCGCGCTTACACCTCTGGCCCCCGACTCGTCGTCGAAGTAGACATCGTCATGGACCCGAATGATTCTCTGCGTGCGACGCATGATGTTGCGGAGGAATTGCAGATGAAGTTGGAGTCGTTGCCGGATGTGGAGCGCGCGTATGTGCATGTGGATTATGAGACGACGCATAAGCCGGAGCATTTTTTGAAGAAGGAGTTGTAGGGAGATTGCTTTGCTTTTGCTTCTGCTCTTGGGAGTGATGGTGTGGAGGGGTTGGGGTGGAGGTGGAGGTGGAAGGGTATGTAGGTCGTATATATATGGAGTGGTTTGTTAGTTATGTGGTTTGAATGGGGATGGGGGAGGGCGGTTGGTTGGTTGGTTGGTTGGTTATTTGTGGCTTACGCATTAGTATCTATTGCTTTGAGAGTATGGATACAGACATGAACATAAACATGAACATGAACATAGAATAGATCGTGAATAGTATATACATAATACATAGGTTTGATTACAGGAATTGTTATTATTATCGATATTATAATCAAGAACTGAACCATTATTTCAATCGTAGTCATAGATGGGCAATCAAATAAAACCGGGGGGGGAACAACCTATGCCGTCTCCTCGGCCTCACAGCCCGAGATCGTGATAGTGACTGTGCTGAAGATTGTAGAGGTAGCTTCTTCTTCTTCTTCTTCACTGCCCACACTCACATCCACAGCAGTAACTGAGATACCAGTAGGGACTGGACGAGATTTATTCTCTTCTGTCAGAGTAGACACCTGAGTTTTAGTCACGGGACAGATAGTAGTAGAGACGAAGATAGTCTCGGTGGTCAGGTACGTGGTCTTCGAACGAGCGGGGCAATCAGTGACGGTAGAAGGGCAAGCAGTGATGGTCGCGGTCCGGGTGCTGAAGATAGTTGAGGTGGTGTACTTGTCCACGATGGTGGCAGATGGCTCCTCTGGGAAGAGAGTGGGTTGAGGGATACCCGTCGTGGTGGTTTCGGTAGTCAAGGGACAAACTGTTGTTGAGAGGACTAGGGTTTCGGTGGTGAGAAAGGTAGTTCTTTCGGTGGCGGGACAGTTGGTGATGCTGGAGGGGCAGGCGGTGATGGTTGCGGTCCGGGTGGTGAGGATTGTTGAGGTGGTGAAACCGTCAGCTGCTGGGGTGGTTGTTGTGCCGGTGGATGCGGGGGATGGAGTAGAAGAGGTTGGATGGGATCCCTCGATGATTGTAGATGGGTTGTTGGGGAGGATGGTGTTCACTCTGGACGAGCTCGATCCGGGGGATGAGATCAATGAGGGTCGGGCTGATCTTGAGTATGAAACCGCGGGAGCAGAGCTGCTGGTATGGGGTTGGACAGGTGATGAGACTGAGATGGCGCTGGAGGATCGGATGGGTTGAGATGAAGCGGGTGACGGGCGGTTCGCGATAGAGCTGGAGGACGAACGAATGAGGGGAGTGGACGATGAGCCTGGCTTGGGGGAAGAGGCAGCAGGTGACACTCTCACACTGGAGCTGGAAGCCACCGGAGGTCTAGAGCTGGAGGAACGAGAGATGAAAATTGGAGAAGAGGAAGGAATCAGAGACGAGGAAGGAATCGAAGACGACGAACGGATCGGAGCCAAGGAAGGGATTGAGGAAGAAGGAATCGAAGATGAGAAGAGCGGTGCAGAACTAGCGGAAAGCAAAGTAGTCGCCAGCTTGGGGCTTGAAGTCACCACCGACGAAGAGAATACTGGCGATGGAGTAGACGAGGCCGCTGCAGAGGAGACTGGGCTACTCGACGGAGTGGAAGAAACTGTTGCAGACACAGCACTGCTCGAAAGAGTGACGACATAAGTAGTAAAGACCTCACTGGTCAGATACTGAGTGGAATAGTCGGTTTCGATGGAAGTAATCGGCCCATAGCAAGGGTTGGTGGTGTAGGATGTGAGGGCCTGGTAGCCCGAAGCGGACACCACCGAGTTGGAGTCAGCCCACAGATAGTAGCAGGTACTCAAGGCTGGCACGTAGTTGACGGCATTGCACATGCCGTTAAAGATGGAGCAGTATACGTGACAGCCGTTGATGTTGGATTGCCGTCCATACACGGCCATGACAGCTCGAGTGGTGCCGCCACTGATGGAGGCATCGGTACAGTATTCACGCCAATACTTGCCGGCGCTGGACCAAACATAGTCGGAGCATTGAGAGTTAGAGCCGAGTGCGGTCGTACCAGGAGTACAGGTCGCCCCTGTGGTGACCACTGCAGAGGTACTGGTGACAACGGTGGTGATGGTGGTGGTGGAGGATGCAGTAATCGTCGCAACCGACTCGCCGGCAGCACTGGCCCCGGGCAGAGGGATCGTCGCTGTCAGAGCTGTTGGTACCAGGGCCGATAGGAGAACGAGTCCTCCGGTGACTGACAAGTGCATTGTGGCGAGAATTGAAGGAATGAGTGATTGCTTTCTTGAGGGAGGAAAGGAAAGAAGAGCCGTAGGCTAAAATCAAGAAAGCACCAACATAAAAGAGAGACAGAATGTAAAGAGTGCTCAGGCAGTTCACCACATAGCCGGACAGGGACAGACTCAAAGAGACCCTGGACGGTGACATTGAACTTATACCTGATCGACGGCAGCGTGCCTGACAATGGCGTCGGCAAGAATCACCTCCAAGGCAGTGGGAAGACTCCACCTGTCGCTGATTAGGTTTAGTGGGAAAACTCCGGGCAGCCACAGCCTATCGATTCTAGATCCTGTAGGGACTATCGAGACTATCGAGGCTAACGGTGGACCTGCGTTGGACTGAGGCTTCAGTTGGCTGCCGATTGGGAAATTCATACCGACATACCGACATCCGTGGTGGAGGGTGGCGAAGGGGTTGACCATTGCCTCCCATAATGACTACAGCCGGATGGGCATTTTGGCGTTGCATCTGTCCTTGCTCTTCGCTTCTTTATTCTCCTTTTGATTATGATATGGGTGCATGTTCGTCGTGGAGCCGAAGGTGGAAGCGCTAAGAGGGCTAGCCTTCTTGCCCTAGTCGACAGAAACTTCCTTGATTTCCCCTATCTATAACCTTCGTACAGGTAGACACTACTGACCTGTCAGCCGCCATAAGGAAATCTATCGCACTATAGGTACTCCAGGTTCCATAATTACGAGATTCCAAATCATATCTTTCACCTAGTCTTACCAGAAGACAGTTCCTGACCCTGCGCTCAGCGTAAGATAGATGGAGTCTAGACTATACCGAAAGAGACCTGGATTGTGAGCCGGTGACAAGTATAAGCAGTTCGACAAGGTTTCCAACGTACCTTAACCTCTAAATCCAGTCACACCCAAGCACCTACTAAGAACGTATATACAAGCAAATCATCAAGCTATGAAATATCCAATTAACTACGCAGTAGAGGTATCACAACGGTATCGATACGTCAAACAATAATCGTCATGAAACAAACAGGCCGGGTCGGGTATCTAAGGTGCCCCGGGCTCACGCCATCAGAAATGCTGCACCGGTCGCTGCTGCTGATGGCCCTCCGCCCACCAGTCGGCGGATGAGCCCTCCCCGCGAGGATTGTCCCCATGCACCGGGGGAGTGGCAGTCCCGCTGCTATCAGCAAACGGGTTCTGCACTTGGAAGTCCTCCGAGCGGTACTCGTACCGCCCGGCCCCGTTGCTGTAGGAGCGCGGGAGAGTCGGGGCCACCGGGGCCGTCGAGGAGCCCGAGGACAGACTCTGCGTGTCCCGGGGCGGGACCGGTGGTGCTTGGGGCAGTGGTGGTTGCACGGAGCCAGAGGCCGAGGCCTGACTGGACGATGCAGGTGACTGACTGCCCGATTGCCCCTGGGCCCGGCGCGCCTGGAGCAGCGCATGCTGGTGCTTCGACAGGGCTACAGACAATTCATCATTCGTTTCGATCAACGTGACCAGTGTATCCTCATCGGGGGTAGGGTTCGTCGAGTGGATGTAGTTCTGGACGGCGCGGGAGGCCGTGCGACATCGGTCGGAGAATTCTTTGATGAGTTCGTTCTCGAGCATCTCCGCCGGGGGTGTCGATTGGACGAACTGGATGAGTAGCTTCGCAGACGTTTTGGCCTCGGAGATGCGCGCGGAGAGTTCTTCGGGCGATGGCAAAGAGCCGTTCTGGTTAGGGGCATTGAAGTAGTTCGGGGTTTGTCGGTATGGCTGCACCAAGGGTTGCGCCCAACCGGGCTGCATCAAAAACGAAGTTAGCATTGCAGAGGTTGGGGAGCAGACAACGGTTCACGTACAGTAGCACCCGTCCTGATGCTCGACTTGCCCTTCTCTTTGCTCCACATCCCCAAAAGCAGCTTGAGATCCTCATCCCATGACCGCTCCAGTTCCAGAGCATCCAAAGTTTCCCGCAAAAAGTTGTGTACGTTCGCATCTTTCCCTTGACGAAGCAGATCCTTCACCGTGGTCACGAATGTCGCATCGATATTGCGCGAGAATGTGTGTCCCGGGTTGTCGATGAGGATGCGAATAAGCATGATCGCATTGTACTGCACATTGCTCGGGGTTCTGTTCGGGTCGGACAGCAATTTGCGAATGCGCGAGGCCGCTTCTCGAGCTGCGTTGGGGCTGGACTCGGCGCTTTCGACGATGCCGGGGAGGTGGACAAACTCATTCCCATGCTGGACATGTCATGGTGAGTATGGTCGCATATAAGAGAAAGGATTCGGACGGGAACGTGGCGATCAAGGGAAGAGGGAGACCTACGGTGCTGTTCGGGCCGCCCGATTCACAGAACGCAGCCTATACACAGTGAAGACGGTCAGTCAGATCACTCAATAAACAATTCTGAGTCCACACGAACCACTTCTCTCTGAACGATGCCTTCCGGCGAGTCCTCGGGGTACGAGGGGCTGTCGCGCACCGGACCTGTTCCTGCGTGAGCGTTGATACCGTCGCATTGCCGATCGGCCGCGGGGGAAGACTCACTGGAGCGCCTGCTAAAGGAATTGAAGATGCGTTTCATGGTTGCTATACCAACCCGACCTCTACAGTGAAAGAATAGAGCCAAAACCTGAGCGTAAAAATGGGGTGGGGAGAAATACGAAAGAAAAGGGATGTGAGACTAAGCTAAGATCTGGAATTAGGCGCCGCGGGGAGAAAAGCAGCGCGCGGGCTAGTCAAGAATCGCTCATCTGCCAACCCCCGAAACCTTCTGTGTTTGATGTCAGTCAACTCGACCGATCCGGTGGCAAGGCGCTTTGTCGACGACACGCAAGCATGTCCTGGGCACTCTTGGGACGATCCAAACTTGACGTTGTCTAGATAGGAAGGGAGTGGAGGAACAGCTGTGTTTCCACTCAATCTGGGCCGCGCCGTGTGAATCCTGATGCCTGCCTGCTTGCTGCCTACCAAGACTCTCTGATGCACGTCCGCTCCGTCAGCGCGACCAACAGGACGCTACTACGTATGCAGGTCGGCCTCGACTCAGGTTAAGCATACATTCCCGTCGTCATGGGCATGCGAATGCCTTGTGTGGAGGGTGGCATTGGAGGGGACCAGCGCGGGAAGCTCCTGGGGTTGGAGCCAGTGACGGTGACAGTGACACAGCCACGCTTGGCTGGCCAGACAACTCTCCGCTCTGGCCGGCCATCTGCAACCTGCTGACGGCGGTTTGGGGGATGCCTGTTCGCTCGCTGCAACCTTCAGATCAGAGAGGGTCGAGCTGTGGCGCAGTTACAGGAGCACAGCGTAGGGCCGATTACAGAGGCCTATTACGAGCACGTAAAGTAGCCAATTTCTACGTGGACCCAGAATCCTCCTCCATTTTTTAAACTTCATGAAAGAAAAATGAATTCCGTATCCCATCATGGATTAACGCTCAAAGTGTCCTGAAGTATGAGAATGTCCGAAGCCGCCGTCCCGACGCACGCCATCCATCCACGAGGAAGAGATTCCCTGGACCCGTTGCCCCAGTCCATGGCTGGACTGGCAGAATGGAATGATCTAGACGAACCAAATCTCCGGGGAACGAGAGCAATGTCTAGATACGCCTCGGATATAGCATAGTAGGGCCATCGTCATCCGTCTCGCCGGGTGGTTTCGAATTTTTTCCATTTGTCAAAAAAGTAATAATTTCTTTTGTATTCCTTCCGTGACCAGGTATTGGATCCGTACAACAGCAAACTCCGGCATTCCCATTCAGATTCTGACCACTTCACTTCCCCCGACACCCACCGACCGCTTATGCCTCGATGAGGGCACGGCGGAGCTGGGCACCACGCTGGCGGGAGCTGAGGCGGGCCGCCTCGACGACGGGACCCTTCTGGACGACCTCCTCACCCTCGGTAAGGATGAGCTCGATGTGGCAGGGGTTGGTCATGTAAGGGTTGATCTATCGATGGTCAGTTGGCGGGCGGGAGATATTCGGGGTTTCGTATCAACATACACGACCGTGGGCACGGTAGGTGCGTCTGCGGCCCTTGGGAGCCTGGTTGACCTGGATGTGCTTGACAACGAGGTTGCCGGTGTCGAGACCCTTGGTGTCGGCATTGGCCTCAGCGTTCTTCAGGAGGTCGAGCAGGAACTCGGCGGACTTGACGGGCCAGCGGGCCTTGCTGACACCCCACTGCTTGCCTATAAAGAAGACGGTCAGCGTCTTCGTCGTGGAACACACGGTTTTGTCACATCCTCCAAAACATATCCCTCCCAATGCTTTCCCCATCATTCTGATCCAATCTCCCATGGTTCAATTCCCATCCATCACATCGCATTCATTCCGTAGTATCCTCCGAAGGGAAAAAAACACATCGACTCACCCTGAGCGCAGCGACCGGTGCTGCCAGCGTACCGACGCATGGGGACGGCCTCAGCCTTCTCGGTGACGTTGGTGAGGAAGGTAAGGGCGCGCTGGAGCTTCATGCCGTTGATGGCCTGGGCGGTCTCGCGGGTGTTCTTGAAGCTGACACGCAGGTAAGAGCCCCGGGCGCGGGCGCTCTTAGCGGCCGGAATGTCCTGAGCAGCGTAACGGACCTGATGACGAAAAAAATCCCATCAGCAAGACCATTCAAACCAGTTCCAGTGTATTCCAAGCACAATCCATAGCAGCAGCGGTGGTGGTCATGGCAGGGTCGAAAAGTTCGATATAGGCCCAACGGCCAAATTGGGGGCACGCAGGATCGAAAGAATTCCGGTACAACGAAGGGTTGGGCATTTTGACAGCGTTTTTCTTCAGGATGTTCCTGGTCCTCCCATTCCACCGACAGCAGCAAACGCGAATATAGCACTCACCATCTTGATGTGGTTGCCGAGCGGGTGGTCCTCGATGTCGGGTGAGAAGATTTGTCGCTTTTCTGTCGTCGGCCGCTGGAACTTGAGATCGCGAGGCTCGCTCGTTGTGGTGCGCTTTTTCGCTCTTGGCGCCCGCCTAGGGTATCGGAGCCCTAACACTAGGCGCCTTGGGGCAGGTGCTAGCCTCACCGCCCGGCAGTATCCGTCTTTAGCTCTCGGTCCGCAGCAACATCAAGTCCATTTGGACGTTGCTCTTCAACGTATTTCAGAGCAGTTACATTGTATGGTTGTCATGGTTTTGCATTCTAGATCATAACGAAGATATTGTTCCATTTCAAGTTTAATTTGCTGTTTTTGCTGTCTGACTTTTCCTGCAATCCTAAATTTAACCTGTTCTAGTAAGGCCGACGCTAACCCTTTTGGGATTCTTCCAGACCAACCGGACATGCTGATCGATCATGGACCAACTGGCTAGTGCTTTCCGATACACCTTGCATCCCTACTACTCCGTACAAATCCGGTATATGGGTCTCAATGAAGCATAAGATGACATGTTCATCTTCTCCATTGAATGAAGTACGGGACTGATACTTACTTGCCGATAATAGAGGCGACACAGCCTTTTCGACAAAGTTCTATATCACATCACTCCATATCTCTATATATCCCCGTGGCGAGGCGATGCTGCACCATGACATAATCTCTCCCAGCTCACCGTCGGCTATCAACCCTCGGCTTCAAATCCCGATGCGGAGAACACCCGTTTCCCCCACGTTTGATATGGCTGATATATCAGCCCAAAACATAATTGCACCGCGATCTAGAACCTGGGGAATCGATTTCTACCATCGCAACTTCAAAGATTCGCCTGATGCTCATCATGCTTGGCTGTCCCAGGCTTCGACTCAAATTACTATATCACCCTGCGTCAAGATCATGCATGTGGAAGCAGGGCTAGTACTAGATATTCAAGACATCAAGTAACCAAACTGCTGTTGTAGGTGACTGCGCCGGTCAGCCCTCTTGTGTACAAAGAACACATTTTCGGCTGAATGTCGCTTCAAGTGTCGGTCATGACTAGAGATCTAGTAGCCACTGGCATCCTGCTAGCAACACTTGTACCCCGGTAGGTAATACCACAAGATCGCAGAGTTATTAGCAGCCTTTCCAGGCGCTCTCAGAGATTGCCTAAGCACTAGGCGCCATGCGTGTATTAGAGGCACCAGCTTCGACACCGCTGTACTCAGTGAAGTGCCCAGAAAAATCTTCGCATGCTGGCCATTCCGCTTCGCATAGAAGCATTTGGCGTGGCCGAGAAATATCATGTCCAGGTGGGCGCAATCAGCCACGCACTTAGTTTAGCTGGCCAGGTTTTTGATACCCATCAGCTAGGGTAATAGATTCACCATAAAGCCAACGACATACCAAAAAGGATGGCAAGTTGTACAACTGGACGTTGATGAGACTGAGGTGTGGCTTCAGATCGGTTTTATTCCGGCAACCCCCACAGCCCCGCACCCGCCGTGGGGAGAAAATGGGGGCATCACCAGCCATTTTTCTTATCATTCGTATAGACCAAAAAACGAATTGCGTCAACTTCCCATTCGGAAGATAAGAGCAGTTCATCTAAGTCACCTTCACGGAAAGACCTGCAGAATTCAGAAGAGAAGGTTACTGCTCATGTCACCCGACCAGGTGGGGACCTGCCATGACTGGGCTCGGTCTTGCCCCGCTTGAAAAAGGTCCTGGTTCTGGAACGTATCCAAGGCTAATGTGTTGGCTCCGGAGATTTGATCCCCAGAGACGTAGTCCCCAACAGCTTCGAGATCTAGCCATGAGAAATCGTTTGCGGGACTGAAGTGCACGTAGCTACTTTGGTCGGACATGTGATGTGATAAGGCACTGTTGTTCTGCATCAAGCCATCGCTACTCTGGTGTGTACCGGCTGGTGATGTTGGTGGCATCGACTTTTGCTTCCAAAGAAGTTCGAGAAGCCGTGAGTATCGCGAGCCAATATCATCCGTTCCGGCACTTGCTCGCTTGAGGACTTCTGTGGTCCGAGTAACAAGGTCTCGCACCTTCATTTCCTCTAAATGAGACATGACCCCGAATGAGCGTGCCTAAAGAGTACGGTCAGCTCTCGGAATATAGAAACAGAATAGATGGCGGTGCCTACCTTGTATAGGAACACGGCTGCATAGATGCCATACAGGTAAAACCTAAGCGGCATGAAATGAAGATGCTTCTCCGGATGAACCACGTCAACAAGGATCGTGAGGTAGGCCTTTGCAGCATCGATCGATTCATAAATGAACCGAGCATCCTGCATCGAGGCCACGTTGTTGAAGGTTGTGCGCAAATGCTCTCTTTGAGCTTGATCGTCATTCTTCATTCTGGACACCAGCGATTGCGAAATTGCCGCCTGGAAAGCAAATGCATTTGTGTATAACCTCAAGTATTCGTATGACAGCTGCAGGGTCACTTTCATTGACGTCGAGCCTTCGACTGGTCAGTCGCCTGGTGCGAACCTCGGTGGGAGCTGACACTTACATGGCAAAGACCCCCATAACGACTTCCATCGCAGGATTGCAAGGCGAAAATCATCCACGTATTTAACGTAGTCACCCATGAGCATCATCTGGTTACTCGTTCGCATGCCAGAGTAGAGAACATCATGAACATTCCCGTAAAGCTGAGTAAGATCTAAAGTGGCCTGAAAGATCCTAGCATAATCCTCATCGCCATCCTTGGCTGGTTGCAGCGACGGAAAGTCTTGACTGACCAGTCCAGTCATTGGACCCGGTCCGCGAGACCAGAAAGCACGTCCTATACGGACAGATATTAATCGATCCGATACGTAGCAGCTGGTCCATGCCAGCCGCCTCCGAGCTTCCGTTTCCACATCTCCAGAAGAGTCGCCTCGGAATGATGTCCTGTCTAGGCCGAGAAAATAGCCAGATCGCAAGGCGAGCCCAACATGCATCCAGGCAGCTCGATCCTCCTCCCCACGACCCACGCGCTCAATACGCGGGCGAAGCCCTTGGGGTTCCCACTCAGCCAAAATGAGGAGAGCCTCCACGGCCTCTACATCGCAGTCAGCTCCAGCAGCAATCCCAGATATCAGCTCATGCATGTATTTGGAGCAGTACTCGTGGATCTCCGGCCGCTCGATTAAATCTTTCGAAGCAATTGTGAGGACGGCAGTAAGCAGATGCTTCTCATTATTAGCAAATGCATCCAGTGCGCTGCGGTGAAAGTATTTTCGTGGCACCAAAGGAAGGTACGGATGAAAGTATTCAGCATAGCGGGCCACCAACTGCCACACCGTTCCAGGGTCTAATGACCGTGACTGCACTAGCCTGTACGCTTTAATGCCATTATTTGACTGAAATTCGGTTACAGAGCTGGTTTGGAGCGCCGTGTACGACGAAAATCCACCTGCCCTTGTTCCTAAAGCTTCGTTTCCAGTTTCAGGGCTCGGGCCTTCTGTGCTTCTCTTTGCAATGCCAGTCAGGCACTGCCAGGCATCAGAAGGGTTTCGGGGAACGTCTCCAATAGAAGCTGCATCTTCATCGTCGACTGACATTGAAGTTGCAGTCGGTGGATCGGGAGGCAGAAACACAACCGGTCCAGGATAAGAGCTTGACGCCGTTTGACGGTTCTCTGAATTGGACGGGCTTGGTGCCTCGATGACGGAATCCCTCCGTATCGGGGTATTGCTGTCTGGTGTGAAATTCTTGATTTTATTCTTCCGAATCCGGCGTCCTCCTCGGTTGGAGCTGCCCAGAACACACTCACGGTTGTCCCTGATACATCGCTGACATGGCGGGACTCCCGGGCTGCCGCTGCTATCCCTGTGTTACGTTGTGATTAGCCGCGGTAGGAATTTGTGGCCGACAGGGACAAGTAAGGGGTGAATCAAAAAGGCTGGGACAAACGAGACGGTGCCATGGTGGCAATCAAACTTACAGGTCGCATTTGGATTTGCGCTGTCTGCAGTGCAGACATGCTCTGGATACGCGCTTCATCAAATGATCCGAGCGAGCCTTAGCTCTAGACCCCGGGGTCCCCTCGACTTGCGGCGATTGATCTTCTGAGTCCATTGCTGCGTAAAGCGCAATAACCACTTCGGATAATTACTAAGTGACAGCCTGCTAAAGCGACATCTTCAACCCAGCAACGCTGGCTGTCCGACTTTCCAGCGAAACGTGTGAGAAACCTTCCGGGAATCCCGATCTGCAATTATAAAGCAGTAAATAAAGGGAGAGTGTGTCAATTGTCCCTGATGCTAAGAAATATGGTTGGATGCTCTGTCGGTGTGGTGTGAAGGGAAATCTGGGGATGTTCCGGACAGCTCCCATATAATCGTTGGGGTAATTCGAGCTTCCGAAGGGCGCTCGTGGCTTCCCCACACAACTGGCTTTTTAAGGCGCCAGCAAGGCCAGTTGCATGTCCAAACCACACACTAGTCGTCCACCTCGTACTCCAAAGCATCGACTCTGCAGTCGTGAAAAGGGCCAGACACGGGGAGGAGGATTTGGAAAGCTGCAGAATCGTGAACTTTGCGTGTTCGACCCACGGCCAAGGAAGCGAGAGACCGTTCTGGTATTACTCAGCCCATACATACGGGTATTCAGCAGTTAAAACCCGGTCGGTCGGCAAGTCAGGCTCCTATGGGTCAGGGCTGAACAGCCATGGGTCATGATGAGATATTTGAGAATATTTAAATTCGTAGGTATACTGCTTTTGTTGGTTTTATTTGAGGTATCGTTGGAGTGATGGGTGCTAAACTTGAAAATTAAGGTGTTTGAGAGATCCATCCATGAATATATACTCCGTTCTCCAAGCATGCAACAAGCCAGTTTGAGGAACCCATTACCTTCAATTCACCATAGTAGTACTAAAGCCAAATGCAGCTTATACAATCTTCGTAGGTCTGCCAGCTTATCAGATCTTCGATGTAGCTATCAGCAAGATAAATTAAAAGCGCTGCTATGACTCCCCTATTGGATGTTAAGATGCAATGTAACGAGACTTGCACGCCTATCTGGGAATGATTGCATATCGCCCATGGGGAACAATGACGGAACTCCGATGCAAAGCAGGCTACAGTTCCCCGGGATGATGCATTAGTAGAGATGATCTTCCGGACTCTTCCGTGATTTTATGCCAGAGCAGGTCTCTTCTCCAATCTGTTCTCCAAGCACCTCATCTCCACGGTATGTGAGTTGTACGGGTTACCGTACGAAACGCAGGTCGGACTACCGCCGAGGAAAGTTCAATAGCCGAGTGCGGGGCGTAGGCGTTTGACACAGCTTGTCGGCAAAGTAATGCTCCCAATTGGGAAATAGCCTCTGCTGCCCCGCGCGAGGAGGAACAGCGCTTGGTATTTATTATTGGCAGGGCTCCAGGATGAGTCGTCGCATTCGATTTGGTGGCAAGAATCTGAAGGAAACCCCTCGCTGACGTGCTCAGCAAGACGCTTCCCATCAATTTTCGGAGAAAAAGGGCGATTGACAGCCAACTATTCGAAGCCATTTAATTACGAAACAGCCACAATGTCGACAGCGGTTGCCTCGTTATTCTCCCTCAGCGGCAAGACCGCCATCGTGACAGGAGGAACCAGGGGCATTGGGCAGGCCATGGCCTTTGCCCTTGCAGAAGCTGGTGCCGATATCATCTTGATTCAGGTACGCACGGTTACAACCTCCAATTGGTGCTAGGGAAATGAGAGGGGAGTCCCGACGAAACATGGGGGTGGAACTAACGTCCTGCGAACAGAGGGATGACTCGAACACCTTGACTCGCGATGAGATCGTCAATCGCATTGGCAAGAAAGCTTGGATCCACGTGGCAGAGCTGTCAAATCGGGAATCGATCAAGAGCATCATTCCAGCCCTGACCAGTCAAGGCCTGAAGCCAGAGATCCTGCTCAACTGCGCCGGTATCCAACGGAGACACCCGAGCGAGAAGTTTCCGGATGAAGCTTGGGACGAGGTGAGTGTCGACCGCCGTCTTCTATTTGATTAATCCTTTACCTCCGTCTATTTTTGGATCTCTGCTTCTCCTTAAGTGGGACTAAAGGCTAAACTTCCCAACTATTGATTTGTGTAGGTCATCCAAGTTAACTTGACGTCCGTCTTTACGTTATGTCGAGAGTTCGGCGCATACTTGTTAGCGCGGGATGAGTCGGAATTCCCTACTGGTCGCCGAGGATCTATCATCAATGTCGCATCGCTCCTTACCTTCCAAGGTGGTATCACGGTGCCCGCATATGCAGCATCCAAAGGAGGTGTTGGGCAACTGACCAAAGCTCTCTCTAACGAATGGGTGGCAAAGGGGATCAACGTCAACGCAATTGCCCCCGGATACATCGCCACAGACATGAACACTGCTCTGATCAATGATGCCAACCGCAATGCTGGTATCATGGCTAGAATCCCCGCTGGCAGATGGGGCAAACCAGAGGACTTCAAGGGTGTGATAGTGTTCTTGGCAAGCCAAGCGAGCAGCTATGTCTCAGGGGAAGTCATTTGCGTGGACGGCGGTTGGATGGGACGGTAAAAAGCATTATGCCAATGATTTGATGATTTCTTTTCGTCCTCTTCCGCATGCATTTTCTTTATTTGTATGCCCTTTTCATGTTTGGAGCCCTATTGAAAGTCATAGATGGAATGTACAGTGATGATCCTGAGACATCTGCTTCACACCATATAGTAAGTTAGCGTTTCGCGGTCAATAGCTGAAGGATGCTATTATCAGGTCACTCTTGCCTTAGCCTGTCGTACCATTCTGACAGCTGCACTGGAGTTATTAAGTGAGACTTGTTCGTTGCCAAGGGCTGGTGCACTCTCCAGTAGTCTTCTGTGCTAGGCGCCAGGGAGCACGGAGCCATGATTTAGTTGAAACTTTAGATGAAATGGATGGATCCGAAGGGACCACAGCGCTTTGGAACGGTCGTCTAAGCTGGAAATAGTTTCATCCGCTATCAGTCCCCACCAGAGAGTACTAATCGTAATAACCTTGAGGAAAACTATTCCGGAAATGATAGCGCCGGACCCAGTATGTCAAGCAGAGGTGGGCAATGGGAATAAAAGTAGAGTAATAGGCTGATACGCAAATAGATTAACAGGGACAGGCTAGGGACCAGACCCGTGACCGCCATGTGACTCCGCCGGCAATTTCCTGACGCCAACTCCACCCGCTCTGCCACTGTGCCACTCTTCTGCCACTCTACCATCCTACCCGCCGCCCAACGCAGGTTCCTGGCTGGCCTTGTTTCACCATGTCTTTCCGGGAATGATGGCAGGAACACCCTTCTTATCGGTTACACCTCTAGGTGCCTACTATGCTACCTACAGGTTCATCATGGCTAACCCTTCAGCAGCACAGCGTTGTCAGTGGGCTTTCCCCCAGTGGGCCGTGGACGCTGCTTAGCATGCAAGTCATGGCCAATACGGGTCGGTCGTTTCACTCGGGATTGCACAACCTGAAACATGCAAAGTCTACCCGACGGCCAATACTGAAGATGGCGCTCTCCGCGGCGGCTATCTCATTGAGGTGGCACAACTGGCTGGGGATGAGTGCGGCCTGGGTTGGATGGAAAGGTGGTGAGGTGTGCGGTTGACGCCCTCGGTCGGCCGTGACCGACCTGGTTCCTGCAAGCTACCGTTTCCGCGGTTGCTCTATGGAGCCAAGAGCGTCTAACCACCGGCCAAGGCCCAAGGCCTTTCCGTCTTTATCGGAAACGACGATGGCTTCTTCAGGGCGCTCTAAAGCCCGCTCAATGGGTTCGGGACCGAGCGCAGACGCCTGGCTTGGCGCTTCTAGGGACCCCCCTCCAGGACCACGCCATTATTGCCTGCTAGCAGGTTTTATGGACCTGGTAATTGGTCCCTTTTTTTCTACAGTATGATCGCAGGCCTGATCCGCGGTGGACTTTCCTTTTCGCTTAAAGTTTCTTGCTGCGCCGTGGATCTCTTTCGGGTTGACAGGGAATCTTTCTTCAACTTTTACTCTGAGTGTGCTTCGTTCCTTATTTCGCTTTTACCCTTTCTGGCAGCACATTCACTTCTTTTATCCAGCTGGCTGGTAGCCGTTCTTTCATTGTGTGCCAGTCCATTAATACATTGTCTATTGTTTCAAGACATTGACATTGGTGTTCTTGGGTAAAGGGCCGTCTTTGACCTTTGTTTGGATACTGTCGATCATTGGTTACATTCGCTACATCTAAACGTCATTCATCGTGGGTGTGGACAATTTACTTTTCTTGCTACAACACTAGACGTCAACTTCTTCAGGTCTTCTTTTTTTTTTTGCCCCTTCCTTTTCGAATTATTCAATTATTTTTACGACGCTGTGCGTCCCCTGTCCCCTTGCTGGAATCCTTTTTCTCATATCATGCACGTAGGGAAGTGGAGGTAAGTGATATTCGAAGGCTGGCTCACCACTTATGACGCTGGTAATGACTTAATGTTGGAGGACTTGCAAGATCCAACTCGTCAGACTCGCTACCTTGTACCGTGTTTCCAACATTCTTCGGCTTTTCTAGTTGCAACTTCTCGTGACAGCACCTTGGTCATTTGCGCATACCGGCTTGCCAACATCATCATCTCATCGCCTGATCCGAACAACTTCACCCAGGATCTATTTGAGGAGAGACCATCTCAAGTCGTCTCTGTTGTAAGGAGAATCTCCAAGGTTCGGCCTTGATTGCGCTCTCGTTGCCGTGGTCTTTGCCGTCCGAGATCCCTTGAACATAACGTGCCTCTCCCCACATTCCTGTTGTTCCCCAGTCATTGATTGCCTGCGTCATACCGGATTTTGACCGGGTTAAAATTGGGAACTGTGGCTCTCCGGAATTTGCTGGCATTGCCGACCCGCACGACTCTGTTGACAACTTGACACCTCCGTCCTGTCTTGCCTTCACCTCGAAAGACTGCGTGCTACGCTGGGCCGTAGGTCTTGATATCAATGGATGACTCTCACCAGCGCATCACCCCACGAGGTTATGGGATAAATGCAACCTATGTCTACGAATATTCGAGGGGGTTAAACGGCGTCGATGTTCCACGGGATGTTCTATTTTCACGAATCATCTTCTCCTCGTTGATATTCGTCGCTCTCGTCGTCTTCTGTGGACGTGTCGCACAAATTAGCCATGCATATCTTCGCCAAATCACCTCCTTGACGGCAAGCAGGAGAGAACAGACCTTCTGGAGCGTTGAAGTATCTTCCCTCTGGGCCAATGTTAAGAAACATCTGTTGTATGCGCCCCTAGGCAGCAAAAGACATAATCGAGAAATTCAGCTATCGTCCGCCATCAGTGTGGGCACGCTGCCTTCCAGATTTCAGGTGATCTTGATCGTGCTGTACCTTGCAAGTCAAGTGGCGTATTGCGTCCTACTGGATTACAATGCGAACGTCAAGGCAGCCCTTGTCGCTGAACTTCGCGGACGATCAGGAACTTTGGCCGTGTTGAATATGGTTCCCCTCTTTCTTCTGGCCGGCCGCAACAATCCACTGATTCCCCTGCTGCATGTGAGTTTCGACACTTACAATCTGCTTCATCGGTGGCTGGGTCGGATAGTTGTGCTTGAAAGTATCGTGCACACAGCCGCTTGGGCAGTGAACGCATGCGACGAGGTCAGCTTCTCTAACATGCTTGAGCGCTTACGCACCACCCCTTTCTTCACATGGGGTTTACTGGGAACTTGCTCGATGATCACCCTGGGTCTCCACTCGCCATCCCCGATCCGACATGCCTTCTATGAGACATTCCTGCACGTGCACCAACTTGCCGCTTTCTTGGCATATCTTGGTGTCTTGATGCACTTGGATCTGGACAATCTCCCCCAGAAGCCTTGGGTTATTGCCCTTGGTCTGCTCTGGGTCCTGGAAAGAACAGCTCGCCTCTGCCGACTGCTATATTTGAATATTTCTCCTCGCAAAGGGTCTACGCGGCTTGTTGTCGAAGCCCTTCCTGGTGAGGCCTGCAGGGTGACTTTCCACTTGCCCAAGCGCGTGAACGTCAGCCCCGGCAGCCATGTATTTGCCTACATCCCAAGCGTCTCTTTATGGATGTCCCATCCGTTCTCTGTCGCCTGGGTAGAGCCAAGCAATGCTGTGACCCCCCCTGCTACAGGAGAAAAAGACCTTGGACTCATGGAACCATCGCTTCTTGAGAAGCAGCCCATGGCAGGTCTGGACGAATATATGCGAAGCTTCCAGGACCCGACGTCCGTGTCTCTCATCGTCGGTGCTCGGCAAGGCATGACGCGGAAGTTATACAACAAAGCTTTGGCCTCTCCCGGACAAACACTCTATACCTCGGGGCTTATCGAGGGGCCGTATGCTTCCCACGCGTGTAATATGGGCAGCTACGGCACGGCGGTGCTCTTCTCAGCCGGTGCCGGCATCACGCATCACATGCTATTCGTCCGCGACCTGCTGATCCGCTCGTCGGAGGGTCGCGTAGCCACGCAGAAGATCTATCTTGTCTGGTCCGTACGTAGTACGGAACATCTGGCCTGGGTGCGAGAGTGGATGGATCAAATCCTCCGACTCCCGTCACGGCGCGAGATCCTCACCATCAAACTCTTCGTGTCGAAGCCAAAAAGCAGTCGCGAGATCGTGTCGCCCAGCGCTACGGTCCAGATGTTCCCCGGTCGGTGTCGTCCTGACGTGGTTCTCAACGAGGTCATTCCTCGGCGCGTCGGCGCCACCATCGTCTCTGTCTGCGGGCCGGGCGCATTCGCAGATGAAGTACGTGCTGCTGCACGTGATAACATTGGCAAGGGCGCCGTGGTCGATTTCGCCGAAGAAGCCTTTACATGGTAGTGCCCTAATCTTCCACCCCCGTGGTTTAACTTGCACTCTCCCCCTTTCCCTTCTTGTTCAAAATTTCTCTTCTTACTTTCGTTTATTTCCATTTCAAATGTATATTTAGATTTACCTCCATTAGTCTAACCTCCCATGGCAACCGTTCTCTGTTGGTATTTTTTTACACGATGGTACGAGTCCTTTGAAGTCCAGCATCTGTTTGAATTCCGGGTATCTCCACCTTCAACGTTCCCACTGCATATGAGCCCATTCCATCAAGCATCAAGCGCACAGTACACCTCATGTACTTTGGCCAAATGCATAATTGCAAAGAGATATATAGCAATAGAAGTACCTCCTACCCACCCACCACACAGACAAAAACATTGTACTCCCACTTCTGTCTCGATTGTAAATACAGACATGTAGCTACAATACTATACAGCTCAACTCAGACTGGGAATCCTGAATACTAACACTAGAGTTTCTGATTTACATTGAAAAGATCAAGTCACCTGAGCTCCCCCTTCCTCCCATCCCCGGTATGAACCACAATACATACATACGCTTGCATTAATGCAACACACATGCATGCATATACCAACCCATTCATTCCATTTCATTTCATACCCTTTCCTTTCCTTATTTTAGAAACACCCCTCCATCTGCACAAACAACATACATACATACATATACAGACATAGTGAGGGATTACCCCCAACACCGGCGGCTATTCTAATCTCCAGTTTCTCTCTCCATTCATTCTAAATATAACCCGCATTTAGTTATGAACTAGGTAGGCACTAGATAGGTAGGTAGGAATCATAAGATCTATTTGAAATTGGTCTATCTGGGTGGGCGCTTAACCCACCCCCTTCATTTTGGGTAGGGTGGGAGAGTGGGGTCTTCATGCATGCATGAATGTATGTAGTATGTTTGTATGGCTTGGTGTGGACGGTTAGATAGATTGTTGTATGGTATGGTGTGATGTGTGAGTGAAGAAGTGGTTGGGCGAGTGAGTGGGTTGGGGAGTATCTTTGTGCTTAGGAATTGAACTAATGAGGAGCAGAGAGGAAGGAATGAGCAAGTAGAAGTCTGAGCGAGGTTTGTCCTATCTATATATAATAGTCTAATACTTTCACATATACAAGAAGGTATGTATATGAACGAAACCCAGGTGAGATGAGTTCAAAGGTATGAGGAAGGAAAAAGAAGATCTAGCAGACGCTCTAAGCAAAAAGACAGTATCCATCCAGTACAGGATTCAACAGGCATTATGTCCAACACACATGAATTTTATAACCAGGTAAGAGTATGTTCAAGAAAGTGGGGATGAGAAGAAGAGGGAGAAGAAAAGGTAGGTAGGTAGGTAGGTGATGGCTCGGGATTAGGAAGAGCCCTTGGTCCTCTGGCCCTTGGGCACACGAGCGAGCCAGTAAATGAAGACGGCGGCAAAGATGTTGAAGATGATGTAGACCCACATCAAGCCGAAATTGCGCCATGCGTCGCTGAAGTAACTGCTCACCTGAGCCAGGTAGGCATCGGTACTGGAGATAGAGCAGAAGGAGCAGTTGGTGGTAGCGCTGGGGTTCTCGAGGTATCCACCGTTGGTGTTGATGTAGTCCGCCATGTAGCTTTGGCAGGTGGAGCCGGAAGGAGGGCTGAAATGAAGGTATTCCGAGGTTTCACAGACGGCGGTTGTGCCGGACACACCTGTGGATAACATGCCTGAGACGAGGTATGTGAATGGCGAGACACGGTACATGAAGATCCAGAAGCCGGGGAGTTGGGAAGGAGTGGCGAGGACACCACAGAAGATCAGACACAGGGAGAAGAGCAGGTTGGCGATGTTACCACCGGTCTCGGCAAGCTCGATACCAGCGATGATCATGTGCGCAAAGGTGGAGGTGAAGAGAAGGAAGGAGAGGATCAGCAGGAACATCAAAGCACCACGTTCGTGGACCGCGTCGGTCGGTTCAGCGTTCTTGTAAAGGCCGATGGGGTAGTACCAGCAAACGAAGATGATGACACTCATGAGGGCGTTCCATGGGAGCTCGACGATGATGTTGGCGGTCATGAAAGCCTGCCATGAGTAGGTCTTGGAGGGTCTTTCACGAGCTTCGTACAACGAACGCTGGGTACAGAAGTTGGGCAGAATTTGCTGGACAAGGTTACCGAAGATGGTCATCAGCATGAAAATACTGAACATCTGGTTCTGGAGACCCTGAGCGCTGTTCTTAGCCTTGAAGAAGGAAAAACCGATGTAGAGCGAGGTGAGGATGCAAAGGGCTGCCTTGGAGTAGATATACACGGGCGTTCTCCAGTACTGCGAGAAGACACGGACCAGGCACTCCCATAATTGCACGGTGAAGGGGGCAGCGAATTCCTTGAGCTCGCCGGGATCCGACTTCGAGGCTTCGACCGGCTTCTGCGAAAGGGTGGATTTCAGCTCAGCGAGGTGATCAAGCACCCCCTTACGCTCGGCACTCTCACGCCAAACAGCAGGCCAGTCGATTTCACTATGCGATCCAGGAGCAGCACCAATGACCTCAAGCATCCATTCAGCTGGGTTGGCATCGGTAGGCAATTTCGGGGCACCATTCCGTTCGAAGTAGCTAGCAAGGGTTGAGGACTTGTCACCAATCTCGCCAAAGTAAACGGTCTTGCCACCCCGAGCGAGGAACAACAAGCGATCAAACCGTTGGAAGAGCATGGCGGAGGGTTGATGGATCGTGCAAAGGATAGCCTGGCCGTGCTTGGTCAAGGTGTCAATGAGATCGAGAATCGACCAGGAGGTTTGACTGTCAAGACCCGAAGTAGGCTCATCAAGGAACAGAAGTAGCTGGGGCTTCGCTGCCAATTCAACACCAATGGTAAGACGCTTGCGCTGTTCAACATTGAGACCTATTCGAAATTAGCTTTGCAACCATGCAAGTGAATCGGACAGTAGGTTTACCTTCACCAGGAACACCAACAACAGCGTCGGCATACGCTTCCATTCCAAGCAACTTGATAACCTCCTCGACATAATCGAGCTTTTCCTGGCGGCTGACATGGGCAGGTTGACGAAGGATGGCGCTAAAGCGTAGGGCCTCTCGAACGGTGGTGGTGTGAAGATGAAGATCCTGTTGCTGCACGTAACCAGTCTTGCGCTGGAAGGACTGGTCACGGGGGCGACCATCAACCAACATTTCACCAGTCACCACACCCATTGTCACACGAGTAGCCAAAACATCCAGAAGAGTGGTTTTACCAGCACCAGAAACACCCTGCGAGATTGATCAGTACAATGAAGACAGGCCGGGGGACGCTTGAGGGACTTACCATGAGCGCGGTACAGGTGCCGGGTTTGACCCAACCATCGACATGGTCGAGAATGCGGCGGGGCTCGCCCTTGATCTTGATGTCGTAGCACACGTCCTGCCAGTGGAAGATGGCCTCTTGTCTCTGGATAGCGGCGGTGCCCTGGCCACTAGACTGGTCGCTCTTCTCGCCGGCGGCCACTTGCTGGGCCGTTTCAACATCTTCGAGAGAAGCAGGGGTTTGACCACGGCGGAAAAGCAGAACTTCACCCTTGGACTTGGCCTCGGAGATGTACTCGGTCGCGAGCAAGTAGGTGCCCATGAGGAAGATCATGAAGCCGAACATGATACCCAGGTTCCGCCACTTGTGGCTGTCATAGTACTGGAAACTCTTGTGGAGATAGTCATCACCCTCGACGTACGGAACTCCAGCAATTGCTCCAACGGTGGAACAGATCTGGTTCCCAATGGACGCACTTGCATAGTTGGGAACGAGCTCTGACTCGGAGCAATTGAATCTCCGGTGGTGGAATTCGTTGACCATCAAACTCTCAAAACCATACGCAATGGGGTTGATGTAGTTCATCCACCTGGACCAGCCAAGCATGTATCTGGTAGGAATGGTAAACCCAGTGTAGATCACCAGACCCAAGATCAAGATGGCGGCAGGCACCAACGCCTGGGAGAGCGTGCGGGAAGAGGCCGCAATGGTACGGAAGAGCATGGACATGGTCAAGGTCGTGACAAAGGAGAACAGGAGGAAGACGAAGAAAGCTCCCGGGGTGCGGCGAAGATTGGTCATGAAATAGAGGGTGATGTTGAAGATGATGGCATTTCCAATCTTATACGGCATGTCACAGAGCATGGATGCGATGGCTTCGGCGAACGGGTGATACATGGCGTAGCGAGATTGTTTCTCGACAATAGGACGTTGAGCATACAGTGTCAGAATCTAAGTTGTCATTGTTAGAATCAACCCTGAGCAAATACGGAGCAGTGGATCCCTTGACTTACCTCAAGAGCACTCGAGAATGCGTTGAGCAAAACGGCAAAGAACAGCAGGGCACCACGAGAATAGAAACTAGAAGTTGTGGGCTCCAGATTGTAGAAGACACTTCCAATGATCAAAGCCATGATGAAGTTTCCCACTAACTGGGAGATGGTCAAACTAGCATCACCCTGTAGTCGTTGGAACCCTCGGATTAAGCAGAGCTTGACCTGCTCGTAGAGGGAGATGGTGTATGGTGACTTGACGCGCTGGTTCTTTGATTGCATGGCCTTGCGAGATTCGATGAACTTGCCAAGTGACTCACCACCAATGGCATACTCTTGGTTGTACTCGGCAATTTCTCTGAGCAACTTCGCATGCGCCTCGCTGTTCCTCCAGGCAGCGGCGAACTCGTCAGGCGTTTGCGGAACCCTGCCTTCGTAGCCCGGCTTCACAATGCGTTCAGCGGGGCTAGTAAGGGAGGTGAGGAAATCGGCGGTCGTCTGACGTTCGGGGCAGTCGAATCCCATGTTGGTGAAGAATTCCCTGGCTTCATCGGTGGGTCCAAAGTAGATCTGTCGACCCTCGTACAAAACCGTCACCTTGTCGAAGACATCATAAGCACTCTGGGAAGCTTGGTAGATGGCCACAGCGACTGTGGCACCGGCGTATTTCGTCATCAGATTCAGGGTCTTGCAGAATTCCAGCGCATTGGCACTGTCCAAACCACGAGTACTGTTATCCCAGCATTGCAGAGGGCTTCCGCAAAGAGTGGCTTCGGCAATACTGACACGCTTCCGCTCACCACCACTCACACCGCGGACAAAATCGTTGCCGACACGAGTGTTGATGGTATGCGAAAGACCAAGCATGGCCATTACAGCATCGCGCATATGGGTGGCGTACTGTTCCTTCGACACTCCAGGGAATCGATTGCGCGGGCAACGAGAGAGGGCGGCAAATTTCAGGGTGTCGCCAACAGTCAGTTGAGGGAAGTGGACATCGGTCTCGGCAGTGTAGATGGCTTCGCCCTTGAACTGTTTTCGCATCTGCTTGGCCGAGATACCTTGGTAATTCAGCTCCGATGCTTTGTCCATGTAGATGCCGTTCATTTCACCCGCGAGGGTTTTCAAGAAGGTCGAGCATCCACTTCCAGGGCGACCGAGGACCACCAGCATCTCACCGCTCTTAACGAGGCCATCGAAGTTGCGCAGAATCTGGATCTTCTGTTTTCCAGTACCGGTGATCTTGCGGACAAGGGCACCGATTTGCAGCACCGAGTTGGCAACATCCTTCTGGTAATCGGTTGGACTACCGAAACCATGGACACTGAGATTCTGGAATGAGACACCAGCCTCACGCTTGGGATACCGTTCGGGATCGCGAGAGGAGAGTGCCAACAAGTTCTTCATCCAGTGCTTTGCCTTGAAGTTCGAGCTATGTGGGTTCAAAGTGGAATCTTCCTTCACCTCGAGGAATGAGTTTTCTGCATTGCCACCGACAGAGAATCTCGTCGATTGGCGAGTCAATCGCTGCGCCAGACGAGTGACTTCCTCCTCGGCGGCCTTTTCATCCTCGGCGGCATCCTCACTGCTGTCATCGCGCTTCTCCATGGCGGTTTCAGCGGAGCTCAGCGTGCTCTCGTCCCTGCCAAAGGGACCCGGTCTCTTCTCAGTTTGGCCATATCCGGGCGTGAGGTTGTCGTAGTGTTCTTCATGACGGGTCGTGTATACGTTGTGTTCCTCGTGAACCAAGTCCTCCGTTCCTTCGTTCACGGCAGCAGCTCTCTCGGCTGCCTCGCCTTCGTTCTCGTTCTCGTGAGCGCCTTGGGATTCCACCGCGCGGCCGGGATTAAAATTAGGGTTAATAGTGCCTAGAAGCGACATGGTGATTAGGTAGGGAGACACACAGTCTCAGACTGAGCCGGTCAACAAAAGGATGCCACAAGCATAGGAAGAATTATGGAGGGGGGAGTTGAGGGTCACGGATTGATATGGCGATTAGGTAAAATAAGAAGTAGGTAAGAGATTTATTAGGATATATATAAGGATATGAGGGAGATATCCTCCGTGGAGGTGCAAAGAGTGACAGGTGGATTGAGGGGAGAAGGGAAATCCAGGGCAGACGCTAAACATAAAGTACCTGACTAGGTAGACGCCTGGATACGTTGCCCCGTATCTGCAGCTTGCAACATCAAACCGTCCAGGTAATAATCCACGAAAAATCGGCGGCGGGCCCCTAGTCAGTCTGGGCCCGTTTTTAGTCGCAATGGCGAATGCCATGAAAGTTCGACGACGCCTTTCAGCGAATCGGGTGCAGAGAACAGAGCCTATCCGGCCAGACCCACTCGGCACTGGAACCTCTCCGTGCGTACCATTCCCGTATGGCGTATTCTTGGGCCTGCGATACGAGGCTCGGAGATACTTTATCATCTCTCCTGTTAAGCCTGGCCATATCAGAGAGAGATATCCATCTGGTAGGTACTAGGTAGGTATCTGGGGCGGAGAATTATTGGTCTCCCGCTCTGATGCTTAACCGGCAACTGGTCTTGCTCATGGACCCTGAACTGAAGATAGGGAATCTGGCAAGACTAAAGAGATCCATCAACACCACCTCTATTTTCGTAGGACCTTGGAGAGTTTCAGGGGCATTCCATTCCACTTCACGCCATGGAAACCAATTCTAGCGTAGTCTAAATCAATATCTGAGGTAAGCCTAAGCATGTACTCTGTACTCTGTAAGCAGACGATAACACACATCACAATAGCTCACTTGATCAAAGACAAAGTATTTATAGTCCGAGATGTTGGTACCCATGCGCAACAATAAGAAACTCCATCCACTGGGACTCCTGATTGATGGAAAGAGATTAGGCAGGCACCAACCAAAATCCAGTTTTGTGTGCGACCTCGAAACGTGGCGAGAAGGAGGTTCGGCTCTGAGCGGCCTTTGACCGAAAGCAGCATGGCAGCTCTCCAGGTGGAGATCAAGTGGGGCGGGACTCCAGCCATCCGAGGCCCGGTCATTTCGCCCTCCACAGCCCCCTTTACGGTACCGTATCGGAGGACAGCCCTTCCGAGATTGCGGTACAGATCCCAATGCTCGCTTGGACCACAGGGGTGACTCAGCTATGCTCGGCATAACTAACTAGTTCAATCACTTCAGGCTGTTCCTGATCCGTCTGTATACATTCTAGTAGATAGATGGTAGATACGAAATACCTTGGTGCCCAACTAAGACCGCCATCGCAGGCATGTAGCTCTTTGCTAGAGCTTGAATGTCAGACACCCTTCGTTCTACCCTACTATGCAAGGAGAAGACAACATGCTTCCCCATGTTGTACACCCATCTCTGTAACACTCTAGCTGTCAAAGCCAATCAACCCACAACGGAATGGAGATCGCAGCCTGAAGCTAAACTTTACTTCAGCACCTCTTGCTCAGCTCCAGGGATTCCCAATCAAGGATCAACACGGATTGCCCTCGTAATGCTCTTTCAGCCTAATGATTCTGACGGTCGTTAAGGTTTCGTCGTCGGGACATGCCAAGTCCCGACCTCATAGGGATACGGTGTGCTGCTAGTCTATCGTGTTGTTGAACGGTCTGTAATACATCCCGTTACGTCCCGTGGTAGTGCTAGCACCCAAAAGCATCAGCATGACTCTCAGACAACTCTTCATGACTCATATGATTGATTCGTCATGACTCGATTGCCTAGCAAGTGCTCCGTAAGCAGCAAAGCCTTCGGATAGCGAAGATCCCGGACGGCTTTCTTATCAAGATCGTTCCGGAAAACCACACATGACATGATAACTTGGCTCGAATTGGCCATTTTCGGTGATCTTCGCTGGCTTCCTGTGCACAGGGCTCTTCTCCACGGTCATCGGTGTCATTATCGTAAGCTTTATTATTACTCCGTACATGGTACACCCTGAGAATCTTGCGAATCATTCCGACCAGCTCCATTCCGTGCCATACTCCATAATGCAAAGATACAAATACATCCATTCAGCGCTTATTCCTCATCCTCCTCGTCGCTTTCGTCATCAATGGGTTCGACCAAGAGATTCCCTCCTCGGCCGATCTTGTCCCGCACGGATCCTCCAGCGTCCACTTCGTAGACAACCCGCGGCATAGGCGAAACCAGTCGGAACCCATACTGGTGTTCGAACCCCTCTGGTTTCACCACTTCGCCGGCTTCTTCCGCCGGCTCGTTCAATATATCGTAACACTCGACGAACGCGTAGAGTTCGTCGAGAGGAGCCTCAGGAGCAAACTTGCGGATCACGCGCTCACCGGAAGGCAGTCGAATACTAATACGAACAGCATCCTTAACATCCGGTCCGGGCTCATCCGCGATGGATCGTGCCCGCCACTGTTTCCATTGCGCAAGGTCATGTATCCGCTTCTCCTCAGCCGCTCGGCGTTCGGCTGCCTCTTGTTCTTCTCTTTGACGGGCCGCCTCCTCTTCCCGCCTCTGTCTCGCCCGCTCCCGGTCGATAGCCAGCGAACGCTCGTAGGCGGAGTCCTGCTGCTCTCGAAGACTACGCGATGCCTGTTGCTCTGCCCGTGTAGCCTGGATGCGCTCGAGAGGTTCTTTGTGCTGCGCAATAGCCGACCGGAGTTTCTCCACAAAATCTACCGGGGACGTCGTTCCAGACATCCTCGACACAACTGACATCGCTGTCGAAGAAACATTGGGAGTGTGGACTATAGCAGCTGCAAAGGGGAACTTGGTGCACCGGAGGGAGTTGGCGACCTGATAGGCCTCGGAGTCTTGAACATTTCCTCCCCAGACAAGGATATCGTTCTGTTGGTCATTGACAAAGTCGGTCACTTCGCGGGAAAGGAGAGTGTCTCGAACCCAACCGCTTGTATCATCATGCTCGGGGCCAGAAGCACGACCAGGAGAAATTTGAGGTCCCGGTGGGCCTTCTCCAATGCCATGTTATATCCATTCTCGAGGAACCCGATCGAATTGGTGCCATATTCCTCCTCGAACTCCCGAATAAACCGGGCGGCCGTGTCTTTTGGGCCCAACGCCCGGCGTCCATTAGTGTTCCTCCGGGAGCCTTGAAGAGCAGGGCTTGCTGTCGTATTTAAGAACCGAGGAAGAAAGGGAAACAAGGCCCCGAATAGGCGGAAGGAGCTATAGAGTAACCGGTATAGGAGATTGAGCGGCGTAAACAGAAGAGCCAATAGGAAAGGTGGGCGATAGACCGACTGGTCTTCCGGTTGTGTGGATATCCGGGGAGCCGGTTCAGCGGCACGAGGATTGGGGGAGAATTGTGCCGCAAGGTCATCGCTCATGAGATTCTGAGTCTGCCGGCTGGGTCGCGGGGGAGGGTTATTGAGAGCAGCACGAGCTTCTTCAACGGGATCCGGTCCTTCCCCGTCAAAGAACTTGGAGATGGCGATCTAGGACCAGTACCGCGTCAGACTCTCCAGATCTCTGGAGCTAGTGGACTGTGATGGGCCTTACCTGCACGTTCCATTGTGAGCGGCGCAATAAAGGAATGGCCTCTGAGTGCTCCTGACCCGTGACGGCAATGTAGGTTTCGAGGGTCGACCTCTCGCTGTCGGAAAGCTCCGAGATATCAAGCCCGGAGGATGACATGATCAATTGATGGTTTCATCCATGAACGACGGGTCTGAGGGGGGAAGTGAGGCCAGGGAAACTGGCTTCGGTGATGCGGTATAGCAAGACTCGGGGGTCGTGTGTCAGGAGGGCGTGACGACGTGTCAAATAGAGGGCCTATTCCAATAACAGATACGATAATGGCTTTTCTAGGGCGGGGGAGAGGGAATAAATCAGAGTCGATGCAGGACGGTAGTCGGAGAGAAGATGTAGCTGGAAGAGAGAGCCGGGGAGCTGTTGAGGCCAGCTCCGTCATGGCCGCTTCCAGTTAGCCTTAGACGCGCGCTTGACGCATGGGGTGGTCCGTGCACGGGTACGGAGTTCGACGCACTCCCGTCGAGTTCCCCTCCCCCCTCTGCTGCCCCCCGCGCGCCCTTGGTTCGGATGCTGCCTTGCGGTCTTTGCTTTGCTGCCTTGTCTTCATCCATGGCATGAGATCCTCATCCATTACTGTCTCCGGACGACTCGTCATCGATTGACTCAGTTGTTTATCATCCACCCACCCGGTCCAAAGGGGCGCCAATCTCACCAGCCAGCCAGCCGTCCTTGGCTGTTGCGGAACATTTCCCCTGCCATCAGCCACCATCAGCGACTATCACCTCGACAAGTCGACGAAAGCATCTCGGATTATTAGGCTATTCTACGGGTCTCCTCCGTTGGGGAATGTGGTATCCTCTAGACAGATTAGGTCGACCGGTTTTCTTTGACTCAATGGATATACCTCTCCGTTAATCCGCGCCCAACTGTGGATCCTAAAGAAGTACCATGGCTACCACGGGGAAGTCAGCTACGCTGGATGACGCTCGCCGTGGGACGGGGTCTCCGAAAATGAAGACACGAGGTTAGTCTGGCTATGACTTTGTCGCACGGCATGCCGCTCGGGAGGGGTCAACCAAGCTCCCATCGGCTCGTGCTCGTCTGGACATTCCAACTAACTTTGCGGCATCCTGACCTTCTAGAGAATGCGAAAGACACGCTTTGTCGCAATGTGACCATATATGGTCGATGCCGGTACGAAGATAAAGGTGCGGCGCTATCTCTTACCATTGTTTCACATGACATGCTCGCTGGGATCCGTCTAACCGTCCATTGTTTGTGAAGGGTGCGCCTTCAATCATGACCCGCATAAAGTGAACTCGGCATATCAATCAGATAGGTTGGCACACCCGGGAGAGTGCAGCGTTGATGTCAGAGTGAACGGCAACTCACCAGTTTGGCAGCCATAAGAAGCGGCTCAACGTCGACTCCCCCAGTTTTACTCCATCTATATTATCGTCCAACGGATCGTCCCCCACTACTTCATCAGCGAGCATGAAGAAAATCACAACAATATCGCCCAAGGCTGCGAGCGCAGCTCCCTTTCAACCCAGGAGTATATCCTCACGTACGTCATACCGGGATTGGATTGCGAGGGTTATCTGACCACGATCAGGATCTAACTCGAGTACTCCAACCACCCGACCAGGCACAATGACCCCCGATTGGTCTGTGGCAGAGGTACAAGAATTTGTACCTCAGGGCTTTGATACTTCGCATATGGTAAGCTGGCTGGGGTTCTATTGTCCGGTTTAAGCGCTGTCTCGCAGAGCTAACCGATCGGATCTACAGGGAAATGGCAGCGCTGGTGTTCCCAGCACGAGTGCCTTTGATCCTTTTGTGACTGCCCCAAATCCCCTTTCCGCCGCCAACGCTGTCGGCCCGGTGCAAGCCAATCCATTCTCTCATGACACTGCGGCGGCGCTCAACGGGGCCTTCTTTGCGAACCAGTCCGGGTTCCAGCAGCCTGTAAGTCACCCGAACTTTTGGCCGGAACATTCAAACTCATTGGTTAGGTTCAATATCATCTTTATGCTCCGATCGGGCCCCATAGCCAGAACACACTGGGCTATCAACGGAATGTGCACGACCTCTTCCTGCCGAATGACCTTCGAGAAGAAATGCAGAAGAAGTCGGCAGCGACTCTTCAGACCTTGCCAAGTATGTGACGCCATCAATCTACACGCTTAACGACGCTGACTCGAGATAGATACCCAGCTACCTGCTCAGGTGGATTACTTCCACTCCCTTGTCCCGCTCGATCTTAACCATCAAAAAAATGCCACCATCTTTGGATTCCCCAGTTGGGTTTACAAAGCCCAGTCCAGCAAGGATGGGAACTTCTATGCTCTCCGAAGGCTCGAGGGTAAATATTCCATCAGCTTACCTGGTTCCTTTTGGTATTAACGTCTGCAGGCTTTCGATTGACGAATGAAAAGGCTATCCGCTCCGTGCAAGCCTGGAAACGAGTATGCAACGGCAGTGTCGTGACAGTCCACGATGCATTTACCAGTCGAAGCTTCCAGGACAGCTCGTTGATCTTTGTCACCGACTACCATCCCTTGTCGAAGACGCTTGCGGAGCAGCACCTCGGGGCAGGAAACCGGTTCCAGGGGCGCCATAACACGCACATCCCGGAACAGGTCATCTGGGGTTATATGACTCAGATCGCCAATGCTCTCAAGGCGATTCATAGCAACGGGATAGCTGCCAGAATCATTGACGCCAGTAAGATTTTGCTGACTGGGCGGAACCGCATTCGTCTGAATGCCTGCGCTGTCATGGACGTTGTTCAGTTCGACACGCAGCGATCGGTGGCCGAACTGCAGCGGCAGGATCTCGTCAATTTTGGGCAGCTGATCGTCACCTTGGGCGCCAACCAGCCCACTGTGATGCACAACCCTACGAAGGCGATGGAGCATTTCACGCGGGCGTACAGTCCGCAACTGAAGAACTCGGTCTTTTGGCTGCTCAACGGGCTGCAGAAGGACCAGGATCGCAACATTGATATCTTTATCACGGGCATCTCGTCGCAGTTGATGTCGACTTTTGACTCGGCTCTACACCTGGATGACCAACTCACGTCAGACCTGAGTCGCGAACTCGAGAATGGGCGCCTCGTGCGACTGATGACGAAATTGAACTTTGTGAACGAGCGTCCAGAGTATGATCATGATCGGCAGTGGTCCGAGAACGGGGAGCGGTACTTCCTGAAGATCTTCCGGGACTACGTCTTCCACCAAGTGGATGCGCAGGGTGACGCGGCGGTTGATCTGGGCCATGTGTTGATGTGCCTGAACAAGCTGGACGCGGGGTCTGACGAGAAGATCACGTTGGTGAGCCGGGATGAGCAGAGTTGCTTTGTTGTCAGCTATAAGGAGCTCAAGAAGGCTCTGGAGTCGTCCTTCCAAGCGCTGTTGAAGCCGTCAGGGCGACGGCTTCACTAGGCATCTTCTACGGAAGGTGGATATATAAGTGAACGGATAGTGTTACGAGATCACGACAGCCGATGCCTCGTGGAGGAGCAGGGGTTTCCTATGTCTGGCTCGATCTTGGTGAAGCCCGGATGGAGGCAGGGACATATACATGAAGATAAGACGCCATTGTTAGAAATGTAGTTGCTTTTATGCTTGAATACCAAACATATATCAATTTACAGTTCAGTCGATCCCTCACCCATATAGTCATAGTCAAATTCATCCTCATCCTCATCCTCCTCATCAACAAACCCCACCAACCTCCTCTTCAACTCCTCCATCCCAATCTCCCCCTCCATTTCCTCTTCCTTACCCTCATCCACAACCCTCCCCTCCACCCTCCTCGGCGGAACCAACACCCTATCCAAAACATGCCCATTCCCCTCCTCCGCCACCAGATCCGCCACCTTGACACGCTGAAACCCATTCACTCGAAGCGAAGCATACGGACCGAACCGACCCACATCAACAATCACATCCCCATTCCCATCTCCCTCCCCATCCCCACCCTCATCACAATGCTCCCCAGACAAAAGACTCTTCAACGTAACCCTCACCAACCCCTTCAACCCAAACCCCACCACCTCCCCATCCCTCCTATACAACGTATCCGAATACAACGTCTCCCTCGGAACAATATGATATTTGACCAACGCGGCGAGATATTTCAACCCCCGGGGTGAATTGAACAACCATGCTGAGGTGAGCTTGGAGAATGTGTGCTCGAAGGCCACGTTATTTGGTATGAATAGTGTTAATCCGCCCTTTTCTTCTTCGTCTCCTTTTTCTTGGGGATCGGAAGAGGAAGAGAAATGAGTGGCAGTGGTGGTGGTGGTAAGATTCAACCACCCATCCAAGCCCGTTTTGTATAGTGCTAATACAAACGTGCTGAATTCCGTAGGGACGAGGTTCAGGAGCGTTAGGGATGGGAGAGGTGGAAGGAGGACGGAATCGATGTGGTAGAGGTTGCCGTTTGAGGCGCGGTGGTCGAGGGAGGTGATGTGGGCGTAGAAGTTCAGGGTGAGGCCTTTCCAGGTTGGGTGGATGGTGAGGCGTTGCGGGAGAGAGTTGGTGGAGGGGGTGTTTGGGGGGTGAGAAGCGCGGAGGTTAGGGTTGTGGGGAGGGTGTGGGTGTGGAAGAGGTCGGCGGGGGAGTAGGTGCTGTTGATGGTGTGGTAGGTTAGGATGGTGCGGATGAAGGACTTGGGGGGGTTGCGGTGATGGTCGTGGTCATCGTTTTTGTTGTTGTTATTGTTGTTGCTGGTGTGGTGGTGGGGGTGATGGTGACGGTAGTGATGGTGAATTCGGCGGATGGCGTCGTCGGTTGGGGCGAAAAAGGTTAGGTTGGATGAGGTGGTGTTGAGGAGGTCGGTGAGGTCTTGGTCGTGGCTGATGAATTTGGCGAGGATGGTGGTGTCGGGGTCGGAGAGGATGAGGTCGTAGAGACTCTTGTTGGAGGGCGGATGGCGGTGGAATGGGGGTGGAGAGGGATGGCGGAAGGGCGGAGGTAGTTGGGACAGGGACTGGGGTAGAGTCGAGGTTTCGGTGCTGTCGAGGTCGTCGATGTAGCTGCTCCAGGTGTCGGTCGTGGAGTGGTGCAGGGCACAGGCTAGCGAGGTGGTTAGGCTGTCGAGGTCGAGATTATCCAGATCGGGTTCGATATCGATATCGATATCGACATCGTTGGTGGCATCCTGGAGAGGTACTTGGGGGTGGTGGAGGGCGGCGGAGAGAGGGAGGGCCACGAGGGGCCAGAGGGGGAGTTTCATTCTGTCGTGACCACTGGTAGACAGGCTATGTGCAAGATGTTGATATGTACGGGGGGTGGAGGTAGATTATGTGTTGTGTTTTGATGTTTGTGTGTTGGATGTTGGATATTGGAGATTGGACATGATGGAGATATATTTAGATGGACGATCCTGGATGACGATGCGACTATCTACGATCGAGACTAGCTCCAGGCCAATCGAAGGGCCCAGACCAAACTTAGTCCGTCGCGTCGTCAGCTTAACTGCACACACAAGGTTCATGACGACATCCACTGATGTCATGTCCAGTCATGACTGACAGACAATACTAGTAGTCTACGACTCAAAGATACAGATATACCCATTGTCTACCCATGATTGATTATTTTGCTCGGTGTATCCGCGCATCCCAATGCACATACAAGATCAACGCTCAAGGCGCACATAATACATTTCATCATCGGCCTCGTAGTGTAATCACCGCTCACAGCGGACTCATCAACAGATAGACGTGGACTCAACGACCATATCTCTGGATCGTGAGGTCGACGACTGCCGAGCAGCCATCTCGTCATTCATCACGCGACGGCGCCACGGCTGGTTCAAACGGAGCCTAGCGCAGGCCCATCTAGCTACTGCATGTCTATCGAAACATGCTTACTCTTCGGGCTGCACGAAAGGATTGGCGATTTCCTCGCTGCCGTCGGCGGGGGAGATCAGGACAATGAGAGTACCACGGGCCACGATCAGGCCAAGCGAGCGGGTGTTCTCGTTACCCTCGTCATCTGGGTTCATCAGTAAAGTATATGGTAAAGGGAGTGAGGACACCTACCGCGCATGCCTTCCTTGACATCATCCAGGACCAGGTTCATAAGCTGGTCGTATCCCTTCAGAAGACCAGTAACTAGAGTGGGTGAGCAAGAATTACAATACAAGGGAGATCAGAATAATAGCATACCCTCGCGGCCACCGTTAAACTTAACGCGCACCTCCTTGTCCATGTACTTGTTGAGGTCGAGGATGTTTTCCTTCTTGGGCTTCTCCTGCTGCTGCTGAGCACCGCCACCGGCACCGCCACTCTTGTGGGCGCCACGACCGCCGGCGCGGTCATAACCTCCGCCGCGGCCGCGGGCACCTCCACGGAACGAACCTCTTTCGGACATGCTTGGCTGGGGGTTAGAGTGTCGTGGGAGTAGATGTGTGGGTTGGGTTGGGCCAATTAAAGTGGTGTTGATTAGATAATGCGGTGTCGGGCAAAAATGAGGGAAGGAGGGGAAAGCAGACGGGATGGCAGAGTCGGAGTGATTGGGATGTGAAACTGAGGTGGGATCAGAAATGGCACCGGTGTGGACGAAAACTAGATTGGACCGACGGGGATTCACGGGGCGGAAAGGATAGGATGGGATGGGATGGATGGATGATGTATGAGGGATTTTTGCAGCAGAGCAGCAATATTACCTACCAGACAACCAGACAACCACCGCTGCAACTCATGAGGTGCTCGGCTCAGGTCACGGGGTCGACGCTGGGAGGAAAACTCTTTACGGGTGACCCGGTACAAAACCGAGCCTGTCACGCGGCTGACGCTGACGGTACCTGACCACCGGGCCGGCCTAGCGTGTATCATGGCCTGGGGCTGGCTGGAACACGGCCAGTGTCGGACACGCGCCAAATTTCCTCCCTCCCTCTTGCTTGCTTGCTAGTTGCACTATGAGCGCTTTTTAGGCAGCCATCTTCACCCTGCCGTACCTTGCACAAGAGAAACTCTCCCGTCACTTACCTATATCCCCCCCCGTCAGTCTAGCGTCCGAAAATGACCGTGTAGGACGGCGTGGTGGTACGGAAGACGGAGCTCAATGTTCGTCTTGCTTCGGCTCACTACGGGCGGAGCGCGACCCCCGTCCGAAGGATGAGCTGGCCCAGGCCGGCTTCCGGGCGGCTCCCCTGTGCAAACCCTTCAGGTTGACCTTGTTATCACGCCAACCAGATGGACCCATTGGTCCAGTCTCGGCAAAGACGGGGCATCCATCCCCAACCAAAGGACAACATGTCGATACTCGATAGCGGTCGTGGTGCTATACCTAGTTACCTACTAGATACCTGGTGGTCCGTCCGCAAGGGGCAGTTGAAACCCCAGACGCATGCGCTTGGGGTCGGAGCAATGCTGATAAGGGAGGATTGTCGGAGATGCAGCTTCGGGGGTGCTCTGCTTCGGTGCTTCTCTCTGCGTCAGTCCTCTGCAGACCAATCAATAGCGGGCCAGCGGCAAGGCCATCTACCACAAACATGGGAACCTTCGATGACCGGGCCCAAGGCGTAATACTCAGAGAGTAAGTAGGAGTGTAGGACAGGCCATGGCTGCCCCGGTCTGGACTGGCCCCGGGCTGATAACGGTGCGGTGTATGACAGTATGGTCATGACGGGTCACGCTCACCGAATGGCCAGCGGAACAGCCCGGCGGGACTCCGCCCTCCCTTAGGTAAGCCGCAGCCGGTCATTCGTCCTCTGAGACAGAAACAAGAACTGAACTGAACTAGAGTGAAGTCAAGTCTTTCTGATCTTTCACAGTCTTGGGGAGAGTCAACCTAGTCGGGTTGGATCTGGGGATGGTCTGCAATCTCAACTATCAACCGATGCGCGGGTCCCAACTAATCAAACCCAACACCCGCGGGGAGCCCATCCCTATCGTCGCAGCGTGATCAGGCTACCATTTGTTTTGCGGAAGATCGCCATCGCCCACTTGCAGGCCCTTCCTTAGCAGCTTAGCTCGGTCCACTCGGCATCGGCCATCCAGCTACCAATGAGGAGGGGGGCTGCCAACTGCCTGGAATCTCCATCCATCCATCCTCTCGCCCGTTCCGCCATCCGCAGCGTCACCAGCAGCCATTTGGCTCGTTCATTGGCCACCCCTTCCACCGTCCCGTCCCTGCATTCTATCTTTCTACTCTCAGTCTTTAGGTCCTCTGGGCTACTAGTCTTGACTAGCAACTGGCAATTCCTCTTATCCTGTCAGTGCCTTTTTTATTATTATTATTATTATCTACGTACCAGAACCCTCCGACCCCAACGAGGGCTCCGACTCCGTACTAACCCGCCTAACGGCTCCTCGTCTCTCGTCCACCCGGTGTCTCTCTGTCTGTCTGTGTCTGGTTCGTCCTCCTAACTTTCCTTCTTGCCTCCCCCCCATCTCCTCCTCCTCCTCCTCTTTCTCCTCTCCGTCCTGTCCTCGACTCCTCTCCTCCCCCATCCCCCCGTTCTTCTCTCTTCTCCTCTCCCTCCCTCTCTCCCTCTCCCACATTTCCACCCTTCCTCTACCCATCCTCTGGATTCTTCCTCAATCTCTTTTTCCTCCCCCACGTTTTCCAATTTCCCACCCACTGATCTCATCTCTCCCCTCATTTCCCAAGATTTTCGTTGGGGTCGCGATTACCTAACTCGAAAGTAGCACGCGCAGCCCAGTGGCTGAACCTGAACCCGCACTCTGGAGCCTGATGCTCCGCCATCGGCAGCCCGTCTTTCGCCAGCGTTCTCATTACTCATTCCCTCGAAATCTATAAACCCTTTTTCTCCCCCCTCCCCGCCCCGTATTTTCTCCTCGCGACTCCTCGCTTTGTTACAATTTCCCTTTCTCTGGTCGCTTTCCTCGCCTGGCATCGCCATGGAGTCCAGAACCGCGACGGCTGAGCCGTCCAGTAAACGGCCTCGTTCTCCTTCCGGCGATTTCGCTCCTATCGCGTCCAAAGTTCCCAAGACGCATTCCAATCACCTGCAGATCAACTACCTGGCCCGGCAATACCCGGACAACCTCCCCCTCGTCTCGATCGATGACAACATGACCGCCATCATCCATCTCATTGGCGAATACGATGGAGTCCTACAGCGGCACGAAAGCATCGCCGGCAATTTGGGCGCGTGCCCTCTGGGACCCATCCTGATCAAGCGCTTCGAGCGCCTGTTTGACGGGCCGCCCCGCGTTCTCAAATCGCATGGCAAGGACTCGCCCAATGTGACTTGGCTGGATGTGGTCGAGTTTGCCAAGAACAAGCCCGAGCAGTTCAATCTGGAGAAGTCCCGCAACGGGGTGCGGGTCTGCCAGTTTTACACCAAGCAGTGTCGGGTCGAGATTAGTGAGGAGGACTTTGTGTTGATCGCATCGGGTATGCCGCAGAAGATGATTCCTCCGCAGCCGATCATCGAGGACGAAGAAAAGGAATTGGGCGCATTGGAGATTCTGGAGAAGAATCTCCTACATATCATCCAGGTGGCCGACCAGGGTACGCACTCCGTCTAGTCCTACCAGAGCCCAAGTCTAATCCAACTCGTTAGTGTCCGCCCGCGCCCGCCAACTCAACCATCGCCTGAAGAATCGCCGCACGGCGATTGTTACGCGTCGGGAGAACGACACATCTCTCCATTCGCAACAACATCGCTCCATCAGCCCGGCGTGGCGCGAGGCCAATGGCCATGGCCAGAACCCACTGAACGGCAGCACCCCGGCCAGCGCTCAATCTCCCTCCACCGGCTTTGTCGCCGTGAATACCGGCCGGCCCGGCGCGGGCGAAGCCATGGTGGAGGAGAATGCGCTGTCGTCGCAGTTCATGTTCTCGCATTCCAACACGGACAACGTGACCATCATCAACGGCACCTCCATCAAGGGTGCTTCGCCGACGACGCGCGCCGAGCTGATGAAGAAATTCTTTACTACGCAGGACCGCCAGGCGCGCAGTTACGAAGAGGGGCCCGATTCCAGCAGCCGACAGTCCTCCCGGCCCCGGCCGCGAGCGTCGGATGCAGCCGACTACAACATGTTCGCCTCGGCCCCGGCTACGGTGGCCATCCCCAACACACCATCCTCGCTCCTGCCCCCACCCAAGTCCCACCACCACGAGAAAGACGATGGGGGCCCGCACAAGATGGAAATGGTGGCCCGCATGGAGGAGCTGCAGCGGGGCGAGCGCATCCTGCCGCCCTGCGATCGGTGTCGCCGGCTGCACATGGATTGCCTGAAGAACCTGACGGCGTGCATGGGGTGCACCAAGAAGCATGCCAAGTGTTCCTGGAAGGATGTCAAGGAAGACGAATTGCGCGAGACCCGGGTGGACCGCACGTCCCGGGAGCGGGCGGAGGACCCGCCGTCAAAGGAGGTGTCTTCGCCCAACCCCTTGCCCACTCCCGTGCCGGCGCCATCATCCGTGGCCCCGACTCCCGTCACTGGGCCGATGTTGTTGGAGGCGGAACGGCATCGGGAGGCTGCGCGGCACCGGGAACTCGAGCGACATCGCGAGCGCGAGCGCGAGCGGGAGCACCACCGGGAGCATGAGCGGGAGCATCATCGGGAGCATGAGCGCGAGGGCCCGTCGGAGTTCAGTGTGCGCCGCGAATCTGCGCCAACGGCGGGTCCTGTGGCGGGGATGGCGCTGGCGAAGGAGGTATCGCCGCGGCGGGCGATGAGCGAGATGCATGGGAGCAGCGTGGTGAGCCATGACCGGCGGGTCAGCCTGCATCGGCACGCGGAAGCAGAGGATGACGATCCGGATGCGAACCAGCGGCTGATGCAGGCGATCCTGGACACGGTGGATCACCACTCGAGGGTGGCAGCGGCAGTCAAGGAAGGACATGAGGTGAGCAACGAGCGGGAGCGCGAGCGCGAGCAGGAGCGCGAACGGGAGCGGAAGCTAGTGCGGGCATAGTTGGGTGTACATTGGGAGGAGTTGTATCTAGGGTTTTTGATTGAGCGAGTTAGCGGATATCCCGGGTTTGAATTGATGATTGCATGCCTGTATACCTGGGCTGGATAGTTGGAGTTGTCTGTTGCATGTCGGAGTTAATCATTGCCGCAGGGGCGCGAACTGCCGATGGATGATCCGCTGGCACCCCGCGGATGGTACGGTACACAGTACTTCAGCATATGTAGATACATGACTATGTACTCGTACATGGATGGCCAATGCTGCATCACCCCACCCTGTCGATCATTTCCGGCCACTCTCCTGTCATTACTTGGTCGTCAATAATGGCCAGTATGAATAATGAGTGAGGGTAAGTAAGGATGAAATCGGAAATGGGCATAGCCGATCGGCTGAGTGATGCTTACGTAGGCCCCCATCCGGAGGGATCCAGCCAGTCGGCGGGCGTCACCCACAATACGGTGTAATCATGTAATGGCTAGCCCGGTCTGGAGTGCAGCAATGTGGGGGAAATCCACCCCGCAGGTGGGCGTTCCTTCCTAGTTCAACTTTCTATACTTCATTGACTTCCACTATCCCTCCCTCGTTCCTTCCTCCCCACAGCAACATCCCCTCTTAATGGTCTCTGCTCTCCCTTCTTCCATCTCTTTCTCTTTCTCTTTCTCTTTTTCTATCTCTCTCACCTCCTCTTTCTACCCATCCAATTGACCCCGAGCAAATCATCCCCCATACTTATATATCCCCACAAACATCCCCAGCAAGAAATAAAAATGGACCCCAGCGACGTCACCATCCCCCCAATGAAAGACCTCACGGTCGACAACATCACCGAGAACGTCATCCAGATCAACTCCCTTTGCAAAGATGAGCGAATGAAGTATGTCCTCGAACGACTAGTTACCCACCTCCACGACTTTGCGCGTGAGACGCGCCTCAGCACAGACGAGTGGATGACGGGATTACGGTTCCTCACGGAAGTGGGGAAGATTTGTTCGGATGTGAGGCAGGTAAGAAACCATTCCATCCAATATCCCCTCTCCACCTCAGAAATAGCCAACCCAATTCAAATGGCATAAAATGAACCAATGAACAGGAATTTATCCTCCTCTCCGACATCCTCGGCCTCTCCATCCTCGTTGACTCTATCGACCACCCCAAACCTCCCCACAGCACCGAAGGTACCGTCCTCGGCCCCTTCCACACCCATGACGCCGCGCCCCTCGCCCCGGGCGCCTCCATCTCCCACGATCCCGCCGGCGAACCCCTCCTCGTCGTCTGCACCATCCACGACACCCACGGTAACCCCATCCCCAACGTGAAGATCGATATCTGGGAAACCGATTCCACGGGCCACTATGATGTGCAGTACCCGGGCCGGGAAGGGCCCGATGGCCGCTGCGTAATGACCAGTGACAAGGAGGGAGTGTTTTGGTTCCGTGCGATTACCCCAGTTCCGTACCCAATTCCGCATGATGGGCCGGTGGGGAAGTTGTTGAAGAAACTTGGCAGGCATCCGTATAGGCCGTCGCATATGCATTTTATGTTTGAGGGGGTGGGGTTCGATCATTTAATTACGTGGGTTTTCCCTTTTTTATCTGGATTTGGAGGGGGGGATGATGAATGCTAACTGGTGCTGGGTGTGCAGAGCCCTTTATCTCCGCAGCGATCCTTACGAAACCTCCGATGCTGTCTTCGGCGTCAAAGACTCCCTTGTGGTCGATATCGGTCGCGCGGGTCCGGAGTACGCGGCCAAATACGGCGTCGCTGAGGATCATGCTCTGCTCACATACGACTTTGTTCTGGTGTCGGACGAGGAGACGAGCGAGCTGCGCGCCAGGAACTCCAAGGAGGCGCTGGATAAATTGGGCCGCAAAGTGCGCATTGTCAATGGGTTGCCGGTGCCGGATCTGGATTGATCTAGGTCATCTTGTTCGTCATATATCATTCGTCCATTAGAATGTGGTATTGTATCTTATGCGGTTGTTGTATATACATCATTCATGATCCATGTCAGGTGGCGGCATCCGCCCCCACCATGTCTCCAAAGTCACTCCCCAGGTCTTTTGCCTCCTCGGCCTTGGCAGCGCCCTCCTTCAGTCGTCGTAACCCTCCCTCATCCTCCACCCAACCCCCGACCTTTTCCACCCCGGCAATGTACTCCGTCCCGATGCGCAGGTTCAGTCCCGCGCTGAGCGCCCGTTCGATCCGCACCTCACGGCCCTCGGAGATTAGCACCCGGAACACATGCCCCAAAAACCCGCTCAGGATATCCACGCTCCAGTCATCCGGCACGACGCGCAGCACCTCGCCCACGTCGAACCACGCCGCAAACCGACCCAGCAGGTCGCTCGTCCGCTCGATCCGCTCCGACGGATCCTGGATGTGCAGGAACTCGTCGAGCAGGTAGCGGAAGAGCTCAGATTGCAGGGTTCGGTCCGCGAACTCGGCCAGCGCCCCCGTCGAGCTGGTGCTGCGCGGCCCACCAAAGAGGCAGTACCGCACCGCCGAGTCGTAGTCGCCCAGTCCGTGCGTCAACAAGTGAAGAGCCTCGCGGTGGCGGCCCTGCAGTCCATCGAGTATCACTGACTCTGACACGAGCTCTTTCTGGAATGGCTCGATGCGCGCTAGGACTGCCGGGATGGAGTAGGTTAGGTTGCGCGACGGCAGTGAGGAGAAGTGCCCGCCGCTGCCGCCGCCGAGTAGTTGTAGGAGTCGAAGCCGTGATTGCCACCATGGCTCTGCTGGCGTGTTCTCGGTAATGAAGTTCATGTATGTTGGCTTGGGTGGTTGGAGTGCGCGATATGTAGAGTATGATTCTGCGAGCGAGGCTCGGGCCTCTGGAGAGGACTCGAGAACGGAGAGCACGGTGTCCAGGTAATAGGAGAGCAGGTCGTCCGCGTATTGAGTGTGCTAGAGTTTGTTAGCATGGATTTATTGAAAGGATGGTGAGTGAGCTTACGTTTCGGACAAAGACGAGGTGTTCCAGGTACGCTTGGACTGCGTTGGGCGCGTGCTCTTTAAGCAAGCGGACAACATCTAAGGTCTCCAGCTTGACTCGGCTCGTCCCGTCAGAGAACACCTGTATGCCCAGGGTGGGGTTGCGCTGGGCGAGCCATGCTCCGTACTCCTCAACTAGCTGCACGTCTTTAATCTTGACCAGGTACCGGCGCATCTGCGCCTCCGTCCCAGCGATAGTAACCTCACCGCCGCGGTCTTCCTCGCCTTCGATGATGCGCCGCCACGTCTTGAGGACGTTTCGCGACATCTTCTGACTCTGATACAGTCGGCTCAGCACAAAGAGTCGCCGGTAGCTTTCTAGTAACGCCACCGCCCGGTCAAAGTTGCCCTTCCAGTTGTCCACCAGGCGGTTCAGTTCCGCGCGGATTGAAGAGTGCGAGCGCTGTTCGGCCGACATCTGTGCGTCTTGCTCTAGAATCAGGTGGAGGATGGCCGCATCGACGCTGTCAAAGACATACGTCTCATCTGTGATACTGCCGTAACCCCTCTTTTGTTGCCAGGAGAAGAGGAATCGCTTGAGCATGTCCAGGACCGCGCTGTCAGAAATACTGGAGTCTGTAGTCTTCTCGAGCTGCTGGACATAGGCCTCCGTAATTTCCGCCAGACCGGCATGAACCCAGATTCCCTGCGGGCCCTGGAGAACCTCGCGTCGCAACAAGGGGACCAGCAGCAAGGCGATGCGGGGATCCAGGTTCCCGACGATGAGAGCTCGCTCCGTGTCGTCGATAATCGTGGTTTTCCGCACAGCCGGGTCCATGAACACGAGATCCGCAAAAAGAAGTAAACTTGCTTTCTGCTTCACATAATTCAATCCCAGGAATTCCGACTCGGACTTGGGCTCTGTCGTCTGCACGTGATGGATAATATCGGCAATTGCATTCCTGTTGAAGGCCCTTGAGTCGCCAGTGCCAGCCTCTTGAGCATTTTGCAGAGCATCGTTGAGCTGTGTGGTGAGTGGGTTTCTCACCACCCGCCAGATCTGGTTGCCGTTCCACATCACCATGCTGCTCTGCGTTTGGCCCAATTCACGCGCAAACCTGGCTTCTTCGGCATTTCGCTCCACCTCCCAGCCATGCTCGCCTTTCTTCGAGCCGTCCGAGTCGGTCACCTGGGCCTCGGATAGCTCCTTTTCCTTCTGTAGTTGTTCGATAGATGCTTGTGTTCTCGGGTCATGTGCGGGCACATGGGGCGACAATAACGGGGTTTTCAGACGAACCATGCGCAGCAAGTCCCCTAACTCGGATATCTCGAGCTTGCTTGGGCTGAGCGTGTGACATAGGCCAACCGGGGTGGGTTGCGTGTCGTGGGTGGACGGGATTTCTACCCAGGTTTTATGGTCCTCAGCCTCCGCGGGATCGACATCCCAGAGCTGTACTTCCAAGAACTTCCGTGGTTGGCCATCTGTTTCTGACTCGATGACAGCAAGAAGAAGCTCCTCGTGCGTATTCTCCGGGGATGGTATCATGTGGTTTTCGTCGCCCTTGTCAATCACAATCGACTCCGGATACTTGTGAAACGTTATCGTGCCGCGAACCACATCACCGTCGACGTTGACAAACATGCCAACTCCAGGCTCGGTCGCATCGGTTCCCCTAACGAGCAGGAACTCCGACGGGGTTGGTGACAGCACATGAGGCTTCAACTGTGTGGGTGGCTGCTTTGGTACGGCAGGGAGCGGTTTTCGATCATCTGGGCTGGGCTGCGAGTCGCGGGCTGAGTGGGCGGGAGATATTCTTGGGGAAGCACTTTCTGCTCGGTCCTTCGAGATTGACCGTCTCGGAGTCCCTGAAACGGGAGATAGCTCGGGGGTGACTGAGGTTGACCTATCGTGTGGGGTAGGCTGGGATTTCGGCTGCAGCATCCCCGCGAACGTGTTGGGACCAAAGCTTCTGTCATGCGCGTGGTTCTCCGCCACAGGTGAGCTCGCAAAGGGGGATGATGGGGATCTCGCTTCCATCTGACCCGCCTCGGACATCTCGCTAGAGAATGAGACAGGAAACAATTGGATCTTCTGCTGGTTTTCCACGTCCAGCAGCGAGTATGCATGTGTATCAGCAGCGCAAGCGATAGGGCCTCGTCGCGACGCCACCAGGCACCCGGGAAACTCGATGTTCCTTATTCGTCGAGCATCATCGCCAATCCTCACCAGCATGATTCGATTCGAGGCCGCGATCATGACTACCGGGCTCTCAAACTCCTCCGCTGCGTTCAAGTCCAGCCCCCCAATCCAACGACAACTGCTAACCTTGGTGTTGCCGAAGGCCGGGCTGAGCTCCGGCAACATGTAGAAGGTGGCCGTTCCATTGCAGAGGACACAGGCCTTGTTCACCGTCGGAAGTAGCACAATCTGTTGTATCCCGGGCAGTTTGGCTGATGATGTCTGGGAGAAGGGAATTGGTAGTCTCGATGCGAGGATAAATGAGGGCTCGTTCGACTTGTCCGAGGGGTCCGGTGGGAGGCAGACGAAATGCAGGATCTCGGCGGCAGAGGTACCGATATACAGGTTGTCATCTAGAAGTGCCTGATTAGCAGTGTTTTCCCGTAGGCCATCGCAACACCCACTCCAATACTCGACCCAGGTAATGTGAACATCGTCGTCATCATTGTCGGCATTCAAGGGCACTTGGTCGAAGAGGGATCGAAACACGTAAGGCGCTGCTTTGGGAGGGCCAATCTTCCGGCGTTTGCGCGGGCTGACGCCCTCCTCTTCCGACACCATGGTGAGGCCAGCTCGGTGTCGTGTGAGATGTGGTGCCTGACGGAGTTGGAAGAGTGAGGGGACGGAAGATCAGGAACTGAGAGGAGCTTCAGTGCTTCAGTGCTTCAGTCGGGCGACTTTGGTCGGGGTGGACCCGCCCGGGGTTAGCTGCTGACTCAGGTGGACCCGCTGCCATCGGCGATCGCCCAGGCTGCTACGGAGTATAATATAGTTAGTGGTGTCTATGGTCCTAATCCTGTGGGATACACGAAGATAACAGTGGGTGCTGGTGGCTGTCAATGGAATTATTTCTGTCCGTTGGTCTGGGTTGAAATGGTGGGCGAAATGGCTGGTGGGATGTTATAGATCAATTCATGCAGTCTCAATGGACAGCCTGGCCGGCTTCATCTCACCCGAGTGAAGGAGCAGACTTTAGGTTGCAGCGTATCACAATAGCACATATGATGCATCGCAAGCCACCGCCTGGCCGGAATCTCTCTGGCCTATCCTTGCCTAAAAAAGGCCATATCCGAGACGAACGTGGCCAAAGTTGCTATTAATAACGGGGCTGAATCACGATAGACTTGGACCTGTCGGCGTTGTATCCAGGAGAACCTCATTTTGCACCGACCAAGTGCTGCCCACCACTACCTATCGACATTGCTGACGCTCCAGCATCCTATCCATTATCTATATTGCAGGTTGTTGTTGTCACGCGCTCGGAAGATCATCGGCCCGGTCGGCGTGTCAGGGCCTCCGCATCGCTGTAGTTAACTGGCTTCATTTACTTGTCACTCTCCGGATAGTGGTTGCCGGTCTGGTCTCGGATGGGGGTGTTGCGCTGACTTTCGACTTTCTGAGGCGGTTCGATACCCGAAATCTTCAACATGGACGCCTTCGCCATCACGGAAGGCATTGTCCCTGAGAACAACCAGGATGCCCACAACTCCGAACCGGCCGCCGCCAAGTTACCGGAAGGAGCTAACAAGTTCCAGCGTGCCATTGCGGCCTGGAGAGGTCCGTTGCCTTGCCCACACTTCCCCCAGTTCAATCGGCCAGTCACTAACCACTCAACTTGATGTAGGTATTGATCTATCCAACACCGTCGCAAAGCTAGACAGTACCGCCTCCGACATCGTCGCTGAGCAACGCGATGCACTCGTCCAGCGAAAGGACCTCGCGCAGAAGACGAAGGACTTCCGAAAGCTCGATGACGCCTCGAAACTGACAGAGTATAAAGGACTCCTGAAAGGTCGGTCATATTTCAACCGCAACCGCCGCAGCCGGCGCTAACAGCCAGACAGCTTACCAGGGGTTTATCGATCTCCTCACGAACCAGGGAAAGGCCTCCTCGTCCGCGTTCTTGCAGCTATACTCGTCCTTGTCCGAAGCGCCCGACCCCTATCCTCTTCTCGAAGCATCCATCGATTCCCTCGTCCACTCCGAAGAAACCGTCCCCAAATTGACCTCGGAGCGTGATCGGCTGCAAGGCTCTGTCGACCGGCTCACCTCTCAGTTGGAGGATACCGAAAAGCGCCTTCAGGAGGAACGAGCGGCGAGAAAGGAGCTAGAGGATAATCAAGAGTCGAAGATCAAGGAAGTCGAGGAGTCGTGGTCTGCGGTGCTGTCGGAGAAAACGAACAATTGGACGGCCAAAGAAAAGAGCCTGGAAGAGAAAGTGGAGAACCAGGAGCGCTTGGTCAAGGAACTGAAGGCAAGCTATGAGGTATCACAACGCTTGGGCCAGGAAGATGAGGGTGGCGATGGTGCCCATGGAGCGAGCGCGGCGGAGCTGGAGCTGGTTTCCGCCGAACTGGAGAAGACGGGCTTGAGGCTGGCCGAGGTCGAGGCAAGGAATGAGCAACTGACGCTCGAGCTGGCTCAAGCCGTCTCTCACTCGCAGTCGGGTCACCCAGCGTCCGTCGAGGATGATCCTGCTTATCTGCGCCTTCAGTCGGAGAACTCTTCCCTCCTGCGCAAGCTTGATGCTGCCCGGTTCGATAAGGAGTCCGAGCGACACTCGTGGGAATCCAAATACTCGCAGGTTGAGAGGCAGATCACCAACATTACCGTGGAGAAGGAAGAGCTGCGCTCGAAGTTGGAGAAGGTGGCCGATTACGAAGATATCCGTCGTGAACTGGAAATGATCAAGGTGGGTATTGCAATGTTCGAAGCCCGATTCATTAGCTAACATGTGTGTAGTCTATTGAATTCTCTCCCGGTGATGATGATGACGCTGCCGATCTTACAGACACTGCAAATGCCAATGGCGCAGCCACCAAGGCCCAGGATGGTTCCAAGAACAGGAACAGCCTGGAACAGCTTTTGATGGTCCGGAATAAGAAGCTAACAGATGAGCTCACTATTCTGCGAGTATCCCATCGCGACCTACAGGGCCAGCTCGAGGCGCTCCGCGATGGCCTCTCGACCACGAAAGAGGAGCTGGAGAAGTCTCAGAAGCTGTCCACCACGCTCGAAAATGATCTTCTCCGAGTACAGGAGGAGGCTGCGAACGCATTCCCATCGTCAGCCATGTCGGTAGCAGGCACCTACACCTCGAAGTACCCGCACTCATCCCGCCGGGGAGCTGTATCTCCCACTTCCTCTATCATCTCGGGCTTTGACCAGTCCGCCGCTTCCGCCAACGCCATGGATTCAATCCGTGCCGGAGAGCCGGTCGGAGGCGGCTCGGGTCTTTTGCCTATGATTCAAGCCCAGCGAGATCGCTTCAAGAAGAAAAATGCGGAGCTGGAGGAAGAGCTGTCGAAACTTTACGGTACGGTGAAGTCGCTGAGACAGGAGGTGGCTTCGCTGCAGAAGGACAACCTCAGCCTGTATGAAAAGACGCGGTATGTCTCGACATACAACCGTGGTCCAGGCGCATCATCATCGGCCTCCGCCTATGCGAACAAGCCTAGTACTTCTTCCATTCACCCGTCCGCGGATACACCATCAGGGCTTTCCCTCGATCGGTACCAATCAGCGTACGAGGCCCAGATTTCACCATTTGCTGCTTTTCGGGGCCGCGAGTCTACCCGTGCATACAAGCGCATGAGCCTGCCCGAGCGAATCGTATTTTCTCTCACCAGAATTATTCTCGCCAACCGGACCAGCCGGAACCTTTTCGCGGGCTACTGCTTTGCCCTGCACATTCTTCTCTTTGTCGTGCTGTACATGATGAGTAGCATGGAAATTGAGAAGCACAGTAGCGCGAGCCTGGGTGCAGCGGCGGCGGCGGCCATGGCCGGTGGAGGAGGTGGCAGCGGCAGCGGTGTTGGTGGTGGCTATGGGGGCCAGCAGCTCCATGGCGATGACTGGCAACAGGAAGGTTTTAACCACGCCAGTTAATCTTATGACTCATTGTATTCTTAGCCCGTTGGGAGCGACGAATCATTCAGTGGCGTTTGTTGGTGGGCGGTTACGATCTGGTGCTGACTTTTTCTATGTGAATATCCTTTGTTCTTCTACAATGCAAATACTTCTCTATGCTTCTGTTGCTCGTTGACCTTCGAAAATGCGTCAGTCCTAGGCCATTCAGGTCTCGTGTGTAGGGGAGATTACCTGACCTTTCTCCAATCTTGTCTACGTAGACAACCTACCTCGACGGGTTGGTTATCTTGATCATCTATAACGCCTTTCTTTCAGTGAATGCATCGATCCACGTCAGTTCGATTAACATGCCGTACAAATTGCAGGCACATCTCGCTTTGAGGTGCATTTATTTATCAGATGGTATTTATTTCAATGCAACGTTGGCTCACGTTGAGAGCTACATCAACAAGCCGCGATACCCTGGTCACCTTCTTTCTGGCAAGCCTCCCTCCCACATACAGCCCCATATGAGGGAGGGGGTATGGTCAAATTTCCGCTGTTCGTCATTCATACATGGATGAATGAATATAATAAGGGCGAAAAATAAATTCCACCCAATCTGACTGACTGACTACATCAGGAACAAAGATTATTTATACAACCAAAAAGTTGAAACGGCCCGAGCCGCGGATCGAACGCGGGACCTCTCGCAGATATGCTTGGGTTTGTAGGCGAGATGCCATCCCTAAGCGAGAATCATACCACTAGACCACCCGGGCGTTACTTGATGAAGGATAGTCTGGTTTTTGGCATTATCAGCCTTCATACTTGCCCACCCTCTACGCCATTCGCTTTTGCAAGACATTGATATATATATAACACAGCGATATCCAGGACTAGGTTGGTGTTGTTCTCAAATTGCCCTGCTCCTCTATTTGTATTTTTGTTATTCAAGTGTGCGAGTACTTCACTAGGAGAAAGATCTATGGTTGAATATTGTGCTTTGATATATTTTTGTATGGTCAACGGGCAGGCTATAACTTTACTGCTCAGCTGCCTCTTTACGCCTCCCCCTGATTTAGCTATCCTCCGCAGTCAGGTGACCATGGCCTGTCACCCCTATCTGTGCCTTTATATTATCACGCAATACCATTCTCTACTCAACTCCAATTGGCACCTCACCACGTCGCACCCCTGTAACGCGTCAAACGATCATAATCATTGGGATATATATCGATTCTATTCAGCCCACCATTCTATGCCCTGCGAGAAGTCACTTGAGAAAACGAGTTCATTCTATCTCTCATCAAGCCTGGTTGTCTCTCCTATCTAGTAGGATCAATAACTCAGGGCGTGGACTCAAGTAAGGATTCATCACCCGCAGCATACATTATGGAAGCAGGCTTCGCAGTGAGCCGAGTATCAAAAACACAGAGTTTTTTCAGACGGGAGATACACGAGCAACGAGCTCATTCCTAATCACAGCTCTAGGTACAAAGTATCAAAAGATCACACCGCATCAAAGCTGCCGAACCTTGCCCATCATATCCCAATATCCGCCTGCGCCATGAGACATGCCAGTACCACACTGCGGCCGAACAAAGTCTTCCCAAGAGCCCGAAGGCCAGATGGGAAGCTGGCAGACTTCATTCAGCTCGCAACAAGTGCACTTCCTGAATACCGCCCAGTCCAGATAGCGCTTCAAATCTTCGATAATTGCAAGGCCCTCGTCATAGGCCTCTGCGCCCGCACCCGCGACTAGACTCGAACATAGTCTTTCTGAGACCAGAGATATTGCCTGAGCTGGGACAGTGGTCATGTCGGCCCCGGCAATCCAGAACTGCTTGGCACAGCGTTCAACCTCTGTGGTCGAGTTGCGCGCATGCGCATTGATAAACGGCTCAATGGCGAGGTGGAGCTCACGTCGGAGTTCGTGATGTGTTGAAACAGCGGATGACAGCATTAGACTAATACGATAATGATATCTAGTGATGATCATGTCGACAATGTTCTGCCAGTTAAAGGCATAATTTGTCTGGTCGAGCTGCTTCACTAGTCGGTCAACATGTGCGCGGACCTGCTCTAACTTGGCTGAGTCGTTGACCACCCGGGGAAGGCCGTGATTGTCGAAGTACATTGCGTCAGGATATGCGAACATGGTGACAAAGTCGTCGTAGTTGATGGATACTCTGTCGCCTCCGATACCGTCGAACCGGGTAGCAAGTGCCCGTGCATAGCTGAGCCCGGATCCTCCATCTCCGCTGCGCCCTGGGTAAGTGCTCAAGATGCTTACTACGTCAAGGTCTTTGGCAAAAGAGCAGAGAATAATCTCGAATCCACCGACCATTCGAAGGAATCCGTCCACGCGGTTGTCCCATCTGTCGCGAGCGAGGGCACAGAGGTCATCGGCACGCAGGTTGTCGCCTTCCGCTGGGCTTCCATCGAAATGAGAAGCGTTTCGAAGGAGAATATCTTGCATATCGAGGGTGCCTTTAAGGGATTTTGCGGCTGACTGGCCATCAAAGTATACGAGACGCAGTGGATGTTTGGTCCGGTAGGTGTGGAAATATCCGGTCTGCTCCTCTGCCGAGAGTTCATCGGTACTGAGAGGGGATTGGCCATGGAGTTCTCCTGCACCTGTGTGGCTTTGGCGGCAAGTCTCCTTGTAATGACGGCGGGGAGCTTCATGAACAGTCTGGGGGTTGACTTTATTCACATTTTGTATCCTGTGAGAATCCTCGTGCTCAAATATGAAGTACCGAAATAGGGAGTGCAGACCTCTCCACTGACGAGTGAGGAAGCCATGGTGAAATGACTCAAAATTACCCTCGCCCGTGTCTACTCTCTTGTTATGCTTTCCGTGGCTGTGAGACTCCGCATGTGGTTTTTCGTCATGTGGCTGATCGGCAGCGGATTTCGAGCGACGAACTCGGCGAGGATGGGCAAAGGCCATGGCATGTTCCGGTTCAAAGGCCAGCCACTCGGTGCCGTTGATGCGGTACGGACTCGATGTACCATGGTAGAATTCCGTTCCCTCGGGCACCGTGGCTATGAAAATCGACATCCCGTTGTGTTGTAAAACGCTGCCAAACATCTTCATGGAGTTATGCAGCGCATTGAATATGTGGCTGGCATGAGTAGAGCCATCTGGCACCGCCAGTCGCTCCTCAGCCGGAAACGGGCTCGATGCTGCCATCCATGGCAGTAAAGCCCAAGCCAGCCCCTTGAGTTTGAGTCTCATCGTTCAACGCCTGGATGCCGGGAGAGGATATCCAAGGGAAGATGGTTCTTTCAGCACAAGAAAGATATCGAACAGGCTTCTTATCAAGCAGCGCGGTAATTGCGCTGTCAGGGGGCTGGCAACCAGAGATGACGCGGTCACACAGGCCTCATAGCGGTGGCTTAATGTCCTTGTCCTCGAAGGGACAGCACCTTAGGCCACTTTGAGACTAGAGTGACATCGCTAGCATCATCTCCGTTGCTTGATTCCGCCACAACCGATTATGAGACAGTCAGGAGACATCGGTTGCGTACGGAATAGCGGGATGTGATCCGTCGGTCTGTCGCGGTCCCATCTACTGATCAGCCAGTTAGACTCGGGCATCGGAGATAACGATGCCAAGAATAGAATGCATCGGACATCAACCTCAACCGGCAAGGACACCCACACCGAGTATCGTTGCAGTCACCCTTAGGCGGGGAATACTGTGGACTGAAATCGGAAGACCGGCAATAATTCTGGAGAAATGACTCCGTCTGGTGCAGACCGTGCGTCGGACTTGATGGTTTATCTTATCTGATCATATGTCTTGGCCAGTCCCACCCAGCCTTGGTGGACCATAACCCTAAGGACGATACTCCTTTCAAGTATATTCATTCACGTCTGACCACATACAATACTCCGTTTCAACCAAGTCTAGGCCTTGGCTTCTACATTGGGCATCCCACAGGCTCAGGCCACCAAGTATGACATCTTCTCACTCCTGTCGGCTTCGCGCGGTAGCGATGGATGCCCAGAATTTGATCTTTGACCCTACATGTCTTGGATGCGAGATTGATGTAATGGCTACCCATTGGCTATATTGATGAGGGGTGCAAGACAAACGGTCCAGAAAATCTCGTCTTCGGATCCTACACTTTCCGAGACTGAGCACTATAAATCGGCTTTCTCAACATGGTTGAGATGAATACCAGAGCACTCCTTATCAGATCGAAACTTCCAATTCCTAGGCATCTCGATTCCTCTTGTTACATCTTATCAGCTCCTACAAAGCTACACCATCGCCATGAAACTAGTGATCCCTCTAGTTATCCTCAGTGCTGTCACAGTGGTGAATGCGTAAGCACCAGCCCCATCCCAAGCGCTGTGTTCTATGCTAATAGCATGCTTAGCTTGAGTGAGTGCATTCTCAACTGCCAGGCCGAAGCCGCAGCCAGTGACTGCAGTACCAGTAACTAGTACGACCATATCTCTCCTGCCTCCTCCCTCGACCGCCAGATACTCACTCTCAAATAACAGCAACCAAACCAGCTGCTACTGCAACAACGGTGACTTTCCAATCGACGTGCAGTCATGTCTAGAAAAGTACCAGAACAGAACCCCACCAACATGACCACATGCATATACTGACCCAGTAAAAAAGGAGTTGCTCGGACGACATCGGAACCTTCCACACCTATCGTGGCTCGCAATGCGGAGGTTCTACCGCCACAACAACCGCAACCGCAGCTGCATCAACCTCCACCATAACCCTGACCAGCTGCATCCTGGACTGTCAGTCTACCGCCGCCGAGAGTGTCGGCGGTGTTTGCTCTTCCAGCTCCTAGTACCCTCCCCTCCCCCTCACGCTTCCCCCTCAAACCCTCATCAACTAACCCAGACCCAGCAACAACACCAACTGCTACTGCAACTCAGACACCTTTGCCACACAAACCCAGGATTGCATTTTCTCGTCCGTCTCCTATCCCCCTCTCCCCCGAGTAAACCACCATCAACCAAATCTGACAAAAAACCAGGGACTGTGCCTCCGACGACGGAACCTATCACCAATGGCGCGGGTCTATTTGCTCCTCATCTACCAGCGCCAGCACCACAACAGCATCTACCACCAGCACTACCTCCACCTCGGGCAGCACCAGTCTCAGCAAAGGCGCAATCGCAGGTATTAGCATTGGCTCCGCGGTCGCCGGTATTGCCATTATCTCCCTGCTTATATTTACATTCCTTCGTCGTCGGTGGAAAGCGGCTCATACTTACAACGGGAATAGTAAGATTCAGAATTATCCGCTGGGTAAGTTGGCTTCGGTGTCTAGTACTCGTGATGCGTGAGGCTTAGCATACTTGTTGGGATTGAGTAGGGGGTGGAATGGAAGTTTATGGGTTTAGGATGATATTTTTGTTTTGGTAGTATCTATTCTTCATTTTGGATGATGGTAATTGATACTGGGTTATAGTATAACATGCTAGAGTTACGGAGGTTACGGAATGCTTCTACTTCAGAGGATGAATAGTAAATCTCATCCTGGGTAGATTGTAACATCGTTTGGATTGACCAGAAGGTATAGATAGTATCATTGTTCGTGGGCTTGTTCGTGATTGATCAGTCCATTGAAGCAAGATGACTAAGATAGTATCATCCTCGCAAAGTACCACCTAATGCGGAAATCAATGCCGAATGCGCTATGTATTTAGCGCGTGCTTGGTGTCTACTGTCTAACTCTAAGGGCCCAGGTGGGTCTTGGTAGGTTTAAAGATGGTATAAAGATAACATTATAATATTAGGTGTAATATATTGTAGTGAAAGCGCGCGTTGAGTGTGGTTGTTTCTTAAGGAGGTACCGGAATTAAGAGAACAGAAATGTGCTGGTGTGCATTATAAGGAAGGGTTGTGGCTTTGGTCTTCTGATTGGGTAATCTTGTGGAAGAGAACATTATCTTGTTAATGTGCCGGACAATGAAGATAACGTGTCGGGTAGGTGGTGGTCAGAGTGATCTTGATAGATGTTATCAACCGGCTAATTGAAGAGGAAGGGGATGCGGGTAGTAGCCATCAACAGAGTCGAGAAATGTATATGACATCAGCTCTCGCCCTCTTGATCTTCATGGGACAAATCCTGGCGTGGAGTGATCAAAGAGAACAGTTGCTCTGCATATGACCCCTGGATATACTGCATAACACGTCTCAGTGTATCGGCGAGAGCAGTCGTGTGTTTTTCGCTTGTTGCTTGGCCACTGAGGTCTGAAAGAGGGCCCCAGATACGCTGGAAATGTCAATATAGAAAGGAGAGAGGAAAGGACGTTTAAACATACCACTTCAGACAACTGATTGGAAGGCCCAGCAATACCGTATACGATATAGAACTTTCAATCTTGTCCGACGACAGTGCACCCGACTATCGGTGGAGGGAGGGCAGACGCGTCTTCGGCACTTTCTGAAGGCTCGCAGCGACTGGCAAAGCCCCAAGACACTAAGCCAGCCATCCATGCTGCCAATTCCACTTGAGCCTCGATCAAATTCCCACCATAGGCTTTAACCTTCATACCTAGCCCGAGGATTCTCTTCCCTGTATGGGGATGGTCGACATGGCTGAGGTCACGATCGAAGATGTCAATCCCAGCTTGCTCGTACTCAGCTTTCCAGGGTTCAGTGGGCAGGCCAACGACCAAATCAAATTTCGGACTGAACGTGCCATTCGCAAATCGTGGCAGATACTTAGCATTAGCTAATTCTGTTTGCCTATTTGAAGCCTATTAGCCTTGTCGTCCTTGATTCAGAATATGATACTGTGCATTAACATACACACTCCACGACTCTAAAGGCAATTCATCAATGGCCAAGTCTAGAAGGGGTCGGGCAACATCCATCATCCATGAACCCTCACTGCGAAGCTCCGTGGCGCAGCGAGATGATGCGTTTGATATCATCTGAATCCCTCTTCCATTGGATCTCGAAGTTGCATCTTCGTCCGATGTTAAGACACCCAAAAGCTCACGAGCGGCATCGCATTCTGGATTTAAGCTTTCATTTAAGAAGACTACCTTTGGTGTGGCTGTTGCAAGTTGAGCCTTTACACGACTGGGACTAGAGGATCGTCGACTTGACATGGACCGGGCGAGAGGTGGTGGTAAAGAGACACCATCGCAAAGAGAACGGTAGCTAGGCAGTGCAATTTCAGAGCTTTCACGACGAGGCCTCTTTCGTGGATTGGGTCGCACCGTGAAATTTCCTGGAAGTATACGCTCTAGTTGCAGGAATTTTTCCCCCGCTTCGCTGTCATGCGAGCTAAGCTGCATCCCCGACCACACGCTGCCAACCCACTCCTCGACCGTATGCCAATCATCGCCGTCCATGGCGGATGATGGTAGACCTTTTTGGATATAATTTTAGTCGCCAGAGACCTCAAGAGTTGCAAGGAAACAGATGATGGGCGCGAAGGGATGAAAACGACGTGATGAGAATTAGACAACAGAGTATTGCCTAGAGTTGTGCGCGGCCGGTCTCTCGTAGAGAAAAGAATCCCCCCTCTAGGAAGAACCTGAAGAGCCACCAGGGATCGTACGATAAAGATTATAGAGACGGTCACTAGATAGAGAACTGGATTAGCGAGACCTCTCCTGAAGAGATCCGTACAACCAACCGTGCAATAATAATGCCTTGTCCACGCATATGAGAAGTAAGCAGTCCTCTTCCGTAACCCTTGATGGTTCCTTTTTTGGATTCCTCACGAAGATACTTTAATGCTTCATCTTCTTGCATCTGTCGTTGCACTGGGTCGTTAGTCCGTCGAACCAAGCCCAGCCGGGTACGGATTCGCCGTAGGGTGCGAGAAGAGATCTCAAATCCTTCCGATTGCAGGACCTGGAGCAACTCCCTCTCCTCAAGGCATTGGTTAATAAACAACTCAGAAATTCTAGTATGAAGTTGAGTATTGGATGTTGCCGTACGGTTGCGCTTGGAGATACCCCAAGCACTCAGCCGTGCCTTGATGGTTCGTTCTCGGACCTGAAGGTGATGAGTTTGTTGAAGATGTGAGGCAATACCCGCAGCGGTTGTATTGTTATGAAAGAGGGAGATGATTTCAGGCTTGAATGGCTCCAGGTCGATGGACCGAGGCATTTCAACGCGCTTTAGGCAGACAGGCAGACGCGTAGGTGTAGAATGATGAAATAAATGGACGCGAAGAAGATAACGACTAGTGACGACGCTAAAACCCCGGATCAGCCCGATGGCCGCTGTGGTCCCCCGTAGGCTCCACCCGTGACCGGCCCCATTTCGGTGCCATTCACTCGGCGTCGGTAGACGCAGCGATCGATCTGGTGGCCTCCAGGTCTCTCTGAAGCTCCCCTATCTTAGTCTCCAATGCAACTACACAGTCCGTCCCTAGGGGCATTCGGAGAAAGTCATATCCCGTAGCAGTGGCTTGGATAATAGCTTGCGCCGCTTTATCCGGATCCCCCTTAGCAAAATCCGAGATGGACGTGATCTGCCGAGACCCAGAGATCATCTGCTCAACCGCGGTGCCCTTGTACCCTTCACTGAAGCCGTCCTTGAACAGAGCGGGAGTGAGGATGCGAGAAGAGAAAGGCGTTCGAAATGCACCGGGCTCCACTATCAGGATCTTGATACCCAACGTTCTGACCTCATGGGAAAGGGACTCGTGCATGGCCTCAATGGCAAATTTACTGGCTGAATAGGTACCTCGTCCCGGGCGGGCTATGAAGCTATTTTTCGAGAATCATCTTGTCAGGCAAATGCTGGAGAAAATATGATCATGGAAAATGGGATTGACATACCCAGCACCACTGCTAATAAGGACGATGTGACCAGACCCTTTTGCGCGCATGACGGGGAGGCAGCCTCGAACGGCGCGAAGAGGTCCATAGAAATTAACTTCCATTTGATCGCGAACTTCAATCTCACTGGACAAGAAGTATCGATAAGCAATTGGTGTCTAGCATGAAAGAAGCATCGCGAAGCTCTTGACTAACCTGGTATCTTCAACGCCACCGATAAAAGCATAGCCTGCATTGTTGACCAAGACGTCCACATCATATTCCTGAGCACACTTGGCAAATTGGTCTTGGGCGTCCTTTTGGGCAGGATCCAGTTCCATCCAGATGCCACCCTTGGCCGAGAACTCTGGGCAAGCCGTTTTAGCCTTGGTGATATCGCGGGTGGTTCCAATCACCCGATGTCCAGCCTTGAGAGCTTCCAAGACAAGTGACTTGCCTAGACCCGATGAGGCGCCAGTGATCAGCCACGTGGAACTGGCTGCTGTCATTTTGATTGCTATAATTTCGTTTCTGGACTAGCTTTTGATTTTGCCGCGGAACATGAGAAAGCAAGGTGAATAGCCATCTTATAATGTGGTGGTCGAGTGAGATGTCGGAGTTAAGGATTTAACCCCTAGTGCTATCCATCCGATCAGTGTCATCAAGCATGATGGCCTCTCTTGACCTATTCATCTCGCCTTGTCTTCTTGGATAGAAAGATGGGCTTTACAAAAATGCCAGCCAGACCTGCTGTTGTCGATGCGAAGTCCGCGACCTGTAAACACCTGGCTGTGGCAAGATCTTCACGGTCGACATCACAAATCAAGCACTAGGCACACAATAAGATGAGTGCTAATTCTGAGGGGGTGTTCTGGTCTGAAACCATATTTGAAGAGTAGACAGTATGGCTGTTAGGATGATTGTATGATGAAGCGTGCTGTCATGAAGTCCAGCGATAAAATTATGGATGATTTCGGACTTATGCCGGATTTTGCATAACACCGCCAATCGTGCTTACTGAAAGCAGATACGATACCCTTACATGTACCACTAGTAGGATAATCAATAGACCCAAAGTGATGTTTTCCTGCTACATGATGAGGTGGAAGAAATCCAGATTCCGACATTGACTGTGACCGTTCGTCACAAAGGATAGAACAGATACCTCTCCATTGTCTGGGTAAAAGTCGAACAAAAAGATGGCATGCGCTTTGTTACACAACGATTTTGTAGCGTGTAGTGCATGTAAAAAAATCTTTGTCTGGATGGCAGTTCCTTTGTCGCGCTTTGTACGCCTTTGGCACCACAGGTTTGCATGTAATCACCAAAGTTCAATAAAAGGAACATGCCGCAAAAATAAGCAGGCAGATAATAGGTTTGTGAACGGCAGTCTCATGCCCTTAGGAAAACAGCTGGATGGGAATCGTCGAATTAGCCAATAGTTGAGTAGTAGTCAGTGAAGAAGTAAAGGATGAGGTTTCGGAAGGTAAAAAAGAGTTGGAAAGTGGCGGAAATTGCCAGAGTATACTAGAGTGCTGTCTGATAGAATGTGTAGTTTGCAGTGTTGCAGTGTAGCACCGGCGATGATGGGGGAGGGCCGCACTGTGGACCAGTATGGCAGGCACCATGAGTGGCTCAACAGCCGGAGGCGGCCTTTATTCACCTACTTTTTATACCCATTTCACGCTCTCTTCACTTGGTTTCCATCGCCACGCACCGTTCGCTTTACTCAGGCCTTCCTCTCACTTACTACCAGCCTCCGCAGAGGTTGGATATCTTAACACTGTCCTTTCATCCTCAACACCTCCTACATACACACCCAACGGTCTCGAATCTTACTACCTACATCATCATGGTCTACATCAAATTAGAAATCAAGGAGACAGATACCTGTGGCCAGACCACGCTAAAAAGCCACCTATCCGCTGATATCGATAGCAAGGATCATTTCCGGATACCCCTATCACAGTCCCAGCTTTCGAAAAACGCACCAAAGACGCATGCAAGGCAGCGCAATCACCTCCGGTACAATCAGCCCAGACACTATCATCCACAACACGGACATCACCGAAGAGGGGCGTGGGGGTCATCGAAAAAGCCAGGCCAAAGGTTTTGGACCTGCCCAAAATGTCGCGAGACCATGACGATCAACCGGAAATGCGGACATGTGCATTGCAAGCGTGAATACAGCACCCCTAAAGGAATTCAAAAGTGGCCATGCGATGTCTGCGGGATCCATATGGCCAACTCTCTCCGAGAGTATCACTTACAGGCAGTGGAACATGCCATTAATGCTGCTATATGCATACCCCCCCACCCGAATGGCAAGCGCTATATTGAGATTAAGGAGGTTCGCTGGGTTTATCACCATATTAGGGCAATTCCCGTCAGGTGCTATAGACTAGCGGGGGCCTACAAGGGGCACTGGAAGGGTGGGATAACCTTTGTTTCGGCCGAAGATGTTGAGAACGCTAAGGCATTGATGCATGGAAATGGGGGCATCGACACACCGTCGTCTGATGGTTGCAGGGATGAATGTTTCTACAAGGACCTGTATCTTTGAACGAGGGTTGACTTCACGCCTTCAGTCTATTGCTATTCTTGGATTCAGCCGTATCAGTGAGACAGTATTAGATTGTCAGTCATTATCAATGGGAGTCAATTGAGACTAAAAGTTGACCGATTGATACATACTCCGTTTTCATCCTTCTCGAGAAAGTATAGACTAGTGGCACAGAGAAGTGCGCAAGAAACACCAGTTCATGCAATCAAATCAGTAAAGGGAATACTCGATGCTTGGCTGGTAGTCCACCGTTCACACTACCACGACGCTATAGTAAATGCAGGAAGTATCACCCTCTGCTACAGGGATACTCATCCAATTTCAACCGAGAGGGGGTGTAGAGCTGGTGTAGTAAAAATAGGAACTGGCAATGCTATACAGGCTAGAGAGAGTGACTAGCCAATATCCCGAGGGTTCTCTTGTCACAAGACCGCTACTCGAGTCTGATAAAGCCATTGCTAATCTAAAAACCGACCCACTGCTACAACCGATCGAATTAACCATGATGACATATCCAATGTGAGGAGGCATTATCCACATGGACTTTGTTCAATGCGCGCACTAGTCTTCTTTTCGCTAAGCATGATGAAAACAGTGTGTGCCAGATAGTTATCTCCCGGACTCAATTGACAACCAGTGACTTGATGACGTCAAATAACATCCAAAACTTCATTCCGTCCTATGACTGAGAGTATCTCTTTTGGCTTGCTGGTCAATTGTTGCATGTTGCAACAGACGATAACAGGCGGTGGTTGGTGTGGCGCTAGTAGAAGTGTAGTGCAGGGTTCTAGCACAGGCCGCTTTAATAATCCATTCTTAAGGCATCCAAAAATAACCCGGCACTACAGCGATCGGCGATGGCCAAATCATCATTCTGCAGTGGTTATCACAGTTCCCCTCCTCGATGCCCGGTGGTCGACACGACTGGGGGGAAGGCGGGACTCTGCAGGCTAACCGGCATTGGCAAGCTTCTAGTATGCTAAGCGCCGACCCCTCACCGTCAGATATTAGAGCCTTCTATTAATAGCCGGTGAAGGAACTCGGGAATTTTCTAACAGCCGGCGCCAATTAAACCCGGACAATTGACAGGGAACGTGCCCGGCAGAGGAAGGCTTCGATTGTTCGATATGCCAATCATCGTCCACGGCGGCCCTATCTACTGCAGGGCAGACGCCAAGGGAACGGCGGTATTTCGCGTGGCCCACCCTCGTAAACCTTTCCTTGGGGTAGTATTCTAGAGTCCGACAGGATTTCTGCCTGGCGCATTCTTGCACCAATGAGAGAGACGTATCCCTTGTGCTCGCTGCGGGCGGCTTGAGGATTGCTGTGAGTCGAGGCTGTTTATAGACACAACGCTTCGGGTTTCATGTGCCGGACCGGTACTGCGTTTGATTGCACATGCAACCCTCTGCCACGGCCAGTCTCGAGGAAAATAGCTATATATCCTCCTCTTCCAACGGGGCATATCCCTCGTTTTCTTCCAAGCATCCAGCAGTTTCTTTCCTAGTATAGCCCGGGTTTGGCAAAGAGCATCTCTTGATCCATCCTTCCACGGTTCTTGATTGATATTCTTTTGGAAATCCCCTGTGGCATTAAGCTTGGCTCTGATCCAATCTTATATTTGAGCTTCATCCCCTCATACTTCTTTTGATTTCAGCATACAGTGTGTGCTGGTCTTTATCTTGCCACCCTCTATATAGAACTTGTGTTTGTATCAAGCATCCGAAATGCGTGCAAGCCTCTTCCTCCTGGGCTGCTTGACAGCCAGCTCGGTTGCAGCACCGACCCTCATGGACGATGTATACGACTACTCGACGGACCTGGCCACCTTCCTCGGAAAAGTGAGCACATATATCGAGGATGCCGAGGATCTGTTCACGAATGCCAACTCGTGCGACACATCCAAGATCTCCCTCCCGTCCTATGCGTCGAGCCTGCCATCGCCATCCGGCTTGGACCCGATTTACGTTGCAGTGGGCCGCGGGACTCAGGTGAGCAAACCCGTCTCCGTCACACAATCATGCAGGGGGATCCTCTCAAACTGACAAACCCTCAGAACTACACCTGTGCGACCTCCACCTCAGACTCGACCCCCCAAGCCATCGGTGCAGTGGCGCGTCTTTACAATGCTACTTGCATTGCGGCCAACTACCCGGACATTTTGGAATTGCTCCCGGGTATCGTGTACAAGGAACAGTTGCCCAGTAACGAGGAGGATCCTCTTCCTCCGGCCAACCTTCAGCTCTTGGGTCACCATTTCTTCAGAGACACGACAACCCCGGTTTTCAACCTCGACACAACGCCCTCCCGACAGTACGGGATTGCGATCTCGAAGAAACAGTCCGCGCTGGATGCCCCATCGACTGCAATTCAGGGCACAAATGGTGCCGTTCAGTGGCTCTACCTGACCACCATCGATGGCACCGTCGGTGACTATAAGGCGGTCTACCGGGTAGACACCGTTGCGGGCGCAGCCCCGAAGACCTGTCAGGGTATGCAGTCGGTGTTCACCGTTCAGTATTCGGCCAACTACTATTTCTATGGTGCGTGATGGCGTCTGCGGGGAAAAGGAGGGGGGCTGGGGTTGGGATTGGGATTGGGTGCAGAGCACTTGCACTGTAAATAGAAGGAATCAAGAGAGAGCTCAATGCAAGGTACATCAAATAAGAAGCGCGTATCCCGGCCCGTAGCTGTCAAACGCCCGACTGTTTTGTTTGTGTAAGCGCCGGCAAGTCGTAGCAAATGGCGACGCGACCTCCGATTGGCAGGGCTGGCCAGCGTCAGGTGACCTCGCTATCCAGCAGGGTCACGTGCACAAAGTGCCCACAGCAGCATGTGGCACTAGTCCGCAGGCAGCCTAGCGCAGTCTGATTTTCGAAAGAATCCAAGGCTCCGTCTGAAAAATCTCGACCGCAACAACGACGAGCAGCAGGCCTCGACCGAACACTGAACGCCAAAGCGGGTGCAATTTTTTTGCAAAAAGCTTCCTTTTCCAGTCCTCGAGACCCGCCATCTCCGATTTTTTCTCCTTCCGAACAGGCCTTATTGCCTTCCGCAACCGAGCACGAGCATCAGCCAATATTTTTGGCTGAGAGCATCTTGATCTTATCTCTTCGTCGAACTTTTCCGATTTAAATACATATCACAATGGGCTTCGGTGCTCCCCGTGGTGGCGGTCGCGGTGCTCCCCGTGGTGGACGTGGTGCTCCTCGCGGTGGTGGTGGCCGTGGTGGTGGTTTCGGCGGTGGTAGAGGTTTGTTCACCATCGCTTCCCCTTGGGATCAGCCAGGGCTATGATTGCTCGCATTGTTGTCGACTCCATTGGACCTTGAATCAGCGACGGAAACTTTTCCCACAGCGTCAGGTTTACACGGTCGACCTTTGCAGGACCTGCAATGTCCCCGAGGAGAATGTGTCGCTAATTCGATCTTTTTCACGTTCTATAGGCGGACTTGGTGCTCGCGGTGGAGGCCGTGGTGGCGGCCGTGGCGGTCCCCGTGGTGGTGGTGGTCGTGGTGCTCCCCGTGGCCGTGGTGGCCGTGGTGGTGGCCGCGGTGGTGCTGGTGCCAAGGGTGGTGCTAAGGTCATTATTGTAGGTGTTCCTGATTTTTTTTCTTCTATCGAAGAGATGGAATTGGCAACTAACTCGGCTTGTTTAGGAACCCCACCGTCACGCCGGTGTCTTCGTTGCCCGCGGTGGCAAGGAAGATTTGCTCGTCACCAAGAACCTTACCCCCGGAGAGGCCGTGTACGGTGAGAAGCGCATTGCTGTCGAGGGCCCCGCTGGTGAGGATGGAGCTGTGACCAAGACCGAGTACCGTGTCTGGAACCCCTTCCGTTCCAAGCTTGCTGCCGGTATCCTGGGTGGTCTGGATGACATCTACATGCGCCCTGGCTCCAAGGTCCTGTATCTCGGATCCGCCAGCGGTACCTCGGTCAGTCACGTTGCTGATATCGTCGGACCTACCGGAAACGTCTACGCCGTTGAGTTCTCTCACCGTTCCGGCCGTGACTTGATCGGCATGGCTACCCACCGCACCAACGTTATCCCCATTGTCGAGGACGCCAGACACCCTCTCCGCTACCGTATGCTCATCCCCATGGTTGATGTCATCTTCGCCGATGTTGCCCAGCCCGACCAGGCCCGTATTGTCGGTCTCAACGCCCACATGTTCCTCAAGGAGGGCGGTGGTGTCATTGTCTCGGTCAAGGCCAACTGTATCGACAGTACCGCCAAGCCCGAGGTTGTGTTTGCTCGTGAAGTCCAGAAGATGAGAGAGGAGAGAATCAAGCCCCGGGAACAGCTGACCCTGGAGCCCTTCGAACGTGACCACTGTATAGTGTCTGGTATCTACAAGCGCTCTGCATGAATTTAAGAACACAAAAAGAATCAGGTGGTTTTTGCTCTCTCTCATGTCTTAATTATTTATGCTCTTTTACGGCGTCGAGTGTTCCGTGATCTGTTGCCATGTCTCTTTATTCTCCTTCGTGTCCATGTCCAGGTTTCTTAGATGTATCTCTTGAGTCAGAAAATTTCGAGGTTTACGGTTTCTGATCTTTTAAGAATTAGCTGCTAATCAAGCTGGAATTATGACTCTATACCAATTGTATCATACTATCATTAGAATCATCCCCCCAGATCGGACCACCGGGGCCTTACCCACAGCGACTTATTTCGGACATTCGCCGGTCATCCGCTTCCTGGTAGTGTTAGTCGGACCGTTGCCCGGTAAGGTAGGTAAGCCTTTAATCGGACTTGCTGCGTGGAGCCAATTAATCGGAGCCCACCGTCCCGGGAATAATGTCATGGTGATTGATGGAATTGAGATGGGTCTTTGTATGGGTGGTGGTTAGTCTCCGCTCAACCCCGCAGCTGACACTCCGACGTTATAAAAGTATATGAGTTCGACATCATTACCACCCACCTATATATACCAAATACTACAAATACAAGCCAATCCTCTTATAACATACCTTTCACTACACTACAACACAACCTACAACCAACCATGTCATTCATCATCACCGGAGCCAGCGGCTACGTCGGACAAGAACTAGCCGCCGCTCTACTCACCACTCACCCGGAATCCACCGTAACGCTCACAGACGTCGTGCTCCCCACGGTACCCCCATCGGCAGCCCAGCACGCCCCGCGCACAAAATGCATCACCGCGGACCTCACCTCGCCCGCCGTCGTGGACTCACTCTTCACTGAATCCCACCGGTTCGACACTGTCTACCTCCTCCACGGAATCATGTCCAGTGGCTCCGAAGCCAACTTCGACCTAGGCATGCGGGTCAACCTCGACGCAACCCGATACATCCTCGACCGACTACGCCAAGTCATGCCCGGCGTGAAAGTCGTCTTCACCTCCAGTCTAGCAGTCTACGGTCTCGCGCCACCGGGATTCGTCATCGACGAGACCAACTTCCCCGCAATCCCTTCCTCGTCGTACGGATCCCAGAAACTGATCGTGGAGACGCTTTTGAATGATTACTCTCGTCGCGGGTTCTTGGATGGTCGCGCGGTTCGCCTCCCCACTGTGACGGTTAGAGCAGGGAAGCCCACCCAGGCGGCGAGTAGTTTCGCGAGTGATATTATTCGTGAACCGTTTAATGGGAGGAAGGCGGTGTTGCCGGTGAGTCAGGAGATGGAGATGTGGATTTGTTCGCCTGCGACGGTGGTGGGGAATTTGGTGAGGGCGAGGGAGATTCCGAAGGAGAGGTTTGGGGATTCGAGAGCGGTCAATTTGCCTGGGTTGAAGGTTAGTATTAGGGAAATGTTGGAGGCGTTGGAGGAGATTGGGGGGCCGGAGAAACGGGCGTTGGTGGAGGAGAGGTTCGATCCGGATGTTGATCGCATTGTGCAGACGTGGACGCCGAATTTCGATCCGAAAAGGGCGTTGGAGATGGGGTTTGTGGGGGATGTGTCGATGAGGGAGAATATTCGGGAGTTTGTGAAGGAATTGGAGTAGTTGTATGATTGTATAGGTGGTGGTGGTGTGGACAATGAAACTTGTTGAATTGGATCAGCTATCAGTAGATGGGTGTAGTAGGTAGAGTAGTAAGCTAGGAAACACTCGGGATCGAATGCGGTGGTTTGGAAAAGCGGGTCATGTGATTGGCTGGCGGATGGGCGAACAATTTGACTCCCGAACTTCAACCTCGCATCTCCAGGGCTGACCGTCTTGTTGCACCCTTCCTCATTCCCTCCCCCCTTCTCCCCCCAACCCACCTCCATCTTCACACAATGGCTTCCCGGCGCCTAGCGTTCAACCTCAATCAGGCTCTGCGGAGCAAGGCCGCCCTCAAGGCCGTCCAGCCCGTCAAGCGTGGCTTCGCTTCCCCGGTCACCTTGCCTTCCACCACCCAGTCCACCACCCTCTCCAACGGTTTCACGGTACGCTAAAGGGATACCTCAATGGCTCGAGGGACTCGCTAACGTGATTCAGATCGCTACTGAGTACTCCCCATGGGCTCAGACTTCCACCGTTGGTGTCTGGATCGATGCCGGTAGCCGGGCAGAGACTGACAAGACCAACGGAACCGCGCACTTCCTGGAGCACCTTGCTTTCAAGGTACGGATTGACTGGAAACTCAAAGCTGGAAATACGGTTGCTGACATCTACTAGGGTACCAACAAGCGTTCCCAGCACCAATTGGAGCTCGAGATTGAGAACATGGGCGCTCACCTGAACGCCTACACATCGGTACGGCCCGGAAACATGGAAGAGTGAAGGCTTGGTCGCAACTAACACGACGCATCACAGCGCGAGAACACCGTCTACTACGCCAAGTCCTTCAACAACGATGTCCCCAAGGCCGTCGACATCCTCGCCGATATCCTTCAGAACTCCAAGCTGGAGCCCGCTGCCATCGAGCGCGAGCGCGACGTCATCCTCCGTGAGCAGGAGGAGGTCGACAAGCAGCTCGAGGAGGTTGTCTTTGACCACCTCCACGCCACTGCCTTCCAGAAACAGCCCCTCGGCCGCACCATCCTCGGCCCCAAGGAGAACATCCAGACCATCTCCCGGGACAACCTGACCGACTACATCAAGACCAACTACACTGCTGACCGCATGGTCCTTGTTGGTGCCGGTGGTATCCCCCACGAGCAGCTCGTGAGACTCGCTGAGGAGCACTTCGGTGGCCTTCCCAGCAAGCCCCCGACCTCTGCTGCCCTCGCTCTCACCGCTGAGCAGAAGCGTATCCCCGAGTTCATCGGTTCCGAGGTCAGAATCCGTGACGACACTCTCCCTACTGCTCACATTGCCCTTGCCGTTGAGGGTGTCAGCTGGAAGGACGACGACTACTTCACTGCCCTTATCACCCAGGCCATCGTCGGCAACTGGGACCGTACCATGGGTAACTCCTCCTACCTTGGCAGCAAGCTCAGCTCCTTCGTTGAGTACCACGGCCTTGCCAACAGCTTCATGAGCTTCTCCACCAGCTACAGCGACACTGGGTATGTAGTCTCCTATGTTTTGCAATGATCCTGACTAACCATCACAGTCTCTGGGGTATCTACCTGACCTCCGAGAACACCACCCGTCTCGAGGACCTGATCCACTTCACCCTCCGTGAGTGGTCCCGCCTGAGCTACAACGTCACCTCCGCCGAGGTTGAGCGCGCCAAGGCCCAGCTGAAGGCCTCGATCCTCCTCTCCCTGGACGGCACCACCGCCGTTGCCGAAGACATTGGTCGCCAGATCATCACCACTGGCCGCCGCCTCAGCCCCGAGGACATTGAGCGCACGATCGGCCAGATCACCGAGAAGGACGTGATGGACTTTGCCTCCCGCAAGCTGTGGGATCAGGACATTGCCATGAGCGCCGTCGGCAGCATCGAGTCTGTTCTGGACTACAACCGTATCCGTGCGGACATGAGCCGGAACTCTCTGTAAGGGAGGGGAGTTGAATAGCGTCTCAGATTTATGGCCGTGTTTGTTGTTTTGGTGATTTAATAGATAGAAGCGGTGGTCGTGCCGAGGAGCGTGTCTTGTACAGTACACAACTGTCGCTATATCAAAAATGTATTGTTTGTTATTTTATTAACAGATATACCAACCAGACAATCATATCCAGAGCACAACACCAACACCAACACCATATGTAAAAGAACATCCAACCAACCCAATCCAATGCCAATACAAGAAATACAAAGAACAAACAACCTAGGTAGTAAACTAAAAAAGTCTACCGACCATACTCCATCCCCCCAGGAGCTTTATACCCTTCATTCCCAGCCAAAAACCCCGCCCGACTCTCCAATTCCTTCTCATGCTGCATCAACGTACAGCACGGACAACAACACGCCCGCATACAATCCCCGCATCCCGAGCCCTCCAGTCCATACTTCTCCCGGATCTGGCCCCGCTTGTTCATTAACGGGATGAAGTGTAATCCGCAGTAGCCGAGGAGGAAGTAGAGACAGCACTGTAATCATTGATTAGAATGGGGAATGTTGGGTGGGTAGGGATTGGGGGATGGGGGTAAGGGCAACGTACACCACCATTCATCATACTATCATCTTTCAAAGAGGGATCCTTGAGCCGGGAACTGGTTCGGCCGTGAAGACAGCAGGGGCAGCAGCAGCCGAGGAAGCCTGTATCGGGGATGTTGGTTAGTAACGTTGAGATAGGATGGGGTTGGGGTTGAGGTTGGGGATGGGAGAGGGGGTCGTACATGTGCCACAGGGGGAACAGCAGTCCCAGAATCCAGAGGACCATGCTTGACCTGAGCCCATTTTGGAAATTTTGTGTGTGGTGTTTTGGTGGGTGGAGTTGGTGATGATTGAGAATGAGGATGAAGGTTATAAACCCGACTGTTCGTGTTTTGTGCTGTGAATGTTGCTAATTCAATTGAATGGCGGAAACTATTAGACAGCTAGATAGATAGATAGAAGACGATGATGATGATGATGATGATGATGATGATGAAGAAAAAAAATAGCCAACCCCTCAGCCGGTGTCTGTTTATAACTCCTTCCCCCATGCTATAATCCTACATGATTACTGTGTGACATGGGGGCGATGCAATCCCACTTTCATTAGATAGTACTACCTAGACACATGGAACCTCAAACAAAGGAAACGGAAGAAACAAAAATCAGCCCCAGACCCGGTCCCACCCTTCCACACAGCCTTGCATTAGTAGATGGTGGGTTGATCGTTAGACTCTCACTGGGCAAGGCTGCTGATTGGAATCCCTCGTTTAGTTGTGATGGGCCAGGATTACTAGTGAGGAAGGTTGGGGGCCAACAACTACCTAGTAGTCTAGTACCTAGGTACTGTGTAGGTTGGTAGGGATTATTAGGAATTGGGCAGGTAAGCAGTAAGATTTTTTTTTCTTCCTTCTTTTACTTTGGTTCTTTTTTTAGATGGGGAATTGAGAGTTTACTTTGTTAGTTTATAGTTGGGGTGTGTATCTATGACGAGGTGGATATAAGGATGGGCAGTGGTAATTTCTTAAATTGTGAGGGCAGTTCGTGTTCAGGGCTGGTTAGCTTTTGGGGTGGAGTGTAAAAGGGTCGAAGGGAATACGGGAGGGATCGGGGGCCTCGTTAGGGGGAAACGGGGAAGTGCTCGCTTGCTGACCGCGTTTTACTTGTGTTTCTTCCCATGGGGTCTGGTCGTGTTTGTTGCTCGACTTCTCGGGCAATCTAAGCTTTTGCTAGACAGGTTTCAGCCACTGCCACAAAAGCACAGCATGCAGTGCTTAGCATCTTTTGATTAACCCTGCCTTTCAGCTGCCATTCCCAGCCATCGTGCTGGAAGGCTGAGACAACATATGCTCGCTTGCTGTATCTAATTTTATGTCTCCATTGCATGATCTAACTAACCTCGAGTGAGGACTAGAGTGCGGCTGATCCCAGTGATCCTTTGGCGGACTCCGACCAGTGACACGGTCACCGCCATGGAGGCTCAACAGAGACACCCAAGGCACTTAATTCGTGGAGCTGACAGAAAAGAATCCTAGCTGTGCTAGCACTAGTCGGTGGAGCGATGCGTTGGTTCGTTCCTTTGGGTCTTTAGCACAATGTCACCAGAAGGATGATTTCGCGTCGGTGCTATGGAATCTTCCACCTGTCAACAAAAGCAAACAATAAAAACGAAGCTGACACTCACATGCTCTGCGTTAGAGGATTCTGGATTCCATGTGTACCATGCTTCATCGCATCAGTACTCCCCCTTCAGCCCTGCTAAGCCACGCATTAGTCGGGAAACCGGAATGGCAGTGACTGGATAAGCACTTCTCCGAGGGAACAAACCCTGGTCAGAACCTGGTCTTTAACGACCAACCCCTGCAAATTCCTCGAGCCACGGCAAATGCGGCTGCGGCCGAAAGATACAGCACCCCCGCGAAGATAATGAGCCCGCCATACTCGTCGTGATCGCGTTGCTGGATCGCCCCGGCAATCGGGATCCCCGTGAGCACTCCGATGCTGGCGATGGTGTACGTCGTGCCGGTTCGAGTTCCATAGTCTTCTGTCGCGCAGATCTGAGAGATGCAGACCGGGGACAGGCTCATCGCAGTCCCGCTCCAGAATCCAAAGAGTACAGCATAGCAGACAATTGCGCCTAGGCTGCTTCCGGACTTGTACCATAATGCAAGAGTCAAGATCGCGCATACCAAGGAGGTGAGGACCATCATGTTGAACCGTCCTAACCGGTCAGCAGCTAGGCCGGGCAGCAGGCGCCCAGGAATCAATCCGATGTTCAGAAATACAATCAGCAAATACGATACTGTGTTGCTTAACCCGACGTGGACTGCATATGCCGAGAGATATGTGGTGGGCACAAATACAGCGAACTCCACCAGGAAGATTGCGATCGTTGTGACGGCATACTTGGGGTCACTCAATGCCCTGAAATCTGCTAGTGCACTGCCCCCGGTTTCCTTGCCGAGTGGTAGCCGGGTCTTGATCAAGAAACACGCGATGACACACAGAACAGCGCTCAAGAGTGCGATGATCCGGATCGTCCATCCAAATCCGATCTTAGGTGCCGTGAAGTAGATGATCGCAGGGAATACTACACCTCCCAGTCCGCCAGCTGTGCAAGCAAGGCCAGTGACGAATGCTCGGCGGACATTGAACCAGTGTCCAATTGCTGCAATTGCCGGGGTGAACAGGGCACTTGCTGATAAGCCGCCCAAGACGCTGAAGGAGAGGAAGATCTGGTAGTATTCTACTTGTGCTCAGTGGGGGTCTTTGATCGTTGGCATCTGAAACCTACCATTGCTGACACTGAAGCATACCAACGCCACAATCATTCCGATAGATCCGGGGGTGATAATGTAGGTTGGTCCCCACGCGTCCAGGATCGGTCCTACTCAACGAATATTGTTAGCTACACTGGTTCACTAGAGCCCGAGTCAGAGAAACGCACCACTTTGCGCCCCTGCAAAGTAGAGGAAGAAACCATATGCACCATAAATCCAGCCATAGCTTGACTCCGGGTAGTCTTTGAGCTGATGAGTGCTGGTCCAGATATGAAGAGTCCCCACGGTGTTCATCATGCCCAAAGCTGGAACCATAGCGCACCATGCCCCGAAGACGACCAGCCATGCCTCGAGACCTCCTTCAGGATAGTCTATGGCTTCATCTTGTTCTGTCGCCTCCTCAGAAGTCGTATAACAACTGGATAACTCGGCGTCCATATTCGACTCGACTCGTAACCGCACTACCGTGTGGGTAGGACACTGGTGTATTCGAAACGCGAATCTGGATTCATATATTCAAAGGCTGAGTGAAGTTGAACTCGCCTTAAGATACATGACTGCTTAAAAAGTATGCGTCATGAGGCGGTGATTGCTGTGCTGGCATTAGGAGTATTGACGCCAATCAATGCAAGGGCTCATGCATACTGGCGACAACACTCAATAAGGCTAGAGGTCTTCGGAGTATAAGACCAGCTTGACCGGTCTGACTGGCCTTTTAGATGTCACCCCGACCTGCTGTGTTCATTTGCCTACTTTGCAGGATCGCCCCATCTTGAGACATGACTGCACCGGCATGAGGCAGCCTTCTCCAGATGACAATGCATACATGCATATCCTTCAGATCGGTAGGATCGGTCTGATGACGTATATCCAAATGAGACTCACGATTTCTTTCCTATGTCCATAATGACTTACTCCAAAGCCTGGCAGTCACCGAGAGCAGGTTGTCCATGTCTAGTAGTTGATCAAGAAGTGCTCCCCGTGGGCATCCATGTCCAACACCAACTGGTCAATCCGGAATGTCTGCACTAACCACAACCAGCTAGAGCGGGCGCTCTCCGGCCCGAGATTGTTCCATGGCGGGACGGCTTAGGTAATTCATGCCGGATTGACGGCGCGATTGGCGATTTTTGGATTTCTGCAGCGGAGAAATTGCGGAAGCTTGCCTGTTCCTCAGCATCCCAATTATTCTTATCCATCATGGGTGGTAAGCGCGGAAAGAAGGTATGTGTGCTCGCTTGTGTCCCAGGACTTGTTTACCTTGGTTGCCTTCGGTTTGCTCTATCCCTGGACTTGAACTGACCTCCGCAGGGTGGCAGAGGCGGCGGCGGCGGACGCGAACGCCAAAACTGGCAGCAGGTTCCCAGAGAGAACGCCAAGTTCGAAAACTACTACAATTCGCAAGGATTCATCCCGGAGGAGGAGAGGGAGGCTTTCTGGGAGGCTATCAGAAGGGACTTGCCCAACAGCTTCCGTTTCACCGGGTCTAGAGGGTACGTCATTGGTTGCGCAGAATCCCAGGACGTTTGCGAAATAGTTCAACGCAACTGACATCGCTTAAGCCACGCTTTGGCCGTTCAGGAAAAGCTCAAGGATTTCTACGTCCCCGAAATCACCTCCATCAAATATGAGGGCAACTTCGTCGAGCCTCCCCGCCCGGTCCCCTGGTACCCCGACCAACTCGCCTGGTCCATGACCACTCCCAAGCAGGTCGTCCGGCGCTTCGCCCCATTCGCTTCGTTCCAGAAGTTCCTTGTCGCCGAGACCGAAGTTGGAAACATCAGCAGACAGGAGGTTGTCAGCATGATCCCCCCTCTTCTGCTTGACGTCAAGCCTGGCATGACCGTTCTGGATATGTGCGCTGCCCCCGGTAGCAAGTCCGCACAGCTGATGGAGATGATCCACGCCGGAGAAGAGGAGTCTATGGCACAAGTTTCTGAGAAGGTTGCGGATGGGACTGCTTCCCCCGAACCGATGGGACCGGAAGGTCTTAGTGACGATGGCAGAACCACTGGCTTGCTGATCGCCAACGACGCTGATTACAAGCGCGCGCACATGCTGATCCACCAGATGAAGCGCCTTAGCTCCCCGAACTTGATTGTGACGAACCACGATGCTACCATGTTCCCCTCGATCAAGTTGCCTTCGGAGCCATCCACCAACGGAAAGCCCCCCAAGAACCGCTACCTCAAGTTTGACCGTATCCTGGCCGATGTGCCTTGCACCGGTGACGGAACTGCCAGAAAGAACTGGGGTGTCTGGAAAGATTGGAACGCCAACAACGCTCTGGGATTGTACGCCACACAGGTCCGGATCCTTGTCCGTGCTCTGCAGATGTTGAAGGTCGGCGGTCGCGTCGTCTACTCTACTTGCAGTATGAACCCTATCGAAAACGAAGCCGTTATTGCCAGTGCCCTGGAACGTTGCGGCTCCGCCAATGTCAAGATTCTCGACTGCAGCAATGAGCTTCCGGGCCTGAAGAGAGCCTCTGGCTTGCGCGACTGGAAGGTCATGGATCGTGAGGGTCGCATGTACAACACCTGGAAGGAGGTTGAGGAGCGGAAAGAGCGGGAGGGTATCAATGGACTCGGTAGGGTTGCCGAGGGCATGTTCCCGCCCTCTGAGGATCTCCCTCTGGAGAGATGTATCCGCATCTACCCTCACATGCAAGACACCGGAGGTTTCTTCATCACCGTCCTTGAGAAGCTGTCCGAAATCCGTGCCAAGCCCGAGGATTCCTCCAAGGTCATCCCTAAGGCCTCCATTGCCGCACTTACGGAAGAGCTCGATTTCAAGCAGAAGAACGGAGACGGCCAGCCCCTAGAGAAGATCGATGCGTTGGACGACCTGGTCGCTCCTGACCAAAATGCTCAAGTGGAAGCCGAGAAGAATGCCTCCGTTGCGCAGGCTACCCACCAACTCCCTTACTCTGCTACCGACCAGACCTCCCCCGTCAAGAGGGATGCGGAGAGCTTGGAAGACGAGCTCCCGGCCAAGAGGACGAAACTTGAAGATGGCTCCGATGTTGTTCTGGGAGATCGCCCAGTTCATGCTCCCGCGCCCGTGGTCGAATCCGACAATGTCGAGACAACCGACGCGACCCCTGCGCCCGCAGAGGCTCAGGCGCAGCCCCCGCAGCCCCTGCAGAAGCGGAAGAACGGCCAGCCGGTTGAAGAGCCCTTCAAGTACTTGGATGTCAATCAGGAAGAGCTCGACCCCATTTACGAGTTCTACGAGATCTCCAAGCGATTCCCTCGGGACCGCTTCATGGTGCGCAACGCGGAGGCTATCCCCGCTCGTACCATCTACTACACCAGCTCTCTGGCTCGCGACATTCTGAGTGCAAACGAGAAGCAGGGTATGAAGTTTGTGCACTGCGGTGTCAAGATGTTTGTGCGCCAAGATGTGCAGCGTCCTGGTGTCTGCCGTTGGCGTATCCAAACCGACGGGCTGAGGATCCTCCAGCCCTGGCTGGGCCCTGCTAGAGCCATCACTCTGACCAAGAAGGAGACCCTGCACAGGCTGCTTGTGGAGATGTTCCCCAAGGTCGACGGTGACAGCTGGACCGAGCTTGGAGAGATCGGAGAGCGGGTCAGGGACATCCCGATGGGCTGCAGTATCCTGCACATTAGACCCGATGCCGGCGAGAGCTTCCAGTAAGTAACCGCTTCCCTCAATTGCTGCAGAAGTGCTAACGAAATTCTAGCGAGCGAATCACTCTTCCCCTTTGGCGGTCCCTGCACTCCGTCAACCTCATGCTTCCCAAGGAAGATCGTCGGGCCATGCTTCAGCGTCTGTTCAACGACGACACTCCCTTGGTTAACACCACGCAAAAGCGACAGGCACAGTCATCGACGCCGGCCACTCCCGCGACCGAGGCCGTCAACGAAGAGACCCCTGTCGAGACAGAGGAAGACGCGATCAAACGGGAGAATCTGGCATTGGGCGAGGACGAGCAGGAGCAGATGGATACGCGCGAGACGTACACCAAGGCCGGCGATGAGGAGGACCGGTTCAACACGACTGTATAATTTAGGAGTTTGCTTGAACATATACGGCAGTTTATTTAAATGAAAAGCATTGGATGTTACTGAGACTTATTTTATTGCCTTTGAAGACTTGTTGCGTTGGGTCGGAATTGTCGTCAAGATATACATACAACACGAGTTGCTACTTGCTCATTTGCATGAAGGATGTTTGAGTTATATTTAATCCAAGATAACTGAATCTTGATCTTCATTTGGATCCTGCTGAAGTCTGTTAGCTATAATGCATTGGATGAGAGTCCAGAATCGCTCACCTGTGACCTGAAGGACAGCACGACCAGCCAGCTGGCCACTAACCATCTTTTCAACCCACGAGTCCAGATCATCCAACTTACCCTTGGTCAAGACAGGCTATTCAAATTAGCGTAACTGGACTTGCAACGATCATGGAAATACACTCACGTGAACAACGCCTCTTGCAGTGAAATCAAGGGCCTCGTCTACATCCTTGAGAGTACCGACAATGGATCCCACCACGTTCAGTTTCTTCAATGCCATCAGCATCGGGGGTGCACCAGCCAGGATGGTGGCATCCTTGGGCAGTCCAATTGCCACCAATGTGCCATTTGGCCGAAGATATCCTGGAGCGGCCGCATAAACAGCCTTGGTGGCCGCCGTCACAATGATCCCGTGCGCCCCATACTTGGTGATCTTCATGATCTCGGCCCCAACATCAGGCGTCTCCCGGAAATCAATGAACACCTCCGCTCCAAGCTTCTGGCACAGCTCCCGCTTCTCCTCTCCTCCATCGATGGCAATGACCCTCATGCCCATAGCGCGCGCAAACTGAATGGCCAGATGGCCCAGACCACCACCCGCTCCAGGAAGCACGAGCCACTGACCGGCCTTGACATTCGACCTAGAGCACAACATTCTCAGCTAAAACCACACAAGACCACATAAAAAGAAAAAACGAAAGACTCACCGCTTGCAGGCCACATAAACTGTCACCCCACCACACATCATCGGCCCAGCCTCTTCATCCGTCACGCCATCCGGAATCTTAGATGCATACCGTCCATCCGCAATACAATATTCCTGAAAGGTACCAGGAACCGAGAACCCACTATTCAACTGATTCACGCAGTGCACCTCATCCACACCAGTAAGACAGAACTCGCACTCGCCACACGTACTAGCAATCCATTTGACTCCAGCCCGCTCTCCTATCTTCCACCGATTTCCCATCCCCTCCCCAACAACAACAACAATCCCGACCCCTTCGTGGCCGGCAATGCCTTTAGCCTCGGGCTTCATCGTCAGCCCGAAATCCTCCCACTCATCTTGTAAAAGTGATTTATCCGACCCACACAGCCCGGTCCATGTGATTTTGACCAAGATCTGCCCAGGTCCGGGGCGTTCGACATCGATTGTCTCGATGGATGTGGTGGCCGATGCTCCGGTCCCTTTGCGGACTGCGGCGCGTTGTTGTGTGGGGATGGTATCAGCAGAGATAGTCATGGTGTCACGCAGGAGTTACACGAGAGAAAAAAGATACGTGTTAGGTTGTAGGAAAGTCCCTCAGGTCAGGCAAGAAGAAGAGGAAGAGGGGGGGGGGAGGGAGTACATTGCCTTTAACCCTCTCCTCCCCTCCCCTCTCTTCTCCGCACGCACACGTGATGGTTCATATCCCCATGCAGCTATAGCGATCCTATTAAGACGTTGATCGCACACTTCTGCACCATACAGAGCTCTCCTTCTGGGTCCGGGGTGGTCCATGCTGCAGCGTCTAGGCTACTATCTATTCATTAGGCGCGTTTCACCCTGCTCTAGATACCTACTAGGACGATCATGTCGATATGTAAGATAGCGCTTTGCAGGATCTAGATTTGACTATGTTTGGTTGTGAATGATTAATCTGAGCTTCTGCCAATAATGACCGATACATCATGGCTAAAGTGTGAGGATCGAGTAATATCATGGTTAGTGACTTACCGTCCGGTTGATTGTATCACCCTCTTCTCTCCTCTTTCATACGATCTCATCTTCAATCCAGACCAACCGATCAACTAACCTTCTGAACCCCTCTCCATACACCCCCTGTCCCCACCACCCACCATTATCTCTTTCGAATCTATCCTACCCCGCAATCTACAACCATCCGTCCCAGCCGACAAAGATGCCTAACTTGATCGACATTACGAAGAGAGAGATACCTCTCTCAACTACCATTGTACGTATTACTCAACCCATCTAGATACGCACTCGATAATCAATTATTCACTTTCCTTTCGAACTGCAGAGCGTATATACGATCGGAGCAAGTGGCAACCCGCATCATGCTAACCAGACTAGTCCTGCAAACTAGCATCTAGCTTGCATGACTTGCAGAGTTGTCGTTTCTGATTGATTGATCGATTGGGAGTTCGGGGTGGTCTTATCGACCCCTCTTTTTGTGTAGCCAGTTAAAAGGTGAGTTGCGGAGGAGAGTACGGCTGAGTTGTGGGGTATAGTTACATTCCTCGGTGTTTCTGGTCTTGGTCTTTGTTGTGAGATTTGGGGGGTTGGGATGGGTCGTGGTTTGTGTAGATGGGGGGTTTTCTTTGAGGACTAGATATAGGTTTTCTTGTGAAGGAGGTGTGTGTCGAAATAAGTATGTTGGCATCGCAGAGGTGAATAGGATAGTCTGGTGTTGGTAGGTGATGGTGGGTTGTGGTTGCATGGATGATTGTGCTTTGGTCGCTGGTAGTAGCCGAAGTTTTGCCGGGCTGTGTGGTTCGTGATGTACTTGTGAACCTCGATCATGTTTTCATAAAGAAAAATGATTTTTCTAGTTGTTGTATTAGGGTAGCGTAGCCTTGGTTGTTCTCTTGCTTTTGCTGTGGTGATCATGTGAGATAGCAGGAGTCGACGTCGTAGTGTTTCTGATTTTAACCTGCTTTTGGACTCTTGATTCATCCCATTTGCCTTTTTTTCTCGGGGTTGATATTCCACTGGAAGACGAACCATGACTATGGATTAAGATCTGGCGCACTGGTTTAAGCTTAAAGGTAAACCTTTAATAGAGGAAGCTAAGAGTGGAGATGAGAGGCTGAACCGACCAACAGCCTGGAACTACACAAGTAGTAGGTTCTTAGGGGACCTTGCTGGCTTGCTAGTGGTAAAGCCCCCCTTGCTGATAGTCATAGCTTCCCGGAGTAAGAGCGAAGTGGACAATCGTGAATTCAGTATGCAGGAACAAACGTCGCTCCATTCGTCTAAGTCAGGATATTATCCAAAGTAGGAATGCTAAATGCACCAAAGGCTTGGTCCTCGCAACAAACAATTTGGTCAAGTTGAGAGATCGTCCTGGTCAAATTCACTGTCAAATGTATAGTAGAGTAGGTATGAAACTAATCTGGGCTTTCGTCCTTCCAAGGGTACGTTTGTGTGATGCTTTCTCGCCTGACAGGAGTTCTTGATAGCTCCATAGCGGATAGGGAACCTTTTGGACGTCACCACTAGCGTTGAGTTGACGAGCTCCTGCAGTGGCAGGGTTATTGTGTGAATTGTTCCAGATTCGTACCAGATTAGAGACCAACTTGGAGAGCTCATAACAGATCTTGTGAAATTTGTAAATTATGGCTGCTTGAGGTGAGCGTCTGGGTGCTATTGGCTTTGATCTCATTATGTGCCAGCTCGTTCCGAAAATGTCCAAATGAATGAACCGCTGATGAGATGGCAATTAAGATTCGTAACTCTTGAATGTAGTGAACTGCACCATTCCTGTTGTCATGGTAAAATGCATAGTCTAAGGAATCCATTAGGCAGGAGGAAGTGCAATGCATTGCTCTGCTTCGGCGGCCGACAAGCGCATTGTGGGCTCGATTTGCAGGTTATATTAGTTAGTAAATGGTTGCACTCTGAGGAATGAATATCCTTCGTAACCCAGCGTACTTCGATTCAGATTTTGTTCCGAAGATTCCGGGCATGGAACCATAGTCACATGTGGCCAGAGTCCTCGAGGAACACCCAGGTTTTACTCAGAACGGCTATGTTCGGAATGCAGACCAGAATAGCAAACAAATCCGATCGGATATGAAGCCAAGCAGGAAATAGCCCATCAAGCCCTCGGGTTGCCAAGCCTCTGGGTAATTATCGGAGAAATGAGGGCATACACGCAGAGTCATGCGTCGCTAGTCTGGCCTAGACCATCGGACAATCAGAGGTTCAATTAATGGCTCCGAGGTATTGGCATGGACAAAAGTAGAGACAAATCTCGTTTGCTTAACTCCTGCGTCTGGATGTTTTACTTATGCTTTGTCCTCGTCCTCGGACGCCGGTGCATACACAAGTTGTTCCTCCAGTCACATCGGGTGGCATGATTCCGGTTGGCTGGGGATAATGAACGTCATCGAGTCCGACTGGATGACTTGACTACTTTGCAGGCGGGTTAGTGAGAAAAGAATATCCACCACGGACAAGAAATCAAGATTTCTCCGGTGGCACCCCGCAGGCCAGCCATCCGGAAGCTTAGGCTGATTAGGTTCGGGATCAGGGTCCTCTCCAGTGAACACGACAACGATAATAGACACCGTTCAGAAAGCCGGCCAGCAACTGATCGTCAGGAGAAACGGGGCCAGTCTCGAGTGTTCCTGCATATGAATAGGCACTTCTTTCAGAAGGTGGGAGGGAATGATGGGCGAGGTGCAGGCGAGAGGTTGAAGGAGGGAAAGAAGAATAGCCGGCGCGGGAGACGCGATGCGGAGAAGCCGGAGGGCACGGGGCACGCTAACCCGATGAGGCGCGGTCCCTGTGGAGGATCTTCAGCCGAATTGCCTTCTCAGTTGTACTCACTCTCCTCCGACCCTCGCCTACCAGCTAACATCATGCCAGCACCCTCGAGTCCACCTCGTTTCTGCAGGGTCCCACTTCCCCTCATTACGCGATGATGTCGATGCTGCGAGGATCAGACTCGTGGCTCGGCTAGGATGTCAACAGGCCCGGTCATTATTCAGCATGGGAGGGGCGTTGAAGCCTGGAACGAGGGAAATAAAAGGTTCATTCCCCCAAGCTCCTGGCGAGGGGTTTCCGTGAGCTCTTGCGGAATCATACCATCCGGTGCCATCAACCCATTGGCGTTTGTCGAAACCCAGGGATTGTTGCAACATGAAGTTCTTGTCCGCTTGTGCGGTGGCCTTGCTGGCTGCCCAGGTATCCGGAGCTGCCATCAAGCATCGCCTCAATGGCTTTACCCTGACGGAGCATCCAGATCCTGCCAAGCGGGAGCTGTTGCAGAAATATGTATGTACATCTCCAAATCGCTGCGCTACGATAAACTGACCGGTTGTCTAGGTCACCTGGGATGATAAATCTCTCTTCATCAATGGCGAGAGAATCATGATCTTTAGCGGCGAATTCCATCCATTCCGGTACTACAATTCCCACCCTCTTGTCAGGTTACATCGAGTCTGACCTTTATAGACTACCCGTGACAGAGCTTCAGCTTGATGTTTTCCAGAAAGTCAAAGCTCTCGGATTCAACTGCGTCTCGTTCTATGTCGACTGGGCACTCGTCGAAGGAAAGCCCGGAGAGTACCGGGCTGACGGCATCTTCGACTTGGAGCCATTCTTCGAGGCGGCTAAGGAAGCAGGCATCTATCTACTGGCCCGCCCAGGCCCCTACATCAATGCGGAAAGTTCAGGTGGTGGGTTCCCGGGCTGGTTGCAGAGGGTGAATGGCACTCTTCGCACAAGTGCCAAGGCATACTTGGATGCTACTGATAAGTATGACAAGCTTTTATGCAATCCTACTCCAGCTGCTAATTCTCATCAGCTATGCTGCTCATGTTGGTGCAACAATTGCCAAATATCAGATCACCAACGGCGGCCCAATCATCCTTTACCAGCCTGAGAATGAGTACACTGGTAGCTGCTGCGGGGTTGAATTCCCCGACCCGGCTTATATGCAGTACGTGGAGGACCAGGCTCGCAATGCCGGTGTCGTGATCCCATTCATCAACAACGATGCCTCGGCGGAAGGACACAATGCCCCTGGGACTGGAGAAGGCGCGGTTGATATCTACGGCCATGATAGCTACCCGTGAGTCCCACTCACCCGAATTTTTAATAGAGAATGACTGACCATCTTAGGCTTGGGTTCGACTGCGTATGTTTGTTGCAGCAGGCAGTATGATTTTGGGCTAACGTAAACAGGCGAATCCGACGGTATGGCCCGAGGGTGACTTGCCCACGAATTTCCGTACCCTTCATCTTGAGCAGAGCCCGACGACGCCGTACTCCATTGTCGAGGTTGGTACAAACATTCCTGATACTGTTCTTAAGCTAACATGCCACAGTTCCAAGGTGGATCATACGACCCATGGGGAGGCCCCGGCTTCGCTCAATGCGCTGATCTCCTGAACAATGAGTTTGAAAGGGTGTTTTACAAGAACAACTTTGGCTTTCAAATCGCCATCATGAACCTGTACATGGTACGTGAGCTGGAGTGGTTGTCAGTACATGTACTAACGCTGACAGATCTTCGGTGGCACTAACTGGGGTAACCTCGGATATCCCAATGGATACACCTCCTATGACTATGGATCGGCCCTGACAGAATCCCGCAACATCACCCGTGCCAAATACAGCGAACTTAAGCTTATTGGCAACTTCGCCAAAGTATCCCCATCCTACCTGACGGCTAGCCCTGACAGTCTGACAACATCGGGCTACGCTGATACTGCGGAATTGAGCGTGACTCCTCTGATTGGCAATGGCACTGGCTCGTATTTCGTAATCAGGCATTCGGACTACAGTAGCGAGGCGTCCACCTCGTACAAACTCAGTCTTCCCACCAGTGCTGGTAACCTGACTATTCCTCAGCTTGGCGGTACGTTGACACTCAATGGGCGCGATTCGAAGATACACGTGGCCGACTACAATGTTTCGGGAACAAAGATCATCTACTCCACGGCTGAGGTTTTCACCTGGAAGAAGTTTGCCGACGGCAAGGTTCTAGTCCTCTATGGCGGTGCTGGTGAGCACCACGAACTTGCTATTGCTACCAAGTCAAATGCCACGCTCGTCGAAGGCTCAAGCTCTGAATTCTCTTCGAAGCAAACCGCCACATCGGTTGTGGTAGGCTGGGATGTGTCCACCACTCGTCGCATCATCAAGGTTGGCGACTTGAAAGTACTTCTCATTGGTAAGCTTATTTCACCAAATTGGGTTTCATCACACTAACTAGTCACAGACAGGGACTCTGCTTACAATTACTGGGTGCCTCAACTTGCTACGGACGGCACTTCACCTGGCTTCAGCACGCCAGAAACGGTCGCCTCGTCCATCATTGTCAACGCAGGCTACCTCGTCCGTACTGCTTACGTGAAGGGCACTGGCCTTTACTTGACCGCAGACTTCAACGCTACCACTTCGGTTGAAGTTATTGGCGCTCCGACTACGGCTAAGGATCTGTTCATCAATGGGGACAAGACGACACATACCGTTGACAGCAATGGGATCTGGTCGGCTAAGGTCGAATACAATGCCCCTGATCTCTCACTGCCTAGCCTGAAAGACTTGGATTGGAAGTACTTGGACACTCTGCCTGAAATCCAGTCCTCGTACGACGATTCTCTCTGGCCCGCCGCGAACCTTACGGAGACCAAGAACACCCTCCGTGCGCTGGACACTCCTACGTCTCTGTACTCGTCCGACTATGGATTCCACACCGGCTACTTGCTCTACCGCGGACATTTTGTCGCCACGGGTAACGAAAGCACCTTCTTCGTTGACCCGCAAGGCGGGTCGGCATTTGGAAGCTCTGTCTGGCTGAACGGAACATACCTCGGATCGTGGACCGGTCTGTATGCCAACTCCGACTACAACGCCACCTTCACGCTGCCCAAGCTCCAGGCTGGCCATACCTACGTGATCACCGTTCTGATCGACAACATGGGCCTCGAGGAGAACTGGACTGTCGGAGAGGATTTGATGAAGACCCCTCGTGGTATCTTGAATTACAAGCTTGCTGGACGGCCGCTCAGTGCGATCAGCTGGAAGCTTACCGGCAACCTTGGAGGTGAAGACTATGAAGACAAGGTGCGCGGTCCCCTGAACGAGGGTGGTCTCTATGCCGAACGCCAAGGCTTCCACCAGCCCGAACCTCCCAGCCAGAAGTGGAAGTCGTCTAGTCCTCTTGATGGTATTTCCGAGGCAGGTGTAGGCTTCTACAGCGCCAAGTTCGACCTTGATCTGCCGAAGGGATGGGATGTGCCTCTGTATTTCAACCTCGGAAACAGCACCACGCCGTCTCCGTACCGCGTGCAGCTGTACGTAAACGGATACCAATACGCCAAGTACGTGAGCAACATCGGACCTCAGACCAGCTTCCCCGTTCCTGAGGGAATCCTGAACTACCACGGAACGAACTGGGTTGCGGTGACCCTGTGGGCTCTTGACTCGGCGGGAGGCAAGCTGGAGAGCTTCGAGCTGAGCTACACCACCCCGGTGCTAACAGCTCTGGGAGAGGTGAAGTCGGTTGACCAGCCCAAGTGGAAGGTCCGAAAGGGGGCATACTAGTATATCTACTAATAGCTACTGTCCAATGGAATTTATATTACCTCACCGCCATCCTCCTAGTATACGTAAAGCCCCTTAAGCGTTCTCGAGTAGCAAAACCCGACCGAGTATCACCTCCCTAATAAATCAATCCAAACTGTTCCGCCTCGCCATACAAAAGCATCAGCGATGACTTACCCACACGACAACACTACTGCATCAATTTATATTCTTGGGAATGGAAACCGAAGATGCTACTCTGAGTTTTGATCTTTCCTTCTTTTGGCCCTCCCTATCTATCCTACTTCCATTCCATCTCTGTATATAAACCAGTCATCCCATGTTAATATAACACATACAAACCCAGCATCATAATAAAAACACAAACCGCCACGATCGTGACGGGTCTAAATCATTGTACTTTTGATGGAAACCGGAGTGAGTGCCCCCGGCGATAATATATATTACTTCTCATGAAAATGAGAAATACTTGTGCTCAATCTTCAAATCCCGGATATATCTCTTCTGCCCCATCAGCCGGGACGAGGGATAGTATGCGAAAAGCAGGCACGGAAAGGGAAGCAATCTTATGATTTACTTAGAGGGTTGAACTATCTCGAAACCTTGCGTATCAAGAATGGCCATGCAGTGGAAAATAAGGCTGAGATTAGGGCTAGGAGAAAGAGGTGGGAACAAAAGCAAAAAGAAAATGAAAAAGAAGAGTGCATCATCCGTGAATCGAACACGGGCCTCATCGATGGCAACGATGAATTCTACCACTAGACCAATGATGCTAGTTGATAAAAGATAAGGCATATGCTCGCTTTATTACCCAAAGCTTTATTTGTGGAAGATGGTCACCACCTGCGGGACTCATCACTGTTTGCCCACCACCCCCTTCCGGGTATTAGAACAAGGAAGCTCTGCTTAACATAGCAAGCCAGCCAATCTGAAGAAAGGATTAGGTTTGAATGATTAATTTCTATCCAGTGCAAACCAAAAACATCCATATGGTTGGGTAGTGGCAATGGTTCGGACGAAGCTGCTCGGACGAAGGCTCTCCCGGTCGTCTTCACCCCCCAATTCGACCTAACTTCAACTCCTCGGTTCTTCGTCCGAGCCAGTGGATCAGCCCAAAGAGCCAACCCAACCCAGCAGGACAGAAGCGTCTCAGATTATTCTAAACATGCGAATGAGAAAAGGGACCCACAGTTGTATCGCCTGTGAGTGTTTCACTGTTTTTTCGAGGGTCTCGGCGGCACAGACCCTGACGGCATGTAGGTCGACATCGGAAAGTTCGCTGCATATTCCCTCCGGACGAATCCGACGTGTGTTCCCACTGTGCGAGGCGAGGATCTGCATACATCCCCCAAGGCGTGTCACCTGAACTGGATTCTGGGAATGGTGTAACTCGTCAACGTTGCCAAGCCGGGTCGCGATCTTTCACCAAATCTGTGGCTTGCGCCACACCCGAGCGACGGACCCCAAGTGGCCCGGCCCGTTTTAAGGATGCCCTGAAGCATTTGCGGAAAAGGATAGCGATCTCACTTGATTCGCATCGAGAGGATGTCCCCACTCGAGGCGCCGGTGCAGTGCATGGGTCAGACTGTGCAGAATGACTGTGCACCGGTTATGAAGCTTTTGAACCATGACTTGGTATGGCGGTCACTGTTACACCATCGCAGGAATCCATCCTAAAACAGTCCAGATTGGTCGAGTTTCCGAGTCTGATAGAGATGCACCTCCAATAGGCTCAACGCAAGGCTCTAGGCATGACAAACCTCACTCATCCCTTGAACCTATAGAGCATGCTGCAGCACTCCACGGCCTATATGAAGCGCTGCCGTCGGAGTCTGAAATGGATGATATCTTCCAAAACAGGAGTAAATGGTGGGACTCGTGGCGCGAATCCTTCGGACTAAGCTGGGGCGATGAAGATGATTCTAGCCTCGAATGCTTCGCCACCCCAGCATTCAGTACGGGCCATCCCGCGTTGGTCGGAGTCTTCTGCTTGGTTTTGCCTTCAGCACGGGCAATTTTGCAAGATACCTCCCTCCGGTGGAAAAGTGGATCCTGAACAACGATGAGCTGGCCGGCAGCGGATACGGTCTGCAGTATCTGATGGACCTGGGGCTCTGTTTCATGAGCTCCTTACAGCCTCGTCGCGCGTGCGTCGCATATCGCAAAGCAAACACTCTTATGCAGCTCGCGGGGATCCATCGAACACACCGGACATCCAAGAGCTTGGACACTCTTTTCTGGCAGGTATTTGCCGCTGACCGGTGGGTTAGTCTGCTGGTCGGACTGCCATATTCCGTGCCTGAGAATCTCTGCGATCTCTTTATCCCTCCCTTGGATGATGATTCGTTTGCCAGCTTCAATTATCGACACTTGCCTGTGCTGACTGGCCGAGTCATCGACTGCCTGCAGTCTGGGAAAGGATCTTCTCTATCCACTGTTTTGGGAGTCGATGAGCAAATCGTTGAAGTCACTGCGCAGCTTCCACCGGATATCTGGATCTGAAAGAGATCACCTTGTGCCAGAAGGCCAAAGAGAAACATACCCGGGCCTTTTGCCTAGCACACGTGCACAATCTAAAGGCACATCTATACATGCCATCATTTTTGCAACGCTCCCGTGACGACAGGCAGGAGTATAGTCGGATTGCCTGTGTCAGGAGTGCAAGGATTCTTCTAGAGGCATATATTTTCCTGTATGAGAGTGATCCTGCAATGACAAGCACAGATAACAGCATCAAGCAGTCAGGACTGAGCGCGCTGACTGCAGCGGTGATCGTTTGCTTGAACTTGCTCGGCTATGGAACGGGTGCTGTCGATCCTGTATCAGAAAGCGGCATTGATAAGGACTGTGACGAGGGATTGATAAATCGGATTATCGTTGCTCTCAGAGGGTAGTCAGAAGATCAGCCAAGTTCATTCGCTGGTCAGTGCCATGCTGCACTGGAAATCCTGGTGTCGAGCAGTCGAACTTTGGACAAGGGAGAATGTCGCGATATTGTTGTGCCGTATTTTGGCATGGTGACGGTCGACCGCAGGGATCACTCTTTGCAAGGCGATGCTGATCCCTGGTTGCAGAATCCGACCGGGACTACCTCTTCGGTGTTGAATGTCGACACCACCCTGCCGGCTTTGTACGACGATATATTCCTCTCATATTCCGGTCCATGGGCACTGCACAATCAGAATCATGGCGAAGCGTTTGCTGGAGATTCTGGCACCGCCTTAGATTGAATGACGACTGACTATGGTTATTTCCAATGCTAGCTCACCGCCAGCTGTAGCAAAGCTCAGACATAAATAACTTTTTAATCTAAGCCAGGATCTATATTACGATTATATAGGGATATATGTTCAGGTAGCGAATTAAATCATAGGGCTCTCATCGATCCCAGCAACAGAGACACCCCCAGGCCCCGAGGGCTTCGGGGCGGTGCTAGGCCTTCTGGCACGCACCTTGGTGACCGAGAAACTTCTTCCAAGACCGGAAGTTTTGTTCGTGGTCTTGGGGGCATTTGCAGTGGTCTCTTCCAGACGCAGTACAACCTCAACAGCCTTGTCATCCTCAATGACCTTGGGGTGTCTGGCGGCAAAGTATCGGGCATATTTGAAGAGAGACCAATAACAGCTGACGACGTTGATCAGGAAGAGGACGATTTTGTATGGCATGTAGTAGAAGAGCAAGCATATCCAACTGACGGATTCCTTCTTCAAGCGAAGATGGACCAGGTTGAAGATGATGACGTTCAGAAAGTACAAGCCATTGGTGATGGCCAGCAAAATGCCACAGAATTCTGGCCGGACCACGAGCGAAATCGGTAGCATAAATGGGGCGAGGAGGTATAGCAGGGTTTCATACACCTGTTTTAAATGTAAGCATTGGCTATGGCAGAGCAAAGACCGCGGTAGAACTCACCTCTTGGAAAACGAACAACTTCGCGCCTAATTCCCAAAATCCAAGGTTCCAACTGCATACGATATACTTCATGTTATACCACATACCATTGACGAAAAAGAAATTCCAGCGCGTGAATCGCTGCTTGAAGATAGTCATCTCGCCAAAACCCCCACGGGAACCGCCCGAGCTAAAAAAGACGGCGGACGGGGTCTCTGTCTCGACAAAAACGGCCGAGCACATGGTGATACGCCCACCTAGCCGGCGGCAGCTGTCGCCAAAGAACCAATCTTCCGACACTGAGAATCCCGGATGGTCATGAAAGGTCTGTTTGAGAAAGTCGGTCCGCCAGAGCGAAATGGCACCGTGGGGAAATGTTGCACTGCCCAATTTGCCGGCAAACGCGCGTTGGAGACCCGAAATCTTATACTCAAGGTCCTGTGCCTGCTGACATAGGGTTCCACGCGAGGATCCTGGTCCGACACTCTTGATTGTATAACCAATACTCTGGATACGACCTTTTAGTCGGTCACTAACGACAGGGAAGTTTGGGGGCAGCGCGCAGTCATCGTCAATCAGCAAAACATGAGGGAAGTCCTTGGCCGCATAGCAGCCAACGAATTGTGCAATGATCTTGCTCCCGACCGGGCACCAGAGATGATTGACACCAAATGGACGGCAGACCTCTTCAGTGTTGTCCAGTGGCTCGGGAGAATTCCCATTCGCGATGACGAAGATATTCTCCGGGGGAAAGATGCGCAACGCCGCTTCAAGAGTTGGTCCAATTATGCCGGCGGATTTGTAGCATGGGATTAACAATGCCGTGCTTTTGGCCGAGTTTCGATTGCGCTCAAGGTCCTCGTCTGTCGAATTGCTGTCCACTGGGGGTGGGTTCTTTTCAAAAAGTACCAGCAATGGAGTAAATGCGTAGCTATCAGATGACCATCAGCCCCGGGCTCATTCAATCTAAACACAATGAGGATGTACTTACAGGACAGACAGTCCGATTGTGATCCCCCAGCCCCCTGGGATGACGAACTTGGTGCGAACCACCCAGTAGAGCCACCAGACAGCACCACGCCAGAGGGGCATCCCAACGAGGACGAAATAGATGAAGGCCACGAGTATGACATACACTGTATATTCGAAGAGAAGTTGCACCCAGTACTTCCGTTGTAAGGCAACGCGCCTCTCCTTCGCTTTTTCGTAGACATCGTAGATACTGTGTCGTGCCGGGTTCTTCGTCTCCTGAGGTTCCTCTGTCGGTTCAACACGGGATAACCGGTAACTGTTAGGCCGGGGTGGAAGTGGCCACGCGTCGCCTCTCGCTGTCGGAGCGGTCTCGCCAGCCGGCAATTCCCCATCAACAGAGGCGGTTGGAATAGGTCGTTCGTTCTGAGCTCTGGCGTTGGTGTGCCCAGAATCCAGGCCTGGAGAGCGCTGCCACTGAATATGTTGGGATTCCTTATTGTAGTAATCATGTGGTTCAAGCTCTCCGATTGTAGATATCTCAGCCACGCTCAAGGGTGCACTCTGACGTCGGATATGATAGTCTCTGGGCTTCTCCGGTTGAGAGCTATTCACACTAGCTGAGCGGCGGAGACGGCCATATTGCCTTTCCAAGGCCTCCGTACGAATGGCCTGCTGGACTGGACCAGGCTCCGAAAGAGATGGCTCATCTCCCTGGGTTGTCCAGGGACCGTTCACTTGTGTGGTGGCGGCCAGTAGATGGGCCGGAATGACCACGTCTTCCACCACAGATATGCGAGCATGCTTGCGTGACATTTCTACCTGCGGTAGTCGCTTTGTCTGACCACTGAGGATTGCGGCTGGGGTCGCAATTTAAAGGCTTGGGCGCGGTGGTACAGCATCCTGGGACAGATTCCGGTGTCCACCTAGATGTGCACTCGATCTCATAACGGATCACTGCCAGGCGGGCAACAATCCGGACCCAGTAATCATCCTCCGGAGATGTGGTCATCTCCCAGAAAATTTCGTCGGGTGTGCGGATCAGCAATCCAGAATCACCAATGGACCATGATGATCTGGGGCCAATAGTGCTATACTTGGACGTGGAGCGTGTTTAGGCATACCCCGCAGCACCGGGCAGGAGTCGCCACCATCTAGGAACATACAGTAAGTCTGCGGATCAGTGAAGCCCTAGTTCGGTTCTGGCAATCGCATGTACTCCGAATTTCGCGCCAACTCCATCCACCTTGGAAGCTAGCTCAGGAGGGCACGGTGTGTCTCGTGTGTTTTCCTTGCGATCGAAAGCGAGACACCAGTCGGTCCGTTCGCCGAGACTAGACTGGGTCTTGTTGGAAGGCTACTCGGATTTCCGAAGCCATCGTGAACCCAGCCACAGCCGTATGGGAGAAGGAAAAAGGAATATGAAAAGGCAAACGACGGAGGCCGAACTAAAAAGTTACGTAACGGGCGAACACGATGGCTCGCTATTTCTAGCGGGAGGCGTCGCCATCCAAGGATCGCGATGAGGTGTGGCCCCGGCCCCCGACTGCTGGCAGTTCAATGGGCGCGTTCCTGAAACTCCTTGCCAGTGACTGTCTATTTTTGTGCGATTAAGTTTGCGCCTCAGGGAGACCCGTCAGGCTTAGGGCTGGTTTCTGAGCGTCATCGGTGATCGGTCATCCACGTTCGCGAGTCTCCACTCGGCGGGCCGACAGCATTTCTCGGCTCCTGAATTAGAGGAGTAATGATCAGCATTGTTGGAAATTTTATCTCTGGAATAGGAATGACTACTCGGCATCGCCCCGATCGCTTCTATGGTGCTAGCACGCGCAAATTTCATCTCGCTGTACTAGTAATCTGCTAGTCAGTAGTGGTAGCTCACTTGACCAGCAGCAGCAAGCGATGGAAAAGAATCCCGGCGGACCTATCTGGAACTTTATTCCGCATGCTGGGAGAGCAGATCCCGATGGTGACCACAGTGCCAACTGCCAAGGTGTAGAGAGCATGTCAGCAATAGCACTAAGTTGTTGAAGGTGGAATCCCGGCAGATGATGAAACAAAGTGGCGCGAGAGGAAGGAGTGACAGGCAGGGTCTTCCGTCTTCCAGCCGGGACAAACGCCCCCAAACACCTGCACCTGACTGCAGCCTGAGGATTGAACCCCTGGGGTGTCTGTCCCCCACTTCTTCTTCCCATGTCCACACTGCTCTCTCCAATTTGCCATGTCTAGCCTACATGGATGGATGGATGGATGGATTCTGACCCCATCAGCTCATCTCGGACTGGATCCACCCACCTGATGGTCAGAAAGTGTCGGTAGTGAGTGTTAGGCGAGGCAAGTGTGTATAGCCTCAGCCGCAAGAGGGCAATACGAATCGTATGGAAAAAGAAAGAAAACCGACGCATCTGTCCAACGCTTACTATCAATCTCTGAGGTCCTTGTGCAGTGAGTACCATCACCCATTGGTTGCCCAAGAAAAGGTGCCCAACGCAAGTATATGCTTTTTCTCTCTGTTCTTTTTCTTTCCCCTTGAAACGATGGAGTATTTTCTTCTTCCATGCATAACAAGCTTTCAGGCAAAGTTGCCACTTCGAAATTCCATAGTATGTAGACTGCTAAAAGTGCTCAATGCTAACCCAAGCACTAGTGCGGGATGGCACGAGGCAAACCTGCGCCCACGAAGCAAGAACCCCTGGAGCACCACTTCAAACCACCTTCATCAAACTGACAAGGACTTTTCTATCGGCAATTCAATATATCAGACTGGACATGGATGCAAGAGACCCTTTAGTAAGAACAATGTTGGAGGGTCCGACGAATCCTTCTTTCACGAGAATAGCAACCTCGTATTATTTGGAATTTTCTACAGGAAACCTATGACGATATGGAGTTAATGTTGGGCTCTGACAAAGCACCAACTCGACGAGAATATGATCCACACTTCTGCTCGGAGATCTACGGATACAATTCATACATTTTATGGATCCTTATACCTTCCTGAAGGATGCACATGATTGGCACGACGCTGTTTCATGCCTTAAATTGGACCATCTCATTTCAGCGGCTCTTGAAATAGCCAAGCACAGGCAATATTGAAAATAATGCTTTGGGGGCACAAAGCAACACGGCCCCTGATCGTGTTTGTAAACATAAGGACCGCTTACGGAATGGGATCTATAGGACTCCCACAGAACCTACTCGGCTCTACAGGAGTAAGCTTATAGCTAACAGAACCGGCGGGGGGCGAGCTAGATGTCATCAAAGGGTCTCTCATAAGGCCAGACTGGTCATTGTGGTCGCCCAAAGGGAGTGATTATAATGATGGAAGACAGGAAGCAAGCCAATAAAAGGACAAGAGATAAATAGTACCAACAATTGTCCTGAAAGCTGACTTTGCACACCTATGCTATGAGAGGTCTCGATTGAGAAGCGCGGGATCATGTTGAATGAGGGCTGTGATCGGACGAATCATGCACTCCGGAATTTTTTCGGGATAGAGCTTGAGGAAGAAACGAGTCGTCTGAGGACGTGGAAGCTAACTGCATAGGTTGTGGAGATCGCCTACGTACGGTAGTCTCGTCATGCAACGACTCTGATGGGGATTCGCGTCAGTAGAACGTGCTGGTTATATTTAGATATTCCGATGGTGTCTGTCGGGCTGTCCGACATGAGGGTCAGGCAGAAATATCGCTATTTACTTTGAAGTCGTGCTTGCCATTTTCTAGTAAGTACGAAGAAGGCTGTATACCACTCCACTGACATCACCAGATGAGCAGATCAGCAGATATTCTTCAGAGCAACAAAAAGACAGAATGTGGGGAAAATCAGCACAGGAATGATGACCGGTGGAGCGGCAGCAATGCTAGCTAAGCATTTCAAGCATCTGGTCTGCATATCGATCCACCAGCACAATCATTAATCTACACAGCATCATCGATGAGGTATTCTCCGTAAAGAAGACTACCACCGATGCAATCAAAGATATTATCTTTGGTCCAGGTACAAGGTGTCCCGAGCTCTGTGTCTTACAGCCTGCACGCTGATTCGCGAATCCAACTTGGTGAGCCTTGCTGTCGATCCAAATCATCCCGATCGCAAGCCATCCCAGCCACCGAATAAACAGCCCACCATCCAAGCGTTCCGCCCCATCATCTCGTCTTTTCTTTTCATTTCTTGTTTTCTAGCACTTCTTTCTACAATATCCTCATTCTATCCTTCAGATTTATCGTCCGTGTCTATCTTATTGACCCCTCGATGAACCACCACCTCCGCACACTACTGCCACTAGGAATCCTCCCCGCCTCCACCTCCACCTCCACCAAAACACCATGACACCAATCCCGATCCCGCGATCAATACGAATACCCAACATCAACATCAACGTCAACCAACTCCTCCACCCCCCTCCTCATCAACAAACCACCCACACCAACAACCCCTCACCACCTATCCCAAACCCGCACCCCCATAAACGCTCCTCCGTCTTCATCCCCGCAACCTACAACTCCAACGGCCTCTCGCCCGGCGCCGTCGCCGGCGTCGTCATCGGCAGTGTCCTCGGCTTCATCTTCCTCCTATACCTAATTTTCCTGGCTCTCGGCTCCGGCCGCAGATTCTCCAGCGAACCCAGCACGGAAGCCGGAACGGAAACCATGTCGGAGATTGTCGTGGAAGAAGAAGAGCACCCGCGCCGACCACCGCGACGTCGGCGACGTGAAATCGTCGAGGAAGTTATCGAGAGCGGCGGGAGTCGGAGGAGTCGGAGATCAAGACGTGGAGGAAGGGGAGATCAGCGGATTGTGGTAGAGGAGTCGGTGACGTCGCCGGATCGGTCGGATGTGATAGAGGTGTTGGAGGAGCGTTCTAGTGTGGAGGGGCCGGAGAGGAGAAGGAGGCGCAGTCGACCGGGACATTATCGGGCTGTTGATCCGGATAGGTATGGGGGGATTACGGAGGATGAGAGTTTGGCGTCGTGAGTTGATTGGTTTGTGAGGTTGAGAGGGATGGAGTGATTGATTGGTATTGATTGTTGGTTGTAATGATTGGTTTGACTTGATGATTTGATACCCTGCTGCCTGTTTCTATGATTAGAACGAGATGACGATAATGAGGATATTACCGCGCTATCCAATCTGCGAGTCACCGGACACCCACAAATGTCCGATACACGACTAGAATCAAAAACATCAATCCCATCAGCATAACAATGATTGGATTAGAACGAACGAACGAATAAAAGTACCCTGCGCCTCTAAGCGCCGACACCATTTGAATGACAGCGATCCAAATATAGAAACACAACCGGCGACCCGAGCACCTCAAACCTTGCGCCAATCAGGAAACAGCAACAAAATATCCATCGCACCCATCCAATTCAGGCTAGAAACGAAGGCAGACAAAACAACCACCAAAGAAAGAAGCGTTCTTCTTAGAACAAAATATCCAAGCAGCAACAACAAGCCAACGCAGCCATTATACCCGCGCACATCCCGCCGCCCGATGATCCGCCCCGATCTTGCCCAGCGTAGTAGCCCTGTGGTTGTTGCTGCGGGGGAGGATAGTACATGGGTTGGCCTTGGGGCGGGGGAGCTCCGTAGTATCCTTGTTGTTGTGGGGGAGGGCCGTAGTTCTGGGGCGGATAGCCTTGGTTGTAGCCTTGATTGTAGCCTTGGTTGTAGTAGTCTTGCGATGCGCCGGGGTAGGGACCGCCGTCGTGGGTGGGAGGGGGGTAGGAGGGGGGAGGGTTTTCCTGGTTAGGTGTGGGTTGTTAGTTGGGTGATGTGGTGTGGTGTGGTGAGAGGTGGAATGGACATACGGGTTTGTAAGACATTTTAGGGAGAGGGGAGGGAGGCAAGCGGCTGTGTAAATGGCTGGTTGGGTGGGTGGTTCTTTATGCGATCTTCGTGTGGAGTGAAATATGTTGGGGAGGGTTGAGCGAGGGTCGTTGCAAATTGCGGAAGGAGAGAAATGTGGAGAGAGAGAAAGAGGAGGAGAAGATAGGTAGTAGAGTGAGGAGAAGAAGTTCGAAGAGAGACGAAGAGACGCCGAGCCACGAGTTGAATGGCAGCTTGGCGGATGGTCCGGATTAGGCAACCGGCAATGTCGGTCTACGCGGGCGGGTTCGCGATCTTGGGCGTGCAGCAGCTAGGTATCTACTGAACCTACCGATTCGTGGTACCTGAGACACAATAGTTCCACCCGGTCACACAGAGACTTTTACTGATGGTAAATCTGGATTGTATGCTGCTAGGACGACATGGACCATGAGTTTGCAACAAACTCTGTGTCGGCGAAAGAGGGGAAGGCATGACGAATTGCCATCTTGGCGCGGCAGCTGACACTCGATGATTTGCCCAAGTGAGTATAGTCCCTCGGTTCAGGCGGACCAACTCTATGGCTGTCCAACACTGGAGGTTCCTGGCTGGATTAAACCACTCGACGCGCAGTTTGAGGTTTTGAACCCCATCCAACCGGTATAGGACGGGATTGGTAGCCAGTCGCGTTAGGATGTAAGGTGAAATAAAAAAGCTCTGCGGCTGATACAGATGAAGCGGGTATCGTAGACGACATGGATGAACTCGGATATTTCTTGCCATAGATTGACATGAGGTGATGGAGGTAAGGATTCCATTCCGAATTGGTTTCCATTATGACTGTGTAGTGCTCATACATGATGCCGATGGGTTCTTGGGACGTTGTATCGAATAATGATCTGGATTCTCTATTCTTCCGGGTCCTCGAGTATCATAACGGGATCCTTGTATTCATGGAGGCAGATTCGACGATAGTTTCATATCGACAGATAGCTCGGAATATCTAAATATTTTCCCGTGCAATCGGAGACGTTAACTAGAGACAAACATCCCATTAGGTTCGAGTGGTTTCAGACGGGTGAGATGGTCTGAGGACTTAACGCACCGAAAGAAATCAAGCTCACTGGCCATTGGTCCAAAATTTCCTGACGACAGCGAGTCCAGAACTTCGAACAATGAGTAGCTAACTTCAGAATGTTATTGAAGGTTCCGGATGTGTTGGTTCCTATCTTTGGCAATTATTCCAGTACTTGACCCGAAGTCGTTGTCGGAAAAGGAAGCTTTGGCTTCGGAACTGGGCAGCGAGCTGAATAACACATCGAGATGGTGATATTCAGGCTTAGAAGGTGTCAGCTGTTTCCATGCTGCCTCATGAAAAGGCATTGTTCGAGGGCTGACAAGGACAGGGACAGCTGTCCGTGACTGCTCCGTCTGCACTCGCCTGGAATGGCCGCCGTGCCACGCTAACCCGGTTCCAGCTCTGCCTCGCTTCGGCTTCGGCTTCTGCTTCAACCTTTGGCCAAATGCCCCCTCTTGTGCATCCGTGCTCCGTATCGTATTATTAACTTGGCTTCTTCTACTCGACGAGATTCGGCGGGCCTCTGGGTATCAGACAACATCAATGATCAAGCACTGGTAATTTACGATGCTATGGCCATTCCATGGATAGTGGGTCAGCTGTCTTTCAGCCCAACGCGACAGCGCCGAAGCTAACCAAGCCCAGAGACACTAAATCGCAGGGCTACGAGGGTCTGGAGTCTACTTTACACACTAGAACAGCACCGCCACAGCAGTTTAATTGAAAGGCATTCGTCATCCACGACGACACGTAAGGACACCATGAACAAGAACGGTGAGCCCAGCTAAGACCCCTTTTACAGGACAGGGGCTTACGGGGCTGAGTCGACTGTTGCTGCTGCGAGGAGTAGCTTGTCTGTGTCGCATTGGATTCCCACCCCTTGTCATCAGTTCGCGCAGTACGTCGAGTGTCCTGATAAGAGATCTCGAGGGTTCAAGCCCTCTTTGTCAATTTGCATAAGCTTCTCAAATCCATATGCGTGACTGCCTGAGTGCAGCTCTCAAGCGATCGTTGTTCAGGGCCAATAAAGATGTGCACTGGTGCCTGGCGTTGTTCAGGTTGGACGGCTACAGAGCATACGTATGCCCCAGAAAACCCTGATATTGCCAAGGCCAATGAGACCCTTCGTATCTCCATCAGCCTCGAAAGGGTCCAAATCAGTGCATGGCACCAGACCAAGCATGATATCTCAGTCTTGGCATGAGTGCTGGCAATTTAACTCGGTACTGAACACAGTCTTAATCGAACCCAACGGTTAAACTGCGAACATCTCACCTACTGTAGAAGATGCCGCATACCAAGGTACAGTTCTGTTTTCTAAAATGCAAAACCCGCGCTGCATCCTTTGCGAACCGCTAATTCGTGGCTTCCGCGCTAAATCATGGCTGCATTGCGTAAGCGCTCCACAGAATAAGTCTGGCATCGATATCAGCACCTGCTCTACCGTTTGAAAGTACATGAGCTATTATGCTTAATGGCCATATTTTGACGGGTCCATCCGTGCACGAGTCAGGTTTCTAAACTTGCTGGAAGGACGCAATCCACCAATTCAGGCCTGCAGATCCCGTCTAGCCGCGGCAGGTTCCCTCATCTAGACGAATCTCCTGTTAACCTGGGCGATTCCCTTGGTCTGCCGGCAGTAACGGCTGGCTAATCTGCCCTGGGCCGGATAAGCGCTTACGTATGCCTTCATTGTTTTGACAGGGCCTTTTGGGTCGATCAATTTATTGCGGCAGCTGGGCTACGTGGTAGTCCGGTGCGCAGCCTGATAGATAAACTATGGTATGGCTTCCGATGGTTTCTTATGCACCCACTGACTGACTCCATGACTCTTTCAATAGAGAGGCTATAGTACCCTGACGATCCGATAGCATCGTCGCTATCACTATCCGGTTGCCCGGACCGGAAAGAGACGGTCACAGTCCTGAAGCGCGCCGTGGCATTGAAATAGGCTTCTTATACAATGCAGGAATCACACAGCATGTCGTACAGAAATCTGTCAAGTATAGATGTCGGAGATCGAACAGCCATTCCCGACTACGAGTTACACAATGTTCCCGTTGCACCACCTTATTCAGCCACGGACCCGGCACCTGCAGTTGCAGCTGCACCTGCAGCGGAGAAATCCAACGTCGCAAAAAGCGCCGGTGGTGCATGGTACGACCCGCGATCATGGTCACTGTTAACAAAATTGATTATTGCGGGCGGTGTTGTTGTTGTCATTGTTGCGCTTGTCGTGGGAATCTACGAGGGCACAAAATCATCATCATATCCCGATTACTCTGCATTGAGCTATAGGCTTGCAGATACATACTCGGGATCTTCGTTCTTTGATGAGTTCGAATACTATACCGCCACTGATCCAACGGACGGATTCGTGGAGTACGTGCATATCCCTCTTCCACATTTCCTCCATGCACAGAAACGAATTAACCCTCCCCCAGCTACGTCGACAGTTCAACCGCCTCAGAGATGAACCTGACCTACGCCTCCAGCTCTAGAGCCGTCCTACGAGTAGACACCAGCACCTCGAACCAAACCAGCGGCCGCAAATCCGTCCGCATCACCTCAAAGAAAACCTACAATGACGGCCTCTTCATCTTCGACATCACCCACACCCCCTATGGATGCGCAACATGGCCAGCCCTATGGCTCACCGACCCCGACAACTGGCCTGAACACGGAGAAATCGATGTCCTCGAGTCCAACAACAAAGGCACCCACGGCAACGCCATGACACTACACACAACCAAGGACTGCACAATGAACGTGAAGCGCAAAGAAACTGGCACCGCATCATACACCAACTGCCTGAACACCGCCAACGACAACGCCGGCTGCAGCGTATCAGGAGGAAAAGCAACCTACGGCGAGAAATTCAACTCCAACGGCGGCGGCGTAAGTCAACCCCATCCCCATATCCCATCCCACCACACCACACCAACCTAACACCACAACCCCAACTTCCCAGGTCTACGCCATGGAACTCCGCAACGCCGGCATCCGTGTCTGGATGTTCAGCCGCGACGACATCCCCACCGACATCTCCAACACCAGCGACACGCCCGACCCCTCAACCTGGGGCGAAGCACTCGCCGACTTCCCCAATACAAACTGCGACATCGCCTCCCACTTCAAAAACCAGAGCATTATCGTCAACATCGACGTCTGCGGCGATCTTGCCGGTGCAACGACCTACTACACCGATCTCTACGATTGCCCGTCCACGTGCACGCAATGGGCCGCCGAGAATGGAGCAAACTTCACAAACGCCTACTGGGAATTCAAGAGCTTCAAGGTCTATCAAACCTCGTCTTCCTCGTCGTCGAGCTCAGCTGCAGCTTCGTCGGCGACGGCGGCAGCAGCAGCAGCATATGGGACCTCGACCACAACGGCGGGTGCTGCTACTGCTACTGCTACTTCAGCAAGTACCGGTCAAGGACAGTCGGGATCTCAATCTGGGAGCGGACAGCAGGGGGAAGGAAATCAGGGTGGAGGGCAAAGTGGCGGACAGAGTACGAATCAAGAAGAAGAGAGTACCAATCAAGCACAAAGGGGGCAAGGCGGACAACGATAAATAGTTGCAGAAATCCAACGATCTTTTTTTTTTTCTTTTCCTTTGCCCCGACTTGGCGCTGCTTTTTTTTTAGCTCACATTAGCGGCGTGGAGGGAGCACAGAAGTGCGTGTCTTGAGCGAATACTGTGTGAATATAGATCGCCCGTACTCCGGAAGCAATCCTAAGAAGTTGACCCCCCCCCTGAGCTAGCACGTACTCGTCAAATAACCCAAACTGAACAAAATGGTTCTAGAATTTACTCTAGTCCCAATCAGCCTACCCGTCAGATCTTTATTTTCATTTTTGACCTATCAAGAGTATCGATACAATGGGAGGGACAAATGAGCAAGATTCTGCTTCACAAAGGAGCGCCTAGATAGATACTTTACGCCTAACCAGCTAGGTACAATGAAACGGGGGGCCAATTAGACAAATATAAAATATGAAGGAAGTTTCTAACAGATACCAATTGTATTCCTCAATCTGGCGTGCCCAGTAAATAATAAAGACAACACTAAATTCACAGTAATCTCTAGACTTCTTTAGGGAGGCGCTATAGCCACACTGGCCATGCTACAACCATACTTTCTGCCTACTTCGCCTACGTTATTAGGCAAGGCCTACTTTTGATAGCTCAGCAGAATCTTCACCGCTTGAAGCTATACCTGAGGCACTAGATTTAGACCTAAGGCATTAAGGCAATAATAATGACAGGTAATTACAGTATAGTTAAGGCCCTATTTAGAGTTATACTCAAGATTCTACTTGAAACCTTACTTGATACTCTATATCAGACCTCTATATAGAATTCAACCGCTTAATAGTATAGATTGAGTGGATAAAAGGGGTGGTTGTAGCCTGGCCGGTGTGGCTGTAGCTCCTCCCTTTCTTTAATCGCGATGTCTCAACCTTCACACAATCACACAATCGCACCCATCTACACCTCCCTTCCTCTTCCTCTCACCCTCCTCCTCATCAACAATCTAGCTTCTTGATCCGTAAAACAATTTTCATTGATGTGCAGCGTTCGAGGCCGACCTCGCGCATTCTGGTCAGCGGGGAATTCAAACTCGAAATCGTACAACAACCGCGCCATGATCAGCTTGATCTCGGCGACGGCGAACTGGCGGCCGGCGCAGGCCTGGTTCCCGTATCCGAAGGCCAGGTTGTCTGGGTGGGTCATGCCGGCCTTGTGTCGGTCGCGCTGGTCTGGATGGGACATGCGTTTCCGGTAGCTACGCATGGGGTCGAAGGACTGAGGGTTGGGGTAGACGGTAGGGTCCATTGAGTGCTCGTGGTTGGCGAAAGCGAGTCGGGATCCCTTGGGGATGAGAGTGCCGTCTTTTAAGATGATGTCTTGGTAGGCTAGTCTTTGGGGATTGACTTATGGGGAGGGAGGAAGACAAGAGATTTAGCTTGTTTGTTTGTTTGGGAGGAAAAGGGTTGAGGGGGGGGCAGCTCACGAAGAAGAACAGGACTGTGTCTCTGACTTTCCACAAAGAAACTATCCAACTTGTCTAATCGACTACACCATTCTTTGGCACTAACCGGAGGATGTTCCTGGCCGGGGGGTCCGCCCAATTGCTCGGCGATTGTTAGGACCTCTGCCCGCAGCTCGGAAAACCATTCAGGGTACGTGCAGAGGTCATAGAGCATGTTGGAAACGTTAGAGGCGGTGGTGTGGATACTGGCTAGGGTCAGGACGCATTGGCGGGCGCCCATCTCATGCACCTCTACCTCACTGGGGGTGCCGTGATCTAGCATCCAGTTCAGCAAAGTGTCTTCTTCCTCCTCTTCTTCTTCCACCATCTCCCCGCGCCGTCGCTTCTCCTGCACTAGATGGTGCCGCTGCGTGAGCTCACCCACGATGCGACGGCCAGTCTTCAGCTGCTGGAAGGTGCGATAGCGGGCGGGCACCAGCCGGGCAACGACCCCATACAGCCAGGGCGGGAACATCTTGATGGTGAAAGCGGTGGTGAACAGGTCAACGGAGAAGTCGATGGAGATGCGCAGCCAGTCCGGGTCACGGCAGGTCGGGGCTCCCATGAAGACCTTGGCAGTCATGCGAGCGACAAGCATGCGGAGGAGATGCTCGATGGGGACAGGTGTCCATTCTATAGAGTTGAAGCAAAAGTAATCAGCTAGTGACACACACACACACACACATATATACACAGAGTTGACACTGACCATCAGTATGCGGAAGATCCCGCTCCCACCCATACACCAACTCCTCCTTTGCCTTATCCACATAGGTATACAGCTCGGGTGTGAGCTTCTTCTTCAGCACGTCGAGGTGAAGGTTAGAGTGGTAAAGAAATTGCATTGATGTGTATTCGGGTGCCAGATTCTAATTTTCCTCGTCAGTTTATTTTTAGCCACACACACACACACACACACACACCAAAAGGGGGGAGAAGAGAGAGAGAGAGAGAGAGAAATATAGAGATGTAAGAAAAGCAGAGTAATTTTTTCCGGCATGTAATGAGAAAGAAAAGAAAGAACCCACCCCAGTCTGAGCCCCCTTGCTACTGAGCTTGGAGGGAGCAATCAGTCGAACCTCCTCCAGATACTTCATCGGCAGGACCAAGAAGTCCACGTCCCACCGCCGGAGAACGAATGGATGGCCTTTCATCTGGTCGTTGTATATATTGTGAGTCACGGAAAATGAAAATTGACTATCTTTGGTTGGGGGAAGGGGGGGGCGTTTGTCTTACCGTAGTGTACGCATTGTGAATGATACCTCGAGCCCCTAGGATGAACCGACTCTTCAGGAGAAAGGTTGGCTCGAGGAAGAAGCGATAGCCAAAGACGGGGGGGGGCTAGAGAGCGCTTGTTTGCGGCGGGAGAAAGTGAAGGAAACGATGAGGATGAGGATGCATGCTACTAGAATGCCTAGCACAGAACTATTGGAAATGGGCTCGTGGTCGCGGAAGGAGGGGAGGCCCCGTAGGCCCTGGAAAAATGGATGGAGAAGAGACTAACCATCATGCTCATGATAATTTCAAAGAAATCACGCAGGAAAGAGAAGGAAAGATGGAAGGTCCTACAGGTCTTCACTTCGAGTTAGCCAGCAGCAGCGGCGGCGACGGCGGCAAGCCCTAGTGGTAACTTGATTTTACGGAGGACCATAGGTGCATTGGAAAACTTTAGTGTGGTATTTGTATTGTTACAAGTCATACATATATTGGAATTATTGATAGCAAACATTTTCGTTCCCTATTTCTAGTCGCTACAGTAAAGTATGTCAGGGTTTGAAGCACTCTTCCGACACTAAAGAGGTAGCCTTTCGTTCCGTCTATCCTCCAGAGGCCAGCGGTATATTGTTTTGGTCTACTGGTATGAATGTGGCATCTATCCAAGTTGCTCTGAGTTTCCCTTTCCCATCCGAAATTTTATTGAAGGCCTGGCTTGACATCTCAGTTTAAACTAATATCGGCTGTATACGAATGGCTACTCTATCAAAAACTGGTGTTGCGATCTACCTTAGTAGCACCCTGCTCCAAAAGGAATAGGATACAAACAAATCCTCAAATCTAATACTCTAATAAAAGACCAAAAGCCCAAATCATTCACCTGGCGCTTCCAGCTGAAATCTGTGTCGGCTGTAATGGCGTCATGTCCACCTCGGAGATGCTCATTTTCTTGTAATGCATAAGGCCCCGGGGCCGTTGTGGTGACGAGGAGGAGGGGGAGGAAACATTATACACCAAGGAGGATGTATGTTTGGCAGTTGTGTCTCTTGCCCGCGAGGACCAGAACAAGGAGGAGATCGTCATTGTGCTCCAGCACTGTTTCACCGTGGGGGCGCAACCGACCATGATGGCGATGGTTCCTTCTATCACCCTTCAGGAGGGGAAAAACAAGGATAGAGTCAGTCATCCCGATAAACAGAAAGGCAAACAAGAAACGCGTACAGGACTCTCAAAAAAGGGATTGAACTTACGCGCAAAGCATAGTCGCCAGAGTATCCGACACCGCACCCTTGTAGGCCTGCCATTTGAAGTACAGCGATGCAATGGAGGCAGCGATACCACTGCCAACCCAAAGACCAAAAAAAAAGAAAAGAGTCAGTCTATCAATCTCTCTACACTTCCCGCTGTGCCGATACCGCGTCAAGAACCACATACAGAATTCCCGAGAAAAATACCGCCCCGACCGCCAGCTTCTTTTCGCGGGGCAGGTGCAGCTTCCGCACGAGGGGCATGGGCAAGCCAAAGATGAGCACATCCTCAGCCAGCGCGATGAACCCCGACAGCACCCCTGTCAGCGTGGTTCCGGTTGTACACTCTGCCAAATCCGCCAGTGTCACTGCGGTGGTGCCAGGATTGCAGCGCATGAAAGTGGGTGCCATAGCACAGATGTACGCGACGCCCGAGATAGTCAGGCAGGCGTAGCAGGTCCAGCGCAGCCACCTCTTGATGCCAAAAAGCTTGAGATAGACCAGGAGGATCGGAACCTTGGTCGTCCAGAGCTCGAAGGCGATGAGCACCGTGATGACCACGGCTAAGCGATTGAGCCAGTTGAGGGACTCCGTTGGGTTCACAAAACCTGGGATTTTAGAAAATCCCCGAAGGGGAAGTATCGTCCATATTAGTGCTTTTTTGTTCCCTTATTGAAAGTAAAAAGAAGATGACTCGGAAGTGAAAGAAACCAGCACATCAGACTCACGCTGGATTATGATATGATTCATAGCAAAGGCGATGGTAACGAAAGCGAATCCGAGGACAGAGAGATCTACATACCGGAATGAAAGGCATTAGCAAAATTGTGCTTTCTTTTTCTCTTCTCCTTTCTTTCTTTCTTTTTTGGGGGGTGGGGGTGTTGCTTTAAAAAGCCAAACCAAACAAGAAAAAGAAATCACATACAGTCGGCGATAAGCAGTTTCTTGTACACTCTGAAATTCATCAAGCATCTCAGAGCCACAAAGCCCGCACAGAGAACTATCAAAGGCGTGCCGGCGGCCAAATAGGCGTCAGGTGACAAGGTACCTTGGGACGACATACCCCAGGCTTTAACTCTGAGATTGATGAACAACAGACCGAAGATATCGATGATCAGATGGCGGGAAAGTGTTGATAAAAACAGATAGGAATGTAGAAAATATTGTTAAAGGCTAGAGGCTGCGGACAGCATAGCCTGGCCCTGACCCCCAAAGTCCTCATCGCCCCCAAAAGCCAACGACAACCCCAATCTCTAAGCCGCAGGTTCCCTCTACCCGAGGTTCACAAGTCTACTCTGTACGCAGTATGCGTATCATCATTCATGTTTGTTGACAAACAAATTGTAAATACAGCTACGGCTAACGCACCAGCCCGTTTCAGGGTGATTCATGCATGTACCTATCCCTGTACCCTCTGTACATACAGGATGACTATGAAAAATACGGTATTGGTTGGCGCTGTCCAACATACTAGAGCGGAGAGCTCGAACTCTAATAGAATAAAATGCCTCGCATTGTTATTGGACGCTATCAGGTCCCCTTTCTCTCCTCGCTCACCTCCAAGGCAAGCATCTAGATATTGTCGCGTAGAAGAAACCCACCATTCTGCAACTCCTGAAAAACGCCCTTGGGATCATACTTGGCCGCCACCTCCTGCATCCACTTGATATTCTCAGCCCCATAGCTACCCAAAACTTTCTGCGAGGCGGTAGCAAAGCTCATACACTTGAACTCCAAAAGGAATCCCTTGGCTTTGGCCACAGACTGCACCTTCTCGGACATGGACTCCACGGCCTTCTGCGCTGCGGCATCGTCACTACCATTTTCGGGCCACTCACAGGTAAAAACCCACCCTATCAAGTCTCATTAGCTTTCTGATCGGCTATGCTGTGTAATGCAAAAGATAGACGGGGAAGTGGGGAGATGAACGTACAGCATTGCGGGACGCTCTCATGACCCATGATATTCTCTCCGCGATCTTTGCCAGCCTGAACACCAGCCTTGCCAAATGGCTGAATGGTATAATGCAGGACCGCGCCAGTCGGGAGAGACTTACAGACCTCGACCCAGGTCTTGTACACTTCTTCGTAAAGATCGGGCGAAACCTGGGTGGTCACCGTACAAATAGATCGCCTGTATATCGCGCACGACGTTAGTGATTTAGATAGACTAGCCGCGCGTTCCGCCTTTTTAGGTAGTACTCACTTTTTGGGCGCTTGGGCATGGCCCATGGCTTGGGCCAGCGACAAGAGTGTGCCGTTCGTGGAAGGCAGCACCGTCGTCACCAGGCTTTTGAGGTTGCGGAACGGCTCAAAGGCCTTCGGTGGCTTCGTCGGGTGGTCTCCGTAGAGCAAGCCTACCGCGACAAAGCCGTTGTTGAAGTTGGTGAACAGCCCGATCTTGGGATCCTCCTCCATGGCCTGTTGGACTGCCGCAGTGGCCTGGTTGATCGCCAGGTGATCTTCGGGGTTGTAGAGGCTGATGGTGTATTGAACGTTGATCAGAGGGTGGATTGCGAGATCAAACCGTGTCACAATACCTGGTTTAGCATGTTAGAGGGAGTGGTCAAATGCCATCTTTGGAAAGCATAGCACACATACCAAAGTTAGAGCCACCACCCTTCAAGGCGCGGTAGAGATCGGAATTCTCATTCGCGTTGGCATTAATGAGACTGCCATCCGCTAGCAGGACCTGGAGTCATGATTAGTTTAAGAAAAGAGAAACGAAGACAGTCTCCAACTCACCTCAAAATTCCTCACCCCATCAGCACCAAGTCCATAAAGATTAGGCAAAGCTCCCATACCTCCTATTGAAAATATTAAGTCACCTATGATTGCCACCAAGTAGCCTAGAGAGAGACCAAACCGAAAAAAAAGGAAAGAAAAGCAAAGCAAAGAAAAGAAAAAAGCAATACACACATACCTCCTAAGAGAAACCCTCCCAATCCTACCTGCTGATCCCTACCTCCAATGGCTGACAACCCCCGCTCCTCCAACCAAGCATACACATCGCCCCAGGTATTTCCCGGCCCGAACCGGGCGGTGCCTTCTTCGGTCGTCAGCAGTTCCTTGGAGTTGAGCTGCCCGATGTCCAGCACGAGGGCCGTCTTGTCGGCACTACTGAACCCGATGTTCGGGTTGTGGCCGGTGGTGCGGACGGCGAACTTGGTGCCAGTCTTCCGAACAACGGCCAGCGCCTCGGTCAGTTCCTGAACGCTGCTCAGGTAGACGTACCCCGCCGCGGGGGTCCAGCAGGTCTGCGACCAGGGACGGGTCACGGCATCTTGGTACTGCTTCTCGTTGGTGGGAGTCACTACCTTATCAGTAGTGTCGGGAAAGAGAGCTCTTAGCTGGTCGAAGGCAGTGGCCGCCATGATGGTATCGAGGGGGCTTGGTTTGATGTTGACGAGAGTGAGATTGAGGACAGAGAAAGTTTCAATTGTTGTCTCTTTCTGTCCGTCTGTGTGTCCGTCGACTATTTTAAACTAGAAGGGAAATCTTAGGTCAACCTAATTGCCTCACCTACCATCCGTCCTCACCTCCTCCTCCCGGTCTCCAAGCGGAAATGTGCATCCATATGTGTCGTGTTTGCTCCACTCAAAGTTTGACAGCCCCTTCTCCCCCTGTCTCCTTCCAAATTGGGAAAATCTAGATGGTTCCATCAGTGGTTGGAGAAGCGAGAGCAGTAGGTACTCCGTAAGCACTAGAGCACCGATACCCCTGCAGCCGAGCAGCAGCCCCACGGCAAGTGTAAGGCGTCGAAGGGCGGGCAGGTTACCTGCCTACCGTCATGCTTTGTAAGGAAGTGTTGGAGTGGCTACTAAGGCGATTCAACCGTGTAGAATGAGATGGATAATGATCTAGCTAGGGGCCTCGTAGGCCATCTATATGGACTAACTAGCGGTGTAGGGAGGAGTGTCACGTGACCCTACGTTGCCTACCGGCGTGGGAGCCCATCGGGGATCCCAACAGGAAGTGTGCATAACGTTTCCAGTGTAACTAAGTCACCTTCTCGGTCCTAGAGCTACAGTCGGTAAGTAGTTGGGTACATAGTACGGAGTAACGTCCAGACTTTTCATAAGGCCTCCGCTCCAAGCACTGGTTATCGGATCGGGCCAGTCGGTATGCTAGTCTGCGTTCTTATAGATATCGCCACCTTAGTACTCACTAGTAGTAACTGAACCCTCGTGGTAAATACAATTCAGAACCGTACGGGTCTGTTTGGGGTAGGTCGACCGAGTCCCCTCACTATGTACTTTTGGGACAAACAACGACTCCATCAATGGGAAGAGAGTGGGAGGAGGCGGGTTCGTCGGTATCTTCGCTTGTTTGCTTTCTTATCTCAACCAGCGATTGATTGGTTAGACCAAGCTCGGCCATAACCGGTGTTGGTGACGAGGGACTCTTCTTGCATATATGCCAAACAATGCAATTCCCATGGCTTCCAGGAAGAAGGGGTGTGCCTCGAAAAATAAATTATGGTCGTTACGCTAATTGACAGCCAACACCCAACCCTCCACAAGTTTCAACCCTTAGTTGAGATGTCAGATCGCGCGGCCGCTAGCATGGACGTCCGTGCCGCAAGGATCATCGCCTCTCTGGCAGAATCGCTCGAAACACCCTATCAGGGCTCCAGCTCCATGACCCCCACGGTCTATGATACGGCCTGGGCGTCCATGGTAGCCAAGGACGGGGAGTGGCTCTTCCCGGAATGTTTCCAGGTGGTGCTAGACAGCCAGTCTCCTGGGGGCGGGTTTGGCGTGGACGAGGGGGCGCCGCCGCCGCCGCAGCTGGACGGCATCCTGAGCACCATGGCCGCAGTTTTGGCGCTCTGCAAATACCGGAAGAGCCCATCTTCCTCGATCCGAGGTGGTCCGCACTGCATTCTTCCTCCATCATCGTCAGATTTGCAAGACCGAATCGATCGGGCGCGGGCGTATCTCGACCAAGCCCTGCAGTGCTGGAATGTGCATTCAACCGTGCAGGTGGGATTTGAAATCCTGGTACCCAGTTTGCTGCGCTTGTTGCACGAGGAAGGGCTACACTTCGACTTCCCCGGTCGCAAAGCCCTCATGGCGCTGCATCGGTGCAAGATTGACAAGATTCGGCCTGCGTTGGACACTCCCCACCCACCGCAAACCACGCTCTTGCATTCGCTCGAGGGCTTCATCGGATGCATGGAGTTGGGAAATATGGCGCCCTGTCTAGCCAACGGGTCCATGATGGGATCACCATCCTCGACTGCTGCATATCTGATCCACAGCCCCGAATGGGATAAAGAAGCGGAAAGGTATCTCCGTTTCGTCGTTGCGCGCAACAATGGAAATGTACCTTCTGCATTCCCAATCAGCGTCTTTGAAATTTCCTGGGTAAGTAGGACGTATTCCGGTATGATTCTTCCAAGTGAATAAGCTTGTAACCTCATCTTGTCACTGCAGGTTCTCTCAACCCTGCTAGATTCAGGATTCGAAGCCGATGTGTTAGGAACCGAGAATGTTTGCACTCTAGCGGCCTACCTTGAGTCTCGACTCGCGGAGGATAATGGTATCACAGGCTTTGGTAAGAACGCTTTCTTTTTCGTTTCAGTCAAAAAGTTTTATGTCCAAAACTGACAAGATACCGAGAAATGCAGCTCCCGGAATGCTTGCCGATGCAGATGACACGGCGAAAAGCATTTATTCTCTCAGTCTTCTTGGCCGGTCCACGGACTGTGCAGCCATGCTCCAGGCATTTGAAGGTCATACTCATTTCAAGACGTACAACTTGGAAGCCAAGGAGTCCTTCGCGTCAACTGCAATGTGCTACTTGCGCTGCTCGTGTCCTAAGATCCATCACAACACGTCCCTCAAATTTCCAAGGCCCTGAGGTTTCTCTGTAGCACCTGGGAAAGTGGCAAATGGAGTGACAAATGGGTAAGTTGTTTCAACGGTCGGCTTTTGTGTTTGCGAAGCTTGAGCGCTAATTTAATCATGTATCTTCACCAGAATATCGAGTCTCAGTACGCCATAATGCTTTTGGCCGATGCTCTGGCAAGCCTGATCGATCGTTGGCAAGATGGAGCGTTAGGAGATCTCGATCCCAATTTCCTGGCTGATCACGTTCCCCGGGTGACCCTCCAGATTGTCGTGCGGACTCTGAGCGCACAGTCGGAGGATTCCGGCTCGTGGAAACAATCACCGGAGATCACGGCCTATGGGCTCTTGACTCTCAAAGCCCTGGTCAGCTTTCCGTGGGTACGGACGGCAATAGGGGCCCAAGTCATTGATGAGCATATCGATCGAGCAATCAAATACCTGCGAGCCCACGAGGACCGCTGGAACGACCCCGAGATGATCTGGGTCGAGAAAGTGAACTATGGCTCCAGCATCCTTTCGGAGACCTACTGCTTAGCGGCACTGCGGCGAAAAGCTACATGTCCGTCCCGCTGGGGAGAGCCAGTTGGAGATTTATGCAAGGTGCCCAAGGAGAGGCTCGACCGATTCTGCCGGTTCTTTGCTCGGTTGCCGATTTTCAAAGGCGAGCCGACATGGAGACTGCGGGCTTCCATTCTCGAGGGGGATCTACTCGCCCCGGTGTTGCGGCGGGCGGCACTCGAGCTGGCCATCTTCCCCTTCCCTCAGGGGGATGGAATGAAAACTGCAAAATACCTGGAATACATCCCTCTGACGTGGACCACCTCCAACAACGCAGCAGCAAGCTTTGGTCTGTCCACTGCAACGATGGTGGAGATGATGGTACTTTCTCTGCTCAACTTCCAGGTGGACAGGTGGTTCGAGGAGACCACGGAAGATCCGCGCCTCCAAGGTGATTGGGCGGCCCTTAGGAGCGTGATCGGGGAGCTTTTCACGGATGATGATGACCCGAAGGAGCGCAAGACGCCAAATGGCCACCATAATCACAAGCGCCGCCAGCGGGGGGATTTGACGGGCCATGGACCAGCCATGGTGGCCGACGAGGAAGAAAAGGCTGCTTTCCTAGCCGAAGCCAAACGTACCCTCGCGCGGTTCGTGCAGGGCGGCGTGCTCCAAAAAGTCTCCGTCCGGTCGGCACCCCCGGCACTGCGCCGGCGCGTCCGGCAGGAGCTCCGCACCTTTCTCCTTGCACAGGTCACCCAGGGGGAAGATAACAATAAGAATCATGATTCGAAGGCAACGCCCATAATGACACGAACGTACTACGAGTGGGTTCACACCACATCAGCAGACCACACGAGCTGCCCCTACTCGTTCGAGTTCTTCCGCTGCCTCGTCTCATCTGGTGCGGGCGGGGATTGTTTCGTGGGGCCCCGCGCCCAGTATCTCGCCCAGGACTTCTGCCGCCATCTGGCCACCATGTGCCGCCAGTATAATGATTATGGTTCCATGGCTCGGGACCAGGAGGAGCGAAATCTTAATAGCATTGATTTCCTGGTGTTGGGCAAAGAAGACGACGACGGCGATGATGACGATCACGCCAAAGAAGAAGAGGAAGAAGAGGAAGAAGAAGAAGAAGAGGAAGAAGAGGAAGAAGAAGAAGAAGAAGAGAAGAAGCTGTTGTTGTTGGGAATCGCCCAGTATGAGCGCGAGTGCTTGGAGTTGGCGGTGCAACGGCTGCAACCCCAGGTCTCCAAACCCGCATGGAAGGCATGGAGAGTCTTTCTTGCTGTGACGGATCTCTACGGTCAGATCTATGTGGCACAAGATATCAATTCTAGATAACCGTAGATAGCTCTTGTGATAGCGTTGACCAATTCTTGCTAGTAATGATCATTGCAGGTTTAAAGCCTTGAGGCATTCGCCGCCAAAAAAGCATCCACCGAGGTACAAGCCTGAACGAGTGTCCCCAGATCATCCCGACAATTGCCCACCGCATCCCCGCCAGGGACCTGATTCGCCCATTGCTGGGCTGCAGCCACCGGATTCCCCAACCGGATCATCTCGTCCACCTCCTCCTCCGACCGATACTCCACTGACACCGGCACCCCCCCTTTGCTTAGGGCCCGATCAAGCTTCCCAGCCAACTGCTCCACCGTGAGTGCTTCGACCGCAAGATCAATGGCCCGATGCGAGTAGCGCTCAGGGTCCGTGATGGCTACCGCGACCACAATCCCCACATCACCTGCATCCACCCAGGGCAGCTGTGTCTGAGGCCACCATGCCACCCGCAGGATCCGGTCTTGCTCAAACCCGGGAAATGTGAGAGCGTTCACAGGTGGGAGCAGGTTCTGCAAATAGTGACCCGGTCGCACAATAGTCCAGTGTCTGATGAAGCCGTCCGATGAGGATGATGCTGCTGCTGCTGCACGGACGCGGGTCTCCAGAGTGTGCTTGTTCAGCCAGTATTGTCGCATCGGATGAGCACGAGCAGCAGCATCATCTTCATCTTCACCACCACCATGAGAGTCCGGCTTTCCCCATCCTGGAAAGGATGCATGCTGACCCGTCTTGATCGCCGTTGACACAATCACATGGGTGACAGTGGCCGCCGCCTCCTGCGCCGCAAGGATGACATTGCTACTCCGCTGCAGGTCCCCCTCGCAGTCGCCGGTCTGCACCTCAGTGAGAAACACTGCGTCCACACCGTGCATAGCGGTACGCAGGGCCTCGAGGTCATCCAGGTTGCCCGGCACAAGAGTGGCACCCCATTGTGCAAGTTGAGTGGCGGTGGGCATAGTCGGGTCGCGGACGTAGGCACAGACTTGGTGGCCTGCGGCGAGACAGTGCTGCACCACGCCACGACCTTGATTGCCCGTGGCGCAGGTGACCAGGACTTTCTTGGGATGGGACATAATTTAGTTTTATTAAAGTATGAGTTGATTAAAGAGGTTTAAAATAGGGTGGTTGTGGGAGGAAGAAATAAGCGAAGTGAAGCATCAGCTGCCGTCTAGCTACTACTTATACACTGAGTAGTGTCTCAGGGTCCGTACTGCTGTACTTATGTACTGTTGTTATTTACTGGATTCGCGCACAACTGATATCATCCACTGCTAAGTAGTCTACTACAAGTCCTACAGTGGGTCTCTCTGTATATACCCTGTACCATGAATAGGTAGTAGATAGATACTACGATCCAATGTAAAAGAAACTGACCATTAGTCTGCTCACATTGTCTAGTGAGCTTATATCAGATCAGATCAGCTTCTCCATTCCACAGCGGCCCAAGTCGCCGACAACGTCAATCAATCAATGAGCCAGAGGGCCACCTCACATGCCACGTCAGCCATGTTTGGCTGACACTACAAACCTGGCTGACACTAGATAGGAGGTGGGGGTTGTCTGTATATTGTAACCAACCACACAACGCCCGAGATATGTACCTAGTGCTGCAAGTTCATTTTCACAACTCGACGTTTCTGATAGAGCGCAGAGCCCAGCACATCACCTAGGCAGAGAATGACCGGGGAGGCAAAGTCTGGGATATTATCTACGAAGTAAATAGGATAGTGTATACTGAACGAGTCACCAGGGTCATCGAGTTCTACTACTAGTACATTTGAATCATCTGAATAGCCAATGTGCGTATCTTATTTTTCCAAACCCCCTTCCCGCGTCAGAGATTGCCACTTTCTCAATTATCGGTAGATAAAATGAGAGAGATTGGAGAGGTGAGGGATAGGAGCAGAATGGCTGTTCAATGGTGCCAGATAACGTCCAGTTTGGCTGACTGCTGTGTTCGACGGTCGGGCTCTCATTCGACAAGGGCGAATCCGACCCTGACCGCTGTGAGTAGCGTCATTTGACAGCACGAGAGAAGGGAAGAAATCAAGGGGGGGGGGGGTGAGAAAGCTGCTGTGCAGTCGCATCATGGGCAAACAAGACAAGACGAGCCTGGATTCAAGTCAGAAGAATGATTAGGGAATGCGAAGCTAAAGATGAGAAGGAAACGGGCAGAGCAAGAGCGTAGCAAAATTGGAAAGTAACAACAGGTCCTTTCTCGTCTCTCCCCTTTGTCAACCTTTCCTAGGTTGTAGGCTCTGTCTCTCCATCATCATCATCATCATCATCATCAGGATAGAGCAATATGGGAGCACTCCTAGTAGCTGTGCGTGCTCAGTGAATCGATTAGTGAGTGTGCCGGAGCGCTCACCTGTTGGTCAAAGGCAGCATCACTCTCTGTTCTAGTCTTCCTTCTTTTTCTTTCTATATCGATCAATACTCGGTTGGTACATGTTCTATCCATAGTAATTCTTCTCGCTCGTTATATGCAGGAGATCGTTGGAGTTGATGACATAAGGAAACATCACGGTCTAGAGAGCAGTGAGTAATGAGTAATGAGTATATAACAAGCGAGGAATATAATCCAGCAGTCTTACCATGCTCAATCTATGGCTATGATAGCACAGCTTAAGTCACATAATTCTAATACTACTCAATGCAACCTTTTATAGTCCTTACAGAGATTTCGTCGTCCTACATTCATCCCCATACAACTTGCTTTTGTTCCAATCGCTCATTCGTTACTTACACGACACGCTGCTAAACAATCGCTGACTGAACGCTCCTGGCTGTCACCGTTCACGGGGAATTGGGGACAGAACGGGCAGAGAAGAGAGGAAATATGATAAGACATGAAATAAGAAAGCGTAGGTAGGTGAGGAAAAGTAGAATCAAGTGAACTACACAGAAGGAAAAGATAAATAACGATCCGGACGGGGGTCCAGGGTTGTTGGTAACACGGTTATCACGCAAGAAACCAATACCCGCGTATACTGGTTTCTGTCTTCGTAAGCAAAATGGGGGACATGTCGGTAGGGATGGTGGTGGAGATGGGTTGGAGTCAGGAAATAACTCGTGGATGCAGATAAGAGATAAACCAAATGATCACGCAATGTGTAAATCGGTCAAAATGCTAGATAGTTTTAGCTTGGGCAGATCTAACCATGAGCATGCGCTATGCAATGCAATGCGATGCAACACTCTATGCTGGGATGTTGATTTAGGCCTGGTCCTCGACGGTGGCCTTCTGGAGCTCCTCGGACACGTCGGCAACAGCGTCGGTCTCCTGCTTGAGTTCAGCGTCAGCGGAGACCTTGCCGTTGACACCACTGTTCTTGACGGCGGGCTTCTTGGCAGCATCAGTGGCACGGTCACCGTTGGCAGCGGCCGTCTCTTCCGCCTCAAGGCGGGCAATCTCCTCCTGTGCCTTCTTGATGTTCTGGAATGTTTCATTAGCATTGGCCCCATGCACAATAGGAATCTTCTCAACTCACCTCCTCCGTTTTGGAAGCCTGGTTCTTCTTCCACTCGGTGATCTTGGCAGCAAGCTTCTCAATAACAGCAGGAACATCCGACTGGTTCATGGGAGGGTCAATCTTGACCTTGGCGAAATCCTCGATCACGCCAACGTTAAGGTTGAACTTGGTCTCCGCCTGAGCGCTGGGGGCGGGGCTGCCGTTGGCGCCCTTCTTGCCCTTCTTACCCTTCTTGCCACCAGTTCCGACGAAGTAGTCCTCAGTGTCATCCTTCTTGAGGACCTTCATGCCCTTGATTGCAGATTCCTCCACAGTACGGCCGACCTCGGCGCGGAAGTTGGAGCCCTGGTCCTTCTTATCGTCCAGACCGAGGGAGGCGAAGTCGTAGGCGGGGTTGAAGTGACGGATAAGACCCTGACCAGTAAGGATCTCGTCGGTGTAAGCAAGACGAGACGCCTCCTCCAGCTTCTTGTCCGCGATCTTCTTGCGCTTCTCGCGCTCGAAAGCGTCGCGCTGGGCCTTCTGCTTCTCGCGGCGGACTCTCCAAGCCTCATCCTCGTACTCCTTGTAGGCCTTGCGGGCCTTATAGTAGGTATCTTTGATTTCCCGGATAGCAGTCCACTTTTGTTGCTGTTCACCGTGCAGCTTAGTGCGCTCGTCCCTCAGGGCGTTGAGGTTCTTGAAGGCACTATCCTGCTCTGCCTTAATAGCATCCAGTTCCTTCTGGATCTCAGAGTACTTATCACTGAGCTCCTTGGCCTCGGGGTTGTCGAGGGTCTTCTTGAGAGAAGCGATCTGGGTCTTCAGATCGTTGATCACCTTCTGGGCTTCATCCAAGCCAGCAAAGTTCTTGCGCTGCTTGCGCATGTTCGAGATGTCGGAAAGGATCTTACGCTCATCGACAAGGCGGAGAGTACCGGAGTCGACCTGCTTCTCGAGGCGCGCAATTTCGCGGTCGAGCTCCTCGACATTCTTAAACGACATGCGCGTGCGCGAGTTGTTTTGCTCGGCAATGCGAGCCTTGAGCGTAGCGTCCAGGGCATTGATCTTCTCCTGGGTGCTGGACCGGGAAGCTTTGAAACCCTGCTGTTTTTGACGGATCGAGGACAGCTCGGCGCGGAGCTCCTGCTGTCTCTTCGCGGCGGGCGAGTCCTGGTTGTTGGGCTTGGCGATCTCGATCTTGGCCTTGACTTCAGTCTTGGATGAAGTTAGTCGACTGAAACTCCCAGCAGAGAGCAAATGACGTTATGTGTGCGATTGGAGTGGGGGAAAAGTAACAAGGATTCGGCCATCAAGGCCAGTTAGGCAGAAAAAGGCCACGATGCGGGAATCCGTCACGGCACCGCACCGCATCGAGGGAATCAATCGCAATGGTGCAACGCCAATTAAATCACCAAGACCTCACATACCAATTTCTGCTGAACGGCAGCATGCTCCTTCTCGGCCTGGGCGAGATCGGCCTTGAACGTCTCCTCGTTGGGTTTGGCTGGCTTAACCTTCTGCTCCGTAGCAGGAGCGGATTTGGCGTCAGCGGCCATGGCGAGAAGTCGGAAGAGTGCAGGAAAGGAGACACTCGACAAGAAAGAACGGATTGACCGAGATCAACCGGGCAAAGAGAGCTCGAACGAGCGGGAGGGAGAAGAACAGGGAGGGGGTTGAGGGGGGAAAGAAGACGCTGGGAGGGAGAAACTCGGGCTCTTTTTCTTGGTCTGGCCTTTCTACTCTGCTGGTTGGCGGCGCTTACCATTGGCGCTTTTAGCGCTGGCCCGCCGATTTTTCGAGAACCGCATTTTGCTTCCATCATCGACTCTCCCCCTCCAGCCTCGACAGCTTCCTGCTCCGCGTTCCCCGGGCGAATTCGCTTTCTCTGCCCCATCGTCGCTTGTCTGCCCCCGTCAGACTTCACTTTTTCCTTTTTCAAGTCTCGCGCCGCAGTGTGCCCCCCCCCCCCGATAAACATGGACGAAGACTACTCTGCAGGCTCGGTGGACGCCGACCGCGAGATGACCAGACTCTGGCGCACATGGAGGACAGTCTTCGAGATGCTGTTGGACCGAGTAAGGAATCCCCAGCTCTAGCCTACATCCCCCTCATCACGCGATCCGAACTAACCGCATCATCCCCCAGGGCTACGAGGTCACGGAAGAAGAAGTCCAAATGCCTCTTGCCGTCTTCAAGAGAAATTATTCCGACCCTCTTGGATACCCCGAGTACGCGCACCACCACCACAACCACCCTCTTCACCCTGCCCACAATCAATCAATCTAACAAACCCCCCAGCCGCAACAAGATGAAAGTCAGCGCCCGCCCCACGGAAGCCATGCAAGCGAAATACACTCCCTTGCCGAGCAAATCCAACCCGGACCCCCAGCCCGACTGCGGCACCATCTACGTTGAATTCTGCCCGGACGCGACCGGCGTCGGTACCAAGCAAGTGCGTACGTTCAACCACTTCGTCGACGAGAACAACTTCCACACCGGCATTTTCATCACCCAGACTCCCATCTCGCCGTCCGCCGTGCGCCTGCTGAGCAGCATGCCCGGCCGCATCTGCGAGCACTTCCAGGAGCAGGATCTGCTTGTCAACATCACCCGCCACGAACTGGTCCCGAAACACGTCCTACTGAGCCCCGATGAGAAGGCCCGTCTGTTGGAGCGCTACCGTCTCAAGGAATCGCAATTGCCCCGTATACAGGTCTCCGATCCCGTGGCTAGATACTTGGGTCTGCGCAGAGGCCAGGTCGTGAAGATTATTCGGAAGAGTGAGACGGCTGGTCGCTATGCCAGTTATCGGTGGGTCATATAATCGACCGAGGGAGCTTGGTTGTCAATTCTGCTGGTGGTATTCTTGCTATCGAAGAGAAGCGTGTGCGTTATGTCCTGGTCTCTGGCTTAGCCAAAAGATCGGGGCATTCGCGGAAGCGTCTTCAAAGAGGGCGGGAAGAAAGAGAGCGGGAGTTCACAGAAAGGAATCGCGTGGAAAAGAACAAGGAAAAGAGGAGGCGGATTTGAAAGAAAGGAAAAAAGAAAAACTTGTCTAATTACAGGCATCGGGCAGCATGGCGTAATGGCGAAAAATCTCGATGTGTTTCTACACAGCTGGTGTATGTATGTGTGTCTTTTGTCTTCCGGTTGGCTAGGTGCTTTCACCTCCAATATTTATCTACTAACTCATACAATGGCTGTATAAGAGTGAATGAACCCAATTTCTGTATTGCTCTGTGTTCTTGTGCCATAGAATTAGATGATGACTTGCGTTATCAGATTCCGAAAAATATAGATTCGTAGAATAATTAGACGTTACAGTTATAGCCAAACGCCAGCGCTGAACGTGCCTGCGCAAGCGCTATATATACACGCCTGCCCTAACCAGAGTCATTTACTTGTACACATGTGTTGTGCGTCATGATCAGTCGTTCAAAAATTACGAGGCATGTCAACGCCGCGACAGCAGCCCACCCACATCCTGCAGTTCAACCTCATTACCTTCGATGATAGGTGCCGATACGTCCGTTTGGGAACGATAAGAAGGAACCGGGGAGTCTGGAGGGTCGCTGAAGTGAACACTAGAGCCATGACGGCGGTTGGAGGAATGGGAGCTGTTTCGCAACCCTCCCGGCCGGCTGAAGTTGGGTGTTGATAGAGATGGGCGGGGAGTGGTAGGCGACGTATTGAGATGTATTGTCCGAAGAGGGTCCGGGGTGTATATCAACCCCCCGACATCTTGGAAAGAAGCCCTGCTTCCTTCGCTGGAATGACTAGCTTGCTCCGGATATCGTGGAGGTTGGAAGACATTTGTCGGAGGGTGACTGCTTAAGAGACTGCCAACATCGAAGATGTGGAGATTGGGGGGAGATGATGACATTACCGCATCTGCGGATGTCTTGCGCGGTGTTTTGGTGGTCTCAATATACTCATGCGGACTGATTTTGATGTCTAAACTGCCTGTACTGGAGATTCGGTCGTCCTCCATGCCGCCAGAACGCTGATTGAAGGACCAGTTTGGGTTCAAGATCCCGGTACGGGCCGTCAACGGATGAACGGGCACTGCAATAGGCGCAGGGCGAGGCGTGATCTTGTCAGCATAACACAGCTCCGGGTCCAACCGGATACCCAAATCAGCAGCCAGGTCTGAGTCGCTCCCCCATTGATGGTGCGTGATAGTTTGGCGGCGGACGGAACTGTGGTCCATGCTTTCACTAACTGAGGCCGATCCTTGAGCCTTCTTGAATTTCACTTTCTTAACGCCCCTGTCACGAACGAATGAACCGATAATAACAGCATTGGAAACTGCGGTGGCCGCTAGTATCTCCAGTGACGCCACTAGCGATCGATACTGTTGTGAGCCGTCATGCCATATGACCGACGGCACTCGATAGCATGTGATTCCTACCAGGATTAAGGACAGAGCGAAGAGGACCACAAGTGATACTTTGCGTTTGAGGGGCATGTGGGTCATCACGATGAATGGAATCGGGAACGAGACCAGGAGTAGATCGGTTATCACATCACAAGACCCCATGGTGATCAGATTGGCATAGCCGAGGCGACAACTCGGGCCTGGGTCGGGCACGACTTGCCAGTAATGGTCGAATGGTTGACACTCGGCGAGGGTCGCAACTATCACGGCGAACAACGTCGAGGCCAGAAAATAGTAGAGGAACTGAAGAAATATCCGAAGCGATCGTCTCCAGATCTTCCCTGCCACTCTTTTGAGGAACTCACATACTGTGAATTTGGCTGTCCAGATGCTATTCGGATCGGGACCATCAGATATACACTGGGAAATGATTCCGGAGGGAAAACTCACAAGATAGCGTAGAAGATACGTGCGACAAGAACTAGCTTGCTGCCAATGACCCTGTGTCGGATATCTTCAGCAGTCAGGCCACCTGTTTTGGTGTTGTTGGTACCCCAGATCAAGATGACATGCACACATGCCATACGGATCAATAAGGGGATGATACTAGCCATCATCACCTTATCTTCGCGGAAGAAACGCTCGATCCGAACATAGCGACCGCATACCCGAACAACAATTATGACTATCGAAAAACCTGTGGCCCACCAACTGACGAGGAGTGTGGGATTGTCCTGGAACTTGGTCCGAGCATCAGGTGGGATATCGGAAAAGAGCCCACGAGAATCAAGCATCCACTGTATACTCATGGCAGTTGTGCCGCCTCCGAAGAGGGGCCAATGAAGGGGTGAGAACGATTCCCGCAGTTAGAAAGCGGTTATCGGGGACCAATGTAGAAAGTAATGAAGATGATGCGTTGTGCTTTTTTGTATGTTCACATAGCTCGAGACCGGGATCGGTACCTAATAGGCACGTGCCCTGCTCCGTGCTTGTTGTGGGGAAGCCAGCTTAGAGGAGTCGGAAAGTCACAATGATCGCTAACGAGGCCCCAGGCAGGTGGGGATGGAGATCGGGAGGTGTCCTGCTGCAGGCGATTGTCATTCAATAAACGCAAATATGACTGCAATGGCGAGTGTGGCAGTGGTGACAGCGGTGACAAGTAGAAAGGGGGTATTGGCGGGATTGTGGGTGTTTCGGGATATTCCCCAAATGTGCCTGCTCCAGACAATGCAATAGAACAAAAAGACAAGGTAAGGCCAAGTACACCGCCGTTCTGACGTAGAAGTAGAAGTTCTTAATATAATAGGCCAGTCTCAAACAGTTGATTGCGTGGGAGGTGCTTTGCGACCAGGTCGCGCGATGAGCGCCGCAACAAACAGTGAGTGGTAGAGATAACACGCGGAGGCATCTGTCAGTGGCACTATGATCTTAACGGTAAACCATATTATATTAAGGCTCATAGCGAGGATACGCTGAGCTAAGGATGGGCCTACGGGTCATGGCGCCCCGATAAACTTCGCTGGGTAACGGAAGATAACGTCGTCGGGAACGGTGGGTGCCGGAAGTGGCCATTGACCCTTGGGCCAAGTTGCGTGAAATAATGGGGGGTGAGCACCGGTCAAGATGGGAAGATAACTTGAGCGTGGACCAGCCAGAAAGAAGGCGATAGAGCCGGAAAATGAGTGACCTACCTAGTGACTGGTGCCTAGCTCAACCATGGCGTCTAACACGGCCAATGAGTTGGCATGGCGGGATGGACGGATACGATGCCATCGTCGAGAGCTCACGAGATTGCTTGTGATATGGAGTTTGCCACATGATTTGCAGCTGACTCGAGGATGGCAGTCTTCCAGCGTCATCACTGATCGGAGTGGTATAGTCGAACCATCGAGGGCACGCTGACTGTTGGTGAGTGGAGAGGTTATCCGCGGCGATAGGCCGACGATCAGTCGATGCTCCCTGGTCAACAACGCCAATCACCGCATCCCTGGAGACTCGAGTGGACGTGGGAGCAACAGTTGAGAAAGATAAGCTCCTGATAGGGCGTTTGGCCAGGCCAGGATGATACCTACTGACGGTCTGACAGGCTCAGCGTACATTAGCTGAGGGGAGCTACACAGTAACATGGGGAAGAGGGGACGCACGAACCTTGGGTTACTTCACTTGCAGGGGCCGCTAAGCAGGAACTACGGACGAGTTGGGGAGGGACGAGGGGAGACAAACGGGGGGAAACGGAGGGCGTCCGAAAGTTACATTGGCTTAATTCTTTGTTACGATTTAGCGTGTTTGCATCCCTCTGCCTCTGCCTCTGCCTGGGGCAGCTAATGCCCCGACCGGGACGCCCTTCCACGTGGTGGGCGATGGATCGATTTCCCCTCCCAGTTGAGATCATACTGACCTCTTCTTCTGTATCCATGACGCATTCCACCGATTGGGCACCGAATCACTCCGTACACGTGAGCGTATTTCCAATGCATATTTCCAATGCATAGGGAGTACGCAGTATACGCGCGCACTCCCGAAAAAAGCAACTATGTCTAGTAGATAGATAGTATTGTTATAGACCTTTTATCTCCGTAGCCGCCTGATTCGCTCATTCCCAGCTTGCTTTTCTTCCATGGATGGCCAGAGCATGGGTCCCCCCAAACTCTGTACATAGATAAGCCCAACATGCCCCTACTGACGGTCGGGGCCGACATCATCGCTGGCGCTTCGTCGGCGTCCCGACCGGTCAATGCCGAGTACTCACGGAGCAAAGAATTGCAGTCCAGGCCCATAAGCAAGCAGATCCATGCTAATCCCGGAGCATTGTCCTCCTCTAATGATAAACGATCCGACTTTTGTCATTGTCTCGATCTATGTCTAATTTAATATACCCGGTGCTTGGAAATGTACAATCAAAGGTCAAGAAGGTCTAGACTCGTCATGTCGATAAGCCTAGTTCTGGCTCACTTGGTCTCTGAGAGACTGTATGTTCTCTCCGTTGAGGATACCGTGCAGGACCACCCGCAGTTCCTGCAAGAACTTGGTGACTTCCTGCTCGGTTCCTACAGTGATACGCAGGCAGCCCTCACACCCCAGCTCCTTACCACGGAACCGCACCACAACACTCCTCTTCTCGGCCATGGCCTCGTAAGCGGCCAAGGCAGTTGCATTACTAGCCTTGCCTCCCTCATTAGCTGGCTTATCTAGTAGCTCGACCAAAAGGAAATTGGCCTCTTGGCCGCCAAGGAAACGGCCGACACCCGGGATCTTGGGCAGCTCCTGCACCAACCGGTCTCGCTGGGCAATAATCTGCTCCCGGTACTTCCTCATCACGGCCAAACTGTTTGGTGAGAGAGCCGCCGTGGCAAGTGCACTGGTAGGGCTGGAGATGTTATACGGAGCCTTGAGGCTGTTGAGGAGGGTTGCAATCGGAGGACTCGTGAACGCAACACCCAATCGGATACCCGCCAAGCCAAAGGCCTTGCTCAGCGTCTGCATGACCACCAGGTTGGGCCACTCCTTCACCCATTCGGCGAGACTGGAGCCCTCCGGGGCAAAGTCGATGTAAGCCTCATCCACAACCACCACTCCGTTCCATGTAGGGTGCTCAAGCACCTTCTGGATGTCCGATTTCTTGATCAGGTTTGCCGTGGGGTTTCCAGGCGAGCAAATGTATGCCATCTTGATCGACGAGTCTGCCGCAAGCGCCTCGTTGATCTTCTCTGGCTGCAGTTGGAAGCCATTGTTCACGTCCAAAGGCACCTTGACAATCTCGACGTCGTTCACTTGTGCGCTGACCCCGTACATGCCATATGTGGGAGGGCAGGTGAGGATCTTATCCTTGCCGGGAACACAGAAACATCTCAGGAGCGCATCAATGGCTTCGTCCGATCCGACACCGACGAAGAGGTTCTCGGGCCCAAGGTCCTTCTCAGTGTGAGTGTGGGTGTTGCGCAGTTGGCAGAAAAGCTTTTTCAACTCGACCTGGTGACTGGAAGACAACCCCACTTAGTGAACGTGATACAATGGGACAACACAACCTATCAAAAGGTGAAGAACATTGTGCGTGTGACACTTACGGATCGGGGTAACGGTTCAGACCCAGGAGATCAATCTCTGGTTTGGAAGCACCCGTCGAGGATCCCGTCACTGTAGACTTCTCCAATGCGCCTTCCGAGTTCAAAGCCAGACCGGGGCCATAGGCGTTCTCGTTGGCATCAAGCAAGATGTTCGACCCATCATCTTTGTAGTCACTGACTCATTAGTTCCTTCGTCGCACTGGTAGGGGGAGTACGCCGTCGCAAACTCACTCTCTGGCACAACGGTAAGGCTGCAATTTGAGGATGTTGGGGCGCGCGCATTTGGAGAGATCGAAGGGGGAGTTTCTGGTCGCCATTCTGTCGGGTTGGTGTGCAATGAGGGAGAATTCGTCGTGGGGGTGAAAGAAAGAATGGGCGGGGAGTCGCCGGTGGCGGGGAAGTCTATCGGCGGAACAACCGGTGTCGGCGGGAGTGGTTCCAGGTACTGCGGAAATGCGTCAATGGGCATACCGGCAGATGAATGACTCAGAAGATTGTCCACTAGTTATAGTACAACTTTGATTCCTTCTATCTAATTTTAATAATACCTCAGGCCCTTCTATATACTGTCTCTGGTCCTTGATTTGATCGTAGAGGACTCTCAAGAAGATATACTAGTTACACATGTCCTACCAATGCTGAAAAAGAACAACGCCTCAAATGCCTTCAGACAGATGTCTAGGGTTGGCCCGTGCCTCCGGGGTCTGGATCGGGCAAACATGCTTCAGTCGTAAGCGTAACAGCTGAACCCACCTGCAGATTTCTATTCTTGCTTGGATCCCTTGTCCGGTGTGTCGGAGGAAGTACTGGCCTTTTTGCCTGACTTCTTATATTTATCCTGCTTCTCGCGCAAGTAGCGCCAGGTTCGGCCTATTCCCGACGTAAGTAGTCCCTTGGCCGATTGAACGGTGCTGGGCCAGCGGATGGTCTTGGAGATTGTAGCCTGCACTTCTGTCGTGAGGTTCTTGTCATCAGCAATGCGCTGTTCAAATGGCCCGCCCTGCCTCCGACGCACTAAGTCGGACTCGGAGTCATTGTTCTCTTTCATCATTTGGTTAAACTCCGCTCGTGGGATCTGATAGCGCGTTTGGTACTGGAAGTACAGCTTTTCGCGGAAAGATTCGGGGAGACGGCGGACCATATTACCCCGTTTCACCGGATCCATATCCTGGGTGAGGCGCACATTTGCATCGGGGTCATCGATCCAATCGCCCTCAGTGCAACGCCTGTCGTTGAATGTAACATTGGGAAGATTTTCAATGAGAGGTGCATACAGTCGTCGGAAGTTCGCCATTTGCGAAGAGACAATGTTGTTTACCTTGCGAGGGTCTTCTGCCGGCAGGGCCATGCGAAGGTCACCCATGTAGCTCATACTCGCAATGGTACTGTACAGCTGGAACTCGGTGAATTCAGCTGGCAGAAGTAATAGAGCCACCCGGACAGCGGATAATAAGTTGATCTGATTCGCCAGCCGCACCTTCGGGTGGTCACGCAAGATCTTGACCGGCTTTTGCAACCGTCCAGCAAGATACAAGGTATCCCATTGACTGAGATCCCGGCATAATGTGTCAAGATTCACGACCCCATACTTGATCAGTGTACCATTAACAGTGATGTAGGGGTTGAAATATACGCCCGCGCCAATTTTATCCTGTACTTGGGATACCATGTAAGAACCCATTGAGCCCAGCCCAGAGTAATGGTCACGATGTTGACCCAGGTTTAAAGAGTGCCAATGTTGGGAGTATGACACACCAAAGATGAAGTCAATCATTTTGCCTTGACCTTGTTGCATGTTCTTGATTGCTGCTGGGGCCGACGGATGGCATTGGTTGGAGCCAGGCGCACTGCCTGTCTGCTGGAAGACACCAGATCCATAAGCGAACGCATACCGAATCGGGGCCCGAAACTGCCAAAGGATCTGACGCAAGGCTTCCTTAAATTCCTGGTTGATTATCATATGCTGGTTGACACCAAAGTCCTTAGAAGGTAACTCCGAAAACGCGGAGATCGAGAGATCCGGGTTCGCATCCCAGTCGCTAGGGTCCGACCGCTGTGATGAGGTAGAAAAGGACGCGGAAGACGAGGGCAGCAGAAGTCCGCGGTCAGTGGAGTTCGATTGGGAGCTTATGGCCGCGTGAGAAGATGCTCGGTTCGGGTATGAGGGGAAGCCATTGGAATCGACCGAAAATGAGCGAAAAGAAGCCGGAATTCGCGCATGCCGTGGAAGACACGGAGAAATCGAACGCAGGCGCACGTAACCTGAGTTAGGGTTCAAAAGGAAGGTCTAGCAAGGCATCCGTTAGTCTCCGCAGGGCGATGCAACCTCCTGGGGTTAAGCAGTCCGGCACTTCTCACAGTAGCTTGGCGCATTGTCGCAATTCCACCGAGGCAAAAGAGAGTTAAGCACAGCGAGGGCTGTAATTTTTGACCAGTTCAAGAAGCATCTGAAACTTCAAACCATAGTTCCAAGTGGATAAAGATGGAATGGGAGGTGGAGATAGACACAGGTGTAAGGAGGACGGGGGATGGATGGAGTTCCACTCGACGGGCAACAACAATAATAGCTCGACAATGGAGGACGGGGGGAAGGAGGGTCTGACGTACACTTCGGCTGGTTTTCTCGGCCTGTTCGATACGGGCAATCGGGCCCCGGATGAGGAAAGTGCCCGACTCCGCCACGATCCCGTAAAAGTCAAGCCACACGATGCGGGTCACGTGCTATCGTTCCTCCGCGGCGCGTTCCCGGAGACAGACCCAAACAAGGCCGTAAACAGAGAGTGAGGGCGCTCGCCTCGACTAGCAATCCTCGCGATTAGACAAATGACGGACTGAGCTTCCCACGATTATCGATCCGGATGCCCTGAAATTATCCCGCAACCATGGCCCAGGAAATGGAGACCTTTGCTGCTCGTCTTGCCAGCTTCGATCGGGTCTTATACCCGGAGAAACGCAGGTCATCCAGCGCGAAGTCTGCGAAGCCGGTCGCTTGGCCGCATAGCCGGCCGTCCCCCGCTGAGGTATTTGGACTTGCGCCTGGATACTACGAGAAAGACGCAGTAACTGATGAAGCATGGGCATAGCTTGCGCACGCAGGTTTCTTCTATAATCCCTACGAGACAAACCCCGACAATACAACATGCTTCCTATGCCGGAGAGCGCTCGACGGTTGGGAGGAGGATGACAACCCGATCACAGAGCATCTTAAGCACACAAAGGACTGTGGCTGGGCGATCATGATGGACATCCAGCAGCACAGTTCCAACCCAGCCGAGATCGAGGACCCGACAGGCGAGCGGATAGCGCAAGCCAGGCAAGCCACCTTTGGCGAGTCATGGCCACACGATGGAAAGCGAGGCTGGCTATGCCAGTCGGATAAGGTAATTCCAATCTCTGCGTTGTTCCAGCGTTGAGCATGTCTGTATTGAGTGCTAATTGTCGCGATGCATTACAGATGGTCGAAGGTGGGTGGTACTTCTGTCCAAACGAAGAGAGCGATGACTTGGCCACCTGCCCTTATTGCAAACTGTCTTTGGATGGTTGGGAGCCTAAGGACGATCCATTGTAAGCTTTTGTGTCGCCCCTTCCTTCTTTGCTATCGCTAACCTGATCAGTGATGAGCACTATCGCCGCTCGTCGGATTGTTCCTTCTTCGTCTTTGCCAAACCCCCCGGTAAGAAAGGAAAAGGTTCACGGTCTAAAAAGGCTCGGGTCTCGAAGGCTTCCCGCCTGTCCACTCAATCAACCGCATCAGAAGCACCAGTGTCTGAACTGGACGACCCAGGCGACCAAAGCATCCTGTCCCAGTCGACTACAAAAACCAAGTCTTCAAAAAAGACTTCCAAGTCAAAGGTGAAGGGCACGAAATCAAAGAAGGAGGAACCCGTGGAGCCTGACAGTCAGATGGATGTGGATACCGCCGATTTTAATCAGCCCGAGCCTACAAAAACCAAACGCACCAGGGGAAAGAAAAGACCAAGTGAGGAAGTACAAAAAGACGAGGCAGAACTTGTCGATACAGACATTGTCGAAAAAACTGAACCTCCGGCTAAAAAGAGAGCCACCAAGTCACGCAATAGTACACAGCATCAGGACCATGACCACGGATTAGAGGCCGTGACCGAAGATACCCAAGTAGAAGAGGCTCCTGTCGAAGAGAAGCCGAAGAAGAGCCGCGGAACAACTAAGAAGAAGACAGCTTCTAAAAACCGAAAAGTATCAACAGACTCGGTCATCTCGAGGGCACCATCCACAACGGAGATTCTCCCCAACTCTGAGCACGACGCGGCAATGGATGTCGACCTTGAACACGAGAAGCCCAGCCGAGAGCCAAGCGAAGAGCCCCTGCCAGAGCCATCGAAAAAGTCCAAATCCAAGAAGAAAGCTAAGGTGGCCCCAGAGCCGTCGAACGACACGATAGAGCACAGTGCGGAGATCGAGCCGCAAGAGGATGTGAGCCAAGAGCCTGAACAGGCTCCAGAGCCAAAGCCACCGGTTGAAGATTCGCCGCAGCCGAGACGCACGAGCAAACGGCAGAGCGCAAGGAGTTCTGATAAGGTTCGACAGAGGCCTCATGAAGTAGCTCCTCAAGACCCACCCCAGCGTGTCACGCAGCCAGAAACTGAACCCACGACTAGTGCTGCAACTGACTCGAAGCATCATGAGTCATTTGTCTCGGTGGAAATCCCAGCAAGGGGTCCAGAGCAGGAAGTCAGTGCAGTGCAGAGTGATAAGGACACTAAAAAGAAGGTGAAAAGGAAGGCTTCAACGGAAAAGCAGAGGAAGTCAAAGCAGGCAGATCACAATGCCAATGTGGAGCTTAGCCACGAGACAGCCCCTGCTAAGACGGAGGACGAAGTCACGACAGACAACTTGGAACAAGTGTCGGACATCCCGCAACAAATTGAGGAAGAAAGGCCCCAAGAGCGGACCCCCGATCAACAATCTGCTCGACGCAGGTCCTCTAGGGTGCCTCCAAAAACGGTGGAAAAATACAGCGATATACCTAGGGAGAAGCAATATGCCAAGTCACTAGCAGAGTCCCGAAGTCCTCGTGTCAACACAGCGCCGGAAGACGAGCATCAGCATGAGGAGATACCAGAGCCTGCTACAGTATCACCTCTTCCCTCACCTTCTAAGAGCACTCCGTCTCTGTCACCGCAATCATCCGATGCTGAGAACCAGCCCCCATCTTTAAAACCGTCTGTGTCTCGGGCGCCTGTATTATCGCCTTCTAAGCGCTCAGTTCGAATTCCACTTGCGACTAGTACTCCTTCCCCATCAAAGCGAGTGCCTAACAAAGGCTCCTTCAACACATCCCACCCATGGACTCCCATCGACATTGACGGAATCCTCGTGGCTGGGATTAGTGACAAGGAAAACATCGACTTCAATGGTCTTCTGAGCAATGCCAAGGGTGAATTGACTAGCCCCGAGAAGAAGATGACAGTCGAGGAATGGATCAAATGGAATGCGAAGAACGGAGAAGAGAAACTCAAGCGAGAGTGCGAGCGGGTAGTCAGCCAGTTTGAGAGAGAGGGAGCTCGAGCTATGCGAACCCTGGAAGGCATTGAATGTACAGATTGAGCGGGTCATATGGTATTGTGTGTTAGGAGTATGTGGGTCGGGCAATGGGAATTGGATAGGTACTTGGTTTCATCTCGTGTTTTCAGTGGTACAATATCTTTGCAGCAATCTCACTTGACCATGCTGCGGTCGGTATATGCACATGGATTTTCTGCTCTTTCTGATGTGACAATGAAATTCTACATCCGCTTGGATAAAACGAAAACTTCCGGTTTGACAAAAATCTCAAGCACCAAACGCCATGGGTATACTGCAGCTTTTAGCCTTTATGAACCATCCCTCTATGCCCGTTCCCGATGTAGATCATGCATATGCCCGAGTCAAAGCTCGTTTGCCTAGGCGATAATTCCCAGCCGGCCCTCCCAGCTGTCTTCCTCCTGCTTGATTCCATCGCCACCTTTGCGCCGCTTCTCGTTTCTCTTCCTCCTCTTTTCCTCCCTCTCCTTGGCGTCCTGTTCTTCTCGTTCCTTGAGTCTCGCACCCAGATCCAACTGCCAAGCTCGTCGCTCCTCTTCCTCTAGGACTCGTTTCCGGTGAGCCAGCATCCGTAGTCGCTCCCGCACATCTTCCACGGTGGCACGAGTGACCTCACCGCTTTGACCAGTTGCGATCAAATGCTGTTTGCTGTTCAGATGCTCCACAAGCTGCAGGTTGTCCTTGAATGTAAGGTCACAGTCTGAGCAGTAGAAACCGGCGCCCCGTCCTCTTTTTCCGACAGCCGATCCCGAGGTAACGATGGTGGTCTTGCCAACCATGGACGCGACATCGAGTCGCTGTTTGCGCGATGTAGTAGCTTCGAGAGTGCTGTAGTCCACTGGTGCGTGCCATTTCTTGCCTAGCAGCTTGGCCTCGTAGCGAGCCTTTGATTCCTCCTTCCTCTTAGCCTCATCATCTGCTGCCTTTTTGGCGTATTCATCGCGATCCCATGTTTTGCGAAAGGCTGTGTCTGACGAGGGAGTTCCGTATGCGGATCCTTTGTTGCTCATGGTGTTGGCGGGGGTACCCTTATGGGTACTGTATGGGAGGAGATAGTAACGGCACTGGTATATAGGTGGAGGATGTAGCCGCGGTATGGATGTTGCTGTTAGCTCGATGTTGAATCCCGATGCTGGAGGCGAAAAGCAGATGGTTTAAAGTCCGCCCGTGGAAACGGCAGGCGGTGGCAAAAGCGGGGGCGAACTGCAGGTCATTGTGGATCCGCAGTCGGCTGCCTGGCTGCCTGGCTTATCGTCGTCCTCGTCCCACCTCGACCATCCACGGCTTCCTCCATCTCCATGCCGCTGCTGATCCAGTGGTGATTCTTTGCCTGCCACGGGCTGAGATATATGAATTCAACATCTAGAACTATATATGAACTTTTGGATCTCATTGATGAATTGGTCAGCTCGCTCTGGCAGGACACAGGCGGCTCTCTGACGACCCTCATCTTAGATCCTCGTCTAGGCCTCCAACGACTGAAACACCTCGCCTAGTCTCGTATAAGCCACACCGTCTGATTCACGATTTCTATTTTGAGCACCTAGGCAGCAATTAAGCTCAACTAGCGCAGCATAATAGTCACGGGAACACACGATCTTCCTTGCTTAGAAGTGGCTGGCTACCATCACAAGCAACTCAGCCATCTTCAGCGCTCAATCACTTTTGATAGCTTCCTTTTCCCCCAATAGACTACGTTTGGCTTCTGTTACTTTGCATATACACACTACCCTCCCATCAACAAGCTTAAAAATGGAGTCCTCTTCGCCCGAAAAGACCCCAGTGACGCATGAATATGATCTGCTGGATCTACCCACGGAGCTCCATCTGCACATCTCCACATTTCTCACTTATCCAGATGCTCTGGCATTGAAACATACCTGTCGTCATTTTTACTCTCTTGTTTACACCGGGGTCCACCTGAAGGTTGATTGGTTTGTCGAGCGTTTCGAACGGAAACTGGAATGTCCCATGGAGAAATGCTCGTTCCGCACGGACGAAGCATTCTGCAACAAGAGGATCAGAGGGATTATGGAGCGCCGAAGAAGACATCTTGAGTGCGCTCAGTTACCTGGTGGCTGCTTGGTCATAGAAGGTCGGACTTGTCAGAAGGACCTGCTCCCTATCTGGTTGAAGAAACCAGGTCGTGTGGAGCTGATGAAGGCTTTGGGAACTGAAGGTCTGTTAGAGTCTACTTGCTTTTCTCGACCAAGAATGAATAACCTTTGCACTTTCAATTTGGTTTATTACTGAGGCTGATGAGCTGACCTCCGTGCAGTCTTGATCCATGGCCTGATCTTTCTCTGCATCAACTTGCTGTGGAATTTGGGTGCAAGGTGTGCTGCCTTGGTAGTGCGGGCATCATACTTAGGCTAACCGTATCAGATTGCTTCGCACCGAGATTGTGGCGATATGACAACATCGGATTCACACGTACCAACCTTATGGCATGACTTGTTCTGGCGCCTGTCCAGGCATGCCTGGCTTCGCCTTTCATCGCGCATCCCCTGGATTGGATAACATGATCTCTTTGCCCCAGTAGCAGCTGGCTGCTACTCTGTACGGATTCTAATTTGTGCGATGCACTGGTTTTACGTCCTAATATTGACAAAGACACTCAAGCCTACTTCGCCACCACCTGGATGCCACTCCCGCCACACCGATCGGTTTAGAGGCTACACCTACGGAGGAATCATGTGGTATTTTAATATGTAATCGGATATGCTTCATTCCCTGAGCATGAAATCAAAGACTTGTATTGCTTCACTAGCCTTGCGTTGAGTCAAGTTAAACACCCCACTCCTTCCTCAGCAGGTTCTTCCAAGCCTCAAAATCCATTTCTTCTCCATCCACCAGCATTGATCCCTGGGCTGTCCCCTTCGGCCGCGGAGGTACATAGACAAAGCTCTGGGCATGACTGGAATTGCACCGATTGATGGCCATGGTCCCTTCCGCTACCATTTTCACACAGTCCTTACAAAAAGTATCGAAGCAGATGGTACACAGCGAAAATTCATCGGCGTTGGGCCAGTCCCGATGACACGGCCCATCGCACGTCCACATCTCGAGTTCGTCCGGCTCCTCTTCGTATGCACCCAGGGCGTACGCAACGGCAATGATATTTTTCGTATCGTTGGCAGCAAGTAATGCAGTCAGGAGATTCATAAGTCCCATCGTGTCATTTTCAGGGTCATCGTCGGACAAGATGTGGATGCCCTGTTTGATAGAGGGCCTGATGAGAGCGCGGGCCTCAGTTTCTTGCCTTTTCAAGCGGTGATAGACCCCGAGAGAGAGGGCCGCTGCGGTCTGCAGAGCGAATGTTAGTGGATTGCCATCACCCTTAGCTTGCATCGAAAGCTTTTCAAGTTTTGCCGCCACCTCTTCAGCCTCTGATGTACCGACCCCGGCATTCACAGCCTCTGAGAGATAGTGCTGGGCGAGCCGGTATGAGGCTTGCAATTTAATGATGCCGATCTCGGTCTCATCCTTGGACGAGGCGTAGGTGTTAATGATATTTTCCCACCGTTTCACAGCCTTTTCCTGGTCATGCATGAACTCGCTGTAGATGCGAGCAAGGCCCAGCTCGATATTGGCTGCAGTCACTGTTTTCAACGCTCTGCGAGCCGCTTTCGCTGCAAGTCGCCAGGACTCGATCATCAGACTGAGAGTCCCCGTGGCCAATGCGGCGTCCAGAGCGAAGCTGAAAAAATGACATTCACAGTCGGCGTTTAGCCACACCGTCTGTGTCAATTGCGAGTAGTCCTCATCTGGGACCGAAGTGTCTGCCAACTGAGTAAGCAAATCAATTGTTGCTTGGTGATCCTGATGGCTATGATGATGTTCGAGAAGCGCGTTGATACACGTGTTGCAGTAGGGCTTGTACTCGTACGCCTTGCTGAAGCTCTTAAACCGCTTCTCCAGGTCTCCCAGCTGCTTGTAGCTGTCACCCATACGCTCGAGAATAGTATGGAGGCCCAATCGGAGGTCGTCATTCTCTGGGTCTGCTTCGATCTCCTCTGATATTCTCTTGGCAGCCTCCTGGTCTAGTTCGATCGCCTTTTGGTATTGCTTTTGGAGTGTATACGTGATCGCCATTCCACTCTTGGTGAGCCAGTCATCCGAGTCCAGCTCTAACGATTTCATGAAATATTCCAGAGCTGTCTCGTAGTGCCCGACCTCCCGAAGAGCGATTGCACAGCGTCGATACGACAGAGCAGTCTTCTCCAGATCGCCGAATTCGGCGGCTTCGATAAGGTCCGCGGCAGTGGGGTTGTAATTTTCCAGGAAATTGACCTCTTTGCCTTTGCAAAGGCTCTGGTAGCTCCAGACCACGGCTGCTAATGGAGATACACTCCACATCTTTTTGCACAACCATTGTTTTACGCAAAACATGACCACTGGTTCAAACGTCTTCATCGGGTCCTCTTCGGTAGATGCTATGAATTCTCGTTCATCATCAGAGAGAAACGTGAGAACCGCATCATCTTTCCACCACTGCCGGACGGCTTGGATACTGGCATTTGTCGATACCCAGCTGCGACAGCCGATCCACCCTGATATAACCTCTTCGGATCTGAAGACTACTAGAAGCAGCTTTGCAGTCTCTGTCCTATCCTCAAACGAGCACTCGGATGGCGAGGTGGTAAGCAGATGAGGAACCCAGGCTTGCGCGGCATGGATGAACAGCTTCTTCGAATCATCGGCCTTATCCGCAAACTCGCTGTCAGTGAAGAGTCGTAGAAATGTTTTGAGGACGTGCGCTTTGGCTTCGTGGTAATTTACACCAACTGCAAGATGACCTTCCCCAGCGGAGACCTTGCTCTCTGTCTCGTCGCGGAAGAAATCACCAATGGAGGCATGGCAGAAGGTGACTGTCGTCGTCTGCAAGTCGGAGTTAAAATCAGTAAAGTTATCGACATCTTCAAAGACCTCGTCCTGGTCCTCATTCTCTTCGTCGTCAGACCCATCGAAAACGTCAGGCTTTGTCGACATATTCTGCAACTCTGCCGTCGTGAGAGCATCTTCCCGGTCAAGTGTGAAGAAAGAAGCGAACTGACGGCGAAGAGCGCCTTCCAAATAAATTATACCATCCCCTTCTGGCGATTTCAACTTGAGGATTGCGTCGATCAGGCCGAGTGTTAGCGGCTGCTGGGAGCAAGTAACCCATAGTAGTATCTCGTTGAGATACTCGAGTTCCTCTTCATTAGAGCTTATGGAAAAGTTGGCAAGAACATGGCGAAGGATCTCCTTAAGGCCCTTGGGGGGATCGTCCAGAGCTTTCCGGATGCTGCTTTCATTTCGCTTCTTCACCAGTTCTTGCAACATGAGATTGACCCAAAGAAACATGCCCTCTGCCCCGGCAGACAGTTTTTCAACTATCTCATGGCGCAGTTTCGTCGATACTCTTCGGAGAACAACTGATTTCTTGATGCTCGCATGAATGTACTGGTTGATGTCGTCGGAGTTCTTCTGCGTCGTAACATGGATGGTTGGAACTTCCGTCTCGAGTCCTTCCAACAGCTGGTCGCTGATATGGGGACGACCCACGACAGCCAGCTGCAGGCGAGCCTTTTCCGGAGCATTGTACAAATCCTTTGCTAGGCTGAGAAAGATTCCCCGTTCCTCATCCGAGGCTTCGTCCACGCCATCCAGGAGTATGTAGACACTGCTGTCGGCGCCGGGCTTCTTCAGGAAGTAATCCACAAACAGCAGACGCCATGCACTCTCCAGGCTGTTGATCTTGTCGTATTGCTCGACCGCCACAATATGTTTCCGGTAGACGGGGTCACTCTTGCTGATTTGGAAGGCGAGGTCCCGCAAGGCCAGATGGATCGAGCGTGTGTCGGGGTTGTCATCCTTGAAGAAGAAATATCCCACGGAGACGAGCGATGTACTCTGAATCCCCTGCGGATACTGCTCACGAAGCATGCTAATGATATTCGTGGATAGATACGACTTGCCTGCGCCAGGGTTACCGGAGACAAAGATAACGGGCGTGTCTCTACTCAGCCAGCCCTGGAAGATATCCTCGCTCCTTATCCAGTCGCCTGTGCCTGGGATCCGGGCCTTGTTAATCTTGTCATACCAGTCTTGAGCGGAGTCGGTCTTTGATGGCCGGAGAATCTTGTTGACTAGTGTTTGAAGCGACTGTTCGCGATCCTCCAGGCTCTCTTGCTTAGATTCGTTTGCTGATATAACGAGGGTGCTCAGCATCTCTTGAACCTCGTTGACCTGGTAGCTCATCTGGTTTACCGTCATCCCGGTCTCCATCACGGTGGTGTTGGTGCTAGTGACCGTCATTGAGATATCGTCGACGACGCGACCGGTTCGTTTCGACTCGGTCAACGTCTCTGCACCAACAAGACGAGCCTCTACACTGGTGAGCTTATCCAGCTTACCCATCGCCGCTTGTAGAGCATCGCTGTTCCCGAGGAGGAAGTTGCGTGTGAACTTCAGCAGTCGCCCGCGGCGGATCGTCTTGGTGGACAAGGCAAAGACCTCGATGAGCGTCACGAGGATATCGCTAAGCTTGTCGCTCAAGGCGTCAGAGATGAACTCCTGACTGTAAGCCTTGAGTCGGATCGTAAAGTCCTATACTGTTCAGAATGATTTCCCACATCGACTCTCGAGCATCGTAACGGTGATGTACCTTCAACGTCGCCATCAGATCCTGAATGGCATCATACGAGGTCGACACCCCCTTTGCAGCACTCATCAAGTACGTGACGGCACCAAAGACCAAGCTGCTAGGGGGGAAGACCATCGAAGCGCCTCCAGCGGCCAGATTCCCGAACAGTTCGACGGGGATCAAGGCCGTCTTGAGAACATCAAACAACACCCCGCGCTTCTCGCGAAACTCGCTGAATTTCGCATTTCTGGCATCGATCTCACTCATGAGATCATCGACGTTTTGGAGTTTTGCCAGGAACTCCATGTCGAGAGAGTCGTCGGTGATTTCACGATACTTGTTGATGGCCCGGTCGTAGATGGCGGGGATCTGACTCTTAGGGCCAACCATGATGACGACTATAGATCTATAGTCTCGTGGATATTCCTACCAGCTCATGCCATAGTTTGATTGAATTATGTCCAGGGGTCGCTCATCGTATTTAAAGCTGACGATAAGCGAAAGGGTCTGACAAGGCTATTTTAGTGGCTCGGACCGTGTCATGTTCAGCGAATCACTCGACTGATTTTATATCAATGTCACTTCTCGTCAGCCCTGAATACGAGCACAACCCTTAAGGAGGGGCGATTCAGGCTGTCTGTCGATCTGCTCCACCCAGCTGAAGGAGGCTGGGCGTGTTTGATTGGTGCTTGGATCCAATTGGGTCCATTGGGCTGCAACCTGCGGCTGTCATCTCCTTTTCAGCCACTTGCGGCATGATTAGCCGAGCGCATGGAATTGCCTTGAAAGTTGAAACAAATACATTTGGACAATTGTTTGGGTATCTCTTCACACTGGCACTTCATACAATAAATCCCGGATGTAGATCCCTGTAGTCTACACAGAATCCCGACTCCCAGTCCCCTCTTCCAAACAAAAACCGTTCGATCTCTATCGCTCAAAAACAACCTTCCAAACTCCCAACTCCCATCGCAATAATCGAAGTAACCTTATCTCCCTCTTCCCCTGGCTAAAGCCCCGCCCTATGCATCCCGTCATCTTCATCAGAAAAACACAACTCTGTAGATTCCTGACTCCCGCTTTCACTCTCACTCTCACTCTCATTTTCAAGTTCAATTCCACTCATACATGTCGCACATGCCCTTGCCCTTGCCCTTATCCTCATCCCCGTCCTTGTCCCTGAACATGTACATGTACATATCCTTCCACCCCGCCGCCGTCCACACCCCCGTCTTCTCTTGGTCCCTTGGGAAGAAAAACTCGGTATTGTACTCGATCCCAGCTCGGAGATCATGGCCTCGAGGGTGGCGATATCGGTTTGTATGCTTCTTTGGGAGTGGGAGAGGGTTGGGATCGTTGGTGTTATTGTTGTAGGCGTTGACATTGGTATTGGTATTGAGTTATTGGTTTGTGGGTGGTAGGTATAGATTGAGGATGAGTGTGATGTTTGGTAGGAGATGGTGTATTAGGGGGGGGTTAAGTCTCCTATTTATTTATTTGGTTTAATGTACGGAGTACGGGCTGAGGATCTAATTAATGTGGCTGGGTGGGTAGGTGGGGTGACTCATTGTGTCACGGTGTGTTCGGCTTATTTATGGGCATGGTTATGGTTATGGTTATGGGTATGGTTTCTATGGATGGATGGGTGGTTATTAGTATGGTCATGCTGACGCTGATGTTGGCCCGCTGCCGCGGTTACCTAGATTGTGGTTGGCTGCCTAGTGCAGTGACTATCTCACTCTCCCCTTTCTCTCTCTCTCCGGGTGGAGGAATGCCTCACCATTTCACCTGACCGAGTTCTTCCGCGTGACCCTTTTCCCAAGGGAATTTGGCCTCCACAGCGCGGATAAGCGTCTCGTGGTGCGGACTTCGAGGCTTGATTTCCAGTTCGTAGGGCGCCACGTGGCTGAGGAGGCCGGGCAGGGCCTCCATTCTCAGGTCGACCTCTTTGCCGTTTTTGATGGGTTTGTTGATGCGGAAGACGGCCAGTGACTGTACGAGGCTCAGGTAGATGTTTGAATCGGCTAGGGTTCGACCGGGACACACGCGACGGCCGAACCCGAAGGCTAGAAGTCGGGGGTCTCGCTCGGGGACGTGGTTGTCGGAGGCTAGGAAGCGTTCGGGTTTGAAGGTCATCGGATCGGGGTAGACGGATGGGTCGTGGGTGAAGGCCCTGGGGAGTGAGTGGTTTAGGGTGGATTTGGTTGGGGTGGCTGGGGTGAGACTCACCATTGGTTGGGGAGGATTTGAGATCCCTTCGGGATGAAGTAGCCTTCGCATATGGCGTCTTCCATTGAGGCGTGGGCAACTCCCATCGGCAGGACTGAGTGCCAGCGGAGGGCTTCTTTGACCATGGCGTCGATGTATGGGAGGTTGTCCCGGTCGGCGTAGCCCGGGAGACGCGCCGTTCCTACGACTCGGTCGATCTCTTCTTGTGCTTTGCGCTGCACGTCCGGGTAGAGAGCCATTGCGAGGAAGAGAGCCCCCATGGTTGATATGGTCTGGTATGTGTTAGAATGGATCTGTACCGGTCGCGAGGGGTACTCGCCGTGTCAGATCCTCCGCCGAATATCGCCGCCGCAGACCACTTGATGACGCTTTCCTCCCGTGAGCCTGGTTCTGGGAATCCGTCCTTTTCAACGAGACCAGACAGGTACGATGGCGTGTAGTTGTTCTGGGACAGCTGCTGTCTGACGAATTCGTATGGCTGGCTGCCCCAGGCTCGGGCGACTTCTCTGAAGGCTCGTGCTGTGCGTAAGAATGTGGCACCTGGGAACCAGATCGGAAGGTGTTTGACTGCGTGATATCAGTGTCTGCTTGTCATGGGGTTTAAGGGAATGCATACGGATGGGGAGGAAATCTACTATCCAAGTTCCAGGGATAAGGGACTCGGTGAAATTCCCCATCGCCCGATTCACAAGGTCAACCAATGGATCCTGCCCGTGAGGCTCAACGGTATATCCGTATGCGAGCTTCAGGATGATGGCCCCGGCTTCCCTGGACATAGTCGGTTACCATGGGTGCAGATTGAGAGATTCCGGGCGCGAACTTACTTCCGAATGTGGTCTCGTAGATCCCCAGGATTATCAAGCACCCGAACCAGAAAGCGGCCAACCTCGGCCTCTTGGATGGGATTGAACCGCGCAACAGAGGCGTTCGAGCCAATTTGTTGGCGAAATAGCTTCCGCTGGGCCCGAACACGGTAATCATTGTTATTCTTCGTGGTAAGAACGTCTCCGAAGCCAGCCCTAGATTGCTGTCAGCGATGGACTGGGTTTGGGTTCGTGATATGCGAACATTTCAGTGAAATGCCCGCTAGGACGGTCGGAGTTTATGACCGAACGTTTCTCCAACAACTCAACGGCAAGCTGGGCATCGTTGAGAATGATGAGATTCTCTCCAAAGACAGTTACTGAACTGATAGGACCTAGGAGACGAATTAGGCTGCGCTCCGGGCATGGACTTTGAGGCTACGTACCGTAAAGTTGCTTGTGCTTGTACCAGTGTAGCCAATCGTGCTCGCCTGGAGGTGGGAGGTCCTGCAGGTTTCCAATAAATGGCTTCGGCTTAGGGCCTGGAGGGAGAGGCGCAGGAAGCTTCTTGCGAGTCAAGTAGGATTTGAGAAAGTAAAAACCAACGAGGGCAACGATAGCTCTCACTAAAAGGGACATTTTGCTTGGTACTCCGTCGGATGAGATAGCAGACGATGAGCTCTAGGAGGGAGCTCCCGTCATAAGTACCATGAAAGGCTCCCACATGAACTCATCGCAGTGTGATATTGGAAGCATGCAGGTTGCGGGGTCGAGAGGGGTTTGTGCATCGCATCCTCCTCTTACAAGCCGTGTCAAGGTCGGAGGTGGCAGCAGTAGCACAGCTGGACGTCAGAAGGATACACCACTGCGTCAGGACCCATCTGAAACAGGGTATGCATTGGCCGAGTAGTTCACCGTGGCGATGGGAGGTGTTGATCGTGTCTCTGACTCGATATTTAGCTGGACGGGAGGCGGGGACGAGCCGTCCCAGAATGCAATCTAGCGATGCATGATGCCGTATCCTTGTCCAGAGCCGGTGAAGCAGTGGCAAGCGGTAGTTGATCTCTCAGTGCTTCACATAGGTAAGCTGCCAGTCGGGCTCAGTGGATGGCTGGCCGGTTGATGGGTGATGTGAGCGATGGCAACTTGAAATGGGGTGACACGAGCATCTCTTGTCAAAAGGCACGTCCTCAGTCATCAGAGCGGGGTTAATGGGACTCAAGATAGTAAGGCTAAGGACACTTGTAGACTAATGTAGGAGGTCATGGTGGACAAATCAGACTCCTTCAATACTAATCAGCTGCGAAACACGCTAAAGCAATGGAGGATTGGCAGTTTCTCAACCTGGCCGATTATCCGGAAATCACATGACGGGGACGGGATCGTCTTCTCTTCCCGGAATGAACTCGTCCCCTCCACACGTTCGCAACATTCGGACAGGCTTATCCTACGGGATCAAGGTTGTCCCAGATGGCCTCGCCTGAGCTCAGCACTGTACATCCCCGCGTCATTTGCATGGATGTTTTTGAAAGGAGGGGAGAAATCAGCTGTCCTCAAAGTGTTAATGAAAGTGGTCAGAAGCGCCTCCCGACCAAAGCATTCTCACACTAACTTCGCTCTCGGTGCAATGCCAAAGCTTGAGGGGAACGGGACATACCAATCGCCATAATAGTCTGTTGCCCAGTAGACGATAGCATGTTTAGGCCGATCTCTGATTTCGCAGAAACACTGCCAGTTGACAAGTGAGATCGAATTGGTGGACTACATCAATTATAGGACAATGGGGCAGCACAATGAATGTCATGGATACATGAGACCCTGGGATTCTACTGTCAATGAACTTGGCGAGATTTGATGCAGATACCATAGGATCATGATGATATAGCCGGTCGGTCGGATCGCATTTTGACATATTGGAAAGATATGAAGGCAGGCTATTCAATCCTCGATCACATTCTGATCCATGTTTGCTCAACAGCGACGGCGAATGCGAAATGGCACCGATGACCCTGGCTTCCGGACCCCAAATCCAAATCGACTGGACTGGAAGCACAGGGCTGACGCTGGCGTCAGAAGCTCGACATCAAACATTGTAACCATCATGGCACTGGTGAGTAACATAGTCCGTTTGGCTAACAGTCGGCCTGGGCAGGCATGCTGTCCTCCTATGGACACGATGTCTAGTTAGTGGAGATCATGCTTTACCGATGTCTCACGCACGTCGATGTTGTAGGGATGCTCAACTGACATACCTCCATAAGGAATCCAGATACCTTCCAGCCCTTGCACGGTAAACTCTTCTCTGGATGTGTCTGAATCTGTTTGTTGTCGCTCTTTGGCAGATTTCGAGAGAGGTAGAGAGGGCTTTAAAGGTCCGCTACGTGGGTCGGCCGAATCAATGAGAAATCGCCGTGCCCAGAATGTATCCAGTGGATACTGACCGTCTTTGGTGTTCCAAACCTCCTCATCAGTATGCGCCAGCGCAGTGTTGATGATAATCAGCTTGTTGGACGGGATGGTCTCGTCCCCCAGTGATAAAGATTGATGAGGGGAGCACCGGGGAATGTGGATCTGAACTCCGAATCGCAGAGTTTCCGCGTACATGGAGAGTAACAGCGGCTGCTTGCTAATCTTGTCCATGTCAAGCTGCAACGATCCTGTCCCTGGCTTGATGCAAGGACGCAAAGCGGAACGAAGTTCATCCACAAGAGAACTGTCACTATACATGTGGGTGCAAAGAGTCATGGTGGACGGAACAACATTTGTGATGGAGCTGAGCCAGCAGCGAGAAATTCATTTGTCAGCATGGAATTTACATAGGCTTGGTTGGAAACCATCGCACTTACGCCCAGATAAAGCCCAGATCGGTAGAAGCTACCGATTGAGGGTCTTGCCTGTCGATCTTCAACAGCATCTTATTTCGTTCGCGCATCATAGCCGAGCCCCAATGAGGATCGGCGTCTCCCTGGTTGGAATTAGTCTGCTTTGTTGTTTCTGTAGTAAGTTCAGTGGCCTGTCGGTGCCACTTCATGATTGCGCGAAGCAATTCATCCCGCAGCCGATACGCACCCGGGATCATCCAGGCCGGCAGGCGCTTGGCTAAAGCCATAATGTGTTTGTCATACTGCCACAACTTTCGATTGAAGTCCGGGTTCGCTGCTAATAGGAGCGGACCATAGAGAGTCTCCAACATAGCCGTTCCCAGATGGTCCTCGAAGAACTGCGTGAAGTCCTCCTTATAAGTCCAGGAATGCGATATCGGAACTGCCTTGTCCAGTGAGGCATACAGAGCTGCATCAAAACGCTCTGTCGTCGGACCAAGTCCGCTTCCAAGAAGTCCTTGGATGAGGTTCTCATGGGTGTGATAACTCACGCGGCAATTGGGCGGTGTTTTACTCCCGGCTATGGGCCGTTGCCGCGAGCCCGAAGTATCCGAAACATAGACATCCACGGCCTTCTGCTTCATCCCGAAGCAGTATTTGAGCACAACGCCATAAGCCCTGGTGACCGTGAGCCCTGGGTTGCTGAAGACGGCCAGGATGTTTTTCTGCCCTTGTACTAGGTAAATTTCATCTTCTAGCAGATTTACACGGAGTGGCCACTGGCCCTGGCAGAAGCAACTGCCCGATGTTCAGCGTGAGGCCCAGAAGAGATGTGGGAAGTAGCTTACGAGGCTTGCCTGAAGAAATTTGGTCCATCAAACACGAATGAAAATGTGCTTTTAACGACAGGTATTATGTGAGGCATTGTGTGCGGACCAGCGGAAGGATTTTTACCCACAATGCAGGCACGAAGGATAGAGAAGGTTAACGCAATTGCGGCTACAACACCAGGAATAATAACCGCCAACATGATGCTTATGCTAGGAGAGTCGGTCTTGCTATTCTTTAGCTGGCTACAGGAGCTATTTAGCCAATCCGTTTCCGTCCTGCTAGTAAGGGTAAAGGGCCCTCTCTCTCTCGGATTTGAGGACGACTCAGCCGCAAGGCAGAAGGAAGGTAGGGTGCTTCATGCATGCATGATAACAGCTCATATCTAGGGCTGCAGGGGTCCATGGGGCTGTGGGCTTTAGTTTCTCTTTCATCACCAAACGGGCTGGTCACTAATAAACCCTGGTCCTCCCTGCAGAAATCACCCCCACCATCAATCAAGGCTTGGTCACTTTGGTGCTTACTCTGCATAATGGGCCAGAAGGAACAATCAGGATAAAGGCGCGTACTTTCTACTCACCCCAAGATTCATAAAGGCCGACATCGTCTATCGAGCTGCTTTTCGCGACCGTCGGACAACTGGCTTCCATTGCCTGAACTCACAATGGCCGAGCCCAGTCCTAGTCGAATGCATGCCCGAGTTTCAAAGCCAGTATTTCTAGTTGGTAAATCTGTATACAATATTTGACCCTCATCGGCTAATAGAAACCACAGGGTCTTCTGTGGACGTTCACATGGACCGCGTTCCTCTTCATCCTGTTCCGTATCGCTGTCCGATATGGTTCCTTCCGACGCCTCTATTTGGATGACTTTTTTGTTCTGCTTGCGTGGGTAATGATGTTGACTAGCGCCATCATCTGGCAGATTGAGGGGCAGGTGCTGTATGATGTATACGGGATGGATGCAGGGAAGCAGCCCTACACCCCTGATGTTATCCACAAGTTTGTCAACTTCCTTCGGTTCGTTGGTCCGCTCTCCATTATCTTTTACTCAAGTCTATGGTGCGTCAAGTTTTCCTTTCTGGCCTTCTTCTCCCGACTAGGGTCCAAGATCAAGAGCCATCGGATCTGGTGGAGTGTAGTTTTGTTTGTTACCGTGGCCCTCTGGATGGTCTCAGTGACGGATATAGACTTCAGGTGCAGTTTTGGGAGCCCTGAATTCTTGTTCAGTAAGTCTGAATGCCATACCCCCCGCTCTTTCTCTTCTGCAGCGCTAATCTCGAGTTATCTCACTACAGCCCAGTGTCCCAACCTTTACCACATACACTTTCAATACCGCGTATTATGGACTAACTGCGCCGGGGATGTGCTTACTGATCTACTGAGTGAGTGGCCTCGATGACAGTTTCTGTTCTGGGACTTTCTGACCAGCTCTTCGCTCCCGACTCCAGTCCTCTCAATCCCGGTTTTTCTCCTCTGGAACACGCGCATTACATTCAGAAAAAAGGTTATCTTACTGAGCGTCTTCTCCGTCACGGTCATTGTCATGGTCGTTTCCATCATCCGGATGGCCGTCAACCCCTCCCTCGATACTCCGTTCGATATCTCATGGTCATACGTATGGAGCTTTGTCGAGATGGGAACCGGTATGTTGGAGCACCCACACATTACCCCCGCCCCTGATCCTAACCTCTGAAACAGCAATCATTAGCTCATGCATGGGGTCCTTCCGTCAACTATTCGTCACATCCCAGAACCAACATCTCTTTCGCAAGGCTGCATCTCAGAAGCCCCAACACCCGCTCCTTAATAGCGTGCGGAACCTCTACACGCGCACGCAGTCGGGTCCGGGTGTCGAGGGCGACGTGGAGTCGCAGAAAGGAGCTGTCGGGGCAAACCTTGTCCCGCTTAATGCTGTCCATGTGCGCAGCGATTTCGATGTTGAGAGCGCGCCAGCTAGTTTGACTCCTTCTCGTGAGAGAGTATGGGATTGATTAATACACGCCTTCATACGTCCCCAGTAGTACGGGGTCTGTTTGGTCTGGAGCGATCATATTGGGCTTGGAATGTGTATGAAATCAACACGGGCATGATTGCTTCTGAGTCATACTGCCCAGAGTACTTTACTGGACCAAGCTGTCTGCCGTGAACTGCTGAGGTATCTTTGAAAGTAGTACTATGATAGATAGACGCTCAATTCTGATGAGGTGCTAGCACGACCTCGAATTCCTCCAGTATCTTCAATCTCAATCTTCCGTATCACCCGAATGACGGCCGCGCTTCCCCAGTCAGGATCTAACCAAGTGCTACAGTCCACCAGTAATACCCAGAACATAACTCTCCCCACACTCCACCCCAGTGCAACAACACGGTACTTCATACCTTCTAGCATATCACACATACCCCAGTACTCGCAGAGGGAATGAGGGACCCGCTCGTCTCGCTTCCACTGCTCATCGATTACCAGCATGGCTGGAGCGACTACACCGACGGTCAACGACAGGTGGCAAATTGCAGCACGGAAGACCGCACAGCTAAGAGGGCCGATCTTTGCTTTCCACATGGACCGGCAGACGATAGGGGGACGACGGAAGAAGCAAATATGTACATCCAGAAGCACCGTCGCGTGGTCGCATGTTGAGCGAAGCCTCCACTGAGCGGGGGTCTAATGCACACCGTGATATCAAACATTATAAGGGCAACTCCTCTGTAGGGCAAGTATTACAAGGCTACTGCAGGTCACTCGCCATCAGGAATGCAATTTGGCAGATGATGCAGAATTTCGGTTGGGAACCTCATTCACATTCCAATTAGTACCGTTACCTGCAGTGGCCCACGGCCAAAGGCATGGCGAAACCACCTATCAAGCATGACATTAAGCGCCTGACCAGCCATCTAATCAAACAATTTGTCAATGAAGCACAGCCAGTATCTATGCACAAGGCTTTCTGCTAGTAACGGCAAAAAGAACCGTGATATGCAGACTAGAGTAATAAACATTGAAATCTTCGGGAATTCTCTCACCCAGTGAATTGGACTTCCTCCGCTCCTATCCTAAAGATGGCATCCCGGCTTCTCTCTTCGCGAGGTTTCCCCGCTCGGCTTTCCCAGCTCCGGGCGCATGCTTCTGCCTCTCAAAGATCCATTGCTACAGCTCCCTCGACCACGGACAGTGTCACGCAACTACTCCAGAAGGTTCAAGCCACCACCAAGGTCTACTTGGACTTTGTAAAAGACCAAGGTCTTCCTGAGCCATCTTACCAGCACGGCGATGGCCTCCATCCCGCTATCGAACTTCCTCGACAGGTACAGGAGGCAAAGGAGGAAGCTATCGAGGCAACCTACGAGCTCCATCACCTTCTTCTTGGTCCCATGGGGCTTCTGTTCAGCAGCCCTGGAGAGGTCTGTTCATCTTTTCCGTCTGTTTAGCCGCTCTTACTGACGTTTCTGTGCACAGCAATTGCTGCTTCTAAGCCTGCAATATATCTACCGCTATCAGATCGCCCCCCATGTGCCCTTGGACGGCACCATCACCTTCGACGAGCTATCCAAGGCAACGAACCTAACCACCAAAGATCTCACCCGCTTCCTACGCGTAGCCATCAGCCGCCATGTCTTTCATGAGCCCGTGAAAGGGTCCATCGGGCATACCGCCGCATCCAAGCTTCTACTCAACAACCCCATGGTCGAAGCTTGGCTTCAGAACATCGCCCTAGAGTTCTGGCCTGCCTTCACACGCACTGTCGAGGCAACGGAGAAATGGCCCGGGTCGGAAGAACCCAACGAAACCGTGAGAAATTCCTCCCCTCCTTGTTGCACCCAGACTGTACTGAAACCGCAATCCCTCCTCCTGTAGGGTTACGCTCTCGCCCATGGCACGAGGTCGCATCCATTCGACGAAATCCGCAAAGATCCGCGCCGTCACCGACAATTCATCACTGCCATGCAGTTCTCCCACCTTCACCCGGCCTACCACCTCTCCCATCTTCTCAACAACTACAACTTTGATCGCAGCACCAGCGGCGCCACCACGATCGTCGACATCGGCGGCTCCAATGGCGAGGTCAGTATCGAGATCGCCGCTCGATATCCCAATGTTCACTGCATCGTTCAAGATCTCCCGGACACCATCGCTGGACTGACCGCGAAGGTCCCTTCCGCGCTCGCCGCGCGAGTGACGGGCATGGCGCACGACTTCCTGACCCCCCAGCCCGTTTATGGCGCGGATGTCTATCTTCTGCGGTGGATTTTGCACGACTGGTCAGATAAATACGCCATCCAGATTCTTCGGAATTTGACTCCGGCTTTGAAGAAAGGTGCTCGAGTGGTGGTCAATGATATATGTATCCCCGAGCCGGGTCGGTTGGGCCCCAAGGCGGAACGTGATCTCCGGTAAGAATCCCCTGTCTTCTCTCTCTTTATCTCTGTGGCAAGTACACTAACGCCAATGGTATCTCTGCAGCTACATGGACATCGCAATGAAGGCATTCAACAATGCGCGTGAACGAGACGTCAGGACATGGGAAGGTTTGTTCGCTGAGGCGGATGCCCGGTTCCGCGTTCTGGGCATTTCTGTGCCGCCGGGAGCGCAAATGGCCGTTATCGAAGCGGAATGGATAGGCGAATGTAGCACGGAGCATTTGTGATTATGGATGGACCATTATCCTAGTATATGGCTGTGGTGGTTGACTGTTGGTGACATATGGGGTGCTATTAAATGCTTGCAGACGTCACTATCTAATCATGTCTTTATATGTTTACTCAAATACCGACTCTTGACAAAAGCGAGAGTATACAATGTTGGGGATTACGATGGTGGCGGTCCCGTGACCCACTGGCACCAGTTCTTCTCCATGCCTCACACCTCACGCATCTCCTTCCATCACACAAGACGCTTGGCTTTCTAGGCAATACAGACTACTTGCCCAAACCTCGTTATGGGGACATTATTCTTACACCCGGTGACCCACCATGCGCACTTGGTCCGCATCCTTCATCCGCAGGACACCTGGTAATCCACATTCTGGGTGGTCACCATGGGCCCCCTCGCACGCGCTCGCTGAGGAGTTTCTCCGGGATTCGAAACCACTCCCGTGCGATGACTTCGCAGGAGATTAGGCATCACTGCGACAAACTCCACCTGTGAGAATTTCTTCCCGGGGCAGTTTTGAGGTCCATCCGACCACGATTATGGTGCGGATGGCAGCACGAGCAACTTACGAGGCATGATCATGAGTAGAATGCAGTTATCCAGCACCGTCCGAGGTGCGTCACGGTAGCCTACAGATTTATCCTCGACCGCACAATCATCTTCCGGGGTGGCAGGCAGCCCAGGGTTGGCTTTGTGGTGTTTGGCACTGCGGAAATGAAATGACTTGCGGAATCCCACATGGCGGCGATTACGTTCAATGACAGGGCACGCGCATCCTTTGCAACACTGGAAATCTCTGCAATCTGCGGCAAAATCCCAGACCCCCAGCATCTGGCGGGCTTTCTCGACACTCTCGTTCTTTATAAAGGATATAACGCCTTTCTTAAACGGAGTGGCCGGGACCTTTCGGTACCGAAGCCAGCCCTTCCAGCTAGCGGTCGAGATACATGGACCGTAGACGTTGAGAACCTCTAATTACATCACCAAGGTCTGCAAGCCCCGCCAGGTTTGCCCCGCTAATGCTCTGAAGAAGAAGAACGTACTATACATTTGACTGGGCTGGCATCGCTGGAACATATCGGGGATGACCGGGTGACATTCGCCCAGATGGACCCGTGGCGTCGGTGCAACTCGCCGCGATCGGCAACTATAGTTGTGCCAATTGATCGGCAGCCGGTCAAGCCAGGACCAGAAAAAGGGGTCAAATCTGGTACAGAGGACGTTTTGCGGGTCAATGTACAGACGCATCAAAGGGATGCCCATGCTCGACGCACGACGGTAATTCATCTCCGGCTTCACCATGTTTCATGCTAGGTAGCAGAGGGGAAACAGGCCCAGAAGCTCGATGATCATGATGTTTGCCAGTATGCAACGGACTGCGGGAAGAGCAAGGGTTCTGGGAGAGGAAGAAAATGAGGGACGAGAATATGTGAGCTGGACAAGAATTAAATTCGGGGGAATACAGCAGACAAACTTACTTACATCTTCGCCGACATGCCTCTTACAAGAGTTGTGTTAGGGTAAACATGACTCGCCATCCCACCCTGTCCTGGAAGTTCTTTGTCCTTTCCCGCATCGGTGATCACTGCTTGATGGTTTGGTGCTGACCGTCAGCACCAAAAAACAAGGGTCGATAAGCCCGGGCAATGCACTAGTCTTCGATCCTTGCGAACGCTTGTTCTTTTACTGGTGGGCTAGAAATACCCTGCCAAAGTAGTGCGGTCTGGGGGTCATTGTAGATCAGCGGTGATCCAAGTGTTTTCCCAGGGTTTGGCCCCCTTTTTGTTTGCTGCGGAGCCTCCCAGACTGGACACACCAACACTGCCAACATAACGCAGGCATCAAGGCACAGTCGAAAATTGAATCTCCCACCGTACCATGGGCTGATCCCAATGTGCATGGAGAGCAGCTGAGAGGTGGCTATATCAGTTGGTCCCTTCTCAGCATTGCTCAGCCCTGGTCTACGACAGCAGGCTCTAAAGACAAACACGATCGGCTCCTTGACCTACATTAGCCATGTTTAGCCATTCACAATTGGATGTCGTTACCTCCCAACCGCAAAACAGAACGATACTCAATGATAATGGACGTCATTTCTTGGTCTATCTTCCACTCCTTCTTCTGCTAACATGGCGATTTTGGACTTTCACGTTATGCCCTCGACTGTATCGCAACCGACTGGAGTACTTGCCGTACTGGATTCCATGTAAGCCGATTATTGACCCATTTCTTTCGGCTGAACCTCACGAAAGCTCATCCCACAAGTCTTAGGTATGTCGCAGGATGCAATCCCAGGGTCGAGCAACAGTGACCAACACCGGATTGATCTCCTTTTGTTGATTAGCGCATTCGATACCCTTTCTTCGCAATTCCAATAGCCTGTTTGCCCGAGCAAAGAAAGAGTTTGGGAACAGACTGTGTGCGCTGCGTATCGCCGGACAGGACATTGTGTTGGTTACAACAGCAGCTCAGATATCAGTGGTTGATAAGGAGTGTCACATCTATGCCTTTGAGCATTTTGTAGACCTCATGTACGATGAGATGGCCAAAGTCTCACGAGAGAGTAAGCCCATACTCTGGCGGACCCCAGCAGAGGGCTATGTCTCGATCTTTCCAAATCCCAAGCAAATGTCGTGTGCTCACACTGGCATCGCTCTTCTGCATAAACAGTTCTCGCAGCCAGATGCTCTCAGATGCTTTATGGCCAACTCGCTGGCCTCGATCAATCAGACACTACAATGGGGCTCTTTTTACAACACAAGCATGCTCCGCTCCGCCTCGGATGTAAAAGTCATTTCTCTTGACTTCCTATGCAGGGATGTCATCATGGATGCTCAAGTCATCTCCTTCTTTGGACCCCGGCTTCTCGAGCTGGAGCCTAACCTTCGCACCATCCTCAATGAATGGGACTTTGAGAGCTGGAGGGTTTCCTACAAGCTCCCCTCTGTGTTGGCCAAGCGGGCAACGCGACTCCGCGACTGGCTGGTCGATATACTCACAGACTACTACTCCGTGCCCGCGGAGCAGCGGCCAGGATCTGTCGCTTTTGTCAATGAACTTTACGATGACTGTAAGCATGCAGGACTGCCAGATCGAGACATTTCCGGGATCATGTTTACTATTCTTTGGGGGTATGTTCCTGTTCCTTCTGTTGCTCCCTGCACCGAACCTGCACTCACGTAGTCATGTTGCAGGCTCACCGCGAATCCTACCGTTCTTTCCTTCTGGATGATAGCCCATCTGGCGAGAAACTCTACTGTTATCACCCAGATCCGCGAAGAGATCGCCCCTCTTATGCAAGAGGTCAATTCCCATCCCGAGACTAGCGGAGCCTCCCTTTATGAGCTCACCAAGAATCCCCTCCTCACCCAATGTCCCATTCTCAATTCGGTGTTTTATGAGACGTTGCGCTACACAAGTACCGGCAGTAGCTTCCGCAAGACCACCCGAGATACAACCCTTGAGGGTCGTCACATTCCTCAAGGCACCATAGTTGCCATTCCCCAGCGGGTGCAGATGATGAGCGAAGAGGCCTTTGGCCCGGACCCGTCCTCATTCGACTACTACCGATTTCATCGGGACAAGTCGCTGCTTCGGAAGGTGGAGTTTCGCGGATTCGGAGGCGGCACCACTTTGTGCAGCGGCAGGATTGCGGGCCGACACCTGGTGCTGGCCTATGTAGCCATCTTGTTGTGGAGATATGATGTGGAGATCATCGGCCCCGATCAGCAGGTGTTGGGGGTTCGCGGGAAGCCTTTTCCCCGACTGGATAAAGGGAAGCCAAGTCTGGGTCCTGCGCAAAGGAGGAAGGGGGAGGACTTGATTCTGAAGGTCACGCAAAGGAATTGATAGACTTGTGGTTTCTATATTGTAAACTCTCCGGCCAGTGAATGAACCCCAGTTGGACCCGTGCGTAATAAAACAGTAACACTATCGTATAGTACCTGACAGCTCACGTGCCAAGGATCCGTGACTTACCACTTCACCTTATCTATAATCTTCCCGACAACGCTTCCGATAACCTCTCCCCAGTCTTTAGCGGCCCCGACAGCGCGACACCATCGGACAGTTTGTACTCTCTAGATACACTTGTCAAATTCAATCTCTGGCTGCCGCGGCACAATGCCGGGTGCTCCCGGTCTTTGGTTCTGCAGAAATCCCCTCTTTCCGCCCTCAAACAAGCCCATCTAAGGCGGCTCTACTTACCAACCAAAGTGGTGTCACTGGCACCAGACGGATCCACTGAGCATCCCCGACATGCAATCCTCGGTACCATGCCACGCCCGAAAGTACACCCAGCCAATCGCCTGCGAGCCTACGAGGCTTGTCTAGCCTGCAGGGCGACGAAGAAACGATGTAGCGGGACCTTCCCATGTTCCAAATGTGTCCGGCTTGGACGCGCCGATACTTGTGTTCCGAGCCCACGTTCCGCTCAACGGCCGACCGATAGCGCCCACCCCTTGGAAAATGGCAGCGTTGTCTCGGAACCTGAGAGTCAATCAACCACCACGCTCAGCACTAACCTCTTGGCCGATCGAGTAGATCATGATCAGCCTTCCGGTCCGAGTCATTCTACCGTCGAGCCCCGTCCGGTGTCCCCGGAAACGTTGCATAGAACACACCCGCGGATGTTGCGCAATCTACGCGGAGAACGAGGTAACCAAATCCAAGTGAGTTGAGCGAGACATCGCAGCTAATGACGCGCTACACAGTCTACGTGGGAAAGGCTGCGTCCTTGTCTTTCTTGCAGCTGGTCCGGGATACCGTGTCGCAGTACATTGGACCGTCGCAATTCTCGCATAATGTGAAAAGCGAAGATATGCTGGAGACGGAAACACCGCGTGATATTCCACCGGCTCCGGATGATACTCTTGATTCTTATGAGCTACTGGGATATTATCGCGCCTATAGCTCGGCCACGAGTGGATTCATCTACGTTTTGTCGGATGCAGAAGCAATGGATATTCTTGATGGTTTGATCAATCCTAGTGCCCGTCGAGATAAAACAAAGATGGCACTGGCAGACATGATTATTGCCATTGGGGCACAGTCTACCAAACGAGCTCCGTCGACCGAGCAAGCTGAGCGCTTTTTCTTTTCCCGCGCCCAACGCAGCGCTTTCGAGGGCATGTTGGAGAATCCAAGTCTAGAATTGGTCCGTTTGTTTCTGCTGATGTCCTTTTATATGCTTGGGGCTTGTCGTCGAAATACTGCCTTCATGTACTTGGGAGTGGCCGTCCGAGCTGCCGTGGCATTGGGTCTCCATCTTACCGAGCTAGTGGATGCCGTCCCCAGCCCTGAGCAGCATCAAAGGGCACAAGTATGGATGAGTGTTTACATTCTGGACCTCCTGGTTAGCTCTATTCTTGGTAGACCGGCTGCCACGGCCGCTCTACGTTCAGATGCGGAGCATAGTTTTGTTCGCTACACACAGCCAGAGGGCCATATGGCAATGGGCTTGCTTGCTTCCTACAAAGTTTCGGGGATTCTGGAAGAGGTTATCGCCCGCATGTATAGCAAGGAAGGGGCCTCGGCCGAGGTCGCAGAGTCGCTCCTAGCAAAGCTCAAGCAATGGAGCAATGGCCTACCAGGGCCGTTAGTGGAGCCACCAAATCTCGACTTTGAGGAACCTGCGGCCCGCAGGCAAATAATCGGCAATCTGCACATCGCATGCACCTACCACTTTGCGGTAATCATAGTGACGCGGCCATTTCTGATATCCGTATTGGGCGTTCGGCTAGCGCGATTGCACGGTGGCCCTGTAAACTGGTTATCGGGCGATTCATTGCACGAGGAACCAGCACATTCGAATATGGCGACCGCTTGCACCGACTCGGCCTTGTACATGATACAGACATGCTCCGAGGTGCATCGCTCTGGTTTACTGCTGGGTAATATGTGCATTCTGAAGGCTTTTGTGTTTGCTGCCGGCTTGGTTCTGGGGTTTTCGATGTTCTCTCGGAGAGAAGCAGACCCGCCACTAGACCAAGCCTACAAAGAGGCCTTGGAGATCCTACGTGTGCTCTCCGAGCAGTCCGCCCAAGCAGCACATTACTCGGAGATCCTCAGTTACCTTGGGAATGCCATTGCTGAACAGCGTCAACAACTTCTGCACCATTCTCAGCAGAACAAGAGCCGCTATGTCAGTAAGCTTTTCAGTCTGGACGATCGCAGACCTTCAACGGAGATCCGGGGTGGCCTAGAAACGCCTGCACGGGCTGATATCTCTGGCATTCCGCCCGATTCTAATATATCCGATTCATGGGTTGATCTTCAGCGCCCAAATTTCATGGACTCTCTGGATATTGGTGCAGCATTTACTGCTTTAGACGGCATGCAGTTGCCGGTATGGGATAGCTTTCCATTTATTGGTGAGCCGTTTCAACTGCAAGGTAGAGTTAACGAGGCAAATTGATGCTGGACAGCGATAACGGAAGGACCCGGTTGATGACGTTGTGTCTAGCCCGGCGAGGTTAGCGCAGAACGGTTGTCAGCGTGGCTCGAATCGAAAGTGTCGAACATCCTTTCTTCCTCTGATTCCGGATTTTGTAGGGCTCTCCGGAACGACACATTATTTAGCACCTTCATCCTTGTATCAACCTTATATCGGGTATCTAGCTGAAGCTCATTCGCGGCCTGAGCCGATCCCGTCGGATAATGGTGGAGCTCCCGAGGGGAGTCCCGAGCAGTCAGCACAGGGCGTATAATGCAAGGTCAAGATCGGGCTGTCTCACATGCAAGTAAGAGAGATCTGGTTGTGTGCTGTAGACAAGCAAACTGATGTGAGCAGAAGTAGGTGTATCGCCGTTAATGTAGTTTTCAGAATATTTACATGTTTGCCTGGCCTCCACAGAGCGACGGGTCAAGTGTGACGAGACCAGGCCCAACTGCGAGAGATGTTCCTCCACAGGTCGCAAGTGCGATGGCTACGGGTCCAGTCCGCGTTCCTTTGACCGTGCTCACCCACAGCTGCCGTTGCTTTCACTTACGCGCCTCAATCATGCAGCGACAGAACGTGAAGTCCGGTCGCTCCAATTCTTCTACGAGAAGACGGTTCCTTCCTTAGCAGGGTACTGTGGTTCGGAGTTTTGGGGCCGCCTCGTAATGCAGGTGAGCCAGCACGAAATACCGGTTTGGCATGCGCTGGTCGCATTGGGCGCGCTGCACGAGAATTTCGAAAAGATGCCCGGTTTCGGACTCGTCCGGGCCGGATATGACACTTTTGCCTTGCAGGAATATCTCAAGGCAATACGGGCCCTTTTAGGGCCAGCGGATTCGCTGCTTCCGGCTTCTAGTAACTACGCTGCTCCTCCAGGGGGGCTAACCGTGGACGTCTGCTTGATTTCATGCATTTTATTTGTTTGCTTCGAGGTCGGTGTCTTTGTGATTTCAGCAACCGCGGGATTATCGTTGATATTGGTCTAGATCTTGTCCAGTCACTATATTGCGGCACTCAGCCATATCCAAAGCGGGATGAATATCCTTGGAGAGGTGTCCTACGATCCGAGCACCGGGTCATATCATCACCCTGTTCTCAGGCCGTCGACGGTGTCAGCCCTTGAGATGGGGAACTTGCGGAGAATTTTCATCCGCCTCCGTAGCCAGGTTTGGGCTTTGGTGCGTATGGCCCGGATCGGTTGTGGTGGTATTGGGGATGCTGATATCAATAGACTCGTACCGGCATGGATCAGCCTTTGATGGATGCAGTGCCGTCGGAGGGTATCTTTCCGCTTGAAGTACCGGAGTGTTTTTCCTCCCTTGCAGAGGCGCGTGACTTGTTCGAATACTACAGCTATGTATTCCGACATGAATACGGCAAGATGGGTGGCATGGAAGCCACGTCACCTGAGCTTGGTGCAGCATTTATCCAGACCTGTATCTCGCTCTTTCAGAAGTGGTCCGGGGCTTTGGACCAGTTCGAGAAGATACGCGGTCCGTCTTTGACCACCAAGGAGCACATCGGCTTGAAGATCCTACAGATGCATCGGTGCAGACAAGCCGTGGCTTTTCAATATCACATGTCAGGAACGACAGACCTGAGTGGCTGGGACATGTATAACCCAATGTTCCAGGAGATCGTCTCCTTGGCAGCCTCTGTCGTCGAGCTTTCGGGTGAGGATGGCCCTCCGTCTACTCCGCAACCAAATCCATCAAGCCAGGGAAGGTATAAGCCTAGCTTCACTCTTGACATGGGGATAATCGACCCGCTTTATGATGTGGCCACGCTCTGTCGTGATCCGCTCATCCGTCGCAAGGCGGTGGATGTCTTGCGCTCGGCCACGCGTCAGGAAGGTATCTTCAATAGCTACGTGTGTGCGGTCGCTGCCGAGAGGGTCATTTCTCTAGAGGAGGGCGTAGCTTTAGATACCAGTATGGAGAGTCATGGGGGGTTCTCTGCATCGCCTATTCTTGGACATCGGCCCCGGTACATCAGCAGATGTTCCGAGGTACCTGACAACGCACGTCTGTTGTATGCATATCCAAAACTTGATGTTGTCCATGGGAGGGGGTTTTTGAAGGTTGAAAGGGGTGAGGGTATGGAGATGGATATTCCATTACCAGCCATGGCAGCAATGCTGGATGCGGAAAATTGATATGAATGTTCATATATATATCTTTCCGATCCATGTCGAACAATCTGAGTATACCGATTCTGTACTCCATCGCCCAATTCCCATCTTAGCTCGATAAATAGCCAAATTGCCTCGCCATATATTTAACTATAGTCCACCCATACCTCATTTACATACCTACAAGAAGTACGCACCATATCAAAACCAGAAGCAATCTCTTTTAGCACAACTGAATATAGCACATATATAGCCTGTAACTCAACAACTGGCCTGCTGGCCCAATGGTAAGGCGCTTGACTACGGATCAAGAGATTGCAGGTTCGAGTCCTGCGTAGGTCATTTTTTGAGTTTTGATGTGCTACCTACCCTACTTATCGGGCGGGATTCATTTCCTTTTTTTGTTTTTTTTTCATCTCTGTTATCGGTTATCTTATCGGAATCAGATCGATCCATGCGTTGGTGTTCTGTCCCCAATTGTAACCACCAAGTATATCACAGTATCATTATTTCTGGACCATACAGGAAGTGAGCCAACGTCTGATGAGTAAGTCACTATCATCGGTATAGACATAAGGATGTAAGCATATCATAACTCGAGGTACGAGGTATATGATATCAGGAATTAAGTATGCCAGATACTCTTCCGTAGGCAGTAGAGTAGGTATAACGAACCGCGCAAATCAACACCAGACACAGCCAGCCAGATAGAATATGTCCGGACTGGCTTAATCTGATCGCAACCACATATCCACAACCACCCACAACCCAAATCCAACCACCACCGCCACGCAGCTACTAATCCCCCCCCCCAACCTAAGGAACCAACCCCTCCGTCCCCGCCTGATAAATCCTAACCCTCCTCTCATTCTCCCTATTCACCCCCCTCCTCCACTCCTCCCCATCCCCCTCCCCCTCCGCACCCCCAACCCTAACCCCCCCTCCACCCCCACCAACACACCTCCCCCCCCAACTCCCTTTCAAGATACCCCGGCCACAATTTCCCAAAAAACCCATATATCTCCAACCTCTCCAACCTCGTAAACCCGCCCAACGCATGCACAAAGAGTAAATTATCGCCTAGACCCCGCTCCTCAGCCCCCGGTTTCATTCCCCCGGGGTGTTCGAAGTTCGCGTCCCAGCCGACCCGGAGGTATCGGAGGCCGGTGGCGTGGGTGGATAATTGGGTGAGGAGAAGCACCCAGGGCCAGATTTCGGAGCGGCGCCAGGGGACGAAGATGTCGAGGGAGCGGAGGAGGGTGGTGTTGTGGGGGCCGATGAGGGCGAGGAAGGTGGTTAGGTGGGTGGGGGTGGTGAGGGTGAATGTGTTGTGGGCGTAGAGGATGGGGAGGGATTCGGTGTGGATTTGTTTGTTGAGGGTTAGGAGGGATGTATCTAGGGTGTGGTGGTGGTGGTGGAGGGGGGATGGGAGGGAATAGGGGAGGGGGGTGGTGAGGATGGGGAGGAGGGCGAGGTTGATGGGTTTTTGGTTGTGGGTGTGGGTTTGGGGGATAGGGGTTGGGTCGTCGGGGGTGAAGCGGTTGATGAGGAGGTGTTTGTAGATTTGGATGCGTAGTTCCGGGGGAAGGGAGAGGAGGAGGGATTTGGGTTGTGAGGATGAAGATGAAGGTGGGTTAGTTGGGATGGTGTGGTGGTGGTTGTTGTTGCTTGGTGGAGAGGGTTTAAGACTCAAGAAGGTATTGACGGTGTCGGTCTGTGTAGAAGCCATCGCCATGGCGAGGTTGGAGTATCGTGTCTCTCCATGAGAGTCTGAGTCTGATCAAGTGCCGGAGTTGTCGGGAATACAAAGGTGAGATATGTATCACATGACGGTAGACCGGACGCCGAATGGGTAAATAGTCCGCGAGCCGAAGCTGCGTGCTGATAAGGTGCTTATCGAGATTCGATGGTGTTGCAGGGAGATCCGAGTTTAGTGAAAGGGTATTGGTCGATCAGGTTGTCCAATGGCAATACAAAGCTACAGTTGAAAAGTATTCGACAGAGAATGGCATTAATTAAATAGTTAATTGAGCAACTCCAATCCAACAACACCAACATAAAGTGTAAGATGGGACACCTTTCAGACCTCCTCGACACCCACCAAGCCCGACCGACCGAAGTCAAGACATCATGGCAAGGTAAAGATCATCACCACTCCCTGGACCAGCGCACCGACACCCGAAACAAGTCCCAGAGGGATCGTAACAAGGCGTGCAAATGCAAGGTCGAGTCGGAAGTAAAACGGCTTCACTTTAGGGCATCGAGGACATGGAAGTCATCAGCAAGGGTGGAGATTCTGTGGCTCTTTAGAAGAGCTCAGAGGTGGGACGTCTACTCTAAAGTGATTCTTTGAACTGTAGGCAAGATTGTTAGTAGGCATTCTTCATGACAGAGGAGAATCTCCAATGTAGGGGGGAGGGGAACTAACGTAGAGTCGCTTAGTTTTCTGAATGATGGGGGGAGATGCCCTCTTTATAGGATTGCTGGAAGAGTCTGGTGCGCTAGCCGTAAGCGAGGTTCCCGATGTTTGCTGGGTTTGTTGCTCGCGGGCCAATCACCGCCCGTGAAAACTCTTCACCTTCAGCCGTTGCCGTTTCCGTGACATTCCATGATGTTTTCTTGACTAATTGATCCATTGCATCGGACAAGACTTGCCTGGTTGTGCCGTGTTTATGCTGTTGGTGCCTGAGGATGGGTCGGCCAACATAACTTGTGTTTAACATCAAATGAGGATGGACTACGGCATCAACACGGCACCTCCCCGTACAGAGTAGTTAGATACCCACAGCTAGAGAATGATGATCTCTATGCCCTGATTCCAAACCATCCAGGCAACAACACCACATTCTATCTCCACACCACGCCTGACAGCCTCAATCCCACCACCTCAAAAATCAGCCCCGTCTCAGCTCACCAGGAAGCTCCATTCTACAAGCATCATGAGACAGACACATTTACTCCAAACCCAACATGCCGATAAAAAAAACCCATCGTATACAAAGATACGGAGTACACGGAAGTAAATTCATCCAGACCTCCGGCCCATCTCAGGAACTTAACTTCAGCTATCTTCAGAGTCCCCGATTTGGCTCAATTTTCAGTCTAGATGAAGTGTATCAGGTTTCAAGACCCTGCAGCCTTGACCGTTTGAGATTGATGAGCGGTAAACAGCGCGGACCTTGTTGCCGGTCTTACTAGGGTGTTGGTTTGGGTTTGGGATTCCATGGTGCTGGATAGATAGGTCTACACGGCTCGGGAAGTACCTACCCGAGTGGAAGTATTGGCGTTTCTGGAATGTAGCCTATTGGAACTTTGAAGAGGAGGTTGCCCTGGGTGTGTTGTTTCTCTCGTCGTCTGTTTGCTCTACTTGAATGCTGTCGTAGAGGTATAACTCGTACCTGTACAGTTGCATATACGCCAGCTTCCATCAATACGAAACATGCTACTACTCCGTAGAGACTGGCATTAGCACACGACAGTATAGACCGGGGTAGACCCTGAATGCGCCATCGGATGATGGTCCCTGCCCAGCCATCCCTTGACTGCAGCCGAGCCGAGCGCGAATTATCTACCCCCGGGCCAGGCTAATTCTCGGAACTTCCGCATCACTCGGCTTCTGGTGCCGTATGCCCTAAGTATAGCATTTTACTAACCAGTAACACATATCCAATAGATAGTCGGTGTAGACACACGCTCATCCTTATGAAACAACACACTGTTGCACCAGCACCAGCAACAGCATAAAATTTGACGGGATCTCTGGAATATTCCAAACGGCCTCGAAATTCAGTCAAAACACCAAATGACTTCATCCCTTTGGCGGGAAATTAGCCCGCGGGTAGACCGACGGAAGAAAGTTAAGCATTGGGGTTGATCGCCAGGGCCCAAGGTGACTGATTCTTGGGTGGTGGTGGAGATGATCGGCACGATGAACGAACGGGAAGGCGTCTGTGCCTTTGTTTATCCCGGGGTAGGACAGTATGAAACGAGGGTTCAAACAACCAAGGCAAACTTTGTGCTTCTGGTGCAGGGTTCAGGGTTCATGGGTGATGGTATGCTCCGAGGTGTTGGTGTTGGTGTTGGTCTTGTTGATGTCCTCAAGTATATAAATCCCCTCGATGCCCATCGAATCATCTCCCTCATCATCAGCATCACAATCTCACTCTCCAACACAATCAATCACTTCAATTCCATTCCCGAAAGCTTCCAGCCTTCAATTCCACCCAAATCATCAAAATGAAGTTCACCATCGCCTCCACCCTGGTCGCCACGACCTCCCTCCTCTCCGTCGCCAACGCGCAATTCTCCCTCCCCAACATCCCCGAAACCTGTCTCGAGATCCCCCAGGTCCTCGGCAACAAGCCCCTCCAGCTCCTCTCCTACTTCCACAAGGAAGTCTGCGAGAAGAACTGCACCGCCACCATCAACCAGCACAACCAGTACCTCCAGCAGTCCGTGTTCCCCCAGATCATGAAGGACCTGGACCAGAAGCTGGACATTTCCGCCAGCGAGCAGGCCTCGTTCCAGAAGATCCAGACCCAGGTCGAAGCGGCCATCAAGAAGGACTGCGTCGCCGAGGGCAACAAGCAGCTGTGCAATGACCTGGAGGGTCTGGCTGATTATGGTCTCTGTGTGCTCAAGGCCACCGAGCCCATCATCAAGCAGAACATTGGCCAGTTGAAGAGCTCGGTTAACATTACCGATGCCGACTGCGCTAAGATCAAGTCGATTGATTCCGATGCGACCGTGTGGCAGAAGACTCTGCCCGCGTATGTCGACAAGTTTGCCCAGATCTGCGAGAGTGAGAAGAACTAGGTATGTTCCTCTCCCATATCTCCCTGCATGGTCGTATTCGGGACTAATTCCTCAACCAAGATTCTTCCACTGAGGGAGATCTAGTGCGGAAACGCAAACCTGCTATATCGCAGGCCGTATAGTGGAGGAAGATCGGGTATCTTGCAGCTTTGTTCTGAGTCGAGTTTACTTGACAGTTGATGGTCGACGCATGTAGCAGCATCCGGGATGCTAGCTATCACTCCTTTGGATCGCGTCTTTGAGATTCGCAGCAATTGAGTGTTTTGTGTATTTAGTATCGATTAGTGTTTTCTTTCGGGGAAGCAATGTGAAGTATCTATTTGCTTTGTATACTGACTTCATTGGAAGAAATTTCATCATACTGCCCTGGGTTGATAGTCGGCCCGATATGGAACCTCAGACATGGTGGGCTTGATAGTGGGAGAGCCGCTGAAGAATGAAGTGAGATTCTTCTTGAAATCGTGAAGACGACAGATGACAGGCCTGTAATTTCCGTTTCGAACGGGAGAGAATCGAACATTATTCTGATGGCCAGCATTTTGGCCATGACAGTCTCATTGGGGTACGCCTTCCTACAGGGCCTTGCAAATGCCTCCCAGGAAGCCAGTCCCATATCTAGAACAGTCGAGGTGGAAGATACTTCCTACTAGGAAAAGCCAAGTCGCATAAATTACAGAACGCGAGATGGATGATACGCAATCGAACCGTGGTAGCGGGAAGTAATGGCTTATGGTTACATGTTCTGTAAGAAAGTCCAGTACTTTGTGCTGGCTGTGTAGATCCTGACCCAGACTCCTGACAATACTGTAGGATTTGCCTCCGTTGAAAAGCAGACACCTTTCTCCTTGTGATATGGAGACGAGTAGAGGAAGAAAGAAAAATGCTAGACGATGTCTTGGTCGCATATCGGGAGATATGATTTCCATGGGCCTTACAAGACAAGGTTACAATCCTACCGTGAAATCACACCCCACAGACAGCGTTCCATCCGTGGCGTTCAGCAATAAAAGAAACAGAGTTTCCGTCTCACGCGGTGATGTACTCGTGGTACAACACTTTGGTGGTGCCTCCGAGGCAGTTACGTTGCTCTTTCCCATGAGGAGTCCGCTGGGGAAAGCATCAAATCGCAAGATCTCTCCTTAGCTGTTGCTTGCCAACTTGGCAGGCCAAATCCGAGAGCCAGATAGACGAGATCGACGGGCCTGGGGTGGTATACTATCCGTGGATTATTCCTGTGTGGCTGCACGAGGAAGCCAAAGCCAATTCGCTGTAAATAGTGTGCTCGTAATGGAGCATTGGATCCATCCTAAGCACGTTCATTGTTCCAGAGTCTCGACCCCGCAATTCGTACTAGGGGTCTCAGCCCAGAGTTTGAACACGGAGATGATTCGAGGGGGATTTTTCAGCGTGGCTTTGATGTAGCATCGCGTTCAAAATCGTCAAATCTCTATATAGAAGCCTCTAGCGACCAAGTAAATCGTTTTTACTAAAACAGACTCTGTCGTCAAGTAATTCAGCATGGCAGTCTCGGCAGGAAAGCATACCTACCAGGTGAATGCTCTCACGGTTCTGCATTTGGAAGCAAGATGTGCTCACTATCGATAGGACGCAATTGAGAAGCTGAATTCCACACAAGCGGGATTCAAAGTCCTGGAAGAGCGGCGAAGGACGGGATACAAGGCCGAATGCTCGGGCTTGGAACAGATGCCAGAATGGTTACGCCGTCTTGGTTACAATGTCAGTTGTGAATTTCGATGATCTGGGGTAGGATTTTGGCTAAACTGCATCTAGGTCAGTGATCTAAATCGCTTGAATATTGTCCACGTCGCCGGTACAAAAGGCAAGGGTACCACGTGTGCCTTTGTGAGCTCAATCCTGCTAGAATATCAGCGAACAGTTGGTGTCCCTCGCAAGATCGGTCTTTATACTTCACCACATCTGGTGTCGGTGAGAGAGAGGATATGCATCAATTCACAGCCAATTTCAGAGGAACTGTTCGCCAGATATTTTTTTGCAGTGTGGGATGCCCTAGAGTCGTCTGCTATCAAGGAGGAGCTTGATCCGGCCCAAAAGCCTGGCTACTTCCGATTCTTGACTCTGATGTCGTTCCATGTCTTCCTAAGTGAGGGCGTGGATGCCGCGATCATCGAGGTTGGAGTCGGAGGAGAAACTGATGTGACCAATGTCATTCCACAACCAGTAGTGACTGGTATCACTACGCTCGACATCGATCATGTGAAAGTGCTCGGTGCTACAATTGACAAGATAGCATGGCATAAAGCAGGATTTTTAAGTCTGGATCTTCGGCTTTTACGGTGTCTCAGGTGCCTGACGCAAGGGAAATCCTCGAGCAAAGAGCGCAAGAGAAAAACGTCAATCTCGGTACTGTGGAGATTTGTTCGGCGCTTCGTCATATCAACATCAAGCCCACCGAGGATTTCCAAAAAGCAAATGCTTCGCTCGCAATCGTGCTTGCATGTACCTTGCTGAATATATTCGGGATTGAAGCCAACACAAAAGGGACAAATCTTCCCACGCAATTCGTTCAGGGTCTCGAAAAAGTGGTGTGGAGAGGAAGGTGCGAAACCGTGGATACTGGCCGCCAACATTGGCATCTGGATGGCGCCCACACCGAACGTAGCCTGGAAGTAGCCTGTTCCTGGTTTGGACGAGGATCCCATGCAAAGTCAGTTTTTCCCTGCAATTTAGAGCCACCCCACGTTCAAGCTGGGAGTAATAACCTTGCAACCTTAGGGATTCACCGCATGTCCTCTTATTCAACCAACAGTCACTGAGAGATGCTGCCGAGCTTCTAAGAACCGTTCACCGGGTGATATACGAGAGTTGCAAGATGACCTTCCAGTATGCGTTGTTCTGCACCAACACTACATACAAAGATGACAATCACAAAGCCGGTAAGTTAGTAGGACTCTTTACCAAGCTGATGAGCATCGAAATTCTGACTGCATGACCTGATCGAAGACCTTGTTAACCGGAATGTCAACCCACAGGCTCTCAAGAGCTTGAGTTTGCAGGGGGAACTGGTGGATGTCTGGCATGGACTCGACTCTTCTACGGAAGTAGCAAAGGTCTTATCAATTGAAGAGGCCATTGAATACGTAAGGAACATCAAGGGCGGCACACCAGAGACCGAGATCCTAGTCACGGGAAGTTTCCTTCTGGTGGGGGGTGCCCTCATGGTCTTGGAAGATAAACATGCTGTCCCACAGATGGCCACAGCCCAGTAGGATGGGCTCTGCCACAGGTCGTGATATGAAACCGCGCCTTTGGAGAACTCAACTTCTCAGAAAGTCAATTAAACAAAGAGTGGAGTTTATGCTTTTACTATGATCAGCCACTTGTTCAGCGTCCATAGTGTCCTCTGTCTGGTTCTCCATTAACCTTTCGCTGTGGTGGCCCCGGAAGGTTGTTTAGTTGTTTCTTTGTTTGCCAACACCTGGCCACCCCTTACCCCACCAGCATCATAACATCAGGATAACCATCCTTATTATGACACCAAATTCTGATGCCTCAATAGATTGTCGGAAATATTCCCCTTCTAGAAGACCTCCAGCCACCTAGAGGAGGCCTCTGGCCAGCCAGAGGTTTCCGGTAGCAGAAGTCACGCCTCGCCTCTGTGGGCTATATATATAGCCCTGAGGTCCTTCCCAGTAGTCCCTTGGGAAGGGCGGGGACGGAGCACTGTCAGATGCTCCCAAATTCGGACCATCTGGCTCGGGACATGTCCTTTGGCTGAGTGGTCAGTCGTCATAGATGGGGTTCTCAAATACGGCAATCCCAACAATCCGATATCGTCCATGCATACGGCCGCAGGATGATGAGCACAAGCGGATATGAAATTGTCCTGTGAGTCCCACAACCAATCTGTCAACATGGAGAAGCAAGCCCGCTAGCTACCCCTAATAGAATGGCGCTGGGCAAATTTGACTTTCTTTATAATCTTCTGCCCAATAGGCTCACACGATGGCCGAAAGATATGGGCTGGCGACCCGTGGTCCGAATGAAGATGCTATGGGTACACGGGCACACAAAGAGAGAGATTGCCTCCCTCCAGTAGTAGCGTACCGCCGTCAACAGATCTAGCTACATATATAAGGTCGAGGGACTACTTTGGACTTCCCCGGGGACAGCATCCTCACACGTACTGTCATAATGGAGGTCGCGCTGGAATGCAATTATCAGGTACATTTCTCAACCTCTACCTGTTGCCGATCTAATATCATATAGAATGCTCTGGGCCTGTTGAGATCTCGGAAACGAAAAGGCCGGCCTACAAAAGTCGCAGATCGTCTTCCAAACAGAGACACGGGAATTCACTTGGGGATACTGAGTCTCTATGGCATGGGAGATTGGTTGCGAATACTAGGCCATTCTGTACGGTCTCATAAGAACACTCCCAGAGACATCATTATCATTCTCACACACACTACAGGACAGCGTAGTCAACAGCCTCAACGTCGTACATATCGCAGGAACTAAAGGCAAAGGAAGTACCTGCGCTTTCACTCGCTCCTTCCTTCGTACACACGGGGCAAGGACAGGCTTCCCCCAAAAGATCGGGCTATACACATCCCCCGATCTGCGCTATATCCGAGAAAGAATCCAAATCAACGACCAGCCAATCACGGAACAGCAATTCGCGCAGTACTTCTTCGAGGTATATGAAAAGCTTATAGACCCCTACCTGACTGAAGAAGAATCACCTGCACAGCCACGGTATCTCCAGTTGCTGGCCCTACTGGCCTTCCATACTTTCATCAGAGAAGGGGTGGATGCAGCGATATTTGAAACACACTCAGGAGGAGAATACGATGTCACAAACGTGGTCCAAAAACCCGTCGTGACCGGAATCACCTCCCTTGGATTCGACCACGTCATCCAACTAGGCCAAAACCTCGACAGCATTGCCTGGCATAAAGCGGGGATCTTCAAGGCCGGAATACCTGCCTTCTCCGTCCCACAGGATGAACCCGCCGCTGAAGTCCTATACGAGCGCTCCATCGAGAAAGGAACCACCGTCACCTTCGTCCCTGTTAACAAGTCTCTCCCCATGGATGCAAAGAACCTCAGCGTTCCAGTACAGCGCGTGAACTGCTCCTTGGCCCTGGAGCTGGCCAGAACATTCATCAAATCGAAAGCCCCGCACCAAACATTAGAAACATGCGACATCATCCGCGGCATCGACGATTTCCAATGGATGGGACGATTTGAAATCATACAAGATGAAATGAACACCTGGTTCTTGGACGGGGCACACAATACCATGAGTCTCAATCAGGCAGCGGAATGGTTTGCCACAAATACATAACTATATCGCGGATTCCCGAAAGTAAGACACCACATAACTTCCCAAAGTCAACAGTCAACTAACCCATAGAATAATAGATTCTGCGTCCTCATATTCAGCCATTACTCAACGGTGCGCGATGGTGCCGCTTTCGTAGAGGACCTCGCCCGGGCGCTTTCCAAACATAAAACGATCCCAGATCGTGTTATCATCACGACGAATCAACCGAGATTGGATGGGACATCGAGATTTGGTGCGTCCTCCCTCCCCACCCCAAAAAGATAGAATGCTAAACAATATCCCATCAATAGACAAAAATGTCAAAATACCCAAAGTACCTTTCTCCGAACTATATTCTGATTATGCTTCCCGCTGGAAACGAGTGAATATTGATACACTCACTCATCTTGGGTGAGCCAACAGTCGAGGGGGCCATACTACTCGCCAAAGAAATCAGTAATCAGAGACGTGGAGCGCAGATTCTCGTGACGGGTAGTATACATTTGGTCGGCGGTGCACTTGATATTCTGCGACCGCAGCCTTAGGTGCATCATGGGGTTGGGCTTCCTACCATGTTTCTCTCATTGTACATCTGATTTGTTTGATTCAGTGTAGTACTTACTTGTTATATTTTCTGTTGGAACACCTTATTTCTACCTTATATGCCTATGAGACACTAAGGATATATCTCTCTTTGTCTACGGGTTAGTAGATTTGACTAGTATTTCTCAATCGTATCTTGCATATGGAGGATTGATTCTGTTGCTTACGTTTATTGGGTAATATAGACCACCGTGGATATTTTCTAGCGTCTGTTAGGATTTCGGTAGTATGTGTCTAGTGTAGGATATAGAGTATACCGGGTTTGAAATATACAATACGGTACTTGATGATTTCCATAAGTTCTAGAGGTAGTGTGATTCGCGACGGTTCTACGTATGTATAGATGACGGAGTAGATGTGGTTTGTTGGGCTATGCAGGCATACGTGTGCTAGCATGCGAGTTTGTGGTTTGGATTTGTGAAATTAGGAACAGGAAATATAAGAGGGACTAGGATGAGTGATGGATAGTGTGGGAGGAGTCTGAGATTGGAAATTGTTTGGTATTATCGTTGGATACATAATGTCGTAACTGCTCATTTACTATCCGAGTTTCCCTTGCTCTCTGGGGGATTGCTGCTCGCATTTCCGGCACTTCCTCCACTGTTTCCTCCTCCGCCTCCCTTGGGGCCTCCCTTGCTCTTGGACCCTCGTCCACCGCGTGGCCCTCGAGATGAGTTGCCTCCGGAACTACCGCCTTCGTTGGACTTGCCGCCCCGGTTGTTATTGCCGCCGCCGCCACCACCTCCGGAAGATGGTTGTGCTTCACCACGGCCTTTTCCGCGGCCCTTTTCTCCACCGGGGTTGGCCTTTCTCTCCAATACAACGACCTGACTCTGGGCGACCGAGACAGGGCTAGCAGCGATGGCTTTATGAAGCCCGTCTGGGTCCGCAAAGTCAATGTAACCGAATCCTTTCTTCTTATCGATCTCCACTTTGAGAATCTTTCCGAATGGCGAGAATGCCGTTTCCAGCAGCGGTTCGGTGACTCCCTGAGATGGGTTTGCGTGCTTGAGAAATGCTTGGGTAGCGGTAGCTGTCGGTCCTGCCGATGCCTGCTTTCCCTTTGCGGCTTTGGTTGGTTTAGGTGTAGTACTGACTGGAGGTGTGTTTGCTTCGGATGGTTCACTAGGTTGTTGGGTATTGTTGCCTTTTTTGTTCTGCGTCGATGTCCCCTTAGATGGTCTGGAGGGCGTTTCCTTCTTGCCTGTATCCGGGGTTGCAGTACCGCTTTGATCGGACTTGGAGGCATCTCCGTCCGTGGCAGCGGCTCGGCCACCTTTTCGGCGACCACCAGACGGAGCGAGCCCGAGGTCGCGCTGGAGAATTTTGGCAGCAGCGGCAACACTTCCGCGTTCCCGTTTCCGTTCTGTTGCTGGCTGTGGCGTATCCTTCGGAGAGTTCTGCGCTGGTGACGACTTCGCGGCCTGCTTGGCAGCGACATTGGCGGCCTGCTTGCTTGCCGCTTTCACAGCCTCCTTGGTAGCTTTGTCCGACTTGGATTTCTTTTCCGGTTTCTCCGTAGCGGCGGGTTGATTTGCCTCCTTGTCGGGCCGTTGTAGCAGCTTCTTCGCTTGAAATTTCTCCGCCTTTGAGTCCTTGTCCGACTTGTGTTTGGAGGATTTGCTGGACTCCTTGGCTTTATTGGCTTTCTTCTCCTTGATGTACTGTACCAAGGGTGTAACAGTCACAGTCTCCTTTTTGTCCTCATTATCGGCGGATTCCACGGCGGATGGCTTGGCGATTGGCTGGGTGAGGCTCTCGAGAAAGGCGATAAACTCGGGGTCCTGGTCGATGGTTCCCTGACGAGCATCTTTGCGCGAACGACTTCCGGCAATTTTGGCGTAAGGCGCGAATTCCAAAGACGGGGGGCCCAGAAGCACGGGGTCATTCGAGGTATTGCGGGCGTCCAAAAAGGGTGTTTGACGGACTTTATTCGAGAGGGGGATGCTGTGATCGCTGGACATGACATGGATATAGGCACGCGAGGGTCGGGAAGGTTTGGCTGGGCTGACACAGTATGCTGTTAGTGAGGAGCCTCCAAGAGGAGCGATTTGATATACTCTTTGGATATTTTGCCCGGCTTGTATTGGAACCAGTCGACCTTTCCACCCCCGATCCTCCATTCCGGACCCAGCGCTGTCTCAAATTCCGCTTGTGTCAATCCGGGCGGGAGACGTCTGACAATGAGTTTCAACCGAGGGGCAGCAGGCTTCGGGGCTTTCTTCGGTGTCGCAGAGGCATTCTTCTGAGTCGCAGCCACGGGGATCTGGAGAACGCCTCCGGTGGACTTGCCCGCAGGGATCTGCGTCATGATGGTGGCCGATGTGAGGGACCTCCGCCCCGATCAGAGTTGAGGAGTCGCTGAGGGAAAAGGGGAAAGGGGAAGTTTGTAAGATTGGAACAAATCCACGACAGTATGAGTAACGGTAAAACAACGATCACTTCTGCAACCGAGATCACCTGTAAGTGGAGGGGTGAGGGACTGGTGAAGCTGTTATCGAGTTCCGCCCGCGCCACGTGACTGGATCCGGGAAGTGCATACCCAACAATCCCCCTGCGGGGAAGGACCACCGGCGCGCATACCGCTCAGCAACCCGTGTGCTCTGGCGTTCGTGAGAGTCTCTCCTTTGGACCCTTGGTACACTCGTTACCTTCTTCTGTGACGCTTGTCTCTTCCGGCTTCAACGCGCCGTGCCTCTCCTATTAATCCATATTGCGCTAACCTCACCATGGTGGATAGTAAGGTCCCTCAGCCGGGACCGGCCAAGTTGAAGCGCAATGCAGGCCCTGATGAATGGCTGGAGGCGGCCAAGGACTGCAAATATCTCTCCGAGTCACATATGAAACAGCTTTGTGAGATAGTGAAGGAGTTTATGATGGAAGGTGCGCTTCTGGCGAGAGTCTGTGGCGACTGGGTTGCAGGACGCTGACGAGGCGCATTTCCTAGAATCAAACATTCAGCGGGTTTCAACCCCCGTGACCGTCTGTGGAGATATTCACGGTCAATTTTACGACTTGCTGGAGCTGTTCCGGGTCTCCGGAGGAATGCCTGATGAATCGGAGGTCGAGCCGCCCAAGACATCACCATCTGTGATAACTTCCGAAGATATCGAACCCCCGTCCACCATTACCGACCCTAAGCTACGGAAGAAATTGAGGAATTCCGGACACTCGGATGAATTTGCAGATGAGAACAGCAGTCAGCGAGGCCGATCTTCCAGCTCAGGCTCGAAGGAGGTGACATTGAACCGGAACTTTGTCTTCCTCGGTGACTACGTCGACAGAGGATACTTTAGTTTGGAGACTCTGACATTGCTCTTGTGTCTCAAGGCGAAGTGAGTATGCCCATGCGCATCTATCCACTGAGTCTAATCTCGTGCTCTAGATATCCCGATCGAGTTACACTGGTACGTGGAAACCACGAGTCTCGCCAAATCACGCAGGTCTACGGCTTCTACGAGGAGTGCTTCCAGAAATACGGCAATGCCTCTGTATGGAAGGCTTGCTGCCAAGTTTTTGATTTCATGACGTTGGGCGCCATCATCGATGGCAGGGTACTGTGTGTGCATGGTGGATTGAGCCCTGAAATCAGGACACTGGATCAAGTTCGCGTGGTTGCCAGAGCCCAGGAGATTCCGCATGAAGGTGCATTCTGTGATCTGGTCTGGTCCGATCCCGATGAGGTGGAGACATGGGCAGTGAGTCCCAGAGGAGCTGGTAAGTGCCCTTCCGCCGTGCGTGCTTTCTCTTCTAACAACACCTAGGCTGGTTGTTTGGAGACAAAGTTGCAGACGAGTTCTGCCACGTCAATGACCTGACCCTTATCGCGCGAGCCCACCAATTGGTCAACGAGGGTTACAAATATCACTTCACCAATCAAAACGTTGTCACGGTGTGGAGTGCCCCCAACTACTGCTACCGATGCGGCAACCTTGCCTCCGTCTGCGAGATTGGAGATGACCTCAAACCTACGTTCAAGCTCTTCAGTGCTGTCAGCGACGATCAACGACACGTTCCGACATCACGGCCGGGCCGCAGTGAGTACTTCTTGTAACATATCGCATGGCTACACTTTTATTTTCTCGTCCACTTGCGTTGGGCAAGACATGAGGCGTTACTGCACCGGCGCTGGCGTTGGGAATGGATACAGAGGCGCCCACCGTGAGTGAGGACAGGTTATGAGCATCATATATTACGATTTGGGACCCAGTTAATGAAGTTTATCCTTATGCATACTGGACACTTGGCCCGGGAGTGTTAGTTTACTGTTACATTATCATGAATCAGATGATCGTTATGATACATAAAAGACTGCCGTGTCCTTGCGGCTGAGTTATCAAACTGGCATGTTGTATGAGATGGTGCGCGAAATCAATTCTGCGCGAGGACGGTTATTTCACGCTAATTCGATCGAGACCTTGATTGGAGGCCTGTGGCGGTTCGAAATGGGACTTAACGCAGGCTTCGACGGGTCAGCACGACTCACGGAAATGAGATTTACGCCGAACCGTTTAAAATCTGGCTGCCTTATGGGCTCTGTAGCGAAGGGCGAGTCGAAATCCATACTGGGAGTCGAATAGCGACGTCTCTTCTTGCCGCGTTGGCGCCGGCGGTGTTCGCGTTCGCGCTCTTCCTCTTCCCTTTCCTCTTCCGACATTTCTGCATCGATATCAAGAGCTATCAAGGCAAGCAATGCGATGATGAGGATGATGCAGTTACGCTCGTGCTCGGGCAAACGCCATAGAAGAATAGTCATATTGATTAAGATGGCATTGAGGGAGTAATAGGCACGATGTCATGAACAATTGCGCTGATGATGATTCACTGCATCGTGACGGTTCGCGTACTTTGCCCGGTCGGGTCTAGCGTGTATACCCCGCGACTTCTGATCAGTCTCCGGTCTCTCTTTGTTGACCCATCCTGACTACCGGCTGGATCATGAACGATTACCCTCGTCTCCGGACCGGATGGCAGAGAAGACCATGACTGGATCATTGAATATATTGGTGCAGATAATGGCCGAGGCATGTATGCAAATGCCGCGCAGCTGCCGACCCGGGATGGATTCCGGGGTAGTTCGGAATCCATCCCGGAGGCATGAAGTATATCAGCGAGGAATACTTTAAGCTCCTTAATGAGACATTCTCCATTTTGAAGTTGTCCATCAGAAAAGTCCATCTAGAAAGACAACATCAATCGATATCATGGCAGAAAAAGTCGACGTTCTGATCTGCGGCAGCGGCTCCGCGGGCCTCTGCGCCGCCACTTGGCTTGCTCGACAAGGCATCCCTTGCAAGATCCTGGAGCGTCGGGATGGTCCTATGACAATGGGTCAGGCAGACGGCGTCCAGTGCCGCACAGTCGAGATTTTCGAGAGCTTCGGAGTTGGCGAAGAGCTATTGCGCGAGTCGTACCATGTGCTGGAGGTCGTGTTTTGGGCAGATGATGGTTCGGGCGCTATATGCCGCACAGGCAAGACAGCAGACACCCAACCCGGATTGTCCCATCAGCCACATGTCATTCTGAACCAGGCGCGAATTAACATGCTTCTTATCGAGCTGATGCGAGAATTCAACAACCAAGAGATTGATTACGGGTATACCGTGACGGATGTCAAAGTTGAGAGTCAGCTGTCGGGGGATCCGGAGGCTTACCCGGTTAAGGTTACTGCGGAAAAAGACGGGAAAGTCGAGAGCTTTGAAGCCAAGTATGTTTTGGTATGTGCTTCTTTGTCAGCATAATGGTTGATTACTGATTTTTAGGCATGTGATGGCGCACATAGCACTGTGCGCAAAGCACTAGGGTACAACATGGTTGGCGATAGTACCGATGCTGTCTGGGGTGTCATGGACATGGTTCCACGAACGGACTTCCCCGACATTCGGAAGAAATCCACCATCCGTTCCAAGGCAGGCAACCTGCTGATTATACCCCGAGAAGGAGATAGCTACAGCCTGACCCGGTTCTACATTGAGCTCCCGACTGGTACGAAGGCAAAGGATGTCAGATTAGATGATCTGCAATGCGCCGCCAAGAAGATCCTCAGTCAGTACCAGATTGAGTTCGCGGAGACCGTCTGGTGGTCCGCATATGCGATTGGTCAGCGTCATGCCGATTTCTTCCACAAGGATTATCGTGTTTTTCTCGCGGGAGACGCATGTCATACGCATTCTCCGAAGGCGGGCCAAGGTATGAACGTCAGCTTGCAAGATGGGTACAACATGGGTTGGAAGCTTGCTTCGGTGCTAAAGGGCTTGGCCCATCCCTCATTGCTGGAGACGTATGTACTGGAACGGCAAAAGGTGGCTATCGATCTGATTAACTTTGATCGGTATTTTGCCAAGTTGTTCTCCTCTCAGGGAGATGCATCGCCCCAGGATTTTCAGGAGGGCTTCATCAAGTCTGGGAAATACACTGCCGGTCTGACGGCCCAGTATGACAAATCTCTCATCACCTCCGATACGGGGTTGTCGAAGAACCTCGCTACGAACGTTGCAGTCGGAATGAGACTGCCTAGCGCACAGGTTGTGCGATTCTGCGACTCCAAACCCATGCAGCTGGCTGCATCGCTCAAGTCCGATGGTCGCTGGAGAGTTATTGCATTTGTGGGGGATCTCCGCGTGTCGCAGAACATGGTCGCCTTGAAAGCCGTATGTGCATGCAGTGTTCCAAACGGATACGCGTACTGACCGAGAATAGCTTGGGGATTATCTTGGCTCTGACGAGAGCCCCCTCCACATGTTTCGTGTCAAAGGCGGCGATGCCGACAGCGTTATCGAGCCGATGCTGGTTGGATACGGCAAACGAGATGGCGTCGAGCTGGCGCAGGTTCCAGAATGCTTCCGTCCAATTACGGGCAAGCATCATATCAGAGGTGAGCCTCCTCCGGCCTCCGAACTTCCGGTCTAACAAGGATGAAGACCTTCACAAGATCTTTTTCGACGATGAGAGCTACGATCGAGGCCATGGGCACGTTTACGAGCATCTCGGCATCAGTCCTGACCAGGGTTCTATTGTCATCGTGCGTCCCGATCAATGTAAGTTTTCGTCACCACCGCTTACTATGTAATATTCACTGATAATCTCGTAGACGTATCTGCTGTGCTCAGTCTAGATGGATATAGACGAATCGGCCCATTCTTTGAGGGATTTATGACCCCGCAAAAGAGGCCGGAGCCGCTGGCCGGAAGCAGGCTGTAGTCGGTTACCGTAGGACACGCGTGTTCTGCGATCCTGATGACGAGGAAGTTCCAGCCACGCTTACCAGTGAGCAAAGTTTAAACAAGGATAAGGCAAGCAAGCGGGGTTGGATGAGGTTGTATGGATGACTACTCTTGCTGCTGGAAAAGTATTTATAGTACCATTGCGAACACGTCGACTCCTATATCAGCAATATACACTTGGCAATTCCGGCATATCACCTGTTTTGTTCCAGCACACCCAAACTCCAAGATGGCTCCCCACGTCATTGAGGCCAATACTCAATTCCCCGAACCGACTTCCAAGGCAATTGCTGCGAAGGACGTGCCGGTGACCTCCATCGAGTCCACTGTTCAAAACCTTGCTCAGCTCCTAGCCAGAGCTTCTACGTCCACGGCCGGGCTGACCTTCTACTCGTCTGGGGCCGAACCTACTCGTGTTTCGTATGCCGAACTTCAAAGAAATGCAGCGGAGAAAGCCCGTGCCTTGCTCAGGATCGATGGCCTGTCTCCCTCGTCCATAATTCTGCTGCACTTCGAGAACAACCGTGACACACTCGTGTGGTTCTGGGCCGCAACACTGGCAGGTCTCCTTCCAGCCCTCTCCACTCCATTTGTGCACGATCCGGTGCAGCGCAAGAAGCACTTGCACCATCTGCAGACATTGCTGCAGGAGCCTGTGATTCTCACTAATGAACGGCTTGTTCCCGAATTTTTGGAGCTAGAGGAGCTTCGCCTGCACCCGGTTGAGTCGCTGGGCAAGGCTGCGATCTCGAATGGCCTGGCCTCCACCTACACCCTCCCTGGGATTGAAAAGAAATCACAAGATGCGGCGGTCCTCATGTTGACGTCTGGAAGCACGGGAAGCGCCAAGGCGGTTCCTCTCCGCCATGGCCAGCTTCTGGCAGCGCTGCAGGGCAAAAAGGCTCATCACGGGACCGAACCTGGCGATGTGTTTCTGACCTGGGTCGGGCTCGACCATGTTGCGAGTATGTGCGAGATTCATCTGCATGCAGGTATGTTCCCTAAGCTGCCCATGTTACAAGAACACTGTTGACACGCTGTAGTGAGCCTGGCTGCCAATCAAGTGCACGTTCCGGCTTCCGAGCTCCTGCGCGATCCGTTGCGTTTCATCCAGCTGCTTGACTCGCACCAGGTTGCGTATACATTCGCGCCCAACTTTTTCCTCACGCAGGTGCGGGACGCTCTTACAGACAACTCAGCCGTCAAGGCGGATCTGTCCCGCCTCAAGAGCATCAACTCTGGTGGCGAAGCCAACGTCGTTGCGACCATAGACGGGTTGACCCGTGAGTTGCGTCGGTTCAATATTCAGCGCGAGGTGATTAGTCCTGGGTTCGGGATGACGGAGACGTGTGCAGGGTGTGTGCACGCGCCGGCGTCCCCGTCATACGATCTCGCACAAGGCCTCGAATTCGCTAGTCTCGGGCCGTGCATCCCTGGGATTGAGATGCGAGTGATGCGTCTGACCGCCAAAGATGAGCCTGCTGCGCGTGGCGAGGTCGGAGAGCTGCAGCTCTCGGGCCCTGCCCTATTCACCGGATACTTCAACAATCCGGAGGCCACGGCCGCCGCTTTTACGGCTGATGGATGGTTCATCACGGGAGATCTGGCCTGGCTGGATGACTCGGGGTACCTGAACCTAGCTGGACGGACCCGAGACACGATTATTGTCAACGGGGTCAAATGGAGCGCAACGGAGATAGAAACGGCGATCGAAGAAGAGCGCATCCCGGGTGTTGTGCCCTCGTACACAGTGGCCTTCCCCTGTCGTGCACCTGGCTCTGCCAGCGAAGACATTGCAATTGCCTACTGTCCTACATACGCGGCCGACGATGCTGCGACGCGTTTCGAGACTGCCACAGCCATCGCCAAGACGGCCGCGCTCCTGACGGGGCGGAAACCCGCCCACTTGATTCCGCTCCCGGCGGAATTGCTGGACAAGTCGTCGCTGGGTAAGATCTCGCGTACCAAAGTGCGCACCGCGTTTGAAAAGGGCGAATATGCCTCGATGGAGGCGGAAGACACGGAGGCCGTGCAGAGGTATCGGGAATCCACGCAGCGGCCGGCGAAGACGGAGACAGAGAAGAGAGTGCAGAGCACACTGGCAGGGCTGCTCCAGATCCCACTAGAGGATATCAACGTCGACATGTCAATCTTCGATCTGGGCATCACCTCATTCAATCTGATTCTCCTCAAGGCCATGATCCAGGAAGCCGTTGATGCCCCGGTGGAGATTCCCATGTCTGTGCTAATGACCGAGTGAGCCACCCTCTCCTAATATGAAACTCCGCTAACATTGTCGCAGTCCAACTACCACCGCCATTTCGGCTGCCATTGACAAGCTCCTGTCCCAGCCACCCGTGTATAACCCAATCGTTCCCCTCCAACCCCACGGCACCAAGATTCCTCTCTTCCTCATCCACCCTGGCAGTGGGGACATTCTTGTCTTCATCGCCCTTGCGGCCCAATTCCCAACCCGGCCCGTCTACGCGCTCCGCACCCGCGGCTACAACACCAACGAGCGTTTCTTCCACTCCATCCAGGAAACCGCCGAGACTTACGTGCACTACATCCGCGAAACCCAACCGGAGGGCCCGTACGCTATAGCGGGCTACTCCCTCGGCTCGACGCTGGCCTTTGAAGTCGGCAAGGTCCTCGAAGCCCAAGGCCAGGAAGTGCGATTCCTCGCCAGCATCGACTACCCGCCGCACATCCGGCAGTACGTGCGCGGCCAGAACTGGATCGACGTGCTCCTCCACATCGCCTTCTTCCTGGAATTGATCGATCAAAAGATCATGGCCGAGGCAGGGAAGTACCTCCACGGACAGGAGATCTCGCGCCAGGACGCCCTCGTGCACGTGTTGTCAATTAGTGACCAGGAACGGGTGCGTGCCTTGGCCCTCAACCCAGAGCGACTGGAGCGAATCACCGACATTGGAGAGAACTTCCGGGTGCACGGGGAGTCGTACGAACCGGAGGGAACAGTGGAGCGACTGGACGTGTTCGTGGCGGATCCGCCAAGCTACGCGGCGCTGAACCGACAGGACTGGGAGGAGAACAAGCTGGGAGCCTGGCGGAACTTTTCGCGGACGGAGGTGGGCTTTTACAATTGTCCGGGAATCCACGCGACGATGTTGAACCCGGTGTATGTGCCGGAGTTTGTGAGAAGTTTCAAGCTCGCGATGAAGCGAAGGGGTGTGTAGACACTCACTGACTACTAGCTAGCTAGATATAGTCTGAGTTGTGTAGAAGAGTACTCATATTTGGATAGCATCCGATGCCTTCTTATATAGTATAACCCATATCCCCTCCCTCTATACCCATACCACCATCTCATCATAATAACTATATGCACCCATCACACCCCCCCACCCAACCCCTTATAAACCTCAAACGCCCTAAGCAAATTCCTCCCCTGATCCCCAATAAACCTTAACCTGTGCCTTTCCCCCTCCCCATCCCTATCCCCATCTCCTCCAACACCCCCCTCAACAACCCCCTAGCCTCCTCCTCCCCCACCCACCTCCACGCACAATGTTCCTCCGGCGCCAAAACCACCCCCTCCTCCCACCTCCCGACCCCATCCCGATTCAAAACATCCACCTCCACCAAAAAACTCCACTTCATCTCCCTCACTACCCTCTCACCACGAGACCTCGTCCACTCATCCACAGCCACTAGATCCACGACCTTGGTGACTGTTAGTCCGGTTTCTTCGAAGACTTCGCGCACCAGAGCGGAGAGGAGAGTTGGGTCGGTGGGGTCGGTCGATCCGCCGGGGGTTTCCCAGTGGA